ATATTTTGTCAGAAGCCGGTCATATTACTGATCAAACCATTAATTTGGTGTCTTTGATGCGATTTCATTTAATGTCATATTCTAATTGTAAATGAGGCCTCGCGCCTGCTTTTCCCAATGTATCAATGTACCAAGTTTGATATGCGCAATTGGTACGTGTCCCCGCCACGAAATGTTCACAGGAGCTTCACAATGATTGGAATCGAAATTCACAACTGAAAACACACGGGACCAAATCAATTTGATATATCTCTTTTTGTTAGTTTTTCTTTCTTGGCTTTCAGATTTCCTTAATGAATATAATGAAGCATTTATAGAGCTCATTTCGTGCAAACGGACTGGTTCCCATAATTGGATTCATGCCAGTCCATCGATGTTGATATTCATTTTGATGCTGCTATTCAAACAAGAAGGACATGAATTACAGCATCGAAATCGAACACTTATGCTACCATGTCTGGTGGTTTATACATCACAAAGACGTTACCTCGATACCTTGCGGTATCTACAAACGTTTCCCTTCCCGCCAGGTACATGTATGTCATTTACATCATACTAATTACATGTGCAGACATGTGTTATTGATAAAGGTTACATCTGAAAGGGTATTTAGAAAAAGCCTCGCAGGTTACAGTCGAGCCATGTTGCCTATTATGTATCGGTAGAAGCCCATTAAAAGGCTTCTAAAAGTTGGTTCTGTTGACTAATTTTATTTTAGTGATGTGATTATAACGTTGTATCCTTATAAAGGTTTCGACCTCCCCTTAATTTTGTTCCCGTTTAAGTGATGATTTCTATCCCTAAATATTACGTAATGTGACGTAACTGTTTTTAAATTCAAAGGATTTTTCGAGATGATTAACCCAGATTCGCTCGATCGGATGCCTGTTACGTTTCCTTAAGGTGTTCTAATTTCCTAACCCAACAAGCATCTCAAACCAAAAGGGATACCAATAGTGCACTTTTCTCATTTATATCAAGAAAGTTTCTTTCGTTTTACACGATTGTTCTTCTTATATAATCTATGTTAATCCATAAAATCTCTTCATGGCTTGGACATATTTGCTCGAAATCTTTTGAGTACATATTTACCCACAGGGAACTTGAGTTTCTCTCGCAAACAAAGTAAAAAATAAATAAAGCGATGGAGTATTATGCTTTGTATTTTCTTCTCCGAGTGATATACTGGGGTGTAAATTCCGGAGGGAAGTGGTATTGAGTGGATCATAAGCCTCTGAATAATTACCCCCTCCCCTCATATTTTGAAGACGGGTCGGCACCCGTACTGAGAGTCATGGGTGGTTTATGATCCTTTGTGAACATTTTGAAAGGGTAGATCTTTATTGGCCAAGCATGCATGCATAGTGTACATATCGAGTTAATTAATTGAAGGTGACATCAAGATCCCTCCTTATGTTATAGGTTAAACACTTCACGCTGTTTCATTAGCATGAATGTCAAAATCTAAAACACGCTCGAACTTTCGTCTAGTCATTTAGTATTCCGGGCGGCCTTTCAAATGCCTGTAAGCTAATATTTTAGTAACAAATAATGTAGAAACTCAAACACAAAATATTCTAACTGGCGTAAATTCTCGAAAAGTGCACACTTTGACAAAACATCATTATATATTGGCTACATTCAATTTGTTTAATCTACACTTTATTCTATATTTGCATCTTACATTCAATTGTGTAATCAAAATTCAATTGTGTAAACAAGAACAAAATGATAGAAATTTGATTGCTGAAAAAATGTTGTTCCAGTAATTTTTTAGGCATAAAATCAATACAAGACTCCTAATTATTCACCAATGTCCGTGTACGTAAAACATGCAACTTAATCCTTAACTCTTTTCGACCTGAGCTGTCAACCGATAATCTTTCGAAAATAATGTGTAAAGGCAACCAAAACAAATACGATGACCCGCATACATAATAGCTAGCACAAGCCTCTTTCTTCAGGGCTCTTTACTTGCATCTTTCACACAGGAGGTGTTTTGAAATGCAAGCAAAGGTCTAAGAAAAAGCAATCGTCTTACTTCTAGTTTTAAGTATTCAGTATTCAGCCCACTGTATCGTAGAGGAACCGGGAGTGGAACCCACTACTAAGCATGACGCGTGAGAGTCACATGTAAACTCGAAGTGAGTTTCCCTACGGCCTACTTAAAGCTTGGTCACTTACTCGCGACATATTGAGAGCCATATGGCTACCTTAATGGATGATCAAGAACTTATGTGTGATACCAAGGGAATAACTTAAAAGATCACTCCCTCGTTTTTGATGTAAAGGGGCGTCTGAGTTGATCTCCATTATAAATGACATTAATTATTGAGAGTACAAATTGGGTACGAAAGGTTATACACAGAGGAAGAAGGAAATGTTACTGCTCATCATTTAGATTACCCCCCCCCCCCCATAAAAATTGTTTAAAAATGATAGTTTAGCGTGCAAAAGTGTATGTAGTCGTACTGTAGTGTAAGTCTGTTGCATTTTTTGAAATATTAAGTCATCAACGACGTCCAGGAATACACACTCGACACGACTTTATGCATCCTCCTTTATCTCCCTCTCTCATAAACGCACGCACACAACATACATCCACACTTACATCCCTCGTGTATGCATTATTCCAATCAATAGAAATATACTTCGACCACCGTCGACGCCGCTGGCATTTTTCTTTTCTTTTTAGAAATCATAAAAACATGCAACCACTAGTACTTAGACTCTGGGACAGCATCTGGAGACAACGAACTTTCTTGTAAGAATCTCAAGAAGCCAGCATCCCCTCTCTCCCACCCCACATCAATTTAGACCTACAACCTGTTGTGACACACTTCCCTGAGGGTTCGTTGCTTTAATCGAGTAGGAACTACTTGTATACAGACAAAAATACTATGTCATTGGGGTACCTGGCGGCACTCTGACATAGGAATGAAAAGAACAAAATTGAAGTGGTTCGTATAAAAAAGCATCAAGTATGGAAATCAAACGGTAAACTTTCTTGACAGTGTTTGATGCACCACGTGTGGTCAATTTAGATCCATTAAAATGGATTTGAATTAGAATATAACATTAATATTCATTAAAACAAAACAAAAGAAAACCACATACCTCCTCGTCCTCTCGTTTTCATAGTATTCGTTCACTTTCCTAATGATGATGCAAAGTTCTTTCCCCATCTCCATCGATCATTAAGAAACGAAGAATATTCGCATGTATCATCCTTTATCGTGAACTTCTGGTCTCAAATTAATGAGGAGCCTCGATGGCTTAGTGGTAGAGTAGTGGCATTGTAACCGAGAGTTCCCGGGTTCATAACCATGTGAATGCGCTCGTGATACTCATTACCAAGTCCCTCGGAGAGGGCTTAAAGCCTTCGGTTCCCTGGTTGCTTACTTACAAGCATATATTAAATATGCTCTTTTAGCAGTCGGGGAAAAACAATGATGAACCACCAAATCCTGACACCCATACCTTCTGTTCGTTTATCTTCCTTTTCTTGCTCTAATTAATGGAAGATTTCCGCAAGATTGTGGATAAGTCTCAAAAAGCCGGAGTTTCCTGATACCCCAGGCACACCGACAGCATCCGACACAAGAGTAGACAGAAAAAAAAAGGAAAAAAATATTACCCCGTGTGGCAAAGAAATCGATCGGTTTGAAGCTGGCGTGGTGGTGTGACTTAAGTACCGTGACAGTTATCCCTAAAAAAAAAATCTCATCGAACTGTAAACAATCCGAGTCTATGACTGAATCTCACAGATTGAAATTCCATTATGAGATACACATAAAAAAGTTTTGTGTTCAATTTTCCTGATTGAGCTGCCAATATAACAGTCTTAGTACATGTACAATGGGGCAAAGACCTTTAGCTCAACCTACACTGGATATCGGCGTGTTAAGTTTTACTATTCAAATGCTTCTGAAATTATCATTAGTGCTTATTTCACTAATGAGTCGTTCTAATCTGGGCTGCATAATTGAAACCGTCATGTTAACTTTGATTTGATGGGACTCAAAAATCACTCTCCTGCCTCTGTGAATCTGCCCCATTAATCCAGTGGCGGCACATGGTTGGTTGGCACATTTTTAGGTTTACCTTTTTTTCGTCAAAATTTGCTGCGAGGGGCACAACTCTGGCCGCATGATCTTTTTGTACTTCATTTACCAGATTGGGGTTTTCCGGGGTCTACGTATACCCCCACCCCATCCCGGCCTACTCCTCTGAACAGTCCTGAATACTGTTATCATACCTGGGTTAAGATCTCTGAGTAAGCATTAACAGGGAAGCCTTCCCCCCCCCCCCCCCCACACCAGGTCAACTCGATGTCGCAGGTCTCACTGCCGAAGTCCCTTCAAGGGCCGCAAAGAGTGATGCCTTGTGTGAAAATGGCTTTCGTAACTTTGATTAGTACATTGGTTTCGCACCAACGTCGCCCATTTCGTTTGGTTAGGATGTGTTGTAAAGCAGGCATATTTCGGAAATTGGCTGTGACCATGTATTAATCATTTGACCCATCCGTATTTGGACGATTTTAGTTGCATTCGGTCGAACGTGACAAATCTTCGTTTGACGGTGCTAAACTCACAGCTGCGCTGCGGCTCAAAATATGCGGATCGGTGCTTTACTTCAATCGATTTTTTGAAGGTAGGCCGATGGCTCTTATGGTGAGATTGTTATCCGCTTGGTAACCTCATTTCACGCTGCAGTCCACTTGATGCCTCGATACATTGCCGTATCACTTTCAGCACTTTCCTTTAACAACCACCGAGGGACTCTATGTTTACCAAGCAGTTATAAACAAGAATAAATTTGAACTAGTCTCTCTTTACTTGTGTTCATAAGACTCCCATGATATATTGGCCCCTTGGCAGCTCCTCCTTTGCTTCTTCTTCTTCTTCTTCTTCTTCTCCTCCTTTTCTTCCTCCCTGCTAATTCCTTGTCAGAAGTGTTACCTAAAATAATGTTGCTTTTCTTCTTTTTCTAACAATTAGGTTATTGAACTTGCTGAAGAATTACGCATCTAACGTTGTCCTCGGAGAAGATGAGTCCGATGTGACCTTTGACACGAACAACCTGCGGTACAAAGTTCAAAAGGTCGACTCTAGTGTGTTCAGAGAATTTGAGAGTACGACCTACACAGCTCACTTCGGCAACGGCACCGATGAGGTAAGTTTTCTTAAGCCTATAGGGTGTGAAAACAAATCATTTGTCCATTTTTGTGTGAAATAGTTTAGCTTTAGAATCATGATATAGTTCAATTTTTTTAACATTACAAAGCCGAAAAATAAAATGTTCATTTTTCAAGTATCCCTTTTTCGCATTTTACCATCATTGAGTTTAAATGTTTCAAAGATCATGTGAAAAATGCCTTGGCTAAGTTTGGGAAGTGACAATATTTAAAAGCGTCTGCGTCCACAGAATGATTTCGAAACTGAAACTATAGCAAAAACATACGTTTTGGTAATGATATGTGTTCATGAAGCATGAGTTTGAATTCATTGTTAAATCATTTAAGTATTTCTTCAAGTCGGGGCCTGACATTCGACTATTTTTTTTCCTTCTGCTATTTCTATATTTAGTCTAATCTGTGTATGAACATGCAGCTACAACATTCATGCAAGTTCATTTTAGGTTTGCACATTTAACTCTTGTATCAACTTACATTGTTGCTAAAGAAATGCCCACATCATGAAAACTAATGCTCCTTCTAAGATATAGTGGAAACGGGGCTTCGGCTAGCGGATACGATATACATCTGCCCCAGATTCACAAGGTGCATCTATTTATCAACCTTTGAAGACAATGGCATATTTGAGTTCAAAAGGACATTTCCTTCTTGGCAATGTAATAAATTTACTTGACAATGAATTTCTTATATTTCCCACCTAAGGTTTCAATAACTAATTTAGTCTCAACAAAATAGAAATTGTATATTAATATTAGTAAATCAAGCTATTCCGCAACACGCGTCGCTGTACTTCTGCAATATAAAATATTTATCTGTTTGCTACATCTTTTTTTAAATATTTGGTACGTCTGGACAATAATTTATCGTCAGGCCGCATAAAACAAGTTGTTTCGTAATCATTTTTAATGCAAGGTTTCTGTTCAATTCGATGATTGAAATTAGTTTCTAGTCATCTCGTTTATCATGTTCAGCCATCCATACACGAATTGGTCTTCACAGAATAACAGACGATATTTTGATGACAGGTCACTGAATATAAATGGAGTAACAGTTATAAACTCTTTGTGCAGTATGGCGCAACATAACATATACATTGGTTAATTCTTACACTCGGCACGTAGTAGGAGCGACTCTTTCAGTAGGGGAGGGGTGCTGGTCTGACGAGTGCCATGCCAATCCAAAGTTGTACTAAAAAAGTCAAAATGGTTTTCCCTTCCAATATAATTATTCGACTTTTTCTCACATCAAAATTTGCTTATGGTCCTTAATATTTTAAGGTGTCCTTTGACTTCGGAATTCACTCACATCATCCCTACAAATCCCCTACAGCACCCCAGCACCATTTGCGTCGAGGGCCATGTGCGATACAACCTTCTCTTTTTTTACAATGACTTTGAATTATTTTGTGAAAAACATTCAAATTGAATAATCAATAGCTTATTCCCTCAAATAGGCAATATACAGATGAAAATGAATTCATGCTGTTTAAACATAACCAGTGTGATGGTCCTATACATTGTTTTTAATCAATTAAAAAACTTGTAGCTAATTATTATGCAAGCAAAGTAATTAGGATTGATAAATTTTCATTCTCATGATGTTGATAAGCATAAGGTGGAAGGCATGACACAGATTATTATTAAATTTCACCAAAATATTACGCAAAGTGTGAGATAAAAGACAATATGCATTTCATATTTTGACTGTGCTGGAATACTTATATTGTTTTCATTTTAAAGATCTCACTGTTACTGATATTATCCGTGCTACTTGTGGTTGTCGTTAAATGTTTGCTCAAAAATCTTATTCAAGTGTCGTTTGTACTGATTTTTAAAATTATTCTATTATTTTCTTTACGATTTTTTTCTTCAGTCGAGCGGCGTGTCCATCTATCTCCCTCACTCAATCATCACACAAGATGCTTTCGCTGCTTCCCATAGTCTACGTATGCGTTTCACAGCTCTGAAGAACAGCAAAATCTTCATCAACAACGATACTGAGCAACTCTCGGTAATCGACAGAGACAGTCAGTTTATCATATCGGCTGAACTGACAGGTTATCGGGTCAGTGATCTGGATGTGCCCATAGAATACAGCGTGCCGACACCGAAGGTGAGATACCATGATATATACACACAGACATGCACACGCTCTCTCTCTTTCCTCTCCTCCTCCCTCTCTCTCTTTTCTCTCTCTTTTCTCTCTCTTTTCTCTCTCTTTTCTCTCTCTTTTCCCTCTCTTTTCTCTCTCTTTTTTCTCTCTCCTTTTCTCTCTCTTTTTCTCACCCTTTTTATCTTTCCTTTTCTCTCTCCTTTTCTCTCTCCTTTTCTCTCTCTTAATCTCTCTCTTAATCTTTTACATTTTCTCTTTAACTCTAATTACCTTCTTGGAAAAGGCTAATATATTTCAGTTCATTCGACATAAATAATAATATTTTACGAAGGTATATGACCTTTATTTACGTATTGTTTACTCTTCTACATGTTCTCCTCTATCTATCACTTATCTTACGTGTATCCAAGTAATAGGAAAAAAATTGTCGTAACTGGACAGCAAGGTATTAATATTCTTCTATCTAAAATATCACACATTTTACGAATCTTATTTTTTATAACATTTCGTCTCGGGTAGCAAGATTATATTGTATATTGAGATACGTTTCTATATCGGGCACGGTGAGTTGAGGCTACATCTACCTCAAATATATTTGTTCGTGACTCGTTACTAATTTCCATCTCTGGTGATAGTAATACTTGAAATGCATGTCTGAACTAAACAGAATAAGTTAACATCTACCTAAGATGTCCTATATGTTTTGTTTATCTTTCACATATTAAAAAAATCTCTGGTAATTAATGTACGAAATACATTATCTTCGCATCGTGAGCTCACATTGATCTTAACAATAGCACAATTTTATTTTCTTCGAATTTGTATAAAATACATTTTAAAACGGATATGATGACTTTATATAGACACATCACACATATACTTTTCGTTGACCCTTATGGATTTTTAATGATATGATATATGAATTGTGTCTTCTATCATCGTATCGTAATGGGTTTGTAATACCTAAAGCGGTTTTCGTTTATCTTCTAATTCGAACGAAATTAAGAGTTTAACTGGAAACGATGAGTTTACATCTACCTTAGATATCCAAATATCATACTATATCATCCTGAGTTCACACTCACATATGCTATGTTGTTCCATTATCCCATCTGAATTTGAATGCTATGAACTTAATATGAAGAGGCTGATGTTGTAATATACATTTTAAAACGGATATGATGACATCATTATGAACACATCACACATATACTGTATACTTTTCGTTGAACATTATGAAATTTTAATGATATGATTATGTATTGTGTAGTCTATCATCGTATCGTTATGAGTATGTAATACCTAAAACATTGCACGGTTTTCTTTTATCTCCAAATTCGAACGAAATTAAGAGTTTTACCGGACACGATGAGTTTACATCTACCTAAGATAACCCAATATCAAACTGATCGTCCTGAGTTTACGCTCACAAGTGGTACCTTGTGTCACTATCTCATCTGCATTTGAATATTTTGAACGTAATTTGAAGAGGCTGATGATGTTATATATTTCCAATTCAAGTGTCATCTTGGGTTGAAATAAACCACATTGATTTCATGGATGAATATGAAAATAGCTGTTTCATTCGAGTACCTGCTATTTTCTCTGTAACCCCTTAATAAATGTTTTGTTCTAAGAATTTGACTATTTTTAACAATGTTTTGGAGTCGAGAGAGTATATCACGTGGCGTTGGCATAGATTATTTATGGATACGAGGGCGATGAATCATGTGATCTATGTACCTTCTAACCAAGTCACTACGTCACAACATTCACTCTTGATTAGATTGTCCTAATCCAGTTTTGAATGCATTGCATCGCGCACGGGGTCAATGTTTCCAGATCTTCTGTTGCGCAAGGGTCTGGTATAGATGGGGGCAGGCTAATAGGAGATGTTGCATAAAGTCTGCTCCGACCTCTCCATACAAATAGACAGATGGTGTCATCGTTCTCAATCTATGTATCTATATTGAATAATAGTGTTGAACACTTATTATTTAATTATTCAAAACCTTATCAAACCTCAAATCTTATGTATATATTTGGCACTAATTCCCTGTAATACGTTCAAGCTTAGTCGACATCGATTTAAAAGAAGATAACTTTACATCAAAGTATTTTTACGGGCTCATTTATCAGGTATTGATATGACAAAAACACTTTGAAAGAACCTTCTTTTGAAGTGCGGATTTTTTCTACTTCAAATTCGCCTTTTCATATTAGAAGGTCAAATTGGGCCGGAATCTTCTTTCGTTGATATTCAATTTGAAAATTCCTTCCATCATCCCAAGTGCTAAAAATGCTCGCACTCCACTTTCTCCAATGGTCACTTCTTCAGAGAGAACAAATTAGTGAGAGAGAGAGATGGAGAGACGGGAAGGTAAAAAGTTTGGAAGCGCGATGTTTTTCGCCGCGGCAGCATTGTTTGAATATTTTGGCGATAAAACCTGTCGTGGTGTGTGCTGAGTGTGTTTATTTAGTTTAGGCTTACCTTAACACCGTGTACAGGACATCCTAAATATGGATTCTTCCCCCTTGAGATGGTTGCCTTGGTCCAAGTGTACAAGGATATTCATATCTGTCTTTTCCAATTATCTCTGAGTTTGAGAGGCAACCTCTTAAAGATTGCTGTGTGGATGGGTCTGAATTGAGCAATACTTGAGATGATGTCATTGAAAAACTCAAATGTGAAATTAAAGGTTATTTCCGCCATTTGAATCCCATAAAATATTATCATTCCACCTTATGAAATAACTAGTTTACTGGCTCTCATAAGTTCACACAAGTTCCAACATTGAGGAAATAAGAGAAAGTAGCGTTACTGAGATTTTAAGAGAAAGAAAATGTATGAAAAATTAAGAATCCCAATGTTAATGTATATCGCGCTTGTGAAACTATTTACCTACAAATAACATGAGCATTTCCACCTTTATGTTCATATTGATGTTAAACACACTTTTTACCAGTTTTACTTTGAAGGTTTTGCAGACGAGGGAGAAAACAGTTTTCTTTTTAATAAATAAACTTCGTTTCGCTAAGGTCGGCTATAACAAAAGAATTACTTTACGTTTACATGTCATTTTTACGTTCTGTAATTTTAAAGCTGAAACACATTTTACTTCATTTCAGTTTATAGGCTTAGTACCGATGGATGCCGTTTTGGTATTATTCACATTCCTCTATATTTTATGTGAAAATGATTCCAACTTAAATACAAATAAGAACAGGTGCATTGGTTTCCATCTATTGATTAATGAGTTTATTCATGATATTGTCATGGTGGCGGGTTGAAGGATTTCTTTAGATTCATACATATCAGTCGCACGATAAGACAACAACGGCGGGTGTTTATTTCGATTTTACTTTTCGACATGAGGTGCCAAAACATCTGATCTTGTGAACGATTTTTAGAATGCCACGGCCGTGTTTTATGTACGCATGGTATTGATTAATGGCCTTCGACTGAATGTCCCTTGTTAGGCTAGCCTGAAATTCAGGAAAATGAAGGTGTCAATGTTTCATCTATACGTCTATTAATAACTTTCATACGTCTGCGGTAAAATCTGATATTATTTATTTTAGAAATACTAACTCCGTTGTTCAAGTTCAAGTTCAGTATTTATTTAATTCCATAGTAAAAAAAAAACAGTGACATCAAAATATTACTTTTACATAAATAATGATTAACATAGTACAATATTGACAGTAAAAACAAACAAATAGGAATTAGGTTGCTGTATAAAAACCCTAGAGGGTTTGTCTGGACAGCCACCAGAAAAAAAACAGTATAGGAATCATACAAATGATATATGGTATTTGAATAAACAATAACAAAAAACAACAAAACAAAACAAATCAAAGTAGAACATAAGCAAAAACAAAAACATACATTTAGACCGCACAACCCTAAACAAATTTGCACTGTGGAGTAATTGAGTGTTTTTACGATGTAAGATTATTAGAAATAAGATATAATTTAAGCTTTCTTTTAAATGAGTTCAAACTATTAATAGAAGTAATGTCTGACGGTAAGGAATTCCATACAGAAGGAGCTTTGTGTCTAAAAAAGTGTAATTCATATTGTTTTGTAATAGCAGATAAATAATAATTCATTCTATTTCGAGTATTATAATTATGAACTGAACAGTTTAAAGTTAACATAATGCATAAATTATTGGGTAATAAACCAAGCTTGTGTTTAAAAAGTAGTATTGCATTAAAATAATTATTTAATTTATAAATATTCAGTATGCTTAACTTTATGAATAAGGGTTTAGTATGTGCCAAGTATGAATGTACAATGTTGTTTGAGACATCGTTATTCAAACCGATGAATTTTATTTGAGGCTTATTTTTGTATAAGCATGGATTTAGAATAGCGTAATATGATTAATACCAATAATCTACTGAAATCTTCCGAATTCAGTTTTGCTTTCTAAACGTCGTATCATTAGCAATGGCTGTATATATATATATTGGGGATAGTTTATACAATAAACAGTTTTAGGATATTCATCTTTTATTCAGTCGATGTAACCAAAGTATTTCACTGAATTCCTAGCTTTGATTTCATCACTTTCACTATTAAGTATACGTAACTTTGTCTGGTAGCTTTAAAATTGTTCAAATGAGCTATGGATACTGCCAGTCATGAAGTACTGGTAATGACTATCAAAATTCTATGGAGAAGGATACACACAGGTCCATATTTCACCAATGAGCATCTTAATATTGCTCATTAATATCTTAAATCGCTTAGATGATGGGTACTGTCTACAGGAATGCTTTCATCAATCCCAAAAGCCATTGTCCTGGCGTCGTTTCTCTTACTTTGGACTACTTTTACCCTGTAATTGCCTTCACGCTCCTTAAATTGACAATTCATTATCGGTGAATGTAGGTTGCACTGGGAGAATGTGCTTTATTTAACAGCCATAAGGAACATCGATCGGCTCACGTCTGTCCACGCTTGGCAATCGCTCTCTTCCTCTCTGTCAACCTCTCTCTCTTCCTCTCTGTCAAACCTCTCTCTTTCCCATCGTTCACTCCATCACACACACACTTTCTCTCTCCTCTCTCATTCTCTCTCTTTCTCTATCATAATATTATCTACAAATACCTGATACCCCTCCTTGTCTTCCCTTCTCTCTTAGTCACGCTCGTGCACTCTCCCATATCCTTATTCAGCTCCCCCCTCTCCCCCTCTCCCTCTCTCTCTCACTCACTTTCTTTCTCTCACTTTCTCTATTTCATTTACGTCCTCCTCTCCTCCCTCTACCTCTTTCTCCACTCTCCCTCCTTCTCTCCTCTCACCATAATCTTCCATATCTCTCTCTCTCTCTCTCTCCCGCTTCTCTTCTCCCTGCCCATCTCCTACTCCCTCTTTCCCTCACCCACTCCCTCTTTATCTCCCCCACTTTCTATTGGTTCTCTTATTCTGACCAATGCATGGAATTCCTCGAGGGATCAGTCGAAAAATCGTGTAAATACGACAGCTTTTAGCGTTAATTGATGACGTCATTTTAACCTACATTCCCCCGCCTTGTGTCAATTGACAGATACAAGTTATGAAGTTCCATACTTCACTATGAGTGAAGTATACCTGCTACACTTCAAGAAATCACCCAATCAATTTATGGAGCTTTATTTGCTCATTTATGACGCACAAGGAAGTATTAATGATTATCCATCTCATCGATATTTACAGATAAATTTGATTTTCTGTGAAATAAGAACGTTTAATCTCTCTGATTGCTTCAAAATCTTTCATTGGTGTACTTAGATCAACAAGATTTGTGACTGGCCACCCACGTGATTGATTGAAATGGAATGATAATCAGATAAAGCTGATATTTCTGGGAACGACAGTTTCGTCATACTCATGTATGAATATCTAAAGATCTTAAATGAAGAAGTGCAAATGTTTGTTCGAGAATCAAACATTCAGAGATCAAACGTTAAGGCCAATCTTGATGGTTGTATACATTGCTGTTCAAAAGTAAATGAACACTATTACAAAAATGTAATTGTGTAGGATTATTTAATTCAGAGATCTGCTTTGAAATGATGAACCTTGGTATAATAAAAGTAATGTCATGATTGGCATATAGGCCTATCCAATAGTTGGACAATGCAGGACCTTTCTGTTTGGTCTCTATGCCATTTTCATCTCTTTTCATTTTCTCTCATGTGAGTAACCAACTGACGTAATTACCAAAATGGGGGAAATGATCTGATTAATGTTCGTTGCTCATATCAAAGTAAAAGCCACCGTAATTCTCAATTATAGCATTGTTTAAAGAATATTATTGAATATACTGCGATTCCGAAGTCCGAAGAATGTGGATATTGGATTTGAATTCAATTTTGAGTTATAATTACTGGATAGCATAATTTGACATTTTTAGTCAGAGGGTAATTATAAAATTTACGTTCATATTATGATCATCGGCGACCCATAGTCGGGTATGAATAGACAATTTGGCTCGCCAAAAGTCAAATCAACGGATGCTCAAGGTTTTTGATGACGTTGTAAATGAAGCTAATCTACCGAATTAATGTGATTTTCCTTTTTTTGCCGATATAATTTGATGACAGTGAGCTTTGGTTAGAAGTTGGTTGGAAAAATGTGCCCGTATATACGCGTTTATGTACACGACTAAATAAGTTTAAACACGCTGATCTAGTAGACTAAAGACTGGTGCCCCCTCCCCATGCATGATCCCACGCTACACCACTGCTTTTTTAGTTTTGATTACGGTCATTGTTGTATTTGTTGCCTATGGATACCGTTTATTAAATCAAGCGGTTACTCACAATTATAGGTAGCTAACAAATTAGAGCACGATAATAGGATGCCTGTTCACAAAGGGATCGGTCATTCCAAGATACACGGAGAAATAATGCGAAGTGCCCTGAAAGCACGGGTCTTGATTTTCGGATCGACTTAACATTACGGACATTCATATAACATGTATAAAGTACGTCATCATTACACTGTCCTTAAGATACCTTTAAATAAGAAGAGAAAATCAAGATTAAAAAAATCAATCAAAGAACACTGAAAAACGGGAAATACATTTATATACTAATATGGGCTACGACTTCTACCGTACAATTGTTTTTTGTAAATAGTTGCAACAAGAGTTGCATATGCCAACAAATATTTACAAATAAAAACACTAAACAAATTTTACTTAAGATGCATTAAGGTGTATCATGAATTTTGTTAGCATATCTGTTCAATTTCATTGCCTTTTCAATGTCTTTCTTTTCTTTCAGGATGGGAACAATTATACCTGTGTTTACTGGAACGCTGCCGGTGAGTACATAATTATGATAGGATATAATATTTTCTTTCTAAATGTCCGACTTTACTCGGTTTGCCTCCTTCCATCACGAAAGCATGGTATCTTATTTCATTCCGTACAATATGCCCACGGGCTGGAGCCCCTGGATGATATTCCAGACCACCTAATAATGGTCCCCGCATAGGTTTCATATCAATCAATGATTGCGTACAAGTTTAACATGATTGGTTTTATCGTTGACACGGAGTGTGATCTGTCTTGTTATTGTCCTCCGGGCTTTACGATCGCAATCAAGATGATTGGCTTTCAATATCATTATGAGTGCATCAGAATAGTTCAGGACTGAAATAAATATATATATACCCTCTAATTATAAAGTTATTCATGCACGATATATAAGAATTTGTTGAAGTCTGTAGACTACAGCCATGATCGTATTTGGATGTTTTTCTAATTTCAATTAAATGATATTTATTAACATACATGTGTAGAAGCACTGGTTTGTTTTAATAGTCTACAACCGCCTTGCACTTGTTTTTGTTTTGTTTTCGTAAGATACATATAGTGTGCAGATGGTCAACATTATGAAAGTATTCCAACTTCTTTATGTAATTATAGACTGTGGTACATTCACTATGTGATTCTGTCTATGGCAATAGTGTATCATGTTGTTTCATACAGTGAGAATACGATGTGAACACAGTGTGCGCACACTGTGGTGGGAACATGGTGTGTTCACATGATGCACACACTAAAAGTGTTCCGAATCCTTCGTATGAAAACGCCGTGGTACACACACTCTGTGATTCTCTCCATGGCTATAGTGTGTCATACTGTGTCACACAGTGTAAACACACTATAGTCAGAACACATTGTGTTCACACGGTGCATTGTGTTCACATGGTGCCCGCTCTAAAAAATAAAAAAAAAAGAATCTCTGTCGTTTACAATAGTGCGTATTTTCTGTAATTCTATCTAAGGTCAATTTTATGTTTAATGACCGTGTCAACACAGTATGTTCAACATTTCACACTAACAATGCATTTCAATGACATTGTTTCTTCCCCCGACATCCCCTGAAACATTTTTAATCATAAATATTTGATGTGAACAAAAGAAAAAAAGTTCCTCAATATGATTTTGAAAGCAAAAGTATGAAAAGCACCCACATTTTGTAGAACACTCTGTAAATTAAATGTATTTTTCGAACATAATTAAACAAACAAACCTTCAAAATCAGGTTTATTCGGGTATGTACCGAGCTTAATCAAATCACCGCCTTTCAAACATATCTTAAAGGGGAGTGGGTGTGGTTTAAAGGGGATTACTACACTCTTTAATATAATTATCTATGTGCTGAAATTGGATTAAATGGAGTATTTGGTGCAAACAAACAGATCTCTGCACCGGAGAGAACATAATTCGAGCGTCATAAAACATGTACTTCGACATCACGACGAAATGATTTTATAGAATGTTTTTATAAACAAATAGGTAGAGGAAAATTATGAGCATTCCTTCGTATGATCTATATTTCTATTTGAAGATGTTCAGAGCTGAAAGGACGTTTGCTCTGTGCTAAAATGCATGAGTTAACGCCCTTCTTACTCCAAGTACGTCAGTTTAATCAAACCCTCCCATAAGAACACAAGTTTATATATTATGATCGACTTTCATTTATCATCAAGTTATGTAATTAGGAAAACCAAGCTTTATTTATTCATGTTAACCTCTGAAAATGGCATAAAGTGTAACATCTTGGCTATAATTTTTGACAGGCACATTCTTTGAGCTCATTTAATCTTACTAATTAGAATATTTCATTTTTTATTGGCATGGTTTGGTCCGTCTAGAGAAAGTTTGGTCACGTCACGGGCTAAAGGATATTTCATCTGAATCTAATACGACTTATTGCTCATCTAATCATCTCACCTATTTCGCCGTCATCTTGGTAAGTGACCCTATATCTCTATTTTGTCCTACTTAGCTTTGTTCCTAAAGCTCTAAATTGATTTGAAAATATCCCCTTTCCCAGCTAAGTTACGTTTTGATAGGAGGATTAGTGGTCTTTTTGTGGCAGATTTATTATAATCATACTCACTGTTCAAATGTATATCTTGTTGTAATGTTATATTCTCAAACAAAGTTTGATACTTTTGTTGTCTATTATAATGCTGCTGCTGCTGATCATTAAGACGATGATGTTGATGATGATGGTGGTGATGATGATGACAATGTTAATATGGTAGTGATGGGGGTAAGCCCATTGGATAATGTACAGTAATATGATGAGTGAAAAAATGTCAGGTTTTCAACCCACAGTAATGTTGTAAATAGTAATGCACTGTCATCCCAACAAGTTTGGTAGAGATGGTATTGCATTTTACTCAGTAAATAGAGTTGTTTTTTACCTCAAAAATTATTCCAATCGAAATTATGATGCGTTACTCTGTCCATCGAGTGGCTCTAAGCAATCTTTGGGCTAAGTAGGTTCATTTTTGAAGGTTTGATCAAGGATGTCAAATTTGAATTCCGCAGATCACGACTGATTATGCCAAATCTTGCACTTTACCGTTCATATCCATTTTCATCATTCGTTATTTCTTCATTCAAGTTGATTAATGTTTTGCAAGTAAACCCTTCCTTCATGACAAATAGACAAATCAAAAACTTCCTTTCAACTGTATTTTTGGGGACTATAGATTCGTGTAGAGTATTTAATGTGACCTACTAATTATACAGCCAATACACCAAACACGATCAGATATAATATAGTTAGTAGGAAACGTTAGTGAATCCAGGGCATTGATTGAATGTTAAGGTTGATAAGTCAATGGAAACATTTTAATTCCGCCGCGTTTCTCTCATTAATTTCTTGTTAGTATAGAGATTGAGTGCTATTACCATGAGTCGAGATACCGGCGTCGGATTAGATCCCCAGTCAACAATCCCAGTACAATACTGTGGATCATACTTCATTATTAATTAATCACGGAGGTTTGGACGACCATTAGGCATACATCATCGACTATGGTCAGGGTAATTATTGGTTTTCTGCCGCCATGACCCAGGTAAACAGAAAAAAGGCCTGAAAGAGTAAATGGTTATCGCCTTTCATTACTGCACGGCACTGTTGCTGTCATGGTTATCCGTCGAACGCTTGCGTATAGTACATGTAGGTGTAGGACTGCAACAAAATATAAACGAAATATTGATAAGGCCTCTTTTGCGACATCCAACTGCAACTAAATTTCCGATATCCACCTGCAACTAAATTTCCATTCTCCGTTGCAAAATTGTCTGCTATCTCTTCATCACTCGTTGATACATATCGTCATTTTATCATTTAAACTAAATCTCGATTATTTGCCATTATCATCACTCCCCTATATCACTTTTTGAAACAAAACGGGCAATGTAAAACAGATATATTCCATCATATTTCCATTGAGTACTAAACTTTTTTAATATATCTTCTTCTTTTCGCAGATAATGTTGCGGTGAAAAATTATTCTCTCTCTATCTCTCTCTCTCTATCTCTCTCTCTTTCTCTCTTTCTCTCTTTCTCTCTCTTTCACTGTCCATCCCCGTCGCTATCCCTCCCACTAATTCACTCTTTCCATCTCATCTCTTTCCTTCTTTCTGCCTGTCTAGGGGAGACCGAAATAAATCCTTTGGAATACAATTATTTATTCTCATCTTAATCTCTTATCCTAATTTTTTGGTCTAATTTTATTTCAATTGCCTTATGCATGCATATCTATTTACTTGTAATCTTAAGCAGGACGAGACAAGTTCGTTTTCTTAAAATGTCACCAGTAAAAAAAGAAATCCGTCTTTGATATAAAACCGAAATTCATAATCCTGCTAGATGTCCAAATGTCAATAGTTCAAGAAATCCAAGTTTATTAACTTCTTATTTTATTATCTGTATTGCATCTAAATAAGGGGGAAGATGGATCTATTTTTGTATTGCGAAAGTGCAGCGCTAGAAATTTGACGGATACTAATTCTGAAACAGATTACGGGTTGATAGCATATCTGATTTCGCAGATTATTATCCATCAAGGGCAGAGTACGACATGATAGTCATATACTAAATAACTCCGGGAAACGGCTTATATCTGTAATCTTTAGCATCTTCAAGAAAACGTATATGAGGAGGTCCACCGATATTTGAATAAACATTAACCATTCCAACCAGTTGCAGCTTTTTTTTTAGAGAGAGAGAGAGAGAGAGAGAAATCCCTTCTTGAAGAAAGTTTTATCTTAAAAAGATCAGGTTACCAGTGCAATCTTGAGGTCCGGTCGCACATCACATTAAATGTATGAAGATAATGATAACTATGACTACAAAATGGGTCTACGGGACAAACAGGTATTGGATATCGGCATTGCCTACCGACTGTATGCTATAAAGTGCCTCCATAAATAATTATTTATTTTAACTGACTGCTAATAATCAAGTACATGCTTGTAAACAGGCAACCAGTGGATTGACGGATTAAATTCCTCTCCGAGGGACTTGGTAATCGAGGGTCAAAGCCGAATCAAAGAGGGCACTTGCGCCTCGACTTGTTTTCGAAACCGGGACCTCCCGGTTACGATGCCACTGACCTACGTGTACCACTGAGACTTGGCGCCTCGGATAAAAATACTTTTCCTGCATATATAGACCGCTTTTAGTATATAGTTATCGGTATCCATGTACTCAATAGTAATAACCCTTGAGTATCACATAACTCGTGGATACAGCTTATTTTGGTGTATACGTTTCATGTAAATTACCTCTCCACTCTCCAAAATGGACTTGCAAATGTTAACCTGAGCATGGGAGAACAAACATCACTGTTTTATAACTGGGTTGTTTAAATGTCGATTCTGGCTGTAGTATTTGAGTCATCAATAAGAAAAGAGCGATTATGAAGCGTCTAAAGCAAAGAATAATCTATTTTAGAGCGCTAAATGTAGCGAAGAATGTGCAGTTTGGTGATTTCTATCAATTAATGTTATTGTGTACACGATCTGTGCACACACGGGTCACGGTTGTAATGTGGATTGGCACCCTGCGTCTGCGAGGATGCATGACTTATGTAATTATAGCAGAACATAACATAACAATACCATGAATTTCGATTACAATCATTGCTCCCGCAATTTGATACCGAAATGAGACAGCAACGAAACAAATATGCATGATAATGCGAAACATTACACTCACTTTTTACACCAATATTCTAATTCCTCACAGTGCACTGTAAAAATAAAAAAAAATAAAGTTCCCATTTTCCCATGTTGATGTATTAGGAATAGAGAACTCTCTACATTTCTTAACACTCCAAACAGCGGGTTTCATGCCTGATTAATCAGAGGTGCTATCAAGAATGAAAGATAATGTAAAAACAATATATGATTCATTAGTGAAAGGTTGGTGAAATTTCGGAGTATACTTATACATTAAATCTTAAAAATACGGGCATACTATACAATCAATGTTCATTAGAATATCAAGGTCATTAGGATTGGCAGTCCAACAAAACAACCTTGCTTTTCATTAGTCTTTGTTATTTACAATATATGATCCATTAGTGAAAGGTTGGTGAAATATTGGAGTAAACATTTATACATTAAATCTTAACAGTATTCGCACTCTACACAATCGATGTACATTAAAAGAGCATGTTAATTTTGATTGGCAACCTAACAAACAACCTTGTTTGCCATTAGTCTTTGTGATTTGTTATCATAGATGTAGGTTAATATTGGGAGCGCAGTATATTTTCATTACCATCTAACTAATGCAATTAATACTTAAATGTTATGTCCTCTAAATATGTTTGTATGAGCTCAAGGATTACATTGGAAATGAGAGCATGATGTTAAAAGATGTATAGCAGAAATAGTTAAATCACCATAGCTAATAGCTAATGGAAGCCAAGTTCAACAGCTTGTTTTGGATTCTCTGAATGGCGGTTGTGTAATATTATGTTTATTTTGTGATGAAAAAAACAATTGTAGTACATCAAATGTCGATCAGACAAGTGGCGTTCGGCCGGCCGCCCCCCCCCCTCTCCCCCTTTCTCTCCCGCCCATCTCCCCGTTCTCTCTCTCTCTCTCTCTCTCCCTCTCCCTCCTCTCGTTCCCCTTCTCTGTCTCTTATCTGTGAACTTACCGTTTAGTTTATCAGATGATAAGTCTACACTAGTCACAGTTATATTCAGAACTAAAGAACTATATTTGCTAGCGGATGTATGGACGACGGTGTAAAAATTAATTCAAATATTACATAAAAACATGAGTCACCTACATATATATAAAAAAATTCATATCAGAAATCATTGTCCCTTCTTAGTTTGAATGAATTCATATAAAATGTGTATTTTACTTTCTGAAATGCTATGTATGATATGCTAAAGTTGCCTTGTATGGTTTAAAAAAAAGATATTTATTGAAGAATGAATGAAAACTGGATTGATCCGAAATAGAAACAATCAACAAAGTTAATTTAATCGAAGAAATTATGCGCTTCTGCACAAATCTTTTTTTCCTTTATTAGTTAGAAATCAAATTATTAATATTATTATTTTTCATTTTATTTTTATTCAGGACACTGGGTATTCTGAGGCGATCCCTGAGGAGCACCATCTCCCTCTTCAGATCATCTCTCATCTAGGTACTGCGTGCTCCATGTTTGGACTGGTCGCTACTATCATCACCTACTCCATCTTCAGGTAGTTTATATGATAGTTCTATATGGTTTATACTCATATCTCCCTCCGTCTTCTGGTTTGTAGGTAATATCATTACTTATTCTTCAAGTAAGTTTATATGACAGTTATATAATTATGGTTTATATTCATAATCTTGCTCCGTCTGCTGGTCTATCGCTACTATCATCAACTACTCCATCTTTAAGTAATGTTATACCACAGCTCAGTCGTTTACATTCGTCTCCATGTGCCGATAAATAATGTGAGGATCCACCAAAGTTCCCATCCTTGAAAAATTATACTGGCATTGTTTTGTGTATAATAATGTTTTCCATTCTCCATTTTCCCTTTTCATCCAATCTCTGAGGATATTACGGTACTGTTTATTTTATCTAGCGATTATCTTGTTGAATGGTTTGTAGTAAGCAATTACTGCTTTTTTTCTCGTATGAGAGTATAGAGAATACCTATATATAAAACAAACAAGCAAACAAAAACAAACAAAACTAAGCCAAATGTCAGCACCTAGGTATCCTTGAGTTATCATATCGCATATGAGGTTTATGTGGACATCAACATGCGGTCACAGTGAGGAACGTTTGGATGAAATCTCCAAACCGCCAAGTCAAACCAAACCAAAAGTCGTGGTCTTTCATTAGGTTTACTGAGCTGCTAGAGAGGCGACAAAGGTATAAATATTCGTCTTAATCACGCTCTATTAGTTTGGGAACATCAAATTAATCAGTCTCAAGGTATAATGGGGCAGTGTATTTTATTCATTCTAAGGGTGAATGGTGTCTTTTATGCGATTTAAATTTTGGGAAAGAAAAATATTACTCGAAAGCCGATCTAAATGTCATCAAAGGAGCCAAAAGTAAGAATGTGGATTATTTCATTTCATTTTATTTCAATATGGAGGCCTTTGCTTCAGCCATATGGCTGTTCTTCGGCAAGTCCGTCATCACGTGACAGATCAACTATAGCGTTCCGCACAATAATTATTTTGATCTGGTATCATGAAATCGGTTGAAAAATTCGTTTGTGAAGTATTCAGTGGTTCCGAGCTTAATCTGTATCCCATGGAACTCCCAATTGACTCACATTAACATTTTGTTCTAAAACATAGCTTAAATGAAGACATATTAATATGTGCGAAATCATTGGATAGCACAATGCATATTCAGATTCTTTTGAAATCTGAAAATTATTTGTATAAAAATTAACTCTTTTGAAATCTAAGTTTGTTGACCTCTACAGAAATTATGCTGCCTCAATACACATTTGTGTTTTGGATAGACAGCTGTCAATGAAGGCACGTATACAGCCATGGTCAAATGGTCAATACTATGATTCCTATCTACTAGGTCAGGACTGGTCAGGACTTAAAATGTCTAACTCATATTTCCTTTTAAAGTAACACCAGAATCTAAAGTGTAGAAAATAATAATTGCAAGTATAAAAACAGTTCCAATTTGAGAACTACCCTTATTTTATAATATTTATCCTATTTAATTATCATTATATGTGAATAAAACAATTTTTCAAGTAATGAGTTTACGCACTAAGTAGGTCATTAGCGAATTGGCAACGTCACTTGAATAGGAATCCTTTAGGGCACGGACGGTTGCTGACTATACTGACGTCATTTATATGAATCAATCATGATAGAAAAATAACAAAATGAAAACCGTGATTGCAAAGCGCTTACCACCGAAGTCTCTATTAAAGCGCTATAAACAAACCAAATACAATGATAGACAATTACATATTATACAAAACTAAAAATTACAAATAAACCTACAAATAACAGTACATATGAAATATACATCAATGTGAACAGAGTAAGTTCATCATTAAAAGCAATTTTGAATAAATTTGTCAGATACTTTGGCTGAAGGAACACATAACCGTGATATCACAAAATCCGAGAAAGGCATGGGTTTTAAATAGCAACTTACATTATGTTGGCTATTGATAATGTAAAAAAAGCAAAACCCACAATACAAAGCGAACACCCATTGCCCTGCCCTTGCAATTTCAACGAAAAGCCTACATTACAACGCCACAATATGGCGACTAAAAGCGTGTGTTTTATTACATTTGTGATAATGTGCTTGCAAATGGTTCTTCATTTGGTTACTATTCATTGTAATAATTAAATTACTTCAAATGCAATCGATTTTTGGAAGATTGGTAAATAGATCCAGGAATTCCACTTAATTCAAAAGCAGTTTTATATTCATTATTAATTGCAATATTGATCTTTTTTGTACGCATATACCAAGAAAAAAATAAAATAAAACACTCTTCTCGTAAATCGTTAAAAAAAACTCGGTTTCTTTTAATTATAAAAATTGTGATAATTGTATTACTTTTGTACAAATTTTTTGATACAATCCTTTATTCAGTCAGGTAAATAATTAATATATATGTATATCGTTTTCCTAAGATATACTCTAGTAGAGTGCCATTTAATCACGATATTTTAATCATCGAAATCTACTTTTGTATCCGATCGGAGTGAGAGTGCTTCGTAAAATTTTCTCCTATCAAAGCAAACAAAAGGAAATTGCGACTGCTCCATTTTATAAAAAAAAGACTAACCCCAGTCAATCACATCGTAATTAAACCTAATACGGGTGAGAAAAATGACCTTGAACTATTAATGGCGAGATTTCTTACATGGTAAAGAATCGGTTAAGAAATTCTCAAAGCAGTAAATAGGAGATGATCAATTTGAGAATGGAAAATGAAAAGGCGATTTTGATTCATGAATCAACTCTGATCCATCTTGACCCGTAGTATCAGTTGTGTATCCATACGTATTAATTGCACTTCGCCCGTGATAATAGAAAAGAAATCACCCCTCATAGATGGAGCTTGGTTGGACACATACTTAACATCGTGCTGGGCAATTTTTTACCCAATATTTTGTAAGTGTTACGGGATCAAACACATCGGATTTCTTTTAAAATTAAAACTCACAGGCATACACCTTGATAAATCTCAACATAAACAAAAATAGTGTTTTTCTTGTATTATAAGTCTATAAAACATAAAGAAAAATGTTATCAGGACAGGACTAAATGGGATTAGGAGATGAAAGGTGAGGGTAGTTTCCAAATTTATATCAAAATGTGGATAAAATACATTTTCAATGGTTTATAACATGAGTTATAGATGAGATTAGAAACTCAATTATAGGAAAATATTGAGGACACACAAAATCATATAATGATAGACTGTCTTTCTTTGCATTGTCTATTTCAATCTGTTCATAACATGTATTGAGGAGATTGGAGGGAAAACTCCCTGTGTGGATCAATCGAACTTGTCCATTATTCATCCATTCATTTATTGCCAAAAATTCAATTTACATTGCATTTCTGCATGACAATACTTATACATTTGGTAATCGGAGCCAACAAACAGCAAGAGCATATGTCAAGGTTGACCCCGTTCGATACGCCATAATTATTTTATGGCAATAAAATCAATTACTAAAAAAAAAGTAGAATACGAAGTATGACAATAATTATAATGACCATTTTGATAACAAAAACCCTACTGGTTTTTTGTTTTAAAAAGCAAGACACAAAAAATCGACAGCATCGTACAGACAGGAAGACTAATCCATTGAAATTCATGAGCAAGGCATTTTTCATTTTGGGGGACATTGAAGCTTTGTTATGACGCAATATCGGTCTGTCATCGATATCGTGGGTGTAACTGGCGCAAGCTAAGATGCGTGTTGAATTCTTTTATCGCAATTTTGGTCACAGTTTTGCTTCATTTGGTATAATGGATGATTACTCCCTATGACGGAAATAAAGCCTTGTTCATGAAGTCATCCATCGCATTTCGAATGGTAATCATGATTGATGTGATGGATTTTATAGCCCGAAGATTATCTGAACTAAGTAGTTTTTGCACCTGTCGTGACAATGTTAAAGTTAACGATGAAAACACGATTTATCAAATTGGAACTATTGTAAGTGCTCTAATTATGAGGGTTGAAGAAATCAATTAAGAAACAAGAAGCTAAAACTTATAACGTCAGGTCATCATTCTGTACAACAACAAAAATGCGACTGTGCCTTATATCATGAGCGATATTTCTGGTCTTATCGAGACGGTACTTTATTCATGATAGTAAATTCATGTGATTTAAAACACGTCATTTTGCTCTCCATACGTTGTTGAATGACTCGGCTTGTTGAGACACACAACGTGTAATAAGACAGTGGGGACAATCATTATAAAGAAATAATGTCCATATATTCCAAATGCAATTTATTTCGACAGAAATATACAGGCTTTATTTCAGAAAAGAATCACAAAGAAATATATATCTCGACCGTGCTTTTTAATCTGAAAAAATGAGCTCTTTTTAAAGCGCTGTGCAATAACACATTCGTCATCGTCACCATAGTGATATAAATTAATGAGTTATATTCTAGAGGGCCTGTTAGTAGAACAAGGTTGGTTAACAATTGATAGTTTTTTTTATCACACAAAGTGATCATATTTCTTCTTTTGGCGTTAAAACCACTGTAATTTAGTTGATTATATTTGAAACATTTCATTTCTCACGGCCCTAGTTTTCTTTTCGTTTTTCCAGGGTGAGTAAACCTCGCCGCAAACCTATACACTTCTCTTTAAAACATCCATCCAGGCAAACCAACTCCTAAAATTACATTTTTCCTCTGGCTCATCGCCTTTCCTCTTTATCTACATCTCACATCAAGTAAACTGTACACGTGACCCAGTTATGCCAACGAGCCTAGAGGGTTTTTGACGAAACAAAATAGGACTATTTTCGAGTTGTCACAAAAGTGAATACCTTCTGTCATACTTCACAATCACACTAATGATACATGGCAATATGACGTACATACCAAACATCTTAACCTCATTTTTCCTCGTCATGTATGCACTGGCGGATTTAGGGGAGTGGCGGTTCCGATCAGTACCCCCCTTTTTTTTAAAGCCAATATGACTTACTTTAGGAACACAAAAGAAAAGTTGTACCCCCTCCTTTCAAACTTTGGATCCGAATTCAATTTGATGTTTACCTTCTGCTTCTATAAGATCTTTCGTGCAAACGTGGTAAGTAACCACCTAAAATTGTGACACCCCCTTTTTATAGCAAACACCTGGATCCGCCCGATGTCTTTATGATTTGAATGTTTCATTGGATAAATATGCCTTTCATTTTTTGTTCCATTAGAATCTTGCGGCGCACGTCCTCGGGTAAGATCCTCATCCATCTCAGCACCTCCCTCCTCGCCCTCAACATCACCTTTGTTATTGACACCATCTCCAAGGTAACAGACACCAGACTGGGCTGCAAGATAACCGCCATGTTACTGCAATACTTCGTCTTAACCACGTTTCTATGGATGGGCATGGAGGCAGTCAATATGTACCGTACCTTGGTTCAAGTTTTCCAGAAAAAAAGCGCCACACATTTTGTCTTAAAGGGAGCGGTGATAGCTTGGGGTGAGACCAATTTGATATTGTTTCTGATTATGCATGTGTTTTAATGTTCGTTTTTCTCCGTTTGTTTGTTTTGTTTTGCCTGTTTTTTCTTCTCTTTCTTAATAAATTATGAGGCTTAGCTGCAATCATTCAGACAGAGCTTGTGATTGAGTCTCAGGTAACTGTTATGAAAACATAATTTTAGAAAAATTTAAAGATGTGCAACAAGTGTAATAATTTGTTGTGCTTTGTTGCTTTAAAATAGCAAAAGCGAAAAATAAGAAATTTCTCGCTTACGTCTCTTAGATTATTTAATCCATTATTTGTATTACTTTGTCTTTTAAAGCAAAGTTTGAGATCTGGTAAAGGTTAAAAATAATTCGTGAGGTTTCTAATTTTGTTGTCAGTTTGGAAAATATCCCCTGAAAAGTATTGTCCTTCAAATGTTATCATATTCTGAACATGACGTGAAATAGTTAAAATGTTTAGACACGTGTGTGTGGGGTGCGTGTGTGTGTTACTGTGGGTGTGTGTGTGCGTGCGTGTCTGTGTAGTGCCATATACTCGTTTCTTGGTGCAGTCCATGTGATTGAGGCTGACCCAATACCTTTTCAGTTCGATCCTCCAAAAACCTCACAGTATACAAAATACCTCATATCATGTACTACATACATAATCAGCCGTTCCCAATTACTTCCAAACAGTTTCTCTTACAACTTATTGCATTACCACTCAACTTATCTTTTAGGGAGATTAATACGAATGAGTCTTATACCCGGGTCTTATAATATGAGGCTGACCCAATACCTTTTCATTTCGATCCTTCCAAAAACCTCACAGTATGTACAAAATACCTCGTATTATAAACTACAATGAACCGTTCCCAATTACTTCTAAAAAAGTTTCTCTAGCAACTTATTTCATGGCCAGCTTTCAACTTATCTTTCAGGGAGATTAATAAGAATGAGTCTTAATAATATCAATGTTGTTTCTTAACAATGATGTCCATGGTGTGATTATCTTTGAGCATAATGTCAAATTTCTTTTATGCTTTATTGTCTTGTACGCATGAAAAAAATCCATATAAATCTTAATTTTTAAAAAAAGTCAAGACTTCCTAAATTAGCGAATCTGAGGATTCTGTTGTCATCCTTCGTATTAGGTGTATTGTGCATTGTCCTAATAACGCGTAATATTCAAACTTCTTGTCAAATTAGAAATAAAGGAAAACAAAACTCTCTTCATATTACATACGTCTGAGTATTCTGTAACCATACTCCGCATTGGGTGTAAGATGCATTGTCTTAAAGCTTAATATTTCCTAATATTTCCGTGGACTAATTAATGTTCTTTTTGCCATAGGCTTGAATACAGGGACCACCCGGTTTCGCATCAAATTTGAAATAGAAGAAGACGAAGCTTTTTCACACATACGTATGTCTGAGGATACTGTTACAACACTCTTGTATCGGGTATACAGAACTTGATCATGGAATGTTACCCAGAGACTCATTTTCTCTTGCTCTTACAGGACTGCCGGTTGTACCTATTGTCATCACCGCAACGCTGGATATTGATCTCTATCGGAAGATACCCCTCAATGAGATGTGAGTAGCTCTCACTTTTGTTTCCTTCTAATTTGGCGCCGACATTACTTCAAGATAGTTGATCCTTTTCTCTCCCCCGTCCATATTCTTTACTCTAGAATGTCAAAACCTCAATTGTGTCATTTCCCTGAATGTTGAAGGGACAACTTTTAGAATAATGATCTTTTGAGTAATTCGAGGAGAACACACGTCCAGTTCTCAACGGGTACTCACTATGTATTGATCAGTTCTTTTTCTGATGTTCGCGTTTCACATGTCACGTGACTAGTGATGATTTGTTTTGTTTTGTTTTGTTAAAACATTTCAGGTGTTTGCTTTTAACATTCAACTTCAATCAAGGATCAAAGGGATGGTTAATCAATAATTTCCTTCATTAAAACAAATGAAAACAAGAACAGAACATCCCGTCGTGATGAAGATAGTGTTTCACACTTTCTCAAATATCATTTGTCTTACCATGTGAAATCAACAGTTTGTCAAAACTTCTAAATAATCTTCGTAGAAAATCAGCTATTTTATATAGAGATTTATATTACGTTGTATTATAAAGGAGTCGTATCCAGGCCCATCCAAATCACATTGTAAATGTTCAGGGACTAAATACTACTATGTACAGGATATGACATAAGTGACTATAGATTTGCACGACGAGAACGTGGACAGCTACGTGTGACATCCTTTTAAGGCAATGTGACGTCCTTTCATTGCCAGTGCCTTAAAGGGACGTCACATTGCCTTAAAAGGATGTCACACGTTGCAGTCCACGTTCTCGTCGTGCAAATCTAAAGGTCCCTATTCTCTGCCACTGGCCGACGTAATTTTTTAATTAATTTCTTTGTTTCGTTCACAGATGTATGCTCTCCACGTCAAATTCTTTTGCGTACTACGGTGGCTACCTCGGTCCGTGCTGCGTGCTTCTCGTGGCAAACTTCATAGTATTTTCCATGATTCTCCGTACAGTGTGCGCATCTAAGAAGGATCTGCGTCAGCGCAGCATTCGCGTCCGTCGCACACAGATCGGCTGCGCGTTTAGCGTGACTTTCCTCTTGGGCATCACCTGGGTTCTAGGTTTCTTCGCCATCCAGGGCACAACCCTAGTATTCACCTACCTGGTATGCATTATCAATCCGCTCCAGGGCTTCTTTATATTCCTGTTCCGTTGCGCCCTCTACCCTGAGGCCTTACGATCTTGGACCATCTGTTGCACGAAGCACACGACCAACGTGGAGAAGCAGCAGCGCAGTTCATCTCAGGCCATGGGTCGCGGGAACACCATCAGCTCAGGGGGCAAGATGGCAAATGGCAAGAAGTACCGCAGAGACGCCGAGAAGCTGATCAGCGGCAGAAGTGGCTCGACGTCGAGTTGCAAGAGGAATTCGGAGTGCGCCATCACGAAAGTAACGGATATGACGTCGGTCCATTTCTTTGGCGGGTTGAAACATGAGAGTGTTGTTAATGTCAACTCGAACAATAGCAACCGACGTACTGACATACGATTCATCAACATCAAGGTCAATGATAGCAAAAGTGAGATCAGAACCTGCTAGGTTTGTATTTCATCAACAAGCAATGGAAATGCTTTAAATCTTGATCAAATTGATCGAAAGTCAAATAAATGAAAGCAAAGTTACAATCGCTTTTATGCAGAGTTGCGATTGATATCAATGTCAAGTAAAGTTTCCATTGGTTCGAAACACGAGCAACTGTTGTAATACGGGGCCCTGAATGGCAGCATAATATTATTTTTTATGTTTTCGTTATCATTTCATGAGATTATGAGATCAATATGGATGTCCCGTTTCATATGGGAAAAGCAGTCATTTTAGGGAAGGGAAGATACGTAGTCTTAAACAACAAAAGAGCCGTTAATATGTGGCAAATTCAAAGAAGATACTACTTTTTGTCATCAGGTAATTCTGTGCTCTCAAAAAGTTCCAGAAACATGTTCCCATGCATGCAATCTGAAAAATTCGAGGATTCGCTTCTACTAGCGTTTTCATAAATATCAGAGGGAAATACCTATTGTAAAAATGCAGATACTCTAGTGAGGTCTATACTTCAATGGAGTTATTCGAAGGTTGTTGTCCAGATAAACATATAATGTTTCAAGAGTGCAGTCGTATTCATTATCTGAAAAAGACACATCTAAATGAAAAAAAGAAAAAATTCCCGACCAAACGTCATTTCGCGAGCGTGTAACGCTATTCATCTTTTAATGAGGCCATTGGTATATTCACGTTCAATGAGAAATATTGTGTTGATTAAAATACTTTCCGTCATGATATGGAAAGCGTATATTCTGACAAAGCACCTGCTAATTGAATGTCTATTGCACACAGGACGTCATGATTGCCTTATTACTTGTGCAAATCAAGCCCATGAATGAAAATTTAGCCCCAAATGCGAATAAAGCCCGTCGCACGCTATTCGGCTTACTTCGAATCATCGGATCATCGCGTTCGGTCGGGTGGTCGAGTTACACGACCTTTCGTGAAATGAAAGCGGAAATGACGCGAACCTTCGTAGACTTGCTGTAGGGTGTTCACATAGTGTCGGACCAGACTATAGATTGAACCAGACCATTTGTAGACATTTTGAGAATAAAGGGACAAGTTTTCACAAAAGGTCGAGTAACGCGACCACGTATTACCTGTCGCGATGATTCGAACTTCGAAATAATTAAGCCCGTTATTCAATCCTTCTGGAAAAAGATATAAGATCGTAAAATATGCGGTGTGCTGATTGCAACTCAATGTTTGCTCTGCTCATTAAGCAATCATTGTAATGTACCATCTCACTCTCACATGAAGAGTCAGATTCTGCCTACACCGTACTACGTGAGCCAAAATAATGACGCGTTGTGCGCAAGAGAATGAAATTAATGATTGCACTGAATGTAATTATATTTGCCTTACAAATGAATACGGTTTGTGCTGCATGCAAAAATGTAAAAGCGACGTAAAAAGATTTTTCGCATTTTATAAGTCGATATAACGAAGAAATTGTATGTGTCGTTTATGTATATACAGTAATTATCGTAATGTAGATTTTGACAACATTAACAATATTTTAAGAGATTACAAGAGTTGAAATAGCAGGGATCCCATGGCCATGGAAAAACATAGAAAGTCATAGAAAATAGATTCTTCTGGAAAGCAATAAAAAATTATGAGGAGAGGCGGAGGCCATCATAAACATGTAATATTATACTGTGTGGTATTAGTACGTCGCTTGAATGCCGCAACCCATACCAGAATGGTACTTATCTTTTCATGGCCACAGGCAATACAAGGGTTATGGAAAGTCATGGAATTGGATCTCATATTTCTATGGGAACCTTGAATAGGTATGTTTGAGAATACAACAAAAGGGAAGCATTTTTGTGACGTCCGCTTATTTCTACCCTTTTCTGAACATTTCACTATTACACGTCTTAGCAAACGGTATGTATGAATAGATCTATTTAATATAAAAAGAAATATGAGATAAGGTCATTCATTCATAGCTGGCTATTGTGAATAAAGACCTATGTATATTTATTGTCCTGATATAAGTTGTATAGATATATTGTATGTTCATGTAAATATCACAATACATATCATTGTAATATGTAATATGTCTTGACGCCACCTAAGATACATGCCTTGCCTCGGTGTACAGCTTTTTATATATTTTGATGCAATGCGACAACTATATTTTTACTTTGGCTATCAGTCTTGTAGGCGATGTATATGCGTGTAATTTGTTGTATCGTTTGGTTGTGTTAAAATGCACCTGTTGTACTGTATGGAAATATACATAATTGTCCTTAAAGATGAAATATTTGTTTCTTACCTCTTTTTTTAAATGAGTGTGTCAATACGATTTATGCTTGAAAGATGTAGTGTATGTCTTCTTAGAACTTCATCTATTATCCCAAACAGTCGTAGAAATTGACCAATAAAGTTCTGAGAAGTTATAAAGTTTATCTATCAAGAATAAACCATATTGTCACAATTATTTCATTAAAAGAAAGAAAATAATTCCAACTTTAAGGGCAACAATGTTATGTCGAAAATCTCCATTAAAAAACATTGTTTGTTATATGACTGGTACTTCACTGTAGATTTAGTGAGCCGTCACCCTATTTTGTATATCACGGAGACAGAGGATATTTCTATGCTGTATTGAATGACACAAATTATATTCAAGCAAATTCTAATCTGTCATTGTTCTGTTTTTTTTCTTCTGGTTTGAATATAATGAGTTCATTGACAGGGTGATTAGATGACGGGGGAAGTTTTGGTTGATTGATGGATTCATTAATTATTTTAAATTAATTGGTTGATTGATTACTTATCTGCTTGATTGATTGGTATGCTGATTGATTCCTGTGGTTTGATGAATCGATGGATTGATTGGCTTATTGCTTATTTTTTCATGGGTAGACTGATTAATTGCGTGTTCTTTCATCGATATGTTGATAAATTGAGTGATTGATTGATTGTTTGGCTGACTGATTGCTTGTTCTGTTATTGATATTTTGATAAATTATTGAGAGGTGATTGAAAAATCGGCTGATTGGTTGCTAGTTCTTCCAATGAATTTGTATTAATTGAGTGATTGATTACTTGTTCTTTTATTGATATTTTGATCAATCGAGTCATTGATTGATTATTGCCTATTGATTGATTGTTTGTTCTTTCAATGATATTTTGATAAATTGAGTGATTGATTGATTAATTGGCTGGTTGACTGCTTGTTCTGTTATTGATGAATTAATTGATTTATTCATTTATCAATTGGCTAATTTACACTATTAGTTCTTCTGTGTATATCATTATATATTGATTATTATCCGATTGCATATTTGATTGTTGAATTGATAAGTGGATTGATATACAGACTAACTGACTGATTGCATTATTGATGAATTATCTATTTGATTCGATTTTTGATTGATTGATGAATTGATGAATCGGATAAAATTCTAAACATTAAGTCCACACTATTCCCTCTAATGGAGACAAAGACAACAATGACACAAATGGAGTTAATTTCGAGCAATTTAATTGCTAAAGTAATCATGGATTGCGTAAATCGTTTCGTTGAAAAATCACAGAACTACAATGTCAAGGCAAGAAGACGCTTTTTACTACACACCCTGCTTTCATAAAATCATATAAACACACTGAAAATTGCCAAGAGCATTTCGTCAAATTTCGGCCAAATTTGTTAAAATGGCAACAAATCCATACACAAGTAAATGTTACGAACGAAAATCTAATGTTAACACAAATTATCTTAAATTCCCGCATATACGGTCAATGCCGTTAAAAAGAGCTAACAACATATCTAGTCTTACTCTGTTAATTCTTTAAAAATTTGTTTTCGAATTTTTCTACAGAAATGTTGTAACTTTAAAAGTAATATTGGACGATTTTGCATCAGCTTGCTTTCTTCTGTATACAAGTATACTAAGTATTGAAAAAAATACATGTATCCCATTCAAATTTATACGAACATTCGTATGTTGATATGACTAATCGAACAAAAATTACTGACAATATATTATTATAGCACGTAATCGGTTGTCAACAGCTTTGTTACTTGAAATGACATTGCACACGACACCAACGTCAAGTTTTTACAGACACAGCCTTTTTTGCAAAACAATATAGTCACACATAAAAAATCATGCAAAATTAATTACTATTAAAACCGTGATTTTAGCGGACATTATCATCAACAAATGTACCTGCTTAATAAATGGACACGTCATATGCACATCAAAAGACTTGTTAAAACATTACAAAATGCCTTCTCACGAAATCACATATTTCGTAGAGCTATGTGAGATGACAGTGGTTATCGCATAACCTTTAACACTCGAACAGATAAAGAGAATTTTTAAATTTCTTTGAAAGTTTGCACAAACCGAACATAACAACACAAAATGCTTGCACAAAACCAAATTTGAAATGAAGAGATAGAGATAGGACACACTCATTGAAAGACAAAACGCACATAAATGCAAATTTATGAACTCACAACTATTAGTTCAGTCATTTACAACCAAAATTATTTTTAAAAAAACATCCACATGGCTTTATAGAATATACACGAGATAGTGACTAAATCATAGTTAACGAGTTGAAAATAGAGGTTTTATAATGTACAAACTCGTTAAAACTACATGTTTAGCTTTTGTGTATCAATGTGTCACCACTGAGCAAAAAGAACGTATAGGCCTATTGTTGCGTTACATATAAATACCGAGAAAGTGGTGCAATTTTAACAGCGGGTTAACGCTGGCGTTGAATAGTTCATGAGCTGTGTGTAAACAGATTCAATATGAGACTAATATTTACAGTTTTAATACAATTTTTACAAGTTAAAAAATCAGTCAAACATTATCAATACTGTACAAATCGGCTGTTATCTACGAATAAAAGTAAAAGAGGTCTAAATCAAGCTGAAAAGGGTCTATACTTTAAAAGCTCATTTTTAAGATATAAAGTTATACGTTATGTATTTCAGCTGCGTATTGAAAGTGATGATATAAATATTTTTGTTCATCATATATAATAACATAATTTACTATTAGACCTCAGGCCCGTCAGATCCGTTGAATCAGTTGTCTCTTCCAAGAATTCCAATTACACAACTACTCCTTCGATTCGATGTAATAAACTTTGAATATTCCAAGAGTCATCAAACCTTATTTTGTTGAATATAATTTTGTCAGGATCATCACGTTCATGGTTTTTGGACTCTTGAGGCAGAGTTTGGTGGCTGAGGACGGATTTTGATACCTGACATCTTGCTGATGATATTCGGTAACCTGCGATGGGAAGGGAACGAAAAATGAAGAAGACACGTCGAAAGTGAGAAAAACAATGGGGACATTGAAAGAAAACGTAGAGGATTTTGTCAACCAACTTGTTGAGAAGTAGAATGTCTACAAAATAAACATCAGGTAGGTAGGGGTTATCTAACTTGCATTAAATTAATCAATAGCTGCACAACTTTTAATATTAACCTCCCCTAAAAGTGTTACTCTGCCCCCCCCCCCACCACCACTTTCAGAATCATGGATCCGACCCTAGTCTAATGGAATTTTTGCTTCCTACCATGATAGTGAGGCACAAGATATAGACGCCAGAGGATTTTCTGTCCCAGGTCCTCTGGCTACTATAAACTATAGTCATATACATTGGACCTACTTTGTACTGGTCCGACTGAGTAAGGCTTTCCTCATGGCTGATGACGGCAGACCACGTGATGACATGCTCTGATGGAGTACGTGGTAGGTACGATTCAGTGGCAAGCCTGTCATGGATTAAAAAATATATGAAGATATGTATCGTTAATAAAAGAAAAGAGAAAGGTTGGCTTAAGAGTTTATAGTTATTATATTCGTTACCTCGAAGTTATCTTCGGAAGATAAGAATTGTTGACATAGGGATCGAGTTGAATAATGTTTGAATCTTAAAACAATGGCATACCTCTAACATCGGCATCTATACTAACTATAGCTTCTTTTAGGATCATAGCAGGGTATAACAGAAACAATTCACCTGTACGCATAGTTTGGAAGTAATACTTTATGAAAATGTAGGAATTCAAGCTTACTGACCTATCGGATTCATATCTCGCTGGACTTCGGCGGATGGTTTGTTGTATTTCTCAGCGAAGTCGAACGGGTTGTCGATGATGTTATCATGCATTGAGAGAAAGAGAGGAATGTAGGCCATGTAATCCAAGAAAGATACCTGTAAAAAGGAAGGGCATGATCATTTGGCATATCTTGTGCTTATACCAAAAGTAGCCGGATGACTAGGCAGTCAATTTTCAATATCTCAAGAGTTTGCGAAAAGTACCCGATGACCGTGCAGTAAATTTTCATTCTTGTTTAACGTAGGAAAAGTCTGTTGAACAATGAAAGGCATGTCTAAACCTTTAGGGGTTCTCAATTCTAGATATTAAATCTTCCAATAATGCTCTAATAATAAATTGTGACTTTGAATCACGTAGCCTCTCGCACAAAGAGTTCAATTCAAACGCAGCCCCCCTCCCCCCCCCCCCTCCCCCCAAAAGGGACACGACTTTACATTCAGTCAGTCAGGAACGTTTAGGACTTGTGATTGAACGCAACGTTTAAGATAAAAAGGTAGCATGGGTTACATTTTATTCTCCACAAAGTTTTTAAAATTAAATATGTATTTGAAGATCCAATGTTTCATTCATAATATTTGAATCGTAAAAGATCTTTATCCTGAGACACAAAGATTGGTAAATTCGCTGTGACATTTTTTTCAGGCTGATCCTATTTTCTAAGAAATGCAAGATGAATAACAGATTCGCATGATCATGATTGTTGTCATTGAAATCATTCAAATAAAAGTCTAAAGAGGAGAATGTCATACCGTATTGTATTCACTTGGGTTCATCTTACTGATGATGTATTCTTCTTGGGTGCGATTAAGACCCCCTGCTTTAAGCTCGATCCGTAGAGTCTCAACTGTTACGTAATTATCATCCCTCGACGAGCTGACATTGCAGTAGAACATGGACTATGCAAAAGGAAAGGCAAAATAGTGGATATTAATGATTTCACTAACATTTGAACACAAATATATTAGATCCTGCAAATAGATTGTAGAATGAGACTCAGTGTCCTTTTTTGAAAATAGCAAAAAGGTGAAAAAAAATCAGAACATGTAAATATTTGCCCCAACTTAAAAGGAATGATGATTGAGTACTAATATAATAACTACATACAGAAAGATCAGCGGTCAATGTCGTGGTCAGAAGTTTTTAAGAACCCAAAGCACTGGACTGAGTGATTGAGGGCCAATATCAGGCGCAATTATAGAAGATTTTTTTTTCTTTTTGGTGAAGGTGCTTTTGGGCGTGGGAAGGGGGGGGGGTGTCAGGAGTTCTTGCATTCAATTTCTACGTGTACCTCGCTGAAATTAATTCTTAATCAAGAACGATTGGTAAGGCTTGAAGAAATGGGGAGAGAGACATTGAGCCCCCAAAGCCTCTATCTAGAACCGCGACTAGTCAATACCCAGAACAGGAACTGACCATGGTTTCGAACCTCGACTTACCGTGTCCTAGACAGACCACAATCTACTTAATAATGCTATTGCATCTTCATTTGTAAAAAAAAAAAAGAACTGAAAAATAAGTATTAAAACTACAATACTCTTTTGTTAGGATTGGGGATCGATGATAAACCAATGATTATCATTTTTAAACACACTTTTAACATTATGACATGATATACATACACTGTACAGGTCCATCTTTCGCTGGATATCGAGTAAATCACTCTGGTCAATCAGAGCTTGTCCAATAGCACTATTATTTAATAAGAACAAAATATGATAAATAGTAGATAGAGCAGAGCAAAGAGACAGATATGAAGAGAGAAATGGGTTGAGTGGACGATGAAAACGTATTTCTTTATCCTGGAATGACATTTTCATTTGCCTCTTTCTTAATGGAAACTTGCATTATTGTCTAGTTATGTCTTAACAATTACTCTTCGTCTTCGGTCAAATTCAATTACAAATCTATCAAAATTATGTTTAGAAAATAGACAAAATTGATCGTAAAGCTAGCTTCGTGTTACATTATGTGCCCATATAAACTTGCTGCATACCTTCATTTTCAATTTTAATTAACTTTTAAGTTACAACTTTTAACGAGTACTAAAGGTGCGGTTTTTTAAAAATCAAAATCAAATTATAGCTTATTATAATTGATATGTATACTCTATAATAGAGTATAATACATTGATGTAGGGCCTAAACTAGTCAAGCATCAATGTTCATTTTCGGATTTTCAGAAGAAGAAGATCTATTCATTCATATCCATGTCTATTTTAATATCGGAAGAAAGATTTGTCATATACATATGGAGTCTTTATATTAAAAAAAGTGCATGATGTACTTACTCCATTGCAGTCATCCGTTCACATATTGCTCCAATCACCGCAAACATTTTGAATGTAATGCGTGAATGATCGTCGAGGTCAAGAACCTTCATATTAAAAGAAAATAGGATTTACGATCAAATGAATTAACGCTCGAATTACCAAAATGCTGCACGTATATCTGACATTGATGAAGGTTAGGCCCGAGGTTAGGTTTGCATTCAAGGTGAAAGTGATATGAATCCCTGCAAATCGGATTCATCCAACTCTCATGTTTCAGAATAATTAAAGAAGTGTAAATGTCTATGCAATCGTACTCAATCTATTTACTTTGTTAGTATCATGGTTTTGTGGTTTTCATTGTCCTCAACATTTCATAATCGTCTTGATAATAAAATTTCACAAGACCTTAAGGTAATAGCAATCAGATTTAAATGACCAAAACTCAGTTTCTTCAAACTGTGTGAAACAGCCATTCTAACAATACCTGAACATATCCCACATAGAAATAAATTTTAACTTTCTGTCAATTCCTATGTTGTTCCTCGAGGCATACATAATTCCGGAAGAATATTATTTTTATAATTTGGCAGATAAGGAAAATTCTGTTTGGCCAAATTAACAATATCAATTAAAATAACTAAGTATCGACAAACCTTGAGAACGTATTCCAGTTGTTTTGTTTTCAGACTGCTTAAACTAGGTACACCATTCAAGGCTTCTCTCATTGCCTAAAATACAAAAATAAAGTTATTAATACGGAGTTCCTATTAATAGCGTAAACATTGAAGACACAAAATGCATGGCAAGATGAATTCTATCGATACCTAAATGACGGAAACTAGATTGCACATTATGACATTGCTTGTGTGCCAATACACTGCAAGACAGTGCTCTGTGATGAAAGTTAAAGAATTACAAGATGTAAAAAAAAAAAAACTCCTTTGCCTTTTATGTCTGACGACGGAGACAGAAAGTACATTCACTGTGGATAGTGTTCTATTGTTGAAAGGGCAAGTCTACGGGCGCGTTGCAAGTGTATATAGCATTTCACAAAATTGCTCTAATTCTGTATTTAGAATTTAATAAGAAATAGTTACTCATCCAAACTAGATCAGGAGATTAATTGTACACTCTCTCTGTGTTTCTTTTTCTCTCTTTCTCCCTTTCTCTGTTTTTCTGTTTTTCTCTTCTCTCTATCTCTCTCTCTCTCTCTCTCCCCTCTCTCTCTCTCTCTCTCTCTCTTTTTCTCTCTCTCTTTCTTTCTCTCTCTCTCTCTCTCTCTCTCTCTCTCTCTTTCTCACTTTCTCTCTCTCTCTGTTCTCTCTCTCTCTCTCTCTCTCTCTCTCTGAATCTTTGTCTCTCCCCCAGTGACCGTCCTTCTCCATCTCTCTCCCCCTCCTTCTCAAATGCCACCGCCTTTCATGCGCCGATTCATTTACTCCATAGAGATAGACCTACTAATAAACAGATTCTTACATCCAGTGTTAATACGCATGTTCTATCTTTGTCTTCAACGGTGAATGACCTCGCCATGGGATCAAGCTTCGACTTCTCCACCAAACGATAATGGTTCATGTAGTCGATTGTGGTTTCTGAAAATAGGAATAAAAGATATGTAGGAATTTGAATGAAGTGTAATTTCCAAAGAAGTCAATGACAGTGCTGAACGATCTGGGCTTAACCAATTAGACAAGACTTCTTTTTTATAATGCTCTTCGGTCATTATGATGTTGTCTCTTTAATTCCATTTGCCTCTTTTATTATTTGCATGTATATGTATTTATATATTATCATCATCTCCGTTATGTAACTTTTTTTTAAGCATGATTTTTTTTTTTTTTAAGGAAAAAATATAATAGTTTATAAATTACGCATCCAAAGGAAGTCTGAATGAGAAGTTAACGTTTGGTGATATTTATCTTCTTTGTTTGCGCCTTGGACACTGCAGAGTTCCCTCCCATTGATTCTTTAGCGAAGTCATACAGAAAGAGTACCGAAGTTTGCATAAAGTTAATGTAGAAGGAAGATCGTTAACTCTGAATGTGCCAGAAATTCTGATAACTGGACTAATTTGCCATTTTAGTGTATAATTTTCTGTATTGATAATATCCATGCATTACCTCTTTCATCTACGGCCCTTGCGCTTTGGCTGCGTAGTGCTGGTCTGTTCTGTTCGTCAGCCTTGAGCTCTGAAGCTGTCTCTAATACACGCTGAAGATGGGTATTCATCTCATTAGGGTGCCTGCGGAACTCTTTTAGAACTCGGCGCACCCCAACAGCTGAAAAGGTGCAATACTTAAGTGATTAAACAAGGAAGACAAGGCGATGGTTGCGATCATCAAAATGCTGCCGAAAGTCTTTACAACTTCACCGGCGGAGAGTGGTACTGGCTACCACACCTCCAGGTTATTTCCAGGGGGTCTCGTAACACCCCTCCTTTCCTGTATAGTACAGAGGGACTTTCTTATATTTCTTCTACTTCTTCTTTTCCTTCTCCCCTTTCCTCCTCCTACTCCTTATTCTTTTTTTCCTTCTTCTTTTTCCCTTCTCTTTCTTCTCACTATTCCTATTCCTCTTCTTCTGGCTTGCCTGCTTGCTTGTCGGAGAATTCCGGAGTGAAAAGGCACCCCAATGTGTGCTGTATTTTGTTCATTGTCAGAATCATCTGCTTTGATTTAACATTAACCGTACATTAACTATATATTTACTTCATGGACCTATTAAATTCATTAGAGCAAGTTAAAGTTATTTTCAACTCACCTTCGATTTCATCATCACTCGGTACAACGGGTGTAGTGCCCCTCGACATATCCATATCGGTGATCCATTCTTTGAGATCCGAATCTTCGTACCGCAACGCAGTCGGCACCGTCATCATGTTACCCTCATCGTCGACCTCGATAGTCTCCGCGTCGGAGTCATCATCGGCCGCGATGGTGCCATCGTTCTTGACTCGGACATTGCCTCCCTTGAGGATGCCGAGGTTGCGGTTAATGAAGAGCTTGAGTTTAGACACCTTGTCCATCCGGGCATCGCGTTCGGCTTTGATGATGTTCCGATATTCAGCTGTTGATGAGGATGAAACCAAAATCAAGTAAGAGGACCAAAATCAACTGAATTGCGTACACAGTGCAGGGCTATAAATCAGCACCCAATGGATGGAAAGGCATAGGGCCTATGATCTGAGTTTTTGGAGAACGTTGTCCCTCACCTTTTCTTATGATGGTATTTAATAACTGTTTGTTTGTTTGAAATCTGAAGTGGACGAAATGACTATATAACATTAAAAAATCACAACAAATAAGACAATGCTGAGTTCATTTTTACATGGGCCTTCTGTTCTACGTTCTCTACAGATAACTTTATAAAGTCAATACAATATATTGTCAGTGGCGTAGGAGAATTAGCAAAGTGGGGGCGGTCTTATGGAAAACTCGCGGAAATGCGATAAAACCTGCCATTGGGTGAAGGTTTTGGGAATGGTTTCAATCATTATAATATTAACATCTCTCTCTCTCTCTCTCTCTCTCTCTCTCTCTCTCTTGTCGTCAGTGAACATGTATATACCATCTACACCTCTCGCTATATAGTACTACAAAGGACAATTGCATATGTTGACTAACCAAGGGGATCCTCATTAGCTTTTTCTCCTGCCTTCTTGAGTTTCATCTCTTCTTCCCTTTTCTGTTTCTCTTGCAGTAACTTCCATTCCCTTGAAAGTAGAGATAGATATATAGAATGTTACAAAATCTGATGTTTAAACTTGTTGTGTTATGATTAGTTATTTGAATATTAATAAATAACATCGTTAGCGGAAAAATTCGTTCCTATAGATGATCGTCTAGGCCAATCTTCACATGGATACAATGGAGAAGATTTTTGTTGTTGACGTAACTGGAACATTGTCCATATGTAATGAAAATTGCAACACAAAACGGGTCAACTCATTTTTAAAATCTTCTCTGATCTTCCTTGTTGGAATCTTTCTTAAATAATTCAATCAAGCATACACTTTTAAATATGTATTCAAATCGACAATAAATAAATGGATAAAATAAAAACAAGCATATCTTTCGAATTCCAATGAATTTCCCAACCATTTTCAGTGGCGGATCCAGGGGTCAAAGGCGCCACGTCCCGATTTCCAATCTTATTCAATGTACACATCGACAATAAACAAAGAAAATATGCCCCCCCCCTCCCAGAAAACCACGGATCCGCAACAGATTCTGTTGGAAAGTTAACATCATACTTACGTCCTCCAGTCCGCGCCACGCCCGTCGTTCTTCTCAATCTTATCAGTCAGGCCTCGCTTGCTTCCTTTGGCGTAATCCACCATACTTCTGAACTCTTTCCCATCGGCGAAGGTCACGCCCCTAAGTGACCTCCCATCGTCCGACGATAGCGGGTCATCGCGGCCTTCTCGCTTTCTACGCATTAACAGAAATAACTTATCTATGAATCCTATGATTTTAAACGATTCAACAGTTTAACATAAAGACAAACTAAACAATATTCACGTAAGGGTGACATTACTATTATCTGTTTTGAATAATCTGTTATCCGAAGTAGTAGGCAACTGCATGTCAAAATCGTTAGAGCTTACCGAATATTTTGGGGAATTTGTAATCACATTCTCCTTTATCAAAACACACTATATTTTTTTAAAGGAACAACAGCGTCCGAAATACATCAAATTTACAAATAATTTAGAAAAGTAATTTTTCAAAAATTAACAAAACTATAATGGTAAAAATAAAGAACTACACACATGAATACGTATCCCACAGCGCCGATAATTTTGTACAATTATTGTTACATCTTCTCTTGATGTGAAACCATTTTGTTCTCTCTATAGTTTTCCGCAACAACAGCTGTGTGAGAGCTGATTAGTGGATTATTTTGCATCTATAAATGAACCAACGATACAATTATGCTGTTTTCAAGGTGACTACTTTGTTCGACTGACAAAGTGAAATTAGAAAAGTATGTGATTGATGGGACAAAGACTAATAGTCAATTGTATATGTTTTCCCAGCATTCAATTGAAAGTACCAAGTTGTCTATCAACTGCTCGAACAGTATCAAACGTGGTCAAATTATTACCAGACGATGATTAACACTATTTAATGCTCAGAGCAAACAAAATACATTATCACACCGTTTGTTTTGCGTTTAATCCTCACCTCTTTTCCATGACCTTTGACACCGCTTTCATAAAATTCTTAGACTTCTGTTTGGCCTTTGATAGCTTCTTTTTCAAGCTTGCTTTCTTCTTCTTCCTTGATTCTTCATCAAGATCTTTATCCTCCTCATCTAGAGAGAGATCACTGCTGTGAACACTGCTTACTATGCTGGCTGAACTCATCCGATCCATTTCTCGGTCAATCTCTCGCTTTATTCTACAGAAGATATAAGGAGAAAATGTTGTATGAAAGGTCTTAAGACAAAAATTTCCTTTGGTCAAGAGGGTCTATAAGTACTGTTATGTGATTAAAAATATGTGTCTGTTGCGATAGCCAGTGACGCAAACTAGGTCCAGCCATATAAGGTTGTCGTTGTATTTTCTTTCATTGCACTAGAATGATTGCCCCTTACCCCCAACAGTCAAACAATATACCTCTTTTTCTCCTTCTCTTTTTTCTTCTGTTTGCTCTCTCTTTCCCTTTGTTCATTCTTTGCTTGTTGTTTCTTCTCTGTTTTCTTCTGCTTTATTTTTTCCTTCTTCTGTGCTTTCAGTCTCCTTCTCGCCCCATCGCTGAGGGCACTGTCTATCACAGATATTTCATCGCTCTGAACTGTACCAATAGTGCTTACTGCACTGACAGGACGCTCCCTATAAGAAGAGGAAATAAAATAATAAAATAAATCAATGAACAATCAATTACTAAATAAATAAATAAATAAACAAATAGATAAATGAATAAAAGAATTTTAAAAAAATGAATATACAAATAATAATAATAATAATAATAATAGCTAGTTCTTATATAGCGCTTTTCAGGACCGAAGGCCCTCTCAAAGCGCTTTACAGATAGTTATATTATTACCCCGGTCATAGGAAATAAATAAATACATAGATAAAGACATAAACATATTGATGAATACGAGTGACAACATCACTCAGATTTTATCATGAAGGTTTTTTTTATTTAAACGGTGTTTATAATCACATTTTATTTCTCAATGAAACTGAAGTGACATAATAATATTATAAGATATGAACTATGAATATTTGATAGTAATTTAAACCAGGAGTGTCGCTTGCGTGGTTACACCCCCTCATTTTAAGGAAATGTTCAAAGGGGTAATGCAGAATTATATGGCCTTGTCGACAAATTCCCCAAAAATATAATACTTAAAAAACAACTGGCTTTTCGAAAAATTTCCGATTAAATTGTCATCAAATTCAGTCAGACACCCACATTAAACAAAATCCTTTAGTGATGGAGAGAATAAGAATCCAGTAAAAAGAAAGATTACTATTCACCTTTTCTTATCTCGACGGCTCTTTCGATCTTTCTTTTTGCTTGTCCCATCATCCGAATCTGTCTCCTCTTCACTCGAACTACCTTTTTCCTTTCTGCCAAGTTTCCTCTTCCCTCTATCTCGCTTCACTTCTCGTCGATCTTCCCTTTCCTGATGCTTCTTCTCCTTTTTCTCCTTCTTCTTCTCTACTTTCTCCTCCCTCTTCTTTCTGTTATTCTCCCTCTTTCCCTCTCGTTCTTTCTTTCGTTCCTGATATTTCTTGAGTTGCTTCTCCGCCGCCTTGTCCTCTTTTCGTTCCTGTTTCTTCTTTTTGATAGCTCTCGCTCTCTCCTCTCCCTAAATATGATTAATGATTAAGATTGTATTTTACACACTGATAAAGCAATCACATCCAACAATTTGATAATCTCTACTTTTTGTTGACTGTTGGTTGACCGTTCCTAAAAATGAAAATAACAAATTAACAATTTTTGTATTGATGCGCAATCACACCTGTAAAGACACTAAAATTAGGTGCCGAGAAATAAGAACACACAGAGTACAAATGAACTATTTCAACTGATATATCATTGTGTATAAATCGATAGTATCCTATAATTTCTTTTACTTTATTCCCTGTTACTAAACGACCATTGATGTGTGTAAGTGAATGATGTTTGAAAATAAGACGTGCAGTGAGATAGAGAAAGAGAGAAAAGGAAAGACGGAAAAAAAAGGAAAACGAAGAGACAGAAAATGAGAAAGAGAGAGAGAGATATAGAGAGAGAAAGGAGGGGAGAATTTAAGAGAGAGAGGGAGAAAGAGAGAGGGAGAGAGAGAGAGAGATGGGGGAAGAGAGAGAGAGAGAGAGAGAGAGAGAGAGAGAGAGAGAGAAAATGCACTATTATCTAGTAAGTTCCATAAGAAAATAATAATATTCATCTAACCTGGAGTTCACTGTCGACATCGGATATCTCGACGCTGCTGACTTCGCTAGCCTCGCTGACCTCGGACGAATCACTGGTGATGGAGGCTGAGCTGTCACTACTCGAGCTTGCTGAACTCGAGTCATCCGAGTCATAACTACTACCGGAACTGCAAAAAGAAATCATCGAATGTATTAAATCAATCATAAATCGACATCATTCATAGTATGATTAATCGTCGTTACTATTTGAAAAGAAGGCATGTAACCAAAGATTCTTTTCTCCTTAAAAGGGTTTTTAATAATATTGGACTTTACATTTTCATTTTACAAAAGAAAGAGACCTTTTTAAAGAAAAAAAAAACGATTCAAACTTCCGTTTTTTCTGAAAGTACTACAAATTTTCATTTAGAAATACGGCACGATTGCATCATGACTTACTTTAACATGAAGTTTTTATAACGATAACACATATTTACACCTAATTTCAATGTAAGTAAATTTCTCTAGTACTTAAAGCAGCTATACGGGTTTTATAGGTAGACTCCGTTATACATACCTTGATGAATCGTAAGAGCTATCGTAGGAACTATCGTAGCTTGACGAACCTAAAACAAAATAAAGGAAAGATTTATTTTTGGGCAATATTAAACATAATTATGAATGATTTTCTGAGCTTAATTCCAAGTTAGTTATCTTGTTAAATGATAAGTTTATGGTCTAACTCAGATCTTAGAGTGTTATTATTGAGTATCAATGATTGTCAATTATGGGGAAAGGAATCCGTGGGTCAGTTGCTACATCCCCTTCCCACCCTCTCACCCCCCCCCCCTTCCCCACCTCCGTCATGGATCCAACACCGCTGCGTGAAAAAGCTTTAACAGGATCTTTAACTGCATCTAGGAAGAAACATACCAAACGCACAACTTAAAAGTAAAATTGAGATGATTAAATGATGATGAAACTTACCGCTCTCATTGCTCCCTTCCTTTTTATCTTTTCCTCTCTTCCCGGATCTCTTTCCTTTCCCTCGTTTTTTGTCTCGTCTGCGCGGGCTTCGACTTTCATCAGACGACTCACTGGAATACTGAAAACAAGTGAGAAGATATGAAAAGTCTTAATATTATTTTTAAGTCCATATTTCTAGTCTCTTTAATACCTGTCTCTATTTGTCATTAGGTAATGTTGCGCTTGTAGATGTAAGAGATGCTATCAAAACTTTTGAAACTCGTAAATCTTAAGCCGCATGCAGTCCAAAATTAAGTTCTAACTTTCATGGAAAGTTTGTATATGTTATGATTTGATTTCTTAATAAACACATTAAAAAAATTAAAAAAAGTTCTAACTTTCAGCATTTACGTTTAAAATCTGAGTGTCATTCATATCTATGTAATAATCCTCGATTTCATTTCCAGTAATGATAATGAAATGAAAAAACCTCACAGGGAGGACAATATTCTCTTCACTAAATTTACTTAAAACAGATGAAAATTTACAATACCAATTAGATACGACATGTAGGTTTGGCTTCATCAAACAAGGCAAATGGTCTCATACCTCATCTGATGATTCCGATTCACTGTCTGATTCATCACTTGATCTCCTCTTTCTGCCACGTCGACTGCTCTCCTTGGTTCTTCTTCCACCGTGCTTCTTGCTTTTTCGACCTGCCGATCGTCTACTGTATGCTTCATAATTATTATCGTCATCATCGTCGTCGTCATCGTTGTTGTTTCTTCTACGGTGTCGGCGCCTAGTTGGCCGATCTGTAAAGTAGAGAAAATTGACAATAAGTGCAATCGACTAATAACTTATTAAGAGGTTTCTGGACGATATTCAAGATTATTCTAGAATGATTTGATGTCTATTATATAATATATAATATACGATTTTAATCTCGAATCTCAACATATTATGTTGAGATTCGAGATTAAAATCGTTTAATGCCATGGAATTGAAGGAAAATAATATATATTTCAAATCTCTTTGAATATCCAATATTCTACTATCTAATAATCTTTATTCAACAAGAAGAAGTTATAAGGAAAAAATGGAGAATGAAGAAAATGATAATGGTGAAACAGAAGAGCAACAGGTTTAGCAACAACTATAACATTGGCGGACTTTTCATATCATACCCTCCCCAAATATTCATCAATAAATATTATCCTTTCATTGATTGTGAGAAACACAAACGTCACCAAAATCAAATTTAGCATAGATCCCACAGACAGCTTAAGTATTTTGTATATTAAAAACAGTTTTAGCCGGATATTAGAACCAAGAATACACCTAAAAAACTTTGTATACACGTAGGACTACATTAATATATTAAAGTTGATACACTATACAATATCATTTCTGATGTTACTTGAGGGGAAAAACTGATTAAGTTAGCTCCAATTCATGCCAAGACAAGTTAGGATTTTTAAGTTTTAACATGCCAACAAAATTATAGGTTAAACCTAAGTCATGTGCTATTGGTAATGTACGAATACCATTATCATAATCATCATCATCTTCATCATCACTATCGGCACTTCTTCTGCGATGTCGTCCGCGATGTTTCCCTTTTGAACCGTGGCGACCATCATATCCGGGCCGACGACTTCGACGATCGTCATCAGCTCGACTTTCGTTATCGCTGTCATCATCGCTACGATATCTACGCCGTCGACGACGGTGGTGTTTATCAGAATCATGATATACAGCATCGTTGTTACCTTTTGATGAATATCATATTTTCATCAGAAATAATTATGTGGATTTGTATGCATAGTTTTCCTCTTTTGACGATAGTAGTAGTAGTAGTAGTAGAAGTAATAGTAGTAGTAGTAGTAGTAGTAGTAGTAGTAGTAGGAGTAGTAGTAGTAGTAGTAGTAGTAGTAGTAGTAGTAGTAGTAGTAGTAGTAGTAATAGTAGTAGCAGTAGTAGTAGTAGAATAGGGAGTAGTAAAAAAAAGTGATAAGCATTCGCGGCAGAGACTGCCATTAGATACAAATTCATGCTGTAGTTTGATGATTATTCACTGCTAACAAACATGACATGTAACACAATCAACTTCCACAAAGCAAGTTAAAAGTTTCAATTAGGCGGGAGACAATTTTAATGACAATTGTTATGACGATAATATTGTTTACGTGAAATGAACAACCACAAAAATAAAAATGCTAAACTGTGTAACAAGTTAATGCTCATTCTATCATTAGAAATCTAAAGAAATCTACTATATAGGTCATGTTTTACCATTCGAGTTTTTTCTTCGACCTCGTCTTCTTCCTCTACGATCACCACCTTCATCGTCATCGGATCCGTCATCGCTCTCAGAGGAATCATCCGACGAACTGTCAAGTAAGAGGAATTAAAAAAAAATCAAGGGACTTATAATAAAGCGGTATACCACATCGCTAAATTTGCTTCTCTCCCAATAATATCATGTTTATCCAGGGACGGATCCAGCCTGTGGCAGGGGAGGGGCCAAAGATGGCGCCCAGCCGGTAAATAAGCGGGGGGTGGGGGGACGGGGGGTAAGAAGCACTAATTTTTTTTTCCCACGCTCCCCCCCCCCCTCCCCCCTGAATCCGCCACTGTATATATCAAAGGGAACATAATGATAGCAGCTAAAGATTATTGAACTGAGGCTTTTATGACACGAGACACGAAAAAAGAAAGAATAACAAAAACGGCTATGGATCATTGAAAGTATGGGCCCAAGCAGTGGCTTGACTACGAGGGGCCCGAGGGCACGGGAGCACGTCTCCCAAAATTCAAATGGCAAAAGGGGAGGCATGATACATGTAGGTAACGTGGGGATAAGATGACCTCTTTTTATATTATCCCAACATATGGTCTTGTTCTCTTCATATCATCCACTAGTAACACAGGTACAGTCCCTCGGCCCTTCCCTCTCATGCACATGGCATAAGTAACGCATCGATGGCTGGAACCACCAGTGCATATGTCTATACCAGTTCATTTTGTTATTTTAATTGCTGTACATTTGTTTTTCTTCTTCTTGGTTTCTATCTAGTTTCTCACCCATATTTTCGTCTTCGGCTTCCTTTTCTGTGTCGCCCCCTCGAACCTCGTCGACCTCCTCTTCCATGCCTGTCATCATCCATTTCGTCATCGTCATCATCTTCTCCACGTCTTCCACGACGCCGCCGATGTCCTTTCCGACGATGTCGTGAACCGTCATCCTCGTCTACCTCAGAATCACCGCTGGAATTCCGACGTCCTCTCCGTCCGCGATGTCGCTTACCATCGCCTGATGATAATTTGAAAAACAAATAGAAGCATAACGAACAGTTGGCACAATCTTAATCACTTCGAATGTGTCTATTTGGAAAGTCACTATTCTTGGATTATTAATTTTCTAAACAAAGATTTATATAATAGTTATAATTAGGCCTGTCATCATGAAGTTATCATTTCCCCCCTTAGACTTCAATTTGCACAGTGTGGGAAGAAATGAATAAAATAACATATTATAATGAAGTCTGACATGGAAATAAGAGATATTCAATACCAGAGTCGGCCTACAATACACTTCTTACAGGAATTAAATATCTGAATCTCTCCTACATAATTGGGATTCAATATTAATAATTTATCATTTAGGATTATAATTAAAAAACCAAGAAGCAACGTTGTGTTGATCATATTCGACATTCCCATCATTGTTAAGCCTGTTCAAAATGATGAGTGAAAATTTCATTTCTCCTTTAAATAAAACCGTGTGAATTTCTTAATTTCGTACCATGTCTACGACGATGTCTCCTGTCATTTTCCTTCCCACTCATCTCATCAGACTCAGCGCTTTCACCATCGACCACCGAATCGTCATCTCGTCTCCGTCTTCTGCGATGTCGATCACCGTCTAAAGAAGGAAACAAAGTCATTCATACATCACCTCCATCTTAAAAAATGTCAAAGAATACAGCCAAACGTTCCTTAGGTACTGTGTGTATTATAACTGTGATTCGCAATGAGCAATTCATTAAGCAACAGAAAGTAACTCTTTTTAAATCTGTTGTTAATGCTTTTCATAATTATTATGATTCCTATTTTGCGAATATTTTGTGGAAGAGCATCATCATTGGCAATAAACATATACATATTTACTAGACAATGGAAAGTTAAAAAAATATACCGACAGTAATAATGCTCAAAATATTTCGCTATAGCAGGATGGAACGGATTTTACCAATTTTCAGATTCTGATTAATGTAATTTACCGTCATCACGATCATGTCTCCTATGTTTCTTCTTTTTCTTCTTCTCTCTGTGATGTAGAGTTCCATTGTCACTGATGTATGATTCTGCGGATGACATATACTGACCATCGTCTTCCTCACCGTCGTCGCCGGAATGATGGCGACGATGATGACGTCGGGATTTTCCGCCAGCCTCGCCATCGTATATGCTTGGACCGACTCCACTCTCGGCTATGCTTTCATCGTCACTAGCGTCACCGTGTCTCCTTCGCCTATCGGGAAGATATGCAAATTTATTGAACACAATCCAGAAGGCCCGGACTTTTTTTTTTAAAAACCCTATCCCCCTTTTTTCATTGTGGCTTATTTAGTTTTCCCTCTTCTTCTTCTTCTTCTTCTTCTTCTTCTTCTCCTTGTCTTCTTATTATTATTGGCGTCTTTTTCGTTGTCCATATTCTCTCTGTTTTATTTCAATATCTTCCTCTTTTCCTCCTTATTTCTTAGATGTCTATAGTTAGTAACATCATCATCATCGGGATCACAATGATCATGAGCATCAACTTCACCGTCATTATCATCAGCATATTAACCATCATAATCATCATCTGTAGCAGCATCATCCGGGCCAGCACCACCCCCTTTTCGTTTTTCCTCTTTCCTAAGCACGATACAAGTCTACTCCAAATACTATTTTATTCATGGATTAAATGTTTATTTTGAACGCCAATGCGAGCGTTTGTCATGTCTACAGAATGGAAACTAAACGCGCTCTTGAAAGTAGACATCGAACATGAGACGGTGTTTGATATTGGTTTTCATGATTAACCAAACATAGGTTGACCTTTGAACTCCCACACACCTTGCATGTTCCATGTTCAATATATTCGATTCAGTCATGTTAGGAATATTCAACAGTTTGGCAGTGTTTCTACGGTTATGTTCGCAATGGATGCATTTCGTGTATCCCTTTTCGCCATCTTGTTTATACATACACATCGACATCGTTCTTCTTATAACTCAACGTTTGGTTACAATTGACGTTTGCACGGATGTACATCCATCGTTTAACTCGTTGAAAATAACATCATTCAATGATGGGGTGAGAAGAAGCCTTTATTGTACTAGATTAGGCAACAAAGGAGATTTACACCAAATTGTGATATAATTTATATATTTGTTTAAATTTGGCCCTGGATGATCATATCATGATTACGGACAAATGGAAACATGAAAATACTTGAAATATATAATTATTTTTTTAGATCTTACTTGTTATAAGATTTCGGTTCTTCGAATGGTCGGAGAAAAGTAAAGGCAGTACAAAGGTATTTAAAATCCTTTAAACGTCATATAATATACTCACAATAACTCACATTCATATGTGAATGTAAATATTTGTAAATGACAACATCAAAAAATATTTAAGAACTTATATAGTAAAGAAGTTTTTTCTCTCGAATGATTGCTCTTAAATCATACACATAAACTCAAGCCTGATCAGTCACAGTCAACGGCTGCAACTTTACCTCGTCTGCAACTTACCTCGTATCAAAATGATTTTGCTTACCCTTTGTGCTTTCGATGTCGCTTTGAATGATGACCCTTCTTACGACCATGACGACGACGACGACCTCCATCGTCTTCCCAATCTTCATCAGATTCGTCGTCACTTTCCTCTTCGTTCCCATCTCTGTGTTTCTTTTTCTTCTTATTTTTCTTCTTTTTCGCTAAAACAAAAACATATTTGAAATTCAAAAGGTTTTGATTTTCTCACCAAATCAAAAACAACACGAATAGTATTATAGAAATCTACAATCTTTAAAACATTTTATGTACATTATAGTGAAAGAATTTCATGCAGTTTGGTATAAATGTCATCAAATTCCAATTCCAAACTCTAAACAGACCAAGGGGAATGTACAGTGTATGAGAAAAAAGGGAAAACTGAGAAATACAAGACAGAGATAGATAGACAGATAAATATAGATTTATTTAACAAGAGACAGAAACTAATAGTCAGACAGAAAGAGAGATAGGTGCGGACATTGATATTTATGAAGGCGATGAATATCTTTTCAAAATGAGTTTTGTTATAGTGTGGGGTTGTTGTTTTTTGGTCGGTGTTGTTGTCGTTTTGTTTTGTTTAGTATTGCCCTTTTTCACTTCTTAACTCACCTTTCACCATCTCTCCGTGCTTATCTTGTACGTAACCTTGTTTAGATGTAACGAACTCCTCGAGTGACTCGTCATCGTTTAGCCCTAACATCTTCTTAGCTGCCGACTTGTTCTCTTTCATTTCATGGTAGTCGTCCTCGTTCACGAACTGGTATCGGGTGATGACGTTGCCGCTTTTGGTTCGGAGATAAAGCTTAATTCGACGCTTCACTGTGTCTGAGTTTGAGAGGTAATTCAAGAAATGTTAGTCTTTGCTGAGATTGTTTATCATTTGGTCGCTGGTACAATAACAATAATCATACTTTATAACGTAGGCTATGATACATCATGGTTTTGTGTAATTTCCCCACATTCCTTTTTTGACTGACATTGCTCTTCTGATATTGTATCTGTCTTCATTCCATTGGGCTCCCAATGCTTCTACCGATACTCTTGGAACGCTTGTATACTCCCACGATTGTCGTCACATTTTTTTATTTCCTTTAACTTTCCCTTTAAAATAATGGTGAGGAATTCATCATAATTTGTTGAATATGAAAAATCAAAATATAAACAAGTTAGTCTAATACCCCCCCCCCCCTCTCCCTCCCTCTCTCTCTCTCTCTCTCTCCCGCTGTGACAGGTAATTATATGCAACATCATACGCTGCAAAGTAATAAGAAATTTAAGAAAACCTTTATGATATTACTTACTTCGACTTTCCTCTAGTTTTCTCGCCTCTTCTTTTATCTTTTCATTTTTCAAGAAGTCTTCCCGAGCTACGGCAAAATGCTCCTGTAAGAGGACAATCACGTAGTATGTTATTTGTGTAGATAAGCTTATACAAGCTTACTTTCACGGGGAACACTTTGAATAAGGTTATTACCGAAATATTTTTCGAGGGAATTCAAAATACTAAGCTAAAAATTATGAAATATAATAATTATTCAGGCAAAAGATCCCTTCCTACAACGGATGGAGAAATTACTTTTGAGGATTTATCAATACGGCAGATGCTTTGGTATTCAGCTAAATGGCCTTTCCTTCGTGAACAAATACAGAATTTACACAGAGCTTTTAAATCGATTCGTTATTATCGACCTGGCATCATCGAAAAAATGCAAAGTGTAATTGTGAAGCCATGACTTTAGAGTCAATGTTTAGAAAGAAAGAAACGGAGGATTTCTTTTATTTTAGGGGATGGTTATTATACTCATTTTTCTAGGCTGCTGTGAAAATTATTCTCTCTTCTTTAATTGACGGTAAAAATAATTTAGATCCCTGGCCACCATCTCAATTATCTAAAGGTTTCGATTTATATCTGTACCTCCTGTCATATCGTTGTACAAGCAATGTATTTCTAATAACAAAAGTAATTGTATCCAAATGATGAACAGACCACGTCCAAATAACTCATAATTGATATCTCTACCACAACTGTAAAATGACGTCTCATCCTGACATTTTATTCTGTCTAGTTTCGTTACCTTCTCAATAACATCCATGATTTGACTGATGTATGCATAGCTATGACGATATCCTCCTCCGATTCTCAGATACTTGTGCTATTTCAACAACAGGAAGAACAAATAAAACAACAAACAATTATAAAATGGTAGAAGTCATCATTAGACCAAGATTGATTTGTAAGCCGAGATTATATTTTAATTCTGATCTAATCATTTCAAGTTTAGTCACTTGATCAAGGACACAGTCGCGCTTCAATGATGATTAAACATTATGAAATAATACACCACGTCGAATCAAATGATAATACTCAGGTTTGGTTCGTATTGAGGTGGATGAAAGCATTTAATGAATACAGAACGCCTATGTCACTACATATGAAATATTATACGCAATGACAAATCAACTCTGGCAAATTATATAGGATCTAAAAAAACACAAATGGCTTCGAATAATACTCCTGTAACGAAAGACATACCTTTTCACAGCTTGCGTGGTCAGTTTTGAGTTGGCATTTATAGCATTCTTGTGGGCCTAAGGGCTGTAAAATAAATAATCAAAAACAAATTGTGATCAATAAAAGCAACGTTTGTTTTTGCAACGCGCCAACAGTATTGGCTCGTCAAATTTTATTATTTTATATTGAGCAAGTCACTTTTTGATGACCGCAATATAGGGTATATTTTTGCTCTCTGAATGAAAGACAAGTGAGAGAGTACGATAAACTTCTAATACAGATTATACTGCTGACTTCTTGTTCCTTGTTGCATTGTTTTAATAAAAATAAAACTTTCATCTTCAACAGTTTGATCAATTATTTATCAATGCTTTGATTTTTAGAGGTGTATATCGGTTATAATCAATATCTGTTTGCAAAATGTGAAGCCATGTATGTGTGTGTGTGTGTGTGTGTGTGTGTGTGTGTGTGTGTGGCTTAAACACTTGCAGCACTAAGATCGTGACAGAAATAGGCAATAGATGTACAAGTCAGAGGAAAAACCCACTTCCATTGTCTGTGGTCTATTGTATGTGTTTACATATAGCGGTTTTTCTTCGTCGATATTATTGATTAGACGATCAGATAAAAAGAGAATGCAAGTACATTTCAAAAGTAAAATATTAGGTGTAAATCTTTTGGTAGAAGAGCTGGTTATGCTTTTAATTATCAGTGATCGGGTTGTACCAGATAACAATGAGGCTCTACCTTTTCACAAAACTTTATTACAAAGGCTCTTATTTTGTTCTGCGTGATGTTAACGGATTCTATTAGTGTAGGGGAACCATCATAACACATGAAATGGAGCAACAGTTCAATAATATTTCAAAGGAAGAAAAAAAAAAATCTTCTCGGATATTCTGGTGCATATAACCGGCATATACTCGACTCAATTAACAAAGTTGTATATCAAGCTCTGCTTTTTCTTTCTTGTGGCACACTCTTTACCTTGCGTGGAAACTTAGGTCTTCCTCTTGGTGGTCTTCTCTCTATGGGTGGGGTAGATACGAATGTCATGTACCGGGTTTGCTGCTCCCCCCGAGAGCTCTGAAACAAAAAGAATTTATAGAGATGAAGATTAATAGTTTAATAACATCTGCTATACAGTTTTCTGGATCTTCGTCAGCCTTTATACACGCAAGAGCGAAAATACGGAATCGTCAGAAAAGGGAGGGGTACAAAATAAGCCCATGATTCCTATGTTAGTAACTGTTGTGTATCGTAACCTGACACATAAAAGGCGTCGGTCAATTTTGTCACATACTCGAGATGCTTGTTATGTTGTTATTGCTATAGTGAATAAAGGAATTTTTTAAGAAGAGTGAGGGGATGGGCATGGAAAATTGAAGAGGAAACTATGGTGATTTGTAGTAATACATAAGAATAGTAACGGAAAGAACAATGACAGAAAACAGATGAAAACAAATACCCCCCAAAATGACCATAAGTCATGATGGAAAGACGAAGCCAGATGTTTAAAATGAAAAGATTCCGTGACCTTTTATTGAAGATACGAGAATATATTTAGGCTACTATTAAATCGTTTTCGTTTTTTTTTTCTTCTTCATTCATAACAGCACGATAGTGAGTATATAGCCCTTCCTAAATCAATACTACCCAGTCCAACCTGCACTTCAGACATCAAAGAATAATATTGTTTGTGATCTAGTCCTTCATCGTTACCCCCTTCGTGTTGTTAAGAATTCGTGTTTGTACTTGAGGACCTCTCAAACTGAACAAAGCTCTTGATGGGAATTCGATTGAATTTCTATAACGGATCTCGACTCATCCCTAGACTACTAACTAATAACATGTTACTGAAAATAAGTATGGTAACTTAACAAAGATTTTCTTTTTAATTTCTATCGTTTTAGTGAATATGTCCTTTTGTTGCGAATCAAATTAATGGAACCCCACCTGTATGTATACTGACATGATTCTAAAAACTCTGACCTCATCTTAATACCTCATCCTTACCCCATATTCGATTTGTATGGGGGAAATCCAACCCCTTGTAAATTTAAATCAATAGCAAAATGAAGTTTGGTGTACTCTTGCCACACAGTCGTTGTGCGGGAGGAGCCTCGAAACAAAAATCGAAAAAGATACAATTGATGAGGAATAATGAAAGGGATTATCTGACATAGAAACCAGGCTTAGTATGAGAATCAAGTATTGACTGCCAGTTTTTTTGTATCGACTCGATTGTAAAAGGGTGGGAGCTGAGCTATAAAATTGGAATTTCTGACAGTGTTTACTTGAGATCTTACTTGATCAAATTGAAATTTATGGTGCAATAATTTGAAAGGACGTGTAGTTAATGTTCAGGTATTACATTTTTTAAATGTATATCTAAAACTTCCTCTATCATTGTTATCCATCACATTTAGCTAACTTCATTTAAGGTTTTGTGAATTATCCTTTCAACATGAATATTTAAAAAAAAGTACAATAATTAATAGAAATTGAAATAAAAAGAAAATTGAGGAAATGGGATCAAGAATACGAAATAGTTAAAGAATAAGACACCGTTTAGCAGTGTTTGCAATTATATCCAGAATCGTATTCATACCGCCGACATGACCTCAGTGTTGTAGTCCTCAAAATACATTTAGCAACAAATCTACACTTACGGTAAAAATACTGATTCAGTAATAATTAAAAAGTGATACAAATCTCATAAGACTCAGAGCTGAAACTTTGAATTTAAGAGAGCGAAAATAATAATCCGAAGTATGGGAACTTTAAAGTAATTACCGATCGATTTTTATACCAGACTTCATAGTCCGTTATCCTTTTTGTCGATAGAGGGAGGTGATCGATTGATCTTATAGCACAAGGTCACTCGATCCATCCTACCCAACACATTCGGAGGAACACTTTTATTCATGTTAATGTCCACAAGGTCACGTGATCATTGTGATCCATCCTACCCAACCCATTCGGCTGAACACTTTTGTTCATGTTAATGATCCCAAGGTCTCACCACCCCCATAGCCAGGCCTCACGGTGATTGACACAAAATAATGTTATGCACATAATTACGTAATAACATTGTACCGCAATGCCCCCCCCCCCCCCTCCGTATAGTTGGAAAGAACTTTGGGTATCAGAAAACTTTTGAATACAAATTGGTGATTTATGCAATGAAGTAAATATTTTATTATGAATCAGTTTTAATTCCTGATATCAATTCTTATGAGCCCAGTGTTAACACCACTTGTAACAGGGTATTCATCTAATTATATTAGCATTTCCTTTAATTCCCAAGAATAATTTTACATAGCCTATTGATGCAATCACAATTCTACCTCCCTTTTTTCTCACACATTGTCTGTCAAATTCTCACACCATATTCCAGATCAGCTTCAGATTCAGTTTTTATTTGCATTTCCAACCAAACAATCAATATTACCAATTATTGTGACCAAAAAATCAATCAAAGAAAACAATGTATATTAATAGAACTCTTTTTCTTTTAAAGCTTTTGTTTGTGTACAAAAAGAATGTTAAGATTTCAATCAATATTAATTGGAGAAAACTTATACATAATACCGACGGTACGTGCATTTTTATAACAAGATAAATACTATGTTTAATTTGAAAAGAAAGCAAAGATTACACATGATACAAAGCCAGGCAAAAGATACCATACGAGGAAGAAGAAGAGATAGAGAGAAACCTATGACCAACAGAAAAGAAGTGAAAACGCAATATATAGCAATCAATATTTTATTGATAAAAATGAAAAAAGATAAAACAGATCCATTTATTATAACTGATTTTTGTCCTTCTCACCAACAGCTAGTCTAGAAGGAGGCGGCCTACACGAGTGTTTGCTACGGGTACAGTACTGACTCATGAAAAATAATCATGAATCCCTAATTTAAAAATTTTACATAACAACATGCAAGTTATAAATTGGCAAAAACGAACGAAGTTAACATGTTTTTTTGTGTATTGAATGATGAAAACGATATATCCCGTTTCGATTATACATCAGGGGGTTTAACAATTTTTACCGTTTTCTGAATTCTTGGCACAAATTCATATCATCTGTAATTTATTACTTCAATACTTTTTGTATATTTGTTTCATTCCACTACAGATTTGGCTTTTTTTTTTTTTTACTAACTCAGTGATTGAAAGAAATAACTCAATCGAAAAGCATATCAAAAACGAAAAAATGCAATGAGTATTGTGTGAAGTGCAAAATAATCGGTCATTCCAAAACTCTTTCAAGAAATGGTCAGTAGAAGTAATTAAACCACATCCCACACCTACAAACAAGACAACATTCGATCCTCTATCTTTGGTTAAAACTCATTTTCTTGTTTTTGCTTGTTTCTTATTCTTTCTTTATATTTATCTTTATTACAATTTTTGATCACAGAGCACGTTTTTCGCAAGATCATTTATCCATCTAGAGTAATTATTGTAACAAAAACTTTTTTTCAGACAAGGATCTATAAAATACAAGCTGTGCTTTTTAGTAAAATCTCCACCTATATTTTGTTTTACTGTGTCTAGATAAATTTGATTGTTTTATAATGTAAATTACAACCAATGTTTGAATTTCCTGATCAATTGTATTACTTTCTATGGTGGATCTCTCCGTTTTATATTACCATGAGTATTTTGCGTATTGGTTCGTTACAATGATCTTGTACATCAATGTTCATGTACTTGAAAAGAAAAAAGACATATGTGGAAGGAAATAAAATGAGCTTTGAATTACAAATAAGACACGATAAATATCTTACCATAACAGAAGGGTGTATAGCAGGTAATCTCTCTATATCATTCACAGTAGTCCGACATGCTCCTATCATATCGGCTAGGGTTAACCGGCTCGGTACCCCTCGGGTCAACAAATCTACATCGAGTGAAGGAAACAATAATATGTGTGTATAATATACTCAAAGTAGTCGAATTATACTTTACAAAGCAGAAATTTAAAATCTGATTTTGGGGAAATTGTTTAGAAGAAAAGTACAAATATATAGCAATCCATGAATGTTTCTCCCTAAATCTAGGAAACAAGACATGAATGAAATCCGTTTCCGTGCATAAATATATCGGTGCTATGTCGGATAAGCATTATGATTAGCTTTTGGGGTCATCGCGATAAAACCTTGTTTATGAAATGGTTAAATGTATGAATGACATCTTATCATATTATTAGAAAAAAATTATTATATTAAAAAAGAAAAGATTCTGATAATAAAAAAATTATTCAAAAAAAGTGACAGATTGTGAGGTATATGGGGAAAAATACAACGACCGTGAGGGATGAAGCCGAGCGATAATTCGGCATAATTTTTGTTAACATCAATCCTTATGGAGGATATATATTTCTGTTGCCAAAAAGTGATGTTCAATTATTAATCAACCCTTTATTCAGTTGGATGTTCTCTACTTTTATTTCCCCTGTTTCATCTACAAATGGGAACATATTCCAAAGAAAATGTTATGAATATTTCGTTAGAACAAGCTTAAACAAGATATAATTCGGAAGCATGATTAATTATTAATAAGATGGTAAGGTATTTTTTCAAACTTTTATCAGCGATATAAAATATAATAATTGTGGTTAACTTTTATAATTTTATATCGATAATTTGGGGTTTGTTATATGATCATAAACGCTCGGGTTCAAAGCTTTTCTTAAGACATGCCATCTTACCAATGATTTCAGGCAATTCTGGAGCGGAGAATAAGTCATGTCCGATGATTGAGAAAGCATCCCCATGGTCACCCGCTCCAAACACCGACGGCTGATACCTGCTGAACATCATCGACCCACCCCCGGAGCTAGGGCGGTGGTTCAAGGGTGGTAGGCCCGAATGATCCCCCATCCTCACTCAATCTAATCCCTTGCACCGTAGATAAAACAGTTTTCAGTCTTCATGATGTGAATTAGCAGCATGTTTTCTTTAAAATAGTTTTTAGTCATATTACATGACTAAAATATCAATATTAATTATTTTCTTCATATGAATCTTATGATAAAATCGTAATGTGTGCTCCAACAAAGAAAGATTCATGAAGTTGAGATAAAAATATATTTGCTTGGTATATCACATTAAGATAATCACAGTCCACGCAAATCGTGAATCAAATAAAAAAAAAATATGTAAGCGGTCTTCTCTCTTTTGAAGTCTCTTCACAAAGTTCTTAGCACGTCACAAGGTAATTGATAGAAAATCGCTGAGGAAGGGTACAAAAGTTAGAAGCTGATGCGAAGTGTATCATTGTAAAATGCCAATAATATTTTGAATAATTTCCTGGGAAGAAAACCTGAACGTACTCAATGTTTAAGAAAATCCATCCATGGCCTTGATCTGTGTTGTCCAAACTCAACATAAGATGAAGAAATTCGTTCGTCTCACCATTTGCGCCTTATACCTCAGATGTAAGATAATAATATTTGGCTAGATGACATTGCGTGTGGTATATCGAGAAACCGTCTCCCTCCAATGTTGTCCTTCCAGATTTGATTACCAGATTGGTGCGGTTGTGTTGTGGGTAGCACACACGACACGTTCCTGAGACTACTCACAATAGCAACGGGGGTTAATGGAGTCACAGATTGTATAAAGGCTGTCGCACCGACCTAGTCAATGAAAGTCGATACCAACCATCATGGGAGGGAGAGAGGGGTAAACTTTACACCCCAGACAAAAATCGATAACACTACCCTTACTTTCAAAAACTATATGGCGTTGCGTCAACTCCTCTCCCGTATTTCGTTCTTTCTGTTGTCGTCATGGAAATCTATAACCCCTCCTCCTACCAGCCTTCACCCTTCCACCCCTTATTTTCCCTTCTCATCATGTTTTCAGAATAAATTCGACGTCCCTTATCATATATTGTGCCAGGGTGACTTAAGAGAACAGGTGTAGACGGAATTCAGTCTTGTTAAATAATGATCGAATAATGAATAACGATGAATTGAGACTCTAGTCTACATCAAGTTCTATTTTCTCTCACTTGCGGGATCATGTATTCTTAAATTGATTCAACTATCATCATGACTCAAATCATACTAAAATAATCTTACTAATATTACAATTGATCATGATTTGGTTACACACAACATGACTCTGAAACTGAAATGTTTAACACAGGTTATGACTTAACTACTATACAAGGTATGAAGAGAAAACGGGAATAAAGAATTGGTAATTGAATAAATTAAATGAAAGACGGAGATATAGGCCTAGTTAAAAAGTGATTCTTGTTTTGTTATGTTTTAGTCAGTGCTTATGTCCGAATATGTACGAATGAAATTATTCAGATTTTCAGTTAACTTAACTTAACTTATAATCAAATCGAGCTAACCTTCGGGGAAAAAAGATCATAAATATATCACTTTGATATACACATCAATATAGCATGCCTCATGAGGTAGTTGTGCGCCATTCTGACATTTGTATAGGTAAAGCATGCTTGTATAATTTACATTATATTCAACAACATCAAGAAATTAAAAATACATACACACTGTACTTGTTTTAAAAAACATAAACACAACTCGAGAAATAATTAAATATGTACTTAAACGAACTTAATAGACACCGTAGACATACATCGGGACACTTTGTACTGGTATTAATTTTTGTTATAGTGTCTCTTTCTATTGACATAATTTTAGTTGGGGGTCACTAGGGAACTTCGGATAGCAATTCAAAGTGAGGAACTGCTCACAATGAATCAACTAATTACAATAGATGTTTTTATATTATGAAGATTTTTCCGTCCCCGTTCAACTTGCGCAAATTCAAAACATCGAACAAACAATAACGTGTTTACATCTTTCATGTTTTTTTTTTTGTAAGGGCAGAAAATGACTGCGATACGGGAAGGGCAAAGATCACCCCCATACAACGATTGGGGAAACGTAACTCACTAGTACTAGTAGTCTGTCTGTCAGACGTGTATAATGGTGGATTCATAGACCATAGTCATAATGCATAGGTCTATATTATACCTTTGTGAAGTGCGCAATACAAGCATTTTCTTCACCTGTAATGAATAACTATATTTCAATAGTGAGAATATGTTGTTAGGACGGGCAAGTCATACATGGCAACAATAATTTAACTAGTGTATGCAGTTCGCATTCTGACTATATATATATATATATATATATATATATATATATATATATATATATATATATATATATTGACAATAATTATTCATAACAGATTAAGAAATAATTTGTATCAAGGCACTTCTTAGAGACGTATGCATGAGATTCGGTTACATTACGAAAATGGTTTATTCCATTTCAATTTAATTCAAAGTATTTCTTTCATTTCTTTTTTTCATACCAACAAAATATTGAAATAACAAATGTGTACATATAAAATGACATAAGCAATTTAACAGAGTATATCAACGGTTTTCACAAAAGGAAGACGGTGTAAATCTTAAAAGCATAATTGTTGTAAGCTGATGTCGGAAATGCCTTTGGGGAAGGGTGATCAAAGGGCCGTGAACCCTCCCCCTCCTCCGAATTAGGTCGTTCCCCCCCCCCCCCCCCCCGCATTAGGTCGTTCTCCAATTTACATACAAGCTCTAGCTTAATGAGGGCGCCAGAGTATGTTTGGCTGGGGCTCAAAGTTTTGTTTCGTAGCATTCATTCAGTACAAATGAAAAATCATTGATCTTCATTTTATATGATTTACATGAATATCAATATTTAAGGAAAATTGTACAGCCCTCAGATATACATGATATAATTAAATACATAGTGCATAATGTCTTCATATTATGATACTGAATGAAAATTATAGATCAAACTCTTCGATGCCGCTCGTCGATTCGATGCACCAGCTCCAGTGAGTACGTACATGGCGTCAATTTAGCATTACGTTCTGTTGCAGAGAGATAGAGCTAAAAAGGGGGGGGGGGGGAGAGAGAGAGAGAGAGAGAGGAGGGGGGGGGGGGTGGGGGGGGGAGGGTCGAAAGCATGCAGGGATGACCCAGCATCCAGCTATAGGCCAATGGCAATTGCCACTCCTAATTCATTTATCCTAAAATCCAGCCTTAAAAATCTAAATTTCTGTTGGATCCTATACCATTAGGGCTGTAATCTGGATCCATGTAATTATGGCTCTCTGTTTATATATTATGATAAAGAAAATTTCTCTCTTAATTTGTACAAACACGGAATAAATGTTGAATTCCAGTCATAGCCTATACCTGCATGCAGTTGGGAGAGGAGGATTCCCAACACAAACTATTTATCCTAACACTAACAGTAATGATTGGACTAAGAAAAGTCAACATCATCTTCATCATCATCATCATCATCATCACCACCACCACCACCACCACCACCACCACTACCGCCGCCAACGTCACCACCGCAACCACCACCACCACCACCACCACCACCACCACCACCACCACCACCACCACCACCACCACCACCACCACCACAACCAACCACCACCACCACCACCACCACCACCACCTCCACCACACCACTAGCTGTACTAGCTGTCAGTCTGCCAATGTCAGCCTACCAATGTACAAAGTCTATGGATAGTCTCACATTGCAGACTCTGTCACACACAACTACTGTCAAGGGTTCGTGACCTGACACACTGCACGTATGCATGCTAGCGCTAGTGGATAATTCTGGAACTAAGACTATTCCGGCGCGCTAACTCTTCACACACGACTCTTTCACTGATCACGTGTACAAAAAAAACAACGACGGGAGATTCCATATTTACAAAATGTCTGGCAGAGAAGGTAAGATTACTTAATAAATATACAATTTAGGTTGACCCAAAGGTAGCAGATGTAATGATTATACTCAAGATGTAGCTGTAATATTCAAGTTGATGATATCTATAATTTAGGGTGTCTTTTAATTACTGTGGTTCTTTTCACATACACACATCAAAGTAGGTGGGACAACACATTAATTTTTGGTAGTCAAATATTTAAGGTGGTAGGCCCTACGTAGTGTGGCATACTAGTGTAGTATAGAATGTCTCCAAAGAGTCCAAACCTGGTCAGTTTTACTTGTGACTTCTTGGATGTTTGTTTGTCATGTGTGCAAGTGCAAGAATTTGATTCATGATGAGATTAACACCTAATTAATACCTGATTAAAATAGGCAGCTAGCAGCTAGCACTTTCGGTAGGGGCACTGGTCCGAGAATGACGATTGCATTGTCCGCATGAACAAGGATATCCTTGTAAATGTGTACGAATTGTTTCCTAAAAAATAAGGCAGACGTTTATTTTGAGGGGCGCTCTGCAAAAGTACGGTTACCGATCCGAGCTGGCAATGCGAAAAATGAATTCTACATCCATAATAAAATACCCCCTGTCTTCTTTTAATGAGTTGTCCGTCTTCCCAACAATTTATCGTTCATAATGTGAAAGTCTCTGTGCTATGTATGTGAGACATGCATCATGGAGCATCATCGCGGCATCTGTTTTTCGCATCGCCAAATAATAAATATGTGGATGATCCTTATCTTTTAGGACGCGATTTGTCCACGTTTATGAGGGCGAGGATATCTTTGTTTATGCGGACGATCCTCATTCTCGGACCAGCGCCCCTATATACTGACTTTAATTATTTAAATTGATAAATTAGAAATTGAGCAGTTGCCAGGATCACGTCAGTTAATGAGTAATTGAGAGAGGGTTTTTTATGACTTACAAAATGTATAGACCTATGACACTTGAAAATCATTTTGCATAATTTTGTTTACATGTAATAAAAATTAAGTGGCTGCTGTTCATAAAGTCATTAAGACATTTTAAGAGTCATGGTTGTTGACTTTAAATTCAATTTCTCTTTGGTGAAAACTCAAAAAAGATGATCTAGACCCTAACAAAATAATTATTTGTCACAAAGTTATGTTTTAAGTTACAGCCAACCAAAGCATAGATTCATGTGATGTAAGTGCACTGTCTGAAAAGTATGAATTCTTTCTTACTTGACCCTAGATCTAGTGAGAAGAGTAAATGGATTAGATTTAGACAGAGACCTGCATGTTTTAATGATAAATTTTTGTGTATCAATTGTGTTTTCTGCTCTCATTTTGTTGTCTGCAGGAGGAAAGAAGAAGCCTTTGAAGCAGCCCAAGAAGAAGGGAAATGATTTAGATGATGTGAGTTAAATTAACAATTCAGATTTGAGTTTCAGCAAACTCTGAATTCTGCAATCTTTCAATTCTGGAAGCCTTTCGTTCTGTGTCCTTCTGAATTTGAATTCATCATGCAATGAACTATAATCAAAATACAAACATTTTAGCATCAAGTGTATGTTAAGGGGGGGGGGGGGGTGGAATAGTTTGTCATTTACTGTTTAATAGCAGAACTGTTTTGTACCAAGAAACTTTTGAGGATTGTTAATGGAGAATTTTTTTTTAGCAAGAAGCTGTTTTTAATTGCTCAAGTAACATGTAAGTGTTGTAATTCAAACCTTAATACAATGTGCATTTTTCATGAATGTGCAAATATTTACCACTACTCCAGTCAAAATTGATTTAATGACTACCACTCTATATAGACCACTTATTTTGTTTCCCTTGGTTTCAGTTGTTTCCCATTGAAACCTATGTCTTCCTTGAGTGGTCTTTGTATACCTGTATTTCATGTCTTTCCTGTGACCCATGAAACAGGATTTCAGTTAGCACATCTCTCATGTTTCATATCTGTAGGATGATTTGGCTCACAAGCAGAAATTAAAAGACGAGCAGAAGAAATTAAAGGAGGCTCAAGCCAATGCTTCCAAGAAAGGACCTATGGGTAAGAGTGTGAACAGAACTAAGGGTACAACAACATGGGCAAGTAAATCATCAAATGGCTCGCCCAAGCACCTACATGTCATCCACTATCCCTATCGAAAGGATAAGGGGTATCCTCTTAAATTCTGTGAAAAGTGTAGAGAATGTTTTTCTTGTTACTTCATAATATTAACTTGCTGTATTATGGAAGTAAGGTGTACATGTAAATTCAGTTGCCCAGCTAAAATATTGGTTGCCCTGGGTTGATTTGTTATGCATGGAGATTTGTAGCACCCTACAGCAATATTTTTCATCATGTACATGTAGGTGATTTATGGGGAGGGGGGGGGGGGGGGGAGGGGAAGAAAGCTTTCTTGTGAAGTATGACAGTGTTAGGATGTGGTTTCCTGCTTGGTTTTTTAAATAAAAATAAATATGTTGTGGGTTTTCCAGATTGTTATACTTACTGTATGCTTGAGGACTCATTTTTGTAGATTTGTTGAAGATCTCTAAAAACTGAATTGCTTACCAAAATTTATTTTTGCTGGGGGGGGGGGGGGGTCCTAATAAATGTGACATAATCCTTACTTTGTTAAACTGTTCAGTATTTTGTTCCTTTTGGACAACTGATGTGTTCCTATTTCCATTAAAAAAATTATGATTACAGTTTACTTCAATATATCTTACCTCATGCCCATGTAGTTTTTGTTTTTACTGGTATGTATTTATTGAACTGTTTATTTATATGTAGATATTTGTGTGTTTCACAGCTTGTAATGGAATTAAATTCTCCATTAGGGCTTTCCATGTTTGTGATTGTCTTCTATTTTTCTTTTCAGGTTCTGGTGGCATCAAGAAATCAGTTGGCAAGAAGGGTAAATGACCCCAATCTCCACCAAGTAGATACCTGCTGATCGTTTCGCACCAAGCAACCAACCAGCAGGAACGAATAACATTGCCGCTTCAAACTTCAATCTTACACACTATCTTTACGAGAAACTTGAATCTCACATGTCTTTGGAGAAGATGGCATTATGACTTTGATATCACACTTCTCCTCCTATATCCTTCATGTTCCTCATCCTTATTACAGCTACAGTGAAACCTGTAAAGAAAGACCATCGGATGGAGAAACAAAACGTTAGGCAGGTGATCTTTGTACAAAGTGTCCTTAAACACATGTTTCAATGAGAACCACCAATGGAGGGAAACAAAAATGGTGGTCTTTCTATACAGGTGGTTGCTGAAGTAGCTTTGACTGTATATTTGGTAGTTTTTCCTTCTCCCGCTTCAGAAAACATTTTTTGTGTGTTGCCTATACAAACTTCGAACAGCTATTTGAATTTCATTTTCCTATTTTTAAAACTTTACTAGTGCCATTTAAAAGAAGAAGACATACGGTATTGATTCAAACTGAGGCAACTTTCTCAATATTCCTCTGCATGTTCTAATCTCATGATTAAAATTGAATTACAGTGTAGTATATTTTTGTTCTTTTGTGAGGATTGTACAATTTAGATAACAAATTCAATAAGAACGTTTAAATCATTAGGAATTAGTCCTGTAAGACATCCAAAAGGTAATGGATGAGACAGTTTTGATATCTGTGGGTCAGGGACCTTTCTCAGACGTGAGTTGCGTAACTTAAGTTTGTCAGTACAACATATCTAAGGAATTCACTACGTAAAGTGGGTTGGCCCATTACATATTAGCGTTAGCTCGTTTCTATAAATTCAATGATCAGCATCTATTCTTTTCTCTGGCACATTTATTTGTTAGAAATAAATCTGGTTATTTATGAGGATTATATTCTATTTCCGGTACACACTACACTACATTCCTCTTTGGAAAGATTTTGACATGGAGAAGTTTCACAAAAGACAAGTATTAGTACTTTTTGTTGATATACAGGATAAATAGGGATTTCTGTATTGACATTTCTTATATAATTTGCATCAATATGAAGGATCATGATTATATTTTCCTCTTTGTATTTCTGTCAGTGTTATACTTGTACATAAAATAGGGTACAAGAATATTACAGATAACAAGAAATTTGCAATAGAAATGGGCATGTTGTTTAAACTTTACACTTTACCATTAGAAATAAGACGATCATCATCAGTTGAAATATTTAAGAAGAAACTTAAGCACCATTTGTTTATGTCGTAGTTTTAATATTGTATAATTATTTTGATGTTGTACAAGAGCGCCTTGAGCAGTCTTTTAGAATGGATATGTACGCTTTATAAATTGACATTATTATTATTATTATTATTAAACTAATTGCATGGAATCATGATTATTATACAAGAACATTGGGAATGTTGTAAAGTTTGAGTATTTCAAAATCTTGGACATCTAACGGTGAAGACACTCCCTTTGTAAACGTAACCGATTCATACCTTATGGGAATTTTGATAGCACCCAAAGTAGTATGAAAAGGAGGGTGTTGGTTTCAATAGACATATTTGACAATACCAATTTGTCTTTTCTTGAAATATACTTATGATTGCAAACATGATATCAGTGTAATGGCACGTAGATATCAATCTTTTCATGCAACAACTGTTTATAGATTGTATGCTCTTCGTTTTGTTCACTGCATTGGGACAGACAAGCCTGCTGCCATGAATTGTCATTAATCTGAGAAATTTGTAGTTTGATCACACTCTATCAAGAAAGTCACATTTGCAGACTGCTTCAAGATGGTCATGTTAAGATGAAACGATAGTACAAGGCAAATGCATTGTGAAATAGTATTCCAATTCCACCACTAGGACTGGATTGTCTATTTAATTTTACTTGATTTTTTTTTCCTCTCCTAATTTATCATTAAACCATTTCCTTTTCCCCCTTCTTTTTATTACTTGCTGCTCATACGTCATGCCCTTAATACTTAATAGTCTGGAATGTAATGCAAAATGACAATCTAGCTTGTCCGGCTGCTAAGTACGAGCTTGACTGTTATATTGCAGCACTGCGTCAAAGAAGGTAATCTTTTTGGAAAGGAAACAAGTGTACGATATTATCTCTGGAAATAAATAAATTCTTCAATTTGTTTTTGTACAGAACAATGGTCTGAGATTTTTATTATTTTGATGGTGGTGTGTTGTGAAATGAATGTCTTGAGTGACTTTGTACCAAACACAGGGTTGGAAACATTGAAAGAAGGAAAGTATGTTTGATAAAATCAAACTTGATAATTGAAGTCAGGTGGCTTTATTTGAAATGAGTGAATTGAATGATAGAAGACTGGTTCATATTTCAGCACAAGTCCTCCATAAAAATTGTGGGTCATGCTGGAAGTTTTCCAAACATATCAATGATGAATATGCACAAGGGGTTCTGCCATGTAAATGAATTCAATAGATTGTCAGCAATAGTTCTTGGAAGAAACATTACTAGTAGTCGGTAGTGTGGAGTATTATCAAGATATGCAATGAGAGTGGATGTTGGATGGTGATATACATGTATTATGATAATGTGAATATGCTCTTCTTGATAATACAAGATGAATGGCCTAAATATATTTTCTTGAAAAATTATGAAAACTGCCTAAATGAACTTTATAAGTAGTCACCTAAAGAATCAAAAGTGTTTTAAATTGATACAAAATTTATATCATTGCGAAGGGGAATTCTTACTGATCAAATATAACACCTTCCCTCTTCAAAATATGTTTGGGGCCCACAGTAATCATCTCTCAAAAATGTTAATTTTGAGATTCAGATTTTTTGCCTTCAGCGGTCTGTAGAGCGTCAAGATTTGTGACATTGCATGCAACACAGCTAGCCACAAAGCATTTTACGCTTTTCCATGATATCTATATGATTTTTGAGCAAATTATTCATGTTTTTCAAGAAGAAAAACAATATCAATAAATAATTTGTCTATAATTATCAGTCGTCAAGAATTTTCTTCGGGTAACTATTTTAAAGGTTCCACCACTAACAACATACACCATGTTCATTTGTAACACATTTCCTCTCTCACAAAAAAAGAAGAACTATGTTTGCAGACTATTCTCTCATTTAAACATAATATATAGCCCAAAGGACCCTTTATTAAAAAGAATGACAAATCATATGCTTTAAAATGATCTTAAATTATAGAAGAAAATTCACCATTCCTTAATATGCAGTATTAGCCTAATACATATTAATCTGAACACTTGAAATAAAATAAAAGTGACTATTACAGCATAATTCATGGGTGAAACTCTTGCACATAAACCCTCTTCCTTGAGATAGCTCATTAGAAATTAAATATGAAAAAGACCATCTTCGTGAAAATCGCAGCACTATTCTAACAATGAAAACTAATAAAGCATTTTTATAATCCATCTTGTGATTTAATACATGTTGTATTTGAGTGACAAAATGACAACCATCGGTAAAGCAGACATGAAGAAAATTATTGCAAACATTCTTTCTCTTCATGCAATTTCAAAAGTAAATCTACCCGAGCAATATGCTATTATATACATGTGTGCTAAACGACATTCTGCATTTCATGCACAGAATGAAAGAAAATGACATCCAACTTCTCACCACCAAAACATACTGTTAGAATCTTGCTCCTCTTGTCCCCTTTGTGAGTTGGTTTCTTAGAAATGGTAATACATGTGACATAATTGAAGACGAGACATAAATAACATTACAAAAGTAATATAGGGTTTTAGCAACACAATTTTTGGTTGATTTAATTTGTTATGTGAATGATAAAATGCATGGCAAAGAAGAGAACCTAGTTGAAAGAATACTAAAGCAGACCTGAAAATATTTTATTGCAGAAATTCTTTCTGAAAGATCCAACTGAATCATATATCTATGTACACGCAAGTTCTGCACTTTATGCGCATGGGAAAATGACATGCAAGTAATATCTATTGATTCTTCCATATACATTAATAATATGGGTCAGAATATCTACATATAATTCTGAAATAAATTAGATAAATGATCTTCTTACCACCAAAATATACAGAATACAATAAATATCGTATGAATGAATACACAGAAGTCATCACAAATGAATGCTTATTTGACAGATAATTACTGAACATTTAGAAAAGTCTTCTGAGATGAATCGGGCAACATAACAATAATATTTCAAAATTTCCTTTTAAAATTGAAAAAACAAAAAAAGAAAAGAGTATATGCCTCACTCTGTAATACATGTATATGGTTTGAAAACATGGCTTGCTTCATTCAAATTTCTCATATTTATCTGAAGTATTTAACTATTTGTTTCGTAGAAATTTGTGTCATGGCAAAATCAAATGTCAGACATTACCTCTAAATATATAAAGTGGAATGTGTTTTGAAAGGTGACCTTATGATAAACAAATCTACAAACATACAGAGAAATAAAATTAAAATATCTACACTCAAGTACATGTACAATGAAATAGCAAGAGATAAAGGAAAGATAAGTCCATTTTCTAGCCACATTTTGTGAAAAGGAGAGTTCCCTATTACAGCCTTGATATCATTTCATGACACAGTCATTTGTACATTCCCCTACAACCCATTGAAATGTGTGTATTACATTTAACACGTGTTTCAATGAGATGTCAGTGAACTTGTACTAATGATATTTTTGTGAAACAATGCACTGGCCCTCTACCAAAGAAAAGTCAAAACTGTAATATAGTTTCACCTTTATCATACAAATAGTATAACATACTTTGTTCCCAATTCATACTTTTTTTCTGGAAAAAAAAATCTTGCACAGTAGGTTGGGTATCATACATTTTCACTTACTTTCGTATTTAGACATGCAACTTGGAAGACCATGTAATCTCATTCAGAGTGCTAGTTTTCACTCTTATTGTTGAGACCTTTATCTTTTTTAATTTTTACATGAGACAAGTTTTTTAAAGATGAATACAGAAACAAGAACAAAGGTGGCTAACATCTCTTGTGCTAAATGTAAACAGGAATAGACAAACCAATTTCAGCTACCGGTACAGATTACACCATTGGTTACATCAAGGCTCTGCTACACTGTAAAGAAACAGGTTCTACCGTTTCACAATCGAAAATGAATATATACACAAACAAGAAGATATTATATTTCCTGCTGTTATTTCAAATCATTATATAAAGATGTATTATACTTAATTAATAAAAAGATAGTTATACAAAATATTCAAAGACTAAAAAATATTAATTGTAAAGGCATCTGGCAAAACATTGCTTGCAAATTAATCCATAATCTCCCACTTTTATTAGAGTCTACATTTTTTCTTGATGGTAAAATGAATACTGATTTTCTTTTTCAAGTATTGAACAAAATGATGTAACTTCATACACAAAGTACTGCCACAGACTTGATATCTGTACTATAAATTGTGGAATAGCATGCTTCATGACAAAAAACAACCAACAACTAGATGGAACTTCGACTGCGCGCAGTCGAAAATGATGCCTCCGTCAAAGAGCAATTTTACAAACCAAAACAGAAGAATTTTTTTTAATTCAAGTTCAATTGTAATCCATTAACAGGTTCTCAGAATATCGTGATTACAAGCAATTTCTCATATACATATATGACCCTTTGATCTTTGACCTCATGACCCTAAAATCTACTCAGTTCATTGGCTCTGCAAGATGTATTGAGTTAAATAGTAATCCATCTGTCAGTTCTAATGAGAATGCGTTCACAAGCTATTTTTGCATACATAATGAGCCCATGACCTTTGACCTTTGAACTCATGACCCAAGAATCTACTCAGTTCATTGGCTCTGCAAGATACATACATGATCTAAGTTTGGTAGGAATCCATCAATCTGTTCTAATGATAATGCGATCACAAGCTATTTTTGCATACATAATGAGCCCTGTGACCCTTGACCTTTGACCTACTGACCCCAAAATCTAATCAGTTCATCGGCTTTGCAAGATACATACATGACCAAAGTTTGGCAGGAATCCATCAATCAGTTCTTCAAATAACGCGATCACAAGCTGTTTTTGCATAAATAATGAGCCCTGTGACCCTTGACCTTTGACCTCGTGACCCCAAAATCTAATCAGTTCATCAGCTCTGCAAGATACATACATGACAAAAGTTTGGCAGCAATCCATCAATCAGTTCTTCAGATAACGCGATCACAAGCTGTTTTTGCATACATAATGACCCCTGTGACCCTTGACCTTTGACCTCGTGACCCCAAAATCTAATCAGTTCATCGGCTCTGCAAGATACATACATGACCAAAGTTTGGCAGGGATCCATCAATCGGTTCTTCAGATAACGCGATCACGAGAACGGGACGTACGGACGGACGGACGGACAACCCAAAAAACATAATGCCTCCGGCTACTTCGTAACGGAGGCATAAAAACAAATACATATTGAATAACTCCTGCAATCTTGTGCAGCAAGTCTATAGAATACTGGTCTATGTCATACACAATGCATATATCCCAAAGGAAATCATTTCAGGCATAAAGCCCCACAATTTTAATTTACCTTTGTAAATAGACAGGAGAATGAAATATATCCATGGCATGTCCTTGCCATCTTCAGTTTGCGCTCATCATGGCTCGTTTAATATGATACAGTACACTATGACTTTATTTATAATGATGTGAGCACAATGCGCCTCACATTTTCGTATCTCATAACACTCAGATAAGTTTGGATTGCGTGCAACTACTTTTTTCTGTTCCCATTTGCCATTCATTCATTTACAGATGAAAAAAAAAGAGGCTGCCACCTAAAAAAAAAAGGGTGATTTACCACGGCGTATGTAAGTGAGGCTTAAGGTTAACCAGACCGATGCAGGAGTTTTGGGTATTATCACCAACTTCATTCAATCAATCAATATCACTTCACAAAAATGAGATGTATTTCTTTGCTGCTGTATAAATAAAACAATATATACATAAATTATCTTTGCAGTATCGTGGCAATGCACCCTTTGGTCGTCACAAAACAGAATTGCACTATCCAAAACATCTGAAATAAAATCTGAACAAAATACAAATGTCTCAGTGACCTAAACTCAGCAATGTAACATAAATGCCAAGGAGGATGATGAGCCTCCGAGTAGAAAAAAAGGAATTAACTTGCACTTGACAAACATGTTGTATAATAAGAATAAATTTTGTTGTAAAATTGTTATAATTTTTACCTTCAGTTGTAATGAATAAAAATGAAAAATTCAAACTTAACCTAGCTTTTTCCTTTCATTCAAGTCAAAATATTTGCATTTTTATACTGAATATAACCCTTTGCTTAGTTTGAAGATAATAAGACAGGAAAAAATAAAAGACATTAACATGCTAGGTTAGTTCCTTTTTGCACCATTTTGTAATTGAATAATTTAAATTCAACATTGAGAGCTACATTTGTGACCTTGGTCATATGCTTCATCGATAAACAGTAAATATGGATCTCAGATACATCTATAGAGCCCATAAACGTATCATGAATAAGTATAAAATTTCCATTGGATGTACATATTATCGTATCATAAGGCACCTATTTTCAATTCAAAACTCTTGGCTTTCTCTTTTATCCATTTCAAGTGACTTCACGCCTTGAGTATTTTGAAATACAACTTCACGTTTGTCTCCATATCCCTTGTACACTGCCCGAGCCAGCTGGGCCTTCTCATCTAAGGTTTCACTATTCCAACATGTCCTGCAGAAAAGATGGCACATTACAGGGAAAAAAATAGACATAGCATGGTTAACTCAGCTTTCCAAGAACTAGTATCACAATCTTCCTTTTTCAACTGAAATTCAGAAGAGTAATTAATTAGCTAAATCGCACATTCTGACATATATAAGGTCAAATTTATTTTGAATACTCAGGACTGATGAAAGAGACTATTAGTTTGTCTGGTATGCATGCCATTCTCAAAATGACAATATCAAAAATATGTAAGATACAAAAAATATATTGGTACTACACGATCATCAAAATGCTGACAAAAGGCTAAGATACCTGAATCTGTAAGGCAATCTATGAACATGAAATAATCAAATTTATAAAAAATAATATACATGTTATTTTTCTCTTTCAACTTGAAATGAAGGCATGACAGGAAGTATTATGAAATGGAGGAATATGTTGTTGCTTACCTCATCCGAGTCGTCATGGTAACCCTGCAGTGACTCAGACAAATCAAGGGGATCATTTTCACAAGAATCTCCTTGACTCAACTTAGAGTATCTGTATGTCCTAATACTGGATGGAAGAAAAAAAATGGGAAAAAAAATCAGCATTTTATTTTCTATGTTGAAAAATAGTGAACAAACAAACAACAATAACATGATAGCAAGAATGTAAAAATATACAGCATGTGGGAGTATGTATCAGCATATTGATTATCACATTCGCAAGCAACACTGGCCCATGCCAGTGGATCAGATAGGATATAAATAAAAAACAAATTTTGAAACAATAATGAAAAATAAAGCCATAACTTTACCCCAGAGGTGATAAACTTCTTAAGCATTACTCACTCTACACTGTATTACATCAAAGATATATGGTAAGGGCCTAGGTTACAATTAACTTTCAGGTAAGGTTAAGGGTTAGTGTTAAGGTTAAGTAGAGTAGTGGGTCTAGGGTTGAAGTTAAGAATTTGGTTAGTGTTTTGAAAAAAAAGGCCTCAGATCCAATGTCGCTAAAAACATGTTGTGCAATCCCCTAAGAATGAGAAATATCTCACTACCTTTAAATCATGTTTGGCAAAGAAGGCTTCAGTCATCCTCTTTCTTTCCTTATTTTGTTGTCTTTATTTGAATAATAATCATTACATAATCTTGCAAATTTCTTCTAAAACATATTCATGTTTAAAACTTTAAAAATATGAATATAACCATACAAATATATTTTTTAAATTGTTGAAGTTAAAAAAATTAAATTAAAAAAAAAATTGAAAAAAAAAGATGTTTCAGCATAACTGAGCAGATACTGGTTAAGGTTTACTCACCTCCCCTTTAATACATTAAATGTTCCTTTCTTGTACAACATGAAGAGCAGTCCTAATGCTACTATAACAAGCAATGTGATGATGACCCCAAAGGCAGCTGAGTGTGACTACAAATTAAAAAAAAAGGAATAAAAGACCAGCATCAATGAAAATGTACAAGTAAACTTGACAACTTCCTACAGTAGAAAGCTTGTCATTCTACAAAATATTATGTGGATTTTACAACAAAAATCATATTCAGATCAATTCTCTATTTGACCCATTATCTTCCAGAAAGAACACTTTCAACAAACACCTTCACTTCTTTCAGAACTTTCTGAGTTATGACATTGCAAAAACATCATCTTGCTGTAATTTAGTTTCTCACTAATGCTTGAAATAGATCATAATAGATGCTTCATTCACAGTTCACTTGGTCAAACCTAAATTTTTGTCTATCGTTTATAGCCATCGGCACTAGTGGCAAATAAAGGGCTAATAACTAGCAATTAATCAATAAGAAGACTTATAAAGTACCACTTTCATTGCTCCCTAAAACAGGTCTATAGGATTGTGCTTTTCATAACTATTCTTATTGAACTACACTGTACATGTATCATGTATCCCTTGAACACACAAGCATAAAAAGATGAACATATTACATGAAGATGCTTTAATAGATACAGCAGCTCGAAATGACTGGTGAATTGTACATTTTTTATATAATCCTAATAACATTCTACTTGCCTTTATATAGAATACAACAACAAAAATACTACCGGTACTTTCAACAACATTTCTTACCTTTTTATTTTGTGATGATGCTCCACACTTTGTTTTCAATTGCTCTACATTCCTCTGAGGCTGGTAGCCATTCACACAACTATCTCCAGGAATTTTTCTATACCTGTGAAGAATTTCAAGAAAAAACATTTCCATTTAATACATTCTACTTCAATACAAGAACAAAGTCATTGTGAAAGGTCTGGAAAGCTAATGAAAACTTGCACTTTTGCAAATTTTGCAAGTGGTTAAGCTTCAAGAAAGTTTCATGCTGCAAAGTAATTAGAGTTGCATAATACTATATTTTTTATACTTGGCAAAATTTTCTTGCAGTAAATTCAAGAGTCGTTGCTATGAAGGACAAGCCTTATACAAGCTTTCAACAACAAGGGTAACTTCTGCCAAAGAGGTGTGCATAAAGTAGAACCAAAGTGATCATATGGATAACTTAGAGGTTCTGTGGTCCAGTTGATAAGCCATAGGACTGTCATTCTAATGGTACAGGGTTCAAATTCCTGCCACAGCACTATAATGTCCTTTAGCACATCACTGATCAAAATTTGTCTCACTCCACCTAGATGAAGTAAACGGGACATTCCTTCATGCCTTATCTAGGGTATTATAATAATATTACTTTTTTGGACATGTAGATGGCACACAATATAAGAGTGTGTAACTTACCCCCATGAACTCAATTCTTCTTCGTGTCCATTCTCACAGTACTCAAGGTCTTTGTGCTGGAACTCTGGGCTTAGGTTACAATCTGTACTTTTTGTATTTCTGTAAAATCCATAGTCACTGCATCAGATTGAAAGGATGATGAAGGAAGGTTTATCAAGTAGGAAGATTAAAGATTAAAATTAAATGGTGATAAATGGCTATTTAGTCATTTTCTGGGAGCAACATGGCCATAATAGAAAAAATGTCTCGTAACTAACAGTAGCAGGGCAAAGTTTGGAGAGGTTATGGAATTTGTTTTCTGACCATTTGCAGTATTGAAGTATCTGAGAGATTAAATATCCAGTTACTTTACAAATTCTTGCAGATGCAAATATAAAGATATGGATTGTACGAAGTAAAAGTGGTACTGAAATAACAAATAAAACGAGCTGAATTCCATCTTTTTAGGATTTATAACATATAGCCATTCCAAGATCTTGACAAAATCCTATCATAAGAAAATAAGTGCTGGTTACAAGTTGAAATATCATCTTGCCGATTTGTTAATAGGATATACATGTAGATATTTTTTTATGAATGATACTCCATAAATACGATGACATCACATCACCAGTACTACTATTTTCATAATATGTCTTGATATTGTAAAATACATAAAACATTAAAATTCAATTTAGGCCTATCAGATAATGAAGTGAAATCCCAAAGTGTTAGTGTTTTATCACATACATCTTAAAATTAAATAAACACAGGTGTTTTTTCACTCACCATTCATAGTCAGATTTGTCGCAGAGGCAGTGCATCGTTGAGGTTGGAAGCTGCTCAAACTCAAAGCTAACTCGACACAGAGCGTCTGGTCTAACTCTCCTGAAGGTTTCCTTCTGACCCAGCAGACACCCGGCCTTGCCATTGGTTTCATGAGGTTGCCAATCCATAAAGTCGCTTTCTCCACCTGTTTCATACACAAAATGGGACATATACCGATACATGTATTGAAATACGATTGTCATACAATTAATTTTATCTAAACAGGACATTTTACCAGTCTAGACAACTGTAAATGCTATATATATTAATTTTAGAATAATTTACGGTTTAATAACTTAACAATATCTTCCATTCTAGCTTCAAGGTTTCAACATTCTGCTAGAAAAAGGACTTGATTTAGTCTAGATCATTGAGGGAGATCATTGAGGGAGATGTGTGTCGGTCAAGTGCTTGCCCCTCTGGTCTGCCACAATGAACATTAGATTGACCCTACATATCATATACTCTACACTATTACATTCATAAATCATTACATTCTGTCAATATCTCAAAACTCCTGATTATTTGCTCTTCCTATTAAGTTCAATACTAATGGGGGGGGAGGGGGCTTAGCTCGTGCAGGGCCTTTGCTGTGAAATCCTCCGCCTTTAGAGATTCATAATAGCAGATCAGTTGAAATGTCAAAAAATAATCTCAACATGTACCTGTTTGATTGGGCTTATAATTACTTGTTCTCTTTCCTTTTGTATGTTCTATGTTTACTCCTGTTGTTTATTTGTTTATAATTGTTTGCACATGTGCACCTTGAGTATTTGATTTTGAATGGATGTGGCGCCTTACAAATCTCATACATTACTATGCTTATCATTACTCACATTGTCTTGAAAGAATGGAGCCAAAGTTTATCATGAAGGACCTCCACTGGCTATCATCCTCACCAAAGCCCCAGATGCTGACGTTGAGTGACTTCTTGCTAGGTTCAGGCAGAAGCCCTGTCACAATAATCTTCTCTTCTGTGAACTTGAAGGAATTCCAGCACTGACCCTCATCATAGGAAAATCTATCATACAATTTGTTTTCACGAACCATGAAAATATTATATATATCACAAGACAATGTCAATACTAATTCATTTTCAATCATTCGCTGTATTCATAGAAGGAATGGCATGTTCTGCTCTTATCTACTGCAAAGATACACAGGTAGGGCAAATTGGGATAATCATGACAGGCATGACATACATGTAGAGAGAGGATAAAGAGAGAGTGAAACTGCTGGGGCTTGCAATTCTATAGGCATCTATTAAGCTAACTACTTTCTTTAATGGTTTAAGATGGCACCAATGCAACTATGGAAAACTACAAAATCTCTTAAACAAAAACAATGATTATCCGTTGGCTCTTTTGGATCTCACCGTTGCTTAACTGAATGAAGCAAGACAAAAACAGATTTACAGTGTCGATAATTAATGACAAGGGTATACTATATATTCAACAGGCGATTTAAATTGAGTTAACTAAATTTCAAAAGTCCATATCGAACAGGGTTTTTCATTTTCATACTTCTACTTCAATACTATCTTCCTCTCTCTGAAGCATGCTATTATTTGAGCATTGTTTTACTTACTTGATTGTATCAGTGGTACCTTCAAGGGTTGAAATAGCTACCAGAAGGCCTCCACTGTTTGTGATGGCCAGATGATGTGGACCCTGCAGAGCTAGTCTCCAGTTGTAACCTCCATCGCTGGTCACGTACACGTCGGGAGGTCGTAGCTCCAATGAACTGGCAACGGTAGCTGCAGAAAGTCACAGAAACAAGAACAGGGTTCTGTAAAAGTGTCTCCTACAATGTCATGTTAAATATGTAAAAAAGGAGTAGAAGCAGTGGTAGGGTTGGTGGTTGTGGTTGTTGCTGTAATAGCTGTAGTTGTAGTTGTTGTTGTTGTTGAAGATTTTACTGGATAACATATTCAGAACATGGCTAATCTGCAATAAGCCAATTGCATAAATATTAGTTTGTTCCTAAAGAACTTTTATATCAAGTAATATACTTGACTTCTGAATGACCAAAGCTGAAAATACAGAAACCACAAAGTCTGCAGATGTCTTGACATTCTCCTGTCTTTCATTATCTAAAAAAATTAACTGAAAAGAAAAATCACTAAGGCAGCTTACCATGGACTAATAGGAGTCCAGTAGCTGTACTGTCACTGATGGGCCCTGTTGGAAAGCGTATGCCTTTCAGTCTGCTGTACTGATTGTGAATTTGTAGTTGGCATACCTGCAAACAAACAAACACAAAAGATAATGACAATTGGCTTGTTGAGGACTTACCATCATCAAATATTGAAAGGCATTTTGCATGGATACAATATATCCTGTACAACTTATAGATTAAAAGTGCCTGAAACAGAGAGATGACTGAAATCAGGCAAATGCCTGAAACTGTCATCTCTGATATTGATCTACCCCTGTTTCTTCACATGAGACTTCAGCTAGCTCTCTGATCATACTTAGCCCAAATACTTTAAATTACGTCTTCTACCACACTATGGATACTGTAGAAGTGTCTTAGTGTGTACATGTCTGACCATAATGAAGAAATCGACCTACCCCTGTATCTGCACAAGGGACTTCAGCTGGCTTTCTGACGGGAGACCAGATGCCTCCTCTGTCATAGGTGATTACTGTGTGGATTGTAGAGTCAGAAGAGACCTGACTGGCTAGGTACACACCTCGCATGGACTCCACCTTGTAGAAATCTGTTACCTGGTTTCCATTTGGAAACTGAAACAAATGAAAAATTAATTAATTTGGAACTTACAATAGTTAATAAATATCATTCAACACTGTAGAATGAAATTCTAATTTTAGCAATGCAGAAGAAAAGTACACATGAAGCCTTCACAATGCCTGCGGTTCAAGTCCTGCAATATTGATAAAATTGAATCATAACTGTAAATATTTTATGACAAAAATTGATAAAATTGAATCATATCTGTACGTATTTTATGATAAAAATTGCACAAATAACAGATCTCATAGTGGCGTAGACACCTGGCTTTAAAAAAGAAAGGTATTAAATTAGGTCTTTAAAAAGTATTTAATAGCCATTAGTTATCAAAAGTAGGATAACTAGTTTAAATAAATGTTTAACACAAGCCAATCATAACAATATAACTAATGGCAAAAATATTTCTTTAAAAATCCTCTCATATGTCAAGACTATTGAGGGCAAAGTTTAAAGGAGTTGTTCTTTATTTAGACCATGATACAGAGTCTTACAAATTTTACTCACAAGGTGACGTAATAGCGACTCTGCGAACACAATGCCATCAGAAGCTGATGTGTAGATTGTTCCAGTTCCAGTGTCTGACAAAACAAAATCCCCCAAATACACAGTTTGTACATAATCCACCTACAACAACTATCTTGCTAACCTTTAAAGAAGGTTTTAAAGGGATAGTTGAGTTTTATTGCAGAGGGGGCTACACAGAATAATTTGTTGTGAGATAATGAAAACCTTGAGTGTCAAATTTGAAAGAACATACAATTTAAATGACAAAATCATCTTTGTTTGATCAAAATTGATTCAGAGATGGCTGAAATATCCATTAATATAACGATTTCAAATATTAGTGGTGCTCCACAAATATTTGATTATTTGAACCAGCCGTATACGCCTTATACGTTTTATTCCAGCCAATTAATGCTGATGTTGTTTTTTTGCCATTGTTACACAAAAAGTATTGAAGCTTTGAGAATTTAAGATTGGAAGATGAGTGATTTCTTACTCCAATATATTTAAACAAAAAACTAATTCCATTAGACCACTAAAAAAAAGATTCCTTACATAAAAAGGGAAGTACATATCTTAATATGTGAGACTTTCATATAAACAATAGCCATATCTGCAACCTCAAACTAGTCACACTCACTCAGTAATTGTTACATGTATTTCAGCGGAGTAGGTCACATCTGTTTCCTTATGGGTTTTAGTCAAAACAAATCAATGGACATCAAAGAATATTTGTAAATCTTCTTTGAGTAAATACTATATCTTTCTTCCGCAGCTATGAGAATTGATTTTTATCAAGAAGGGGCCAAATGATAAATCTTTGAATAATAGCTGACAGAATATCTTTCTTATTTTAATGCTTAATTGATGGTCAAGTAATTAATCCTACAATTCCAGGGTAAGTTATAGCAACAGAACATTGAACTCACTTTCTGGATCGTCTACATGCATGAAGATGAGACCTTCGCTCATGTCCAGTACAGAGAAAAACTGGAAAGAAAGTCAGATCAAAAGAAAATTAATTGATTTGCATCTGACAAAGTGATTGAATCTCCTTTTCTATGGGTAAGTAATGTTAACTATCCAATACCATAGCAAGCTGACATTGAATGGAAAACATATATCTACATGTACAAGTAGACATCAGCCTTTTAATATCATTTAGACATCTGTTAATTTTCACACAGTTATGAAGAATAGAACTGTCAATGTTTCCAGCAATGTATACAATAAAGCACATTGTTGTGTGCCTGGCAAAAGACCAAAAATGGATGTTGATTCCAAGAAAACAAATTCCAAAGTTCAACCATTCTTTTCATATTTCTATGCAGAATAATCGGTAAGTAAATCATCCAATAAAGCGCTATAGTTCCTCAGCAGTCAAAATTAAACATTTTACACATTTTTCAACAAAATTGGTGATTGTGCCATTCTGCCAGCACAGGATGATATTCTAAGGAGAAAATCTGATAAATTGATCTACAACAATACATGCATTGAGAACAAGACAACGCAATCTGGAAGAAAATCCACTTACTCTATCGCTTGTGATGACAGGGAGTTGAGTAGGCTGCCAGGAATGCCCTCTGTCTGTAGAAACATGTAAGACATGCTGCACATCACTAGATGATTGCTGGGATTTCTGGGGAAGGGAAAGGACATTTTTTTAATACTGCTTCAATTTTTTTCTTCAAAATAAAGAATCTAATTCTCAGTTCAACTGTATATTACCCCCTCCCCCCTATGATAATCTCCTTTCACTTTTTTAATTATTTAACTACCCTACTGGTCCTGATTTCTGTAAAATTATATCACTTAGTTTACTGTTGGCAGTGAATACAAAAAAATTTGAACAAAATACTATTTCTGCCTAACCTGAAGAAAAAAAAATTTACAAATCAATACTAGCATCATGTGCATAATACATAAACGACTAAACAGACTCAGGCACATATTTAAATTTTGTTTTAAGCAACTCATTGTTTTTTTTCACATCACAACACTTACCTCAGTGGAAGAAGTGGAAGTAATGGCAGCATAGATGAATTTTCCTTGGATCCCAAAATTCTGAACTCTCTTTTGAACAGCTGAGTGGAAGAAAAAAAACAATGATTGTTTTAAAATGTTTATACAGCAATCCTCTGCAAAGAGAAATATTAAAATTACATTATTTCATCTTATAATGATTAGTTAGTTAATAATACTGGTTCAATCCCTATATTTACAAAATAAGCAACCATATATTGTTACTGGAGCTAGAGTCTTTCCAAAGCCCAAATCAATGATTGCGTCAATTTATAGAGCCAGGAAAGGAAGGGGCTCACTTGTAAAATCAGTATTCTGTATTTCTTTTCCTTCATATTTTATAACAACGAACATATCATTATTATATACAAGTACAGCATTGTACAACCATCTGGAACTACTCAAATTCATACTGGGATGTACATGTATAATAATGCATATAGCTTGGTGAAAGCACTTACTTTGAAATGACATTCCAATATTGGAAGTTTTTATCAAATTCAGTTGGCCATCTGTATAAATGAGAATCAAAACGATGTAACAACATACCATATCACTTCCTCATTCAATGGATTAGGAGAATGTAATTGTGTTTGATGTCACTTAGTTAAATACATATTCATATTAACTTTCAATACAAAAATTTCAGGCTATGTTTCCAAGAAATTACAAAGTTGTAAGATGATCCATGTACAATGAGTGTCAAACAAAACTTAATGAACAGACACTTTCTGTTATTTGTAATTGTATATTCAATTTGAAAATGTCTGCCTTTAATTAATTATTCATAGAATTAGAATACTACGCATAAGAACTTGTGTGAATACACCTACCTTCTTCTTGCAGCATAAAGAGATCATCTGGTGCGTTCATCTCTGATGCCGCCCAAGACGCTTGCTGAACATTGGATTGGAGAGCTTTCCATGTCATACCAAAGTCTCTAGACAACCAGATCTTATTCTAAAGATGGATCAGAAATACATCATTCTTGTATGTCGTCTCCCTCGAGCCAGAAGACCTAGGGTGTTAATTCATATTGAGTTGCTCCATGCTCTTGCTCTAATCAGAGGATGTGTCATATAAATCAATGATATATATATATCAGGTGATCTCTATGACTATAATTTGCATTATGCCTGTATCTTCAATGTAAGTGCTAGCTAAAGGTAATAGTCAGAGATGCCAACCTCTTGACACAAAAAACAGACTGAGTATCCTAAAAAATCAGATTTTCATGAAAACTTGACCAGTAAAATTTTAGAAAAATGTTTGCTCTTTCATTAAAATTTAATGAGAAAATTATAAAGCAAAGTTTTTGTTGGGGTTGCGGGGTTTACTTGTACATGTTTCTATGAGATTCCACTGTTTTTATGGGTTTTAAAAAAATTATTGAAAAAAAAACAACAAATTAAAACAAATTGTTTTTGGTTTTGTTATGTTTTTTGTTGAAAAAAAAGATGAAAAATTGTATTTTAAGATTTTAAGATTGTATTTCACTCTTATTATCGTACTAAATACGATTTAATCGTACTGGTTGGCATCTCTGAATTCAGACCGGTAATCTGAATTGCATTCCCATTCCAACATATAAGATTCCTCTTTTTAAGAGTTTTTCAATTTTTACAATCACTAAAATATATTTATATTTTTTTTTGAAAAACCTCTGTATGTGTTTGCGAAGGGGACTGGAATTTATATGTTGATAAGCCTGGTTTAAGTTTCAGCAACCATTTATTCAGAGCACTGCAGTGCATTTCAAGGTCTAAATCCTACCATCAAGTAAATTACATCAACTGTAGATAACCATAGATTGTTTTTTTTTTCTTGTGCAAGGTCGACACTCTTAAAGGGCCACCCTGACCCAACTAACATAATAATAATAATAGGCATTTCTATAGCGCCCTCTATCTAGATAATTCTATTCCGAGGCGCATTTATTATTACCCGACTTTAGCCTAGCTGCTGTTTATACAGCGCTCCAGCATTTCAAGGAATGAATTAATTTCTGAGCGTTCTGAGTCATTTTTAAGGCTAGATTCCAAAATTAAAGATGATTTCTAAGAAAAATCATTGTCAAGTTCGGAATAGCCCGTCTTGGTGGCCCTATAATCTTAGCATTACTAGTCAAGTGTTTAAATCACTCAACTATGATATTAAATGCAGTTCTAATCTAGCAAATGTGCCATTTTCCCCCATAAATTTGCAATGAAGTATACATGCACCAGATTCACACTTTAATCCACAAGCTATGATGATTTGACCCTCATATTTCATCTCAAATTCTCAATGCCAAAATAAATTTGTTTTTTTAATCATAAAAATTCTCCTTTCATGCAACATTTCATTCCTGGAATTACACAGTCTAGGTACCTGTACATATTTTTCAAAACAGAGATCAATCAACCATGGAGGCAGCTGTGCCATTGTAAATAAAGAACTTATACTGTATGTTAAAGTACAGTGTTATACTGAATATCATGAGTATATCACTTCAGACAAATCAATAAGGTATACATCTGATCTCTCACAATGCACAAATGGCAAAAGTACATATATATATATATATATATATATACATACACGTCTATGCATTTATTATTTCTCTTTGTCATGTCAGAATTCAGAATACTTATATCCATTAAATGGAATAGCAGAATGGTGATATCTTAATTTAATCCAATTTTACATTTTGGCTTATATTATCAATATTCCAAAATATTGAAAGCTGGATTCCTAATGAAATTAAATAAGATAATTATCCAATACAAGTTTGTTACCTCTTCAATGCCATGGAAGGTGAATTATACACAAGAATTTAAGTTTGGATTAGTAATGGGTTTTTATTTCATCCTGGAAATGAAAGGGGGCCTTACCTTTTGGTTTATCATTAATTCATACACATTACATCGTCTGCTAAGAGCCAGGAGGGCATTGTCTCATATCTTTCAATACAGAGCCAATGCCCTCCTTGCTCTAGCTCAGCAGATGAAATGCTCCATTCATCGTATTACACAAAGCACTGTATTACAGTCAAAGTTTTTATCTTGGAAGTTCATTTTGAAAGTGGTAAAAATACTGCAGTGACAAATAAGGGGGTTGGTGTGGTGTGATATATTCTGGTTTCTAAATAAAATAGCTTTTGGAATGGTAAAAAAAAAGGCCATTCCACTCTTTCATGGCAAAGATTTTTCATACAAAGGTACAGATGTATATTCACTTACTTCCTCGTTAGGTGTTTTAACATACATAAGATCCTTATGGGTAGGATGGAAATAGATTTTTCCTTCAGGATAGAAAGGGAGCACAACAGCAGAGAAAGTACGAGCTCCATCTTTGGAGATGTAGAATTTGGATGAAAACACATCCATGTCAGACATGTAAGAGATAAGGATAATCTGAAAGAAATAAGATAGAAAGGATGAGAGTGGAGCATAAATATTCATGTTTTCTGTCCCTCCCTTAAATCAACTAAGCAGTTATGTTTTTGATTTTATGTATCTACCCTTTCATGAACAATACATTTGATTTTTGAACTTGTTATATTTCGAATAGCATTGAAAAAAAAGAAGTGTTTTAAAAAAAATATCAATTTGAAACTTACTTCCCAGTTCCCTGTGCACAAATTATAATCACAAAATTGTTTTAAAACATTCCCAATTTTTTCCATCGTAATGTTTCTTTATTCTGGTTTCTCTTGTTATTCTAGTGACCTACACATGTACATGTATATATACACCTGTAAGGCATACTGTGTAAACAGAATCAATGCTCAAAGCATGGTAAATACATGTAAGATACAACATACAAAACACAGTACACACTATCATCTAAGGCATGGTGCGTACAGTATATATTACTAAAATCTCTCTATAATCATAATACCCATTTCATTCTTTATTTTCTATTTCTATTTTAAATAAAAACAATATGTTTTCTACATTTCAATGCCAAATGTGCCACATCATGTACATGTGTTCAAAGGTTATCTTCACATACAGTATATGGCCATGAGAATCAATCAATTCCAATTGATGCAAATTAATTAAATTATTCAAAATTATATTAACGAGTTGTTAATGAATATTAATATTTGCCAAATTAATAAGACTTTTTAGTGCTGAATATTGGCATACATGATCAAGCTATAAATAGTATTAAAAAAGATCAGTTAGAAGAAACAATTCATTTATCTAATGTTATGAACTAGACAAAGTTTTTCAATAATACACATAATGAAGGTTGTAAATACAATACAATGTAAAATGGTATAGTTTTTGGGTAAGTTATCATAACTCTGTTTCCATTTCACTGGTCCCAATGAAAGGATCTTATAAAAAGTTAATGTTCAATTAATAATGACTTTCAGATAGTCCCTCTTGAAATACACTAGAACCACATTTTACTCACATGTACAGTATATTGATTTCAATCAATGTAATAATGTTATATTACCACAAGTAAATCTAGCTTACCCTCTGGGTGTCGAGAGGACTCTTGAAGATTCCATTCGTGTTTCTAATGATTGCTCCCTCAATTCTATCATCAATGTTAGTAAAGGTCTTCCCATAATCTAAACTGTAAAAAAAGATAAAAAACAATATGAAATCACAATGGGTTCATGAACAAAATATAATTTGATCTAATAATTGAGGAAATGTCTGCAAGCTACTGATATGAATTTACCTCAGAGTTTAATATATATATATTTTTTAATAATCAATCCTCTCAGGTGCTTGCAATCATGTATGCTTAAAACTTGTCTATCAAAAACTCTGATTTACTTGTTTTTCCCAAGACTAAAAAAATCATGGAAGATAGAACTCAATGGCACATACTGGACCTCCTCTTTGAAATCAATTGCCACAAGTTGTTCACAATACACGTAATAGTTGTACTAGCAGATTGTTCTACAAATGCCCGCAAAACTATCTTTGTATGTTTATGTTGTACTTTATTCAATTGCTATATATATATACAGTGCATTATTATGTTCTTATTTCTCTTTTTATCAACTGTGCCACAAGCACATTGTGTTGAGTTGGAACATCACAAATATTTTATCATCATATCAATATTATGTATTTCAATCAACAATTTCACAAGATATATTAATGATATCACAAGGTGAGGAACACTGACTGTGCTTTGCATTCATTTGTGTAAAATATAACATCTGTGCTTCGTACAGGGTCAACCGTGCTCAAAAACAGACAAAAAGCGTTTAGTACAGACATTAATATTTGCATACTTATAATGCATTTATAAGCACAATTACTTGTTGAAAGAAAACACCATATCACCTTGCAAATCAATGCATGATTCATATATTCAAAAGAAATACAATACACCATTCAAGGATAATATATCACTTCCTTGTATAGCACAATGCAGGCACTATTTATAACACATGCACACAGTGTGGTTTTAATCTGTTCATGGGTAGTCCTATGGCTTATATCCAATACTTCTCATGGGTATACAAATATCAATTGTGCAGTGAACAATGAACTGTGTCTGCCCAATTATTTAATTTATGTAGAGGAACTGTTTACATGGCATACATGCAACTGTGCTGGATGCTTCTTCGCAGTAGTCATTTGGAATGGTAATTGTTAAATATTGAAAAACATCATTTGCAGCCCCCCCCCCCCCCAACAAAATAATGGACATTAATCTTTATGTTCAAGCATACGAAAATCAGTTTCTGTAATTTCAGATCATATTATATTAATAAATCCCTCACAAAGGGGGAAGGTCACCATGAGTGTAAATATATTCCCCAATTAAAAACATACATCAAAATTTCAGTTGTGGCCTCAGAGCTACAGTGTATGCCACTATAGTTATCTCAGTATACATGTAAATACAACATCAATTATAGAATTAATATGCATCCTCTTGAAAGGAAGAAAAGAAAAGAAAATACTAGGAACTTGTTGACATAATTTCCTTGGTTTGCCTCTTCTTTTACATTTTCGTTTTGACAGATACATGTAACATAATATGTGATAATATATACTGCATCAGCCTATTGGGATATACAGACAGCATGCAGCCAAGAATATACTTTGGTCGACTTGTGATGTATAATGAAAACTGTTCTGCCGTTATGTGGATCATAATAACAAATTTGTCTCACTGAAGAGTGTTGTAAAACTATGAATTTAAAAAATTGCTCTCACAACAATCACAAAAAGCAGTGTTGATAACATCAATTTATAGTAAGACTGGCTAGATTTATATGAAATAAAAATGGCCCTAAACATATGCGACGCATATTGAAATAGCAAAAATATGTCAGTTTTCACAATTCATGCACATTGCAAGCTTTTGCTTTGAACAAAAATCCACAAGTTTCATTTAAACCTACCTTAACCATATGTGGGATTGGCCAGTGAAGAAACCATATTGCATTGTAGTGAGTGCCAGTAGTTCCTGAATGTAGTAAGGTGCAAAAAATAAGTTTCTTAAATAAAGTTTCTATGTCAAAATCAAATGTGAATAACACTGGTGGAAAGGGAAGCAGGGTGGCTAGAGTGTTACCTAAAATTTACACTATTTAAAGAAAAACCATAGTTAAAGTATAAATGCTTATTTTATTGTTTGTAGATGTTGATACTACTAGTATTTTAATGATTTTACACCTTAAAGGTACTATGTCCCATTGCAGGCCAAAAAAATGAAAAGGTTAAATTCCAACAGCATTTGAAAGATAATACTAATTTAGAACTTCCCTAAAAAAACGGGGGGCTTGAAAATGTCGTTAAGTGGGAAAATAAGGACTATTGGTTGTTGAATCGACTTAAGAGCTATAGAGCCAGTAAGTAATAGTCTTGATTTTCAGACCATTGTACCAAATGGTCGTACGTTTTATGCTGTGCAAATATTCAATCAGTTTAATTTTGGCCATTACAAGAAGTGGGTTACCAGTATTGATGTAGACAAATGCTCATGTACCTTTGACAGCTCATTTTATGTACATGTACAGTATGTTATTACCAAAGAAGAAAAAAGCCAGTCAGTCACTCAATAGTGTCTGACAGTGAAGTCTAGCATGTAAACGGGTTTCTTTGCATAATTTGAATATTAGGACACCACTAACGTTTAAATTTCACAGATATACATTTTCATATACAATTTCACGGCATACATGACCTATTCATAATATCTGCAAAGTTCTACAGAATTTGATGTTGGCTGCAAAAGGGACATTGTATCTCTAATGTCTAAGGCTAGACTATACAATTTGGATAGTAAGAGAGAGAGAGAGAGAGAGAGAGAGAGAGAGAGGGAGGAGAGAGAGGGAGGGGAGAAAGATATGGAGAGACACAGATTTGCAGACAGGCAAAAAGACAGAGACATGGAAAAAGATAGATAAAAACACACAGGCAGAGAGAGAGAGAGAGAGAGAGAGTCAGAAATTTGTGTACAGTACATCTGCCATACTGTTAAAACTGATAAACAAAACAGGACCATCAATTCTTCTGTTTATGAATATGATAAATGATATTTGTGTTAATCATGTGCATAATCAACTGAAATAAGAAATGGAATGTATAATAAAATTAAACATACAAATTGTCGTATAACTTTAGGTTTTCTTATATGAATTCAGACCACCAATAAATAAACACATGATATTGAGAATGTGATGCTACATGTAATAATTAGTGCTGTAAAATCACGGATATCTTCAATTCCGTTTAACCGCCAGTCCAAACCGGACGTTTTTTTTTTGACCGACCGGCAGCAAGACAGGTCCGTGTGAAAAAGCGGGAAGGACTTTCATTTAACTGTGAGGTGCATTTGAAGGCGCCAATTTGTGCTTGTGAACTTGTCACAAATAATAATAACAATGTCGTTTTTAGAAGAATGTGTAAGATCATTAATGTAAATTAAAAACAGTAGAGGTCCTAGGATAGAACCTTGTGGTACGCTGTGTGTAAAAGTTGGATGAATTATTATGATAAACTACCAGTACATATCTATTACGAAGATTACTTTCAAACCAAGATGACAGACAAATTGGAGTGTTGTTCTAGTTTCGGAGTGGTGAGTCAACACACAGATTACTGAGCTGGGAGACATTGCCAGGCATAGTGCCAGGTGGAGGGGCATAAATCGAAATTAAAAAAAAAACAAAAAACAAAACAGGAAAACAAAACCGTCCAATTGAAAACGGAATCGGCCATGGGCGGTCGGATACCGGACGGTTAAACGTTTGACTACAGCACTAGTACATGTAATAATCTATCAAGGGTCTTGTAATGTATGTACAATCTACAGTATATATTAAATATATTCTTACACAATGGAGAAGCCTGAACCTCTATTCTGTGTACTAACCTTGCTGTCTTTCCCTGTCCATATTAATGCCAGATTGAAGTTGCTGTCATTGAGATGGAACTGCAAATTAAATTTTAAACATGAAACAGCTTTTGTAAACATTCATAACAATTAAACGTTTTGGTAATGCAAAACTAAACATTTGGTCAGACCGCACTGCTGAGTTCTACATCCAGGATCTTTACATTGAGGCATCTCAACCTTAAGTAACTTAAAAGTTTAAGTAAGTCTACTTGTAATTGTAAATCATACTTTGGACTTTGGTTTAAAAATGACAAAATCCTTCTTTTGAAGGGATGGGGTAACTTTGTCTCAGATTCTGAAACAAAATCATGGATTTAGAGGTCTAGCTCATGCTGCAATGATAATTATAAACCTTTATAAGATGATGACATGAATCCTTATCAAATGATTGGTTGAAAGCGTACATGTGACCCGGCATATATTTTGCCTAACACGTAATTTGGATACTGACCAGTCATTATCCAATTCTAATGACCAGTCATTAGTATAATCATGTTATAATTTTATTATAAAACATCATTTTATAAAACAAATAAAACATAATCTTATAAAACAAATAATACACAGTATGTTAATCGGGCATTAGTAAAGGTACCTTTGTGTGTATAATTTTTACTAATGCCCTCACTGTGGTGTATTATTTGTATATTAGGTCAGTCAGGAACCCCATGACTTTTACAAGCCTGTCTGATTATCAAGATATTTATGATTGGAATTACAAATTTTGAAAACCGTTTGCCAAACGGTTTTCATGACACTACAGTCTATTGGGGAAAACGAGTATGAAGCGGTAATGGCAATGTGATGTAGACCCTAGTGCTGGACTACTTTCCCATCTGTTCCAACATATGAAATAACTCAAATTTAAATGTTTCAAAAATTAATGGCTCAGAGGGGTATTTACCATATTTTCTTTTTAGAGGACCTATTTATGTTTATAATATATTTTGAGTAGTGCCCAAGGGAGAAGGAACTTACAAGAAATACTGAAATTAGTGATATTTCTGTACACAGCGAAAGGGAGAGTAATCCAAGTACTGTACCTCACAATCCACTGACCAAATTACAAGTACCAATTTGAGATTCGCATAGACTTTAGTGATCTCATATTTCAATCATTCATTACTTCCTTAGATCAGATCTACTAAAGTACTATTGGTCCGATTCATTTCAAACTTTTGCCATTCTGTTTTTCTTATTTTTCTACTTTCATACAAATCAACTTATTACAAGGGTGGCTATCCAACCTATCCAAACTTCAACTTTAAGTTCTTGTTTGAACTTTTATAGGAAAACATAGCCATAGACATAGTTAGATAGACTATAGAGTCTATGGGAACTCATTGTTATATGCTCTAGCTCCTAACTATTAGGAGCCAGAGCATATAACACTGAGCTCCTATAGGAAATATATTCATTCAGATGGTCATATCTCAGCCAATACTTAATATATTCGTTTGGTTTCAACATTTGGACATTATTTTTTATGCTCTTTTGGAAAATGAAGAAAAAATGAAGAAATTCTAAAAATAGATTTTTGATGACGTCACACTTTACTACTCTATACCCTCGCCCGCGCTTGTGCGCCGAGTCATGAAAATGTCACGCATAGCTTATCTTTGAACTTGGCGTCTCTGAGGGTGTCTGATTATCCAACCATATAAATAGTGAAAAACAATTAATTCAAAAGGGAAAATTAAAAAATCATTCAGACACTCGTCCCTAGTCCCTACCCCTGTACGATGTGTCTCAATTTAGTGTTTCTGTGTTTCTGAGTGGTCTAGGCACCGTGCGTTACAAAATTAAAAGATCACTGCGCACGCACGCCGAGTAGCCGAGAAGCCTGTTTCAAATCGAGTAAAGCTAGTTTTCCATGCAATCGAAACCGGGCTGACCAGATTAAACTTTTAAAAAAGCAGAAACACGAAGTTGCAAACCATCCAGAGACTCTTAATAAATTGCATCCCTGATTAATTAATTATAGAGTCTATCATTACAAATCTTTATTCTCAGTTTTCTCATGTATAACTGATTTTCTTATAAAATTGAAGATATGGCGTATATATTCAATACTGAATGAACGCCATTAAACTGTTACCAACAACAACAACAACCCTACCACTCTAGCAAAGCATAGAGAGTTGATGCTAATGCGTATTGACCTCTAGCACTGCATTACCAGTACGTGTTAATAGGCAGCATTTGCACACGTGAATAGTCAATAGCCTACACAAATGCACACAATCATGCCAATGTGGCTGATCGGCAAAAAGACTTAGACTAGGCCTACAATTTGAATGTTTATGGTTGAAAAAATTGTATTTTACTGCAATTCAGGTGTCATCAATCGTCACTATAAAGTAAAGAGTAAAGTAGTCTAGACTAGATCTAACGTTAGATCTAGATCTAGCTATTTTGAGTGAAATCATTTGAGTTTCGTACAGTAGACCTATTCAGTAATGTTTGAAATGTTTAGAAAGACAATAGTCTAGGCCTAACTATAGCACAGCTTTTAATACACAGCCAGGATAGTAATACAGCTAAGTACGGATGTGTGGTCCCTAACCTATATAAAAACAAATCACACCCATAAACCCTTGACTTGTGCCACAACTTGAGTTGTGGGTTCCCTGGCCTGCCCTGCTGGTGGTCCGAGTTAGCCCGACTCCATGAAGAGTTGTTGACTGAAGTTAGAAACCGAAAAAAATAAAACACCCTAAAGTATAGGATAACCAACTTGTGTTACCTTATTACTAGATATTTGATCAATTTGATCACCAGTAACTCCGCAATTAGCTACTGTAGATGTGGAACGAACAATTCTTCTGCGGCTCGAGCTCGATCTGCTAGACATCGGTCGAGCAGCACGGCCTCGCGTTTCGCCGCCCGCCTCTCTGGCCACGTCAGCTTCATCGACTCCGTTGAGTTTCAGCGAGTTACCCCTAAAGTTGTAAATGTCATCCAAAGATCTTGCCGGGCGCTCCTGGGTGAATTCATATATGTCATTGTTTCTTCCTGGTGTTGTTATTCCAAATATTCCTATTTGAAAATTAGCGATGAGGGAAAGGAAGACTAAAATGTTCGTGAGAATCATTTTCTAAAGGTTTTTGCAGACGCAATCGTGTCATAAGATACTGTTACCGCAAGATTTTTCTTTCAACGTGAGCTTGTGCATATCTAGTGTTGACAATATATCGTCGGAGGCCTTTTGGGGATATGCCGCGCTATACCGTATATAGGCCATAATATAGTTCTGCCTAAATTACCCAAATATAGAATATATGTCAAATTTCGAAAAGTTGATATTAAAGAGATATGAGGAATGGATCAAAGTGAGTGAATCAGAGTGGGCTCGGGAGGGGGGGGGGGGGGGGGTTATGTCAAGGGCACACACACACAAGGGCGTCGCTTGACCTTTTTCAAGGGGGGGGGGGGGGGGTGCCTAGAGGCCACCGATTACCGACAAAAATAGCCACCAATTACCGACAAAATCTAATGTCCTAATGTCTACAAATGTAACCCTATAAACCCGGGGCCGAAGGTTAAATTATTTTTCCTTTGAACTATCTATAGTACTTGCGTATATACGAACATGGTCATTTTCCTCGACGACATAAATACGATTTATTTCATCTACTTTGAATGTTGATGCACGTTGTTCTCGCTCAACGTACAAGCCTAGCTTTTCTGAGATACCCTTTTTTCCCCTCTCAGTTAAATCAAGCAATATAAAATAATTTGTCTTATTCTCAAAATTAAATGTACTCTGTAAACTTATTTGATTACGAACTTATTTGTCAGTCTTTCGTTACTTGTATAATTCATTTGTTCTATTGCTGTATGGTTTATAATTATATGTCATTTAATTTGTGGATATTTGAGTGGAAAATAAATCAAATCAAATCAAATCAAATCAAACTTAGTCAGCATCGTAGCTATACATTTTAGGGGGGGGGCGGTAGTGAGCGCGCGAACCGCGGAGGCTTTGGCGATTCCTTAAATTATTAGACAAAGCAGACCATTTACTGTTCTCGACTCTAGAAACTTCCTCCTTGTCTGAATTCAGTTTCCCTTTTCCGCGCAAAGCGCGGAAGCTCTGACCTAAGGAAAGAAGACTATTCATGTATCGTTATCGTCTCTTAATCCTTGTCTGGATTCAGTTTCCTCCCTCCCGCGCGAAGCCGAGCCCCCTGAAGTCCCTGGGTTTTCATGCTTTTTAAGACCCCAAAACTAAGCGCAAATAACTGTGAAATTCAGAAATAGACCTACGTTCATTGGTCTATTTTGGAAAAAGAAAGTGCAATTTAATGCGAATCGTTTCGCGCCTTATTACAAGTGTTGAAGTAGGCATGCTTTTCACAATCAGGCATATATTTATTTTTTCAATCGATTGGAAAGTTCAAACTACTCTCACTTCGAGGTCCGAGACACAATGTCCCACGTCAGCCTCATTTAAACAAAAGAGGGCCTATATGATATTCTTAATAGTTTAGATACAACTAACCTTTCCCCTCCAGCTTGCTCACAATATATGAAATAGAAGTTTAAAGAAAGGATGTGTGATGGCTGTGCATTAAACCCGTTTGGAAGTGTACAGGTTGATGTTATTGCTTCTCTTTTGAAATACATTTTCGGCATTGTGAACTTTATATCAGAAGCGCAATTTGATTTATTTCAAATGTTGTCAACAACTTAAATGGTAATTCCTATCGCACTTCAAAATGCTCAAGGTGATACAATTTTACAATACTTCTTTAGGGATACACTTTTTTGAAATACCAGTTTAGGGTGTGAATTCAGGAAAAAATATCGCAAAATCCTCATTTGGGGTACATTTTGGCTTCAGAAGAAATCCTCGTTTAGGGGGTGTCTGGAAAACCTGTGGTCATGGATGCTTACATTATTACTACATGACTGAGACCACCGGGACATATATACTGCAATTTGGAGGAAGTAAATATCATCAACCTTTAAGCATTTAGCTGCCAAGAATACATAATCATGAATACAAAAATTATATATTCGATCACCTCGATACACGAATATGAGGATATTCGGGCATCTCGTGTTTCTAAATATTTCCGAGCGAGCGACTGGGTGAACATGCGTTGCCTGTATACTTTCGATATTTTGAAAAATATACGCATTTATTCATGCATCTCGGTGCTGCCCAAATTATGATGATATTCGAGCACCTCCTTGTCCGAAAGATATTCTGGCATCTCGTTGTCCAAATATAGAGGTATATTCATGCAGGCATTTCAAGCAATGCCTGAAATTGAGCCAGCGCAGAAAAAAGACTTATTTTTCTTTAAAATATCTTTGCTTCATCATAATACATATTGCAGTTACTACTTAAATATGCTTTCTTCACGAAATTGACGATTATGTCAAAGTGGATCCAAAATGGACCTTTAATCAGTTTCTCTCGCGGCACTTTTAAAGATGTCTTGTGGTTGTAACACGCTGCTCTAATTTTTTCATATATTTTATATTCTTCTCACATTTAATTTGCTCTTTCTTCAATGCGCGCATGTCACTTTCTCATTTCTCCTCTTTCTTTTATTTTTTTCCTTTTTCCGTTATCCGTACCTCTAATTCTTTCTTTTTCATATATTCCATCTCCCTCATCTCATATCCCTCTCTCGTCCTTCCCTTCTATTTTCTTTCCTCTTCTTCTCTTTTCTTTCTTTCTTGGCTTCTTTTCTTTCGTTCAGTTTCCTTTTTAGTTCCTTTTCCCTAGCTCATTTGACCATTTTCTCTTCTTTTCCTTTCCTTTCTCTTGTCTTCCTCTTCCTCTCCCTTCTCCTTTTCCCTTACTCCTTCCTCTTTCTCAAGTTCTCCTTCCTTTTTTTGTCGACAGAGTGGTGCGATTTTCGAAAGATAAACAGGGCAAGCAGAGCTTTTTAGCCATCGATCTCCTCGACTTTTAACATTCAACTAGTCCCCTTTTCACTGACCATGTTTTACCGGATTAAAAAAATATTCCTACCATGATTTTAGAAATATATATCATCTTCTTATCTAAAAAAAAAAAAAATCAACAACAAAACAAAAAAACCAAAGTATCCCCAGCAAATACTCCCAGGCCACAAACTATATTGATAATTGTAATTTTGATAGCTCTTGATTCGTTCGTCCGCTGCTAGCAGAATGGCATCAACTTTTCATTTTTCCACTGAAACGCCTCCAGATTCGATGTTCAGTGACATTCAGTCTCTCAATAAATTCAATGAAGAGGTAGGTGTTGCAGTAAAATCGTAGACGAGTTTTTCATTGTAGACAACTTGAAGATTACTTCGTAGCAATTCTTGTTAAAATTATAGCTTCTCGGTCCCATACACCGTATAATTTGCTGTTCACTTTACTTCCGGCCTGCTAGCTGCTGGTTCTCGTAGCGAACTAGAGTACGGCTCCGCCTGGGGGCACCGCCTCCTGACTGTAAGAAGCCAAGTTCCTCCATGTCTAAATATAAGCAATTCGATGGTAGTTATTCGCTTGTGTTTAGATTAGATAAGTTCATTATTATTAATGAACATGCTAAATTTAACTGGATAAACCATGTTGTTGTTGTTTTAGTTTTACTAGACCCTATGCAGTATGTGTCATTCAATTATGAATATTTAGTCTAAATGGGTCTAGACTATTCATAATTGAATGATACACATACTGCTAGACTCTATATGCACTCTACTAGTATTAGTTATTAGTCTACATTTTAGACTAATTATCTAGTCTAGATCTAATAACTAATACTACTATAGTATTAGATAGAGTCTAGCTGGCCTGGAATCATGATAGAATAAAATTAAATAATAATATAGTCTATATACCTGTATTTTTAAAATTTGCAATCCAACAATGCAATTCTGTTAATCACATCTAGTTTGTTGCCGAATTTTTCCTCTTTTTTTACCAGCTATTTTTTTTTTTTTTTTTTGTAAATTCAATTTTCAATAATAATGATATATCTTAATATGAACCTTGAAGCAAATACATGTGTATTAACCATGTTTTGCCTAATTATGTAAAGCTTTTTATATTTAAATATCTATAATGAATATATCAATGACATTGCGGTTTGTGCTTTAGGATTCATTGTTTAATTTTGTAGTCTGTTTAAGTTGGTCTCAAAATTATGCTGCATTTACATTGTTGAGTATTATATTTGTATCATAGTTTATTACACTATATCCGATTATATATCTAGTTCTCCATTTCAGCCTATTTATCTGTCCTACTCTTTATCTATCCCTTTTATTGTGTAGTCTCTTTGCCAGCTTCTCTTTCTCATTTCTCTATGCCCTCTCTTTCTCTCCCTCTCTGTTATTATCTTACCAGTCCTTCTAATCTTCTGTTACATTTGTCTTATTGCCTTCTGTTACTCGATCGTTCTCCTTCAATTATCCTCTAGTCATCCGTTTCAATCTCTTCTCTTGTTTCTCTTCTTTTCTTTGATCATATCCTTGATTATTTATTGTGAATTGCCATTTATATGTATATGAATATATCTTTTGTAAATTCAATTTGTTTCAGCCTCTGGCTGCTATTTGAATGTTTTTTAATCAATAAACCATATCAAATCAAATCAAATGATAGACTAGTTTAAAGATGATGGTGGTGATATTAAATTGATGATAAAGATACTTCTACTACAAGTACTACACTCTACTACTACTACTACTACTACTACTACTACTAGATCCACAGCTGTGTAATGGTCAATGATCACAAGATACACATCTGGGAGAAGTCTGGGATTTTGTGAAAGGAAGGGGGGCGCAGTTAGCTCACGGTTGTTAAGGAGGGTTGAAAATATCTTATAACTACATGTAGACAAGCAAAAATTAACCTTTTTTACATTTTTAGAAATACAATTATTGATTATATCTTACATGTATGATGTACTTTCACCAATCTCTGAAAACTAATAAGCGAGCAACAACAAAGGAATCTCAAGAAAAAATTTGTTCAATCCAAATTAAAAATATTATCATCAAATTATTAATGATACAACGTTCTCATGTTATAAATCCATTTGATTATTTTTTCTTTTTCTTTTAGCAATTTTCTAAGCTTGTTGCAGTTGTCATCAGCTTTCTTCTAGAACCAAATAAGGTATGAATCATATTTTAATAATATTATCAGTTGTAGATTTGATAATGTAGGCACTTTCCATATTTGAAACTTTTAACATTTTTTTAAATGTTTTTTTTAAAGTTTAAACTTTTCTCATTGAAATAGTACTTTTTAAGTTGAAGTGTATTGTTTAATGCTTTCATTGATTGTCATCAAATGTGCTTATTGTTAAATTGATGAAAAGAAACTGAAGGAGTAGTACTGACATATATGAAAGGATAACTTGAGTTGTGCATGTTCATTTGTATTTAAGTTAATACATAATGAATCCACAAACATGAATTATCTTACTTGGAAAGATGAAAACCTGTGATATGTCGAAATAAGGGAATTTAATGCCAAATTAAAATTAAAATTAAAATTTGCTATAGAATGCTTGTGAATTTACCCATTTACCTTTGTTTTCTATTTATATACCTTATTTAGTCAAGTAAACTATTGGGTCAACTGGATGAATTTGCAGATGAACAAGGAGTCAGTGGACCAGCACTTAGAAATGTGGTGAAAAGCCTTTTAGCTGTACCTTACAGTAAGTGAATACATACAAAAGGTCATGTGTCTGCGGGGCACTTCCAACTCAAAGGAGGAGGAGGAGGAGAAGAAAAGAAAGAGAGAGAGAGAGAGAGAGAGAGAGGGGGAGGGGGGGGGGGGGGGAAGAAAAAGGAAAAGAGAAGGAGAAAGAGAATTGATATGAACCAGTGGTAACAAACTTGTAGCAGCCAGAACTTATCATTGTTGCTGCTGATATTCAAAGATGTGTTTTTAATGATCCCACTATCAATGCTACAAAGCAATGTTCTTATACAAGAAGTTCAGATACAGTTTGAATTTCTGTGCAATATGAAAATTTCAACAACGACATTAAAGAGAAGGTTGAGTTCTGGGAAGAGGTGAAAAATAATTTGTGAGCGTTATCATTCCTATTATGCAAGTGTGGAAGAACATCAGATAAGACATGTTCCCTGAAAAGCATGGCTCTTCAAATGCCTTTATATTCTAAATACCGGTATGTCATGTAACATCGTAAAACTCGGGGGGGTAGGATTTTTATGTCACGTGTTCGTGTAGTCCCATATACATCTTTCTGTGTATAGTGTTTGTAACTTTACCAAGACTTGGCCAAATTTCTTATCATTTTGATGATTCCAGAACCTTGCAATACACACAAATTCTTATACCGGTATGCTAGATGATCAACCTTTCCTGGTCGATTCCACACTGTTTCTTTCACAATGCAATCGCATGGCCAGAACTCAACTTTATCTCTAACTGTTAGCTGCAAATCCTTGATATACCATAAACAAAGAAAATGTAGTAGTTATTTTTGGAGCTTTAAAACAAACGTAACCTAGTCATCCTTCATCATTTGTCTTTGGTAATCTTTTTATTGATCAGCATAATGTGTATTTCTTCCTTCTGAATTTATAGGTGCTGTGAGAAAGAATTTAAGCCCCAGTGACCTGAAAGAAGACTTTGTAAATCTTGGTAAGTGAGGATCTATGCATAGATTTTCTGGCAATGTAACCTGATAACAGGAACTGAGATTATTGTGATCGCAGAATCAATCAATCTGTTGAAATTAAACCATTTCCAGCTGGTTAATAATGGTAATGAAAAAACGTATTGATACTGATGCTGTTTTATATAAAACAAATACTGATGTACCGAGCCTAAGTAATGCACTTTAAGTAACATTTATTCAGCTTTTAAGTGTCACTGAAGAGAAAATTTTGACATCAGTGGTTTCAATATTTTTGATAAAACGTATTTGTTGCTAGAATTTTACCACCCCTTCCGCATTATTAGTTACAAAGAGGAAACCTAAGTGACACTTTTTTGCAATGGGAAATCTCAAATATTTATCCATCAAATTTTGGACATGCACTAAATTTGATTCCATGATTATGTTGATTTTAGGTCTATCAGAAGAGAAAGCTGGCTATGTATCAAATGAGGTGAGTATTGCAGGGGAATATTATGTGCCCAAATGCACCATCATTGAGAAATCAATGGTAAAGTCAAAGACTAGTAACAGGGTCAAAATTTACCACCGAGGTGATTAAATCTGATATCGCAGTGAGCCAGTATATTACAATTGTACTTTATTATAAATCAGAAGAATTGTAAACCACATTGTATCCAAATGATTACCGGTATATATGTTGGTACTTGCTGTAGGCCTATCATATGAGTAATGATACTGTGTTTGTTATTTAGGGAATATGTACGTTATTTCTTCCTTTTAATCAAAGGTCATGAAAGTATAAGTGAACCAATCATTTAAAAAAGTAATTTGTGTATAGCACAGATGCATAAAATCAACCAAAATCCTTTTTTTACACAGCATTCTATGTGCTAGCGGATAAGGAGTAGGAAGAAAATAAAGAATAAGATAAAATCATGCGCATGGAACCCGAGTCCGATGCGGACCTTAATCTACGCGATCGTGTATAGGTGCATCAAGTAGTCACTTTTTTGTTAATTGAGAGTGTATTAAAATTTACTCTATTTCTGTGTAGAAGTAGTATTTGAAGTTCAAAAGCAACCGATTGAAACCCTAAACATACAGAACAACATATTTTTAAGTAATTGGTTTACTTTAACATACTCTTATTTTATAGTGGAAGTGTAATCTGGTTGGATTATCAAGGAGTGCAGTGGGCCAAACTCTCACAGTGAATCAACTGGTTGACATGGAATGGAAGTTTGGAGGTAGGAATGGAACACAGTCTTTCTGTCCAAAGTAACTATTATTGTTGAAATCAATATCTGAACATCATCAATGAGCTTAATGGACCTTGTTTCATTCTAAAGCTAATTGAATCAAATTAGATTTTGTAAAATTTTGAGTTTAGAGAAGCTATTTTACAATTGTAAAATATTTATATTTTACAAAATACATATCTCACTGCTGTCTTTTTAATAAATTTTCTAGCAGGTAATGCAAACCATTAAATATGCCCCTCAAATAGGTGTTGTGCAGTCTTTAACATTTCATAAAATCTTACTTATAACAAGTCAGCCTAAATCTTGATAGCAGTTCAAGCTATTTTGAGTTTGGTAATGCATGTTTGAAGCATCTGGCATGAATTAACTGAATCATTAATCATGCAGTACCAGATGTTATTTTTGAACAAGCCAAATAAGCATATGAATAATGGACCTACTGACATTGTATCATCAAAACTGGCAAATGAACAAAAACTTGCTGGAAATCACGTTCGCTTGAAAGGCCAACCAACAGCTACACATACAACTGAATATTGTTCATCTGAGTCATGACTATACCAGCTTGATTTCCTTGCCTTCCTATTTAGTATACATCTCCCAAATTCAAGAGAACAAGTCTTCATGTCAATGTGTAGTTATCAAACCATGACTGTGTTCTGTCAAATCATTTCTTGAAATGTTCAATCCCAAACAGTGACAGCTGCAAGCAGTGAACTTCAGCAAGTAGGAAGCACATTCATTCAGATGAAGCTGGTAGTCAACAAGGGTAACAAGACAGAGAATGTCTACATGGGTAAGAGACATATATTGTAAAGCAACTAGCATTTCATTCGTCAGAAACTAAACAAACAAATGATCTAAACTGTAGATAATTAGATTATGGCCATTTGTTCGATTGGAAAACTATAATTTGTAAATACCGTTACACACATCATGCAAAGGCATCTTTCATTTCCACCTCTTCTCAAATTACAGACCTGACTGTGAAATGCAAATGTCATATCTGTAGAATTAATATCTAACAGTCTTTTGTCCTTCAATGAAGTATTAGTTAAGTTAAAGAAATTGTGCTGCGCTTCCTGAACTACCTCATTTTCCATGACAAAGAAATGAATCTTTTATTTTCTCACTACTTAGCCCGGGCATTTTTTAAAAAGAAAACCAGTGACCCAGTTTGGAGTGTTGTTCTGGTAGATCATTGCTTTACATGTATCGATGTTCTTTTTTAATGTTACATAACTTCCACTCTTGTATTGTGTTTTTGTGATTTATACAGAGCTGTCGGTACCAGAGTTCTACTCATTTTTACATGAAATGGAGAAGGCCAAAGCAAGCCTGGAGTACTTCAGTTAGCAGGGCAGAACATTAAATAGCTTGAGATGTTTTTAATTGCCCTAAGATAGGGTTTATACATTGGTCAATTGTTAATATAAAAATTGACTCTATTGGACATTCCCAGAAAATTGAAGATATTCTCTGTGATACACGTACTATTGTAGGAATAAAAGAGAATATAAATATATTTTTTCTCTCTCTTGTTTTCAAAGAACAAGTGGATATGAAATACCCTCTTTGTAATCATAGCTAATATTTCTTTTATATTATGAGAAAATGTACTTTCTTTGCATACCGGTACATGTTTTTGCCAAAACCAACTGTACTTTATGTAGGAGAAACAAACCAGGTTATTACAAGATTACTTTTATTATTTTATATAGACTTTGCCTTAGATCTGATGCACATTCGTGCCAGCTTATAGCACTATACACTATATGGGGTTGGGGTTGGAAGTGGTGTCTCAGCATCGTGAGTCTTAGATGTAATCTTATGTTCTCGTAGATCATTTACAATCTGCTTGAAGTCACTCAAGGAGTCAAATTATATATATATATACCTGTTTACATATACCTGTTTATATTTCAGTTTTCACAGGATTTCTGAGCAATTGCACTAAGATGTACTATAGTGAGGAACATTTCCTTATGCAGAAGCGCATCACGGAAGCCCATCCGTTGATTTGGAGATGCTTAGAAATAAAAGCTGATATTAAAGTCAGATTCGGAAATCAGTAGAATTTTTGATAAAGTATAAATTGGATTTTTAATTTTGAAATCAAGGTCGTTGAAAAGGAAAAATCAAGTTTGCAACTATCACATTGCTTTTATATAATCAAGTACTGGTATTACTAATCTTGCTTTTTCCTTTACATAAAACTTTGTATTGTTACTTTGACTTTGTTACTTTATTACATGTAAGCCTATGCTCATGATGTATCAAACTGGATATGTTCTAGCAAATCCTGTTGTCATAGAAGGGCAATGTTGTAATATTGTAATATTAATATTTACATTGATTTCATGCATGTATCCATACTGAGGGAAACTTAAGACACTCCTAAGTACTTGTACTACTACTACTACTACTACTGCTGATTTGGCTTTATTCGATCTGCTTTAATTCACTGAAAGCATTTAAAGCATTTCTTCATTCCAGGCTAAGGTATAATCAAAAATATGTATATTGAAATTTTGTAATACTGTGTAATAGCTCTTTGGGGGATTTCTTGGTTACAATTACAAATCCCATTGAATTCTAAGCAGGAAGTCAGAATGGAACCATTGGATGAAAATAATATTCTTAACATATCAATGTACCCTTGCCTATTTGTCTTTAGAAAGACTACAGGATCAGAGGGTCTTTTACAAATGTTGGTTGCTAAATATGTCTAGCGTATACAGAAATCTTGTCAAGAATGTTGAGTGAACCCTGAAACATAAATGATTAAAAGATCTTAGTTTTATTATTGTAATTTTTTGCAGTACACAGTTATAACTGTAGGTTTTGTGCCACTTTGCCACATATGGGAATATGTTAGTTTTGTTTATCAAGAGTGTCTGAAGTTTCCTATTTAATTCTGAATCACCTCCTCTATCTTGGAGATAGATTTATGCCCCTGATATCATGTGAAGTGCATTGCCTGTATTTTAAGTAGAGAATATTTTATATATGAAAATAAAATTGATATACATATGTACATAGTGCTGTTTCCTTTGAGTTTAAGATTTCTCTAAATTTCAATTACAATTTTAGATTAATTGTGATCTCTTGAAACTTTTCTTTTGCATTAGTAGTGCAGCTTATTCTTGGCCTAAAGGGGAAATCCGCCCTGATATTAAGTTGAAGCAGAAAAATGTGAGAAACGGGTCAGTCAAAGTTTGAGCGAAAAAATGATTAAAAGTAAGAACGTTATGAATTTTTGAAGATGCAATTATTCAAACACCAATTGGCAACTCTGACATATCTTGCGAGGTCCCCTAGCTAGCTCCCATTTGTTATGTACTAAAATACTACATTTTCAATGTTATCAATTTTTCAATCATATATTCACCTTTAATTATTGCAAATGTGTTTTTATACAACCCATAATGAAAAAAATTTATTCCGTCATCAGTAACTAAGAAAATGAAATTTTATGTACAGAGCAAATTGGAGATCGAGGAGCTCGCAAGATATGCCACATGCAGTGTTTCCAATTTTTGTTCTGTGATGACTTTAAAATTTAATGAATTTCATATTCCTGATCAAATATTGCTCAAAATTTCACTAATTGTTTCTCTCATTTTTCTACATTTTATTAAAACCTACTTGATATCACGGTGGACTATCCCTTTGACTCTCTGTTTGTTTGATTGAGTTTTGTTAGTATTTTTTTTTTCTAAGTAATTTTTCTTAGTTTGGAACGGGGTTGGAGGTGTTTTTTGTTTACATTGGTTGAGGTGAAAGTGATTGAGGAGTTGGGAACAGAAGAGAGATAAACAAAACTAATATTCAACAAAATGACAGAGAGGAGAAGCTTAATGATGGAATATATGAAGAGATCTTTGAGTTATAATTATCGATCAAAATTTATTTAGTTTGGGTGTGTAGAATAACAAAACACAAACGCGTTCAATCGCGCTAGCTAGCCTGTGGCCTGAACCAAAGCGCGGAAATTTCGAAAAAGGGAAACCCCCGCGATCTTCCACCTTGGCATGCGAGCGCGCACACAGCGATCAGGTGATCTGGAGTGAAAACTTAGATATCAATTGTTAACACTTTCTGACTATGCAGCCTACAGGTTGGACGTTTAATCAGCCGAATCTCGTCCCGTTTGAGCGCTATATTTGAACTGAAAACTAAAAAAACTTCACAAATTAGAACTTGCTCTGGGAGGCAGGACGGATTTATTCCATTCGCCTGCGGGTTTTCGGACAGCAAAGTGGTGTCTCTGTTGCAGTGTTGATGTTGGTGTCGATTCGTCTCTGTTACCTGCTCCAGTCTTCTCACAGCTCAGCCAGGCAGGCCAGGCCAGCTCCACCCCGCCCGACGTCAGCGAGTTGCTCGATCGCTGCTAGCTGCTTTCATTGCACCGTCTACTTTTTTGGCGGCCTCACAAGATCTCTAATCTACATATTCGAATGATTGGTGAGAGGACAGTATGGTTAATTCACATTAAGATAAACTGATAAAGTAATGATTAATCTCGATTACTGAATTTCTTACAGACTAATGAAATCATGAGCCATTTATTTGCTGAATTAGGATCACAATTTGTCATGTTCTTACTTAGAGTTAGACAGAAATAACCGTCTGGTATGCATTCCAGACCGAATTTTCTGTCTCTTCATTGGTTATTCTAAATTCGGTCTAGGGTCATTCTTTAATAAAAACAGACATTTGTTGACGTTCCCCATACAGAGGAGCCAGATGCAATCTCAGCAGAACAACCGTCGATATCAGAGACTGAAGCTCTCGGTCTAGACTAGTGCTTACTTAGTTATCAATATCAGTTAAGTTCAAGATTATAGAGTTTGGGCCCTGTCTTACAAAGACTTGATATCACTCGCAACTTATTTGCGATTGATATCAATCGCAAGTAAGAGATAGGAGACTTCAAACTTGGATCAATTACAACTCTTTGTAAGACAGGGCCCAGGGGTTCTCAAACTTTTCTTTGACGGTCCAGGTATGATTTCTATAAAAGCTGTAACCAATTAGGTCAAAAACATGGATGCCATTCGCCTGAAATTTGTTATGGTCGATCGTATTCTTTGACTTAGTAGAACAATTAATGTACAAAATGATCGCTGGAAAGCTGGGCACGACCCCAAAATTGCTCAATTTTGTTACAGACTTGGACAATCTGCTCCTAAATTTTACAGTTATGACACTTGTATACTGAGATAATAAGCCTAATTGTTATAGGTCTATCTATATCTGATCCAAAGAGAACTGTAACAGTTTAAAACAACAGAGCCGCCAGAGTTTCCACTTGTTTAAATAGAGTTTCCTGAAAAAGAACACCCAATTTCCTGGAATTTGGTGGAATTTTCTTAAAACTTTGAAAATGCCCAGGCATGCCCTGTCCAGACTTTTAGAAACCCTGCTCTAAACCATATCTAGGAAAACAAATTAAAGTTTTTTTTTCTTTCTTCCTCTCTCTTTTTTTTTTTTTAGCGGCCAAAAAGGGGGCACAGACCGCCTGTGCCCTCTGCCTGCATCAGTGTATGCCCTTTTCTATCTTTTCTTTCTCCTTTTTTTTCTTCTTCAATTTTTAGATCTGACATATTACAATTACAAAGATTACAGAATGCTGCTGCTCGTGTCGTGACCCTGTCCAACAAGTACAGTCACATCACACCAGTCCTCAAATCACTCCATTGGTTGCCCGTAGAAAAACGTGTTGTTTTCAAGATTATTTTGCTATTATTTCACTGTATACATGGCTCTGCTCCGCAGTATAACATCGGCTTGATTAAGCATTACTTTCCTTCTAGACAGCTACGTTCTCAAAACTCTGGCTTACTTGTTACTCCTAGGGTTAAAACAAAGTGGGGGGAACGAACCTTCGCTCATGCTGGGCCTTCGTTATGGAATACTCTCCCTCAATGGGTTAAGAATAGCAGTTCTGCTGAGGTGTTAAAAAACAATCTTAAGAAATATCTGTTTAATTTAGCTTATAATTGATTACCATTACCTTTCATGTCTGTACCTTTCCTATCGCACTTTGTATCAATGTATCATGTATGTATTTCATCTTTTGCACAAGCTGCGCCTTGAGCATTTGACTGTCAAGTGGATTTGGCGCCTTATAAATCATATGTATTATTATTATTATATACTATGCACAAGTCCAGTTCAACAGACTGAATAATAATGATTTTTTTTTTCTTAGTCTTCACATTTTTCATTACGTTATAGACACACAAAAATAGAGGCACTCCCTAAAAGAGATACAAAATTATAATGCTTACCGGTAGAGGTAACAGGGATGTTTTCTTCTTGTGCTGGTGCTGGATTGTTAGTTGTATAACCTTATTGTTTTTTCTATTTCTAGGATTTTTACGGTTGGCTGGATACTCTGAACATTATTCAGAGTATCCAGCCAACCGTAAATGATATAGAAATTAACGGGCCAAACAAAAATGAGTCTGATGAATAGGCGGCTTGAAATCATATTCAGTAGGAAAGTAGATCAGTATTGGCCCCAAAGGTGTAAAATATCCACCTCAAAACGCTTTTGAAGCAAATAGGAAGATTTTATCAAAATATTATCTGTAGTGATCTAGGGTAATGCGTGCTATTCCTTGTTTTCTGTTTCCCCACAGCAAAATCACATTACAATTATGGCTAGAATTTCAGAGGAAATTGATTCCTAGGAGAAATACTCTCCTTGCACTGTGTGTTTTTTTGGTTCATTTGCTGCCTGAAAGAATCCTTAAAGTTTCTCCTGCATAAAAGATCCTGCAAACGAGAACGACAAATAATGATATTGGTTGTTAACCATGGAATTATCATCATTTTGAAATCGAAAGCCTATTTATTAGAATTGTTAATTTTTTTTTTCTCTTCCACTGCGACACGTCATCGGTGATACATTTTGCACTAAATATGTACTGTACTGATCGGCACAGTCATCATTACGATTGTCACATGAATATTGCTCTTGACATCCAGATTGTTTTTATATTGCCTGTTTTGAAGAAATAACAGATTTGTGTTTCCTACCAGACGCGGATCCACGGGCCCGGCCCGGGCACCCCCCCCAGGCCCCCCCTAGCCTCCCAAACCGGTAAAAAGATAGTAACGTAAATTTTACCTTTAAAAAAAAAAAACGGCCCCCCCCCCCCCTGACCTGCCAGTGACACAAGTGCGGCATCACAATATTTGTGCTTCTCTGACCGTAATTAAATGCCTAAAACCCCTGATCTTCCGGGGGCTCCGCCCGCTGAACCCCCCACACCAATTGACGCTCGCTACCCTCTACCTGATCGTAAATACTTTAGCCCCCCACTGTGATAAACGTTCCGCGGGGCCTGTGTATATAATATATACGCAAACAACACTGATCTTTATGATGTCTTTAACGTGACATACAGTATCTTTTTCTCCCCTTGCAAACGAGAAAAAGGAAAACAAGGTCATTAAAAGGAATTAAGCGACAAATAATGATTGTGATTCAAATTGATGCGAATATTTGCTTGAATAAGCACTGCTATTCACCAGAATCTTCTTTGTAAAAACAACTTTTACAAATCTCAGCCATGCTTACTGAGTTGAGATGTTCCATTCAATTTAAAGTACTCTTTAAAGAATACACTTCTTCTAATCTGAAAGTGATCTTACAACACAGTGGCAGAATTGCATGGCTGAGATTTGTAAAAGTTGTTTTTACAAAGAAGATTCTGGTGAAAAGCATTGCTTATTCAAAAAAATCCTTGCATCAATTTGAATCACAATGATCATTTTGTCGCATGATCCTTTTATTAAATAACCTTGTTTTCTTTTTTTTTGCAGGGGGAGAAGAAGCTATGTCACGTTAAGAAATCATAAAGATCAGTTGTATTATGCGTATATATGACAACAGAACAAAATGTTGATTATCAGAATGTCATTTTGGAAAACGTATATACAAATACCCGATCTTACTGTGCCGATACCACATTATACATCAAAGTAGGATTTCACAAAATGAATGCTTTTTTAACGCAGAAATATGTTATCTAAAAAGAGACATCACTGAGTCACAGTCTATGATGTAAGTAGAGCCTTTGCATGTCAATTACAATCAGGCGATGACTTCCGCTTTGCTGTAGTGGTGGAAAGTGCATTTTGCGACTTTGCGTGGTCGTTTGGACGTCACCGAAATAAAATAATTAGAATAGTTACAGTGAGCGAGTGCCATTTCTTCAAACACAAAAATATGTCACCTTCAAACTGTCTGGATGTAGTGTCCCAAGAAATAATGCAGTATTCTTACATACAATCAAAAGGGTTTTGACGGGGAAAATTAAGAATTCAAATCTAAAAATTATATATTGTGTCCAGCTAATAAAGTTGCCATGTGGTTAAATAAATGCAATATTTTAATCGTAATGCTTTAAGATATCTTTTACATTGATTGCAAAAGGAGGCATGCAGACAGGGACCCCCCCCCCCAAAAAAAAAAAAAAAAATCAAATACAGAATTATGATACTTAGATGTAATATTAAACTGATAAGGATGTTTTCTTTTTGTGGTGATGCTGGACTGTTTGTACAAATCCATGTCTAGACCTATTCAGAGTATAGACTGAAGTTAAAGATGAAGTTGAGTTCTGGTCATGCACTTGCATTGTGTAAGAAACGGTGTGGAACCGACCAGAAAAGGTTGATCATCTAGCATATAAGAATTGGTGAGTATTGCAAGGTTCTGGAATCATCAAAATGATAAGAAATTTGGCCAAGTCTTGGTAAAGATACAAACACTTGCACAGAAAGATGTATATGGGACTACACGAACACGTGACGTAAAAAGCCGCCCCCCCCCCCCCCCCCCGATTTTTACGATGTTACATGCATATTTAGAATATGAAGGCATTTGAAGAGCCATGTTTTTCAGGGAACATGTCTGTTCTTCCATACTTGCATAATAAGAATGTGAGTAATGCTCACAAATTATTTGTCACCCTTTCCAGAACTCAACCTTCTCTTTAACAGAATCTGAGGATAAGTTTGTATTCAGTGGGAAAATAAATCTGTTTTGCTTGCCATTAAAAAACAATTACTGGTAGGTATTTTGGTGAGGAGTGTGCAGCAATGCGTGCATGATTTGTAGCTGCTCTTGAAGGCTATGTGGAAGGCTATGTGCGGTAGTGCGGAATTAAGGAGGAGAATCATATGAGCAAAAATCACTGATGCTTATATCTTTTGAGAGCGAGCATTTGTAATGCAAAATTCAGTGAAGTTTTTGTCAGAGTTTTTCAGAGAAAAAACACTCCAGAGGTGGGTTTTTGTCTCGCCTGCGTAGCAAAGAGCGAGACATAGGCGCCGCTTTTCCAGTGACGGCGGCGGCGACGGCGACGGCGACGGCGACGGCGACGGCGACGGCGTCAACATCAAAAACTTAACCTAAGGTTAAGTTTTTGAATTTTTGGTATAATTTTTAAAGTATAAGTCCGTAGTCAATGAAACTTTGACTATAGGGTAATCAAGTATCCCCAATCATGTCAGTAGAATTTCAGATCACAAAGTCAAGGTCAAAGGTCATTTCAGGTCAACAGACTTGGACTATGTTGTAGCATCATCATCGAAAACTTAACCTAAGGTTAAGTTTTTGAATTTTTGATATAATTTTGAAAGTATAAGTTCTTAGTTAATGAAACTTGGACTATAGGGTTATCAAGTCTCCCCAATCATGTGAGTAGAATTTCAGGTCACTAAGTTAAGGTCAAAGGCCATTTAAGGTCAACAAACTTAGACTTTGTTACGGTTAAGTTTTTGAATTTTTGATATAATTTTGAAAGTATAAGTTCTTAGTTAATGAAACTTGGACTATAGGGTTATCAAGTCTCCCCAATCATGTGAGTAGAATTTCAGGTCACTAAGTTAAGGTCAAAGGCCATTTAAGGTCAACAAACTTTGTTGTGGCATCAACATTAAGATTTTCAAAATGCGTCTTCATTATTTTTCAACCGATTTTGATTCTGATTGTTTCATATGATAGGGCTAGGAGGGGATTTAAAATTTCTACACAGAATCGTGAAATTTGTTATCTATGCTAATTTATGCAAATTTATTCGAAATCACAAAAAAGGCTTCTTCTCCTTCATTTCTCGACCGATATTGATTTGGTTTGCTTCATATCGTAGAGCTAACTTTGGTACACTGAACTTCTACACAGAATTTTGAAATTGTTCTCCATTAATAAATTATGGTAATTTATGCAAATTTATTCCAAAAATAACAAAAATTGCTTCTTTTCCCTCATTTCTTGACTGATTTTGCCTTATCTGGTAGAGCTAAATTTGGAACAATAAACTTCTACCCAGAATTGTGAGATTTTGCTCCATTGATTATTTATGGTACTTTATGCAAATGAAATGAAATTATGTCCCTTCCAGCGCATCAAATTTCTATTTTTTGACCAGTTCAAAAGTGTACCACATAAAATTTACGATATTTGTTGTTGTGAGATGCGGATGAGCGCTACGTCATTGAGGTTCTGGTTTATCATATTGAATTGCGTTAAGCAGGCGAGACCGCCGAGAGCGTTTCCCTTGTTTAATTGAGGTTTTAATTGTGTTTATGCATGGGTAGTTTCTTCAAAAAGCAACTTCTGACTTAATACCAGAAATTTACTCTGGAAAACCAAGGATCTCCGTTAGTCATATACTGGTATGGAGTTTATTAAAGTTTGTGGTTTATGGTTTATGACAGGGCTCTACACTAACTTTTGGAAGGGGGTCGAAATATACCAGATTGAATTTCAGTTTGCATGAGCCCTATAGTTTGTCAAAACTTGGAGGTGCAAAGGAAGAGAGTGGCGGCCCAAGTGTCCCAAGCAACTGTTTAGTGTCAAGCCCTAGTGTGTAAAGGTTTTTAAAAATGTTACAGATGCAAATTGCTTTTAAAACAACATATTTTTCAACTATGTGTAATGTGTTAACATATCAAAGTGATTCATTTTATTTTTCAAATGTAAATTCTCAATTTTTTATCACAGAAATGGTCTTTGACTGAGCCACATGTACAGTATTCTGCCATCTTTGAATTAGTACCACAATGCCTGAAACAGAATCTGAAGAAAACACAGTCAATGCACAGGACGAAAACCATGAAACAAACAAATGGACAAGGAGACGAAACTTGTCTTCATTCTGGTGAGTTGAATAATGAGGTGATTTGTTTCAGTAATCGGGTAGTCACATGCATTTGTAGAACTGAAAGGGGAAGTTTAGAAATAACTAATTGAATGAAAGAACAATTAAGAGCAAATCAGTGCAATTCAGACAAAGATACAATTGAAGTTTTAAAGCTTATCTGCCGTAGTTTACAGGAGGGATTAAACCGCTCTACAAGGTCACTGGACAGGTGGTTATCTCATCAACTCAGCTCTCAGTTAACATAAGAAAAAGAGGATCATGGGGGACCAATGGTCATCGATTAGGCATTGTTTGTTATATAGAGGGCGCAAGTAGCTACCAGTAGTGCAGTGGGCCTTTAAAAGAAAAACCTGTGGGGTATGGATATATATTTGTTTTGGATAAGGTGATTTGTTTCAGTTATCTGGTAGTCACATACAATTGTAGATCAGAGCAATTCAGCCAAAGACTATATATTTTATTATAAATACAATTGAAATGTTAAAAAAACCTGTGGGGGGCTGGATGTCTTTTTTTTTCTTTTTCAGTTGACATTGTTTATTTTGTCACCGTTCATCCCTCCCACATCATATATATACCTTTTTTTCTTCATAATTGTGCTTTTTACCTCAACACATTTGTAAGAATAGCATGTATATTGTCTCTTTTCTACTATATAGGATGCTTGGGCTATGTAACAACTATGCCTACACCATTATGCTGAGTGCAGCTTTTGATATCCTGGGAGAAGTGACCGCTTCACCTACCGAACCTCCTCCAGTAAGTGTCCTTTACCGTGGTTATAATTCAAGTTTCAATATTAAACAAAATTTAGAATACTTTATATGAGTGTATTTTGTTAGCTCGAACCCATTAAACCACATAAACAAATTATTTTTAAAATATTTGTTTAATGCGATGGCTTTATAAGGTGTTAAAAGAATAGCAACTGCGTGAAACAAAGGTCTTACAGCTACACAAATTATAGCCCTTTGCTTTAAGATACAGAAACATAAAGCCTATTACACTTCTCTCCAACTTAAAATAACCGCCACGGTTTTGCCGCATCATACATGTATCTGAACGGCGCTTTCATGTGTACTGTTAGCTTATATACATGTAGTTAGTCTTGATAGATGTCAATGTGCTCAAAGGCCCAAATTCTTCTAAAATTTAAACTCAAAACACTGGGCCTATTAGCTATTATTCAAAATTGGGTTCAACAAAGAATGTTTAATAGTCTGAGGTCTTCCTTTTTGAAATGCAATCTTAGACCCAGGTTTGTGGTAAACTATGTATTAGTGGAATACAGACCAAAGACATTAAAAGCTAATTATTTACAGTCATCTTGATGAATCTCTTTCATCTTGTAGGCCCTAATTATTGTGACAACTTATCTTTGTAGGTTGGATGCAAGTTTTTTTTTTTAATGTACTTCCTTGTTGAAAGAATAATTTGTTTGCAAGCTGCAAACTAGTTTCATACTTTTATATTTGGTTTTAATTCTAAAAACACTAAATTTATCAACCATTACCGGTAGTTGTATTTGTGATGGAAGAATGTTGTTGTTTTCTGATTTTGATTTTAATATATGTTTTTTTTTTCTTCAGGAAGATTTTGTGATAATTTTGCCAGTCTATATTGTAGATAATACCTTAATATGACATGATGAACCATGATGAGTGACATAGAATAGCTTCAAAACAATAATAACCCCCCCCCCCCCCCTGTGAAAGAATTTACTGCAAATACTGAGCTTTAACTTAAAACATGCAGATGTTATTATTTAATCTCTCATGCATGTCACTTATGACTTTTATTACATTCACAATTAGGGCTTTGATTAATGTATTTTCACTTTCACTATGATTTTTCTTGACAAATTGCTTTATAAGGTGTTGGCTGATTCAATTCCTTGAAAAAATTAAAACACAGTTTGAATATAAGTGTGAATTATAATAAATCATCTGTTCAGAGCCATAGGGGCATTAACTCTGTGTTAATATATATGAACTAAAGCCCTTCTGGCTCCAAACAGATGATATCTAATTATCCTATGAAACCATCAATCAATTATAATTGTTTTATTTCACTTTTCATTCTTGAGTTGTTACCTTTTAGCCAATTATTACATGTACTACTGTATGATAGTTAAAGGCCTTTTCATTTTCTTTTCTTAGATACAGTGAGCTGTGTTAATAATTGTAATGATAGAAGACAAGACAAGCACATGATCTTAAATTCACTCATTTTATACATCTGTATGGTTCACTGGGCACCATTTGCTTTCCTTTTAGAGTGATATTAAAGGTAAAGACCAGTATTGGAAACGCCCCAATTTCAAAAAATGAAATGGAAACTCTCATTACCGATCATGTGAAAGAATATGTTTTGACTAATACATGATGATAAAAAAATTGCCGGGAAACCGCCTACTAATTCATATATTTGGTAAATTTGTTTCTCTCATGGTCTGTGAGAGATATAGGGTAGTCCCATATACATCTTTCTGTGTATAATGCTTGTAACTTTACGAAGAATGGGCCAAATTTCTTATCATTTTGATGATTCCAGAACCTTGCAGATGCTAGATGCTAGATGATCAACCTTTTCTGATCGATTCCACAACGGTCCTTTCACAATGCAATTGCATGACCATAACTGGTCTTTACCTTTAAAGATAAAACTTTGATACAATTACTGACAGATTCTTTACATTGGAGAAATTATGCCAGTCATTTCAGTGACTTTCACTTCCTCATGAAACCTTTGTGGAAATGGATCACCTGACATTAATAAACAGGTCAACCCTCTGTTTATAGTTTGACTGCTTGTTTTAGTTCATTTACATATTAACCCTTTGCTTACGGGAACCTGGTGGTCCCTGTGTTAAGCCTATGGGACCTATAAAATTCAATAGTCAACAGCTTAATGTATTTAGTGTCAAAGAGCAGAAAGCATCACAGTAACAATATTGATCCATTGGCATTATGTCGTGATAGGACATAAAGGAGAAGTAATGATATTGACCAATAAGACCAAGTAAAGTGCCTGAAGACAGCCTAAAGGAAATTTGTATAATATTTGTTGAAACTATCTTCATGTATTTTGTTACAGATCCCATCGCCTAGTGTAAACTGGACTGACCTCAACAATACATCTCCAACCATCAACCCATATGATTGTAATCCCACAAGTACTGCAGTAAGTTGTTTGAAAGAGAGAGAGAGACCATAAAGTCATTGAAATACCATGGATAATTTATTTATCACAGAAGACACATACATGTAATTCTTAGGTATTACATTGTTTATTTTATTGTGAAATATGGTTCAATGTACACATGCAGTTCAATGTATTAAATTTGGATAAGGGGAGAGTGAAGTTTTCACTGGCCATCAAGAAGTAAGACCCCCCCAAAAAAAATTGAAAAGAAAGAAGGGGAAAAAAACAAACATTAAATGTCATTTTCACTTGTAGTAAATCTGTATATATAGATTTTTCATTCTTGTTTTTCATCCATTTTTGTTTTGCTTCAGGTCATCTTAGTGGCTAATATTCTTCCAAGTCTTTGTATCAAGTTAATATCGCCTTGGTTTGCAGATCTCATTTCTTATGAGTAAGTTATCAGTAGCTATTACATAGCAAATGTGAATTTTTTCATTACAGCAGTTGCTTGGTTACTTCATTGTAAAATCATTCTTTATTGAACATCCCAATCGTTAATAACGGAAAATATTGTTATTTATTTAATGGCAGGTATTTGGCGCCGCCTGCTTGGAGGGGAAAAGCGAACTGAATCACTGTAATCCTCGGTTCTCTCCTCCCTGTTACAACTTCTAGGGGCGTGCGGGTGGACCACTACACCGCGGTTTCTCCTTCTCTTATACAAATAATGCAGTGGGTTCTTAACGTGTATAGGTGGTGACACTCCGCTACCATAGGACCTTCATTTAACATCCTATCTGAGGGACGGACAGTTTTCCAATGTAACCTATCCTTTGTCTATATAAAAATGGGAGGGGCACATTAACACACAACACAGGCTTCAGTTATCTACCTGGGTTGGATTCGAAAGCACGGTCTTTGGTTCGACAAGCAGACACTTCAAAACAGACTGACCCAACTTGCCTCCTACTTGCCTCAATAATATTGTAAACTTATACAGTAGTCAATACAACAGAATTTAGACCAGTAGATGTGTATCATGCAATTAGGACAACTGAACCATCTTTTCTGATTAAAATGGGATATCTTTGCACTATAAGTTGTGAAGGAGTAAAAACAAGCGACTTTCATAGTGATATTATGTTGACATTTATATTTTTAGACACATGCCTAAATGGTCTTGTGATATCTTACTTGTAAATTTGTATACAATGCTTGTACGTTTGATATTTGTGTTATTTTTAATAATTTGGCATTCCTTGAACAAGAGCTCTTCTTATTTATATCATAAATACTGCAAAATTTAGGAGTATAAATTTGTTATGATATAGTATGCGTATAAGCCATGTCCACAACATTTGATTTTTAACATTAACATTTACACCCAGTGTTGTTTGAAATGATTCAGTCATCATGCAAGCAAAAGAAACTGTTCATATGATTGCCCAATTTTCTTTCAAACCATAGAAAGTGATATTTTATATTTAACCATGGACAAAGATAAATGTTCTCATTAAAAAAAGAGTAAGGCTCAACAAGCACTATTGCATTATAGAAATCAAGGAATTATATCTCAGTTGTGGAGGTGTTATGCATTGTGGTTCAGATTTGAAACCTGTGTATGCTGAGAATTTTCAGATACCGGTATGTTCATGAATTTGTGCTTATATCTCTCATCACAGTGTACGGATAGGTTTCTGTGTCTTCTCCACTGCTGCAAGCCTTATCATTGTCGCCGTTGCCAAAAACCTTCCATTGAGTATAATAGGTAAGTGAATGCAGATCTTCTTATGAGAAATAGCTTGCACCATGGAAAGTGTTAATAAAACTTGAGGATGAACTCTCTTTAAGAAACATTTCATTAGAAACTCTATCGTATCTAATCCTTACTTTGCCGACTTCATGTAGGATAACATTGTGTGAGACTTGTATTGAGGTTTTTTGTGTTTGTTTGTTTGTTTATTTTCAAAATTGTTTATAATTTGTTCAGAAAAAAACGTGATACTATCAGTGTACCATAATTGAGTGCACACTATATCTGATTTGAATTTCAAGAAGTATGGTAGGACAAGCTTTTCTTTATATAGAAATATTGGATACAATATAAATATTAGAGCAATCACGCCACCAAACCGCTATACTGATGAAGGACCCTTTTAAAGAAAAATATTGATATAGTGTTCCCTTGTTAAAATGCATTTTACCTCTTGAGTTTGTTTGCTTTCTCATGATGTTACTAATCTTTACCTTATCCCTTTTATTGCTACGCCATCTTCCTCTTTCTCTCTCAATTTCTTGATCTCTAATAATGAAAGACCTAATACAATTGTGAGGCACTGAGATATGATCATGAAGTAATGAGTTGTTTGTTTCCCCCCCTATCTGATTAGGTGTAATATTTGCATCTGCATCATCTGGTTTAGGAGAATTTAGTTTCCTGAGTATGGCGACATTCTTTGATGAGTATGTCACCAATATGACTCTTTTGTTTCGTTTTCATACATGCCAACTGTTCAGATTAAAGAGGAACATTCCTCTTTTTGGGAGAAGATAATTATCATTTTAATGCAGGTGTTCCTCTTCCTGTACAAATTTGTCTGTAGTATTGAATAGGAGAGTTAGGATTGTTCCTCTTTTTTTTGAAAATAGCATAATTTGTACAGATTTCTGATTTTCAAATGTTGGCATGTATGCGTTTTATATGAAATTGTATTGGAAAACCTAGCATAAGTGGGAAAGCGGTATGTGGGATTTATAATCAGATATTATCTTTGATTTTGTGGACATACAGCTACACATATTTCAAGATATAATTGTGTCTGTTATATAATCTTGCATAAAGTGAGTCCATACTTTTCAAAAATTCAAATACCAACATTCTTTTTCTCAATTCTAGATTTACTTTGGAAACAAAATTAAACTGCTTGGTAATCGTACCTTAGAAAATGTACTGTGCTCAGTTGATCTATCATAATGACTGGCTGTCTGGCAAAACTTAAAACAAATCACCATTATGAAAATATTAACTTTGTTGTATCATATCTAATCAAGGAGATGATTATGATTATGATAATGATTATGATTAATGAATTTGAAGAAGTGAGAATAATCCAATATCTTTAGTTCATGAAGATGATAAGTTCATTTCAGTGGTAATTAAAAACAAATTTGAATGTATTTGATTGGCAGAGATGTTGTATCGACATGGTCATCAGGAACAGGAGCTGCAGGATTGTTTGGCTCACTTAGCTATGCCGGACTAATAGCTGCTGGTCTATCCCCACGTACCACAATACTTGTCATGCTGATTATACCAATACTCTTGGCAGCTAGGTCAGTATAATCACTATAACACTTCTTTAACTCTCTTATTGCTTGACACTTTTTTCAGACAAATGAATCCTTATCACCTGATTTTACTTTCACCCATAGAATACCCCTTAAAATATAGTTTCGGGTTTCCCAAGCATACGTGACTCAACAGAGAGGGTACAAGACTGAAAAGCAGTATAGCCGTTATTTTTTTCATTGTGGGTATTTTAGTCGGGTGAAATTATATTTTGACCCCCAGAAAATTGCAAGAAAAGGTTTTTTAAACAGTTTCTTATAGAGTTTGATTTTGGTAATTATGTTAAAAATCTAAGAAAATGAGACTTTTGGAAAGCCAATCTTTACAAGATGGCCATTGTTACCAAAAAAGAGAGTGTGTGTTGTCCTTGATTGACGGGCCTCCATCATATCCATCAAAGACCACACTTGCTGCACAATTATGACGAATTGTGAAGCTGGTATGTCTTTTCTCTCATCGTCACAAACTCATGAAGACCTGGCACCTCCTGCGATATGAATAGAGTTTCCATATTGGTCCTTAAGCTTGCTTTTGAGATATTGATTGCCATATGGAAGTGAATCCTCATATGCAAGAAACTCTTTTATCTTACAGTGTTGCTAAGTTGTGATGAGATCATAATTAATATGGGTTATATTATATATAAAAAGAAAAAATAATGGCATTTCTGCATTATATACAAACTTGCTTGCGATCATGTCATTCCAGTCAAATTATGACATCTTGGAAGCCATCTTGGATTTTTAGGTTTCTTCACAACAACCTACAGACATTTTAACTATTCTTAATGGATTCCTTGACCTCCTAAACCATGGGATAGACCCAAAATGATGTCTCTAGGGTAAATAAGAAGTTATTAATGGCCATTTTTGTCTCGCCTGCATAGCAAAAAAGCGAGACATAGGCGCCGCTTTTCCGGTGACGGTGACGGCGGCGGCGGCGGCATCAACATCAAAATCTTAACCTAAGGTTAAGTTTTTGAATTTTTGATATAATTTTTAAAGTTTAAGTTCTTAGTCAATGAAACTTTGACTATAGGGTAATCAAGTATCCCCAATCATGTGAGTAGAATTTCAGATCATAAAGTCAAGGTCAAAGGTCATTTCAGGTCAACAGACTTGGACTATGTTGTAGCATCATCATCGAAAACTTAACCTAAGGTTAAGTTTTTGAATTTTTGATGTAATTTTTAAAGTATAAGTTCTTAGTCAATAAAACTTGGACTATAGGGTTATCAAGTCTACCCAATCATGTGAGTAGAATTTCAGGTGACTAAGTTAAGGTCAAAGGTCATTTAAGGTCAACAAACTTAGACTTTGTTGTGGCATCAACATCAAGATTTTCAAAATGCTTCTTCTTCGTTATTTTTCGACCGATTTTGATTCTGATTGTTTCATATGATAGGGCTAGGAGGGGGATTTAAAATTTCTACACAGAATCGTGAAATTCATTATCTATGCTAATTTATGCAAATTTATTTGAAATCACTAAAAAGGCTTCTTCTCCTTCATTTCTTGACCAATTTTGATTTGGTTTGCTTTATATCGTAGAGCTAACTTTGGAACACTAAAGTTCTTCACAGAATTTTGAAATTGTTTTCCATTACTTAATTATGGTAATTTATGCAAATTTATTCCAAAAATAACAAAAATTGCTTCTTTTCCCTCATTTCTTGACCGATTATGATTTGGTTTGCCTTATCTGGTAGAGCTAAATTTGGAACACTAAACTTCTACACAGAATTGTGAGATTTTGCTCCATTGATTATTTATGGTACTTTATGCAAATGAAATGAAATTATGTCCCTTCCAGGGCATCAAATTTTTATTTTTTGACCAGTTCAAAAGTGTACCACATAAACTTTACGATATTTGTTGTTGCGAGATGCGGATGAGCGCTACGTCATTGACGTTCTGGTTTATCATATTGAATTGCGTTATGCAGGCGAGACCGCCGAGAGCGTTTCCCTTGTTATGAAACAGCAGCAATCTTGGAAGCCATCTCAAAACAAAACAAATCGCTTTCAGAATGTCCGATTTTCTGAGATCCTGAGATCAAACTCTACTAAAAACAGTAAAACCTTTCATTGGAAGTTTGGGTGGGGGGGGGGGTCTGACTATGTATCATGAATGATGATCTGTAAACTTCATTAACGCAATGATCCTAAATGTCTGCTTCTAAATTCCCCTCAGTTACTGGCTGGTTTTGGTGAGGGTGCCAGCGATACAACATTGTTCTTGGAGAAGGCAGTCCAATATTCAGTACCCTCGACTGCTCGACGAGACAAAAGACGATGAGAGGGAGGATACAGATATTCAAGATGAAGAAGTCGTACATTTGTCTTGGAGAGGGAAGTTAGTTATCATAAAGGTGAATAATCATTTTTAGGCCTATTGATCAGTTTTTTAATCTTTTGATTAGGAATAATTGAAAGGTTAGCTTTATTAATACTGAAATGTTTAAATATTCAATTAGTACTTACATTGGAAGAAGCATGTTCTTCACATTGAACTTTACAGACATAATGGCCCAGATTTTATAAAGGAGGTTTGTCGACAAACCTACATGTAGGTTTATGTGCGTCATATGACACGTTTTTTACAAACCTAGTTTGTAAAAACGCCTCAATACGCGTCATATGATGCACACAAACCTAGGTCTGTTGACGAACCTCCTTTATGAATTCGGGCCAATGAGTATGTAAAAGTACTCATGAATTATTTAGTACACATATGGGATGAGTTATGCAAGTAGCAAAGAAAAGATTGTTTTTGCATTCTAACTCTTTATGTGCCACATCTGCCAATTGGCAAGTGCACATGCTACATATTTCCAAATTGTGCCAAATAGTTTTGACTATTTGAAAACATAATTACGTACCACTTGAAGAGCTTCATGTAATGACATATTCTTAGTCTTCATTGCACAGCCACTTTTGAATAATCGGTACTAAGAAGCTATAAGTGGCCATTTTAATATGATGTGACAGCCTATATTATGAAATATAGTACAGTAAAAAAAAATATATTGCAAAAGAAGGCTCTTGTAAGCTGTACAAAAAAGTTTGAAGAATTGAAACGGTCAAAGGCAAGAGTCTCTGTATTAATGTGGCATGTCTCTGGTTGTGATAAATTTGAACTTCAGTAGCCCCTAAGTGCAGGACTGAAAATGTCAACCATGATGATTGAATTATTTGACCGCCGGTTCACCCGTAGATTATGAAACATGCTTGCTTACAATATATTTTATCACCCGACGAAGTGTTGCAGCGGCACTAGAAACGTCTTGATCTTTTAGATCCCTTGTTGACCATACATTGCGAGACAAACAAATGTCATTAGCGATATTATTTTTGATATGATGTTTCTCTTTTGAATCTCTCTATAGTCCATGCTTTACCTGATAATCCCATTGATAATTGTCTACATGGCTGAATACTTCATCAATCAGGGACTTGTAAGTTGTGAACAAATTAAACTATTATTGGCAGTTGGTATCTGATCATGCATATTTCATTATGATTATTTAAAGGCTTATATCTCATTTGTTCAGCATCTTAATTAACCTCTCTTACAGCATTCCATAAAAATTTAGTTTTATGCCTCAGTCCACCAAAGGTGGTGTCGAAGGCATTTTGTTCTCGGGTTGTCCGTCCGTCCGTCTGTCCCGCTTTCTTGTTAACGCGATATCTCAAGAACCATTTTAAATATGAAATTCAAACTTGATGATAGTATGTACATGTATAACCATAGGAAGATGATCTGATTAGATTTTGGAGTAACAAGGTCAAAAGTCAAAGGTCACAGAGGTCAACTCATGACATTCCAGGTATTGTCCTCGTTAGTGCCATCTCAAGAACGATTAGAGACATAAGGCTCAAAATTGTTAATATTATGTATCACCGTAGGTAGATGGTCTGAGTAGATTTTGGGTTAGTAGGTCAAAGGTCTCAGAGGTCAACTTCTGAAATTCAAACTATTAGCTTTGTTATTTTGATATCTCAAGAACCACTAGAGATATGAGGCTCAAACTTTATGATAGCATGTATCAACATACATAAGTCAAAGGTCACAGAGATTAATTTTTGAAATTACAGGCTTCAGCCTTGCTATTGCAATCTTGTTTTGTGTGTGTGTGTGACTTCTGAATTGCCAAAATTTTGCTGCATTGAAAAAGAAAAAAAGAATTCAGAGTGCCTCAGAATTTTTGTTGTGGAGATGTCATTGTCTTTCATAATATTGATTGAAAGTTGACGAAAGACAAGTAAGCCCACGTAGGAAATTTTCAAGATTATAGACATAGAGACAAAAAGAGGGAGGAAGGGAGGGAGGGAGGGAGGGAGGGAGGGAGGGAGGGAGGGAGGGAGGGAGGGGGGGAGGGAGGGAGGGAGGGAGGGAGGGAGGGAGGGAGGGAGGGAGGGAGGGAGGGAGGGGGGGGGAGGGAGGGAGGGAGGGAGGGAGGGAGGGAGGGAGGGAGGGACGGAGGGACGGAGGGAGGGACGGAGGGAGGGAGGGAGGGAGGGAGGGAGGGAGGGAGGGAGGGAGGGAGGGACGGAGGGACGGAGGGAGGGACGGAGGGAGGGAGGGAGGGAGGGAGGGAGGGAGGGAGGGAGGGAGGGAGGAGAGAGAGAGAGAGAGAGATAAAAAAAGAGGAAAGTTAGAGAAGGATAGGGAAAGAAAGACAAGGAGAGCATGGTCTTGTAGAATTATATTTCCATTGTCCTGCACTCCCTTTGAAAATGTTGGTGCCTTTAAATTCTCACCATTTTTTGCTAGATATAAATAACTATAAGGATTTGTGTAACAACATATGACTGTGAAAATGAAAGCAAATTTCATTTTTTGCTATTAAAAGTGATGGGGAAAATAGTTCGATATTGAAGTTCATTGTTAAAGGCAAAGACCGGTTATGGTCGTGCGATTGCATTGTGAAAGAAACGTTGTGGAATCGATCAGAAAAGGTTGACCATCTAGCATATAAGTATTGATGTGTATTGCAAGGTTCTGGAATCATCAAAATGATAAGAAATTTGGCCCAGTTTTGGAAAAGTTACAAGCACCGTACATAGAAAGATGTATATGGGACTATGCGCACGTGCGCAACACATGCGTTTTTATCTATCACTGTCCAATAGATAAACTAATTTAGCAAATATATCAATTAGTGTATCATGTATGTATCAATCATGTATTAGTCAAAACATATTCTTTCACATGATTGGTAATAAGAGCTTCCATTTCATTTTTTTTTAAATTGGGGCGTTTCCAAAACTGGTCTTTACCTTTAACCAAAGCTTTATTTCTTCATTTTTTTGTAGTTTGAACTGGTATATTTCCCTGATGCTTGGTTATCACATGAGGCTCAATATAGATGGTAAGACAATAAATGAGATTTTCTTGTGATTAAAAATACATTGCACCTTTAATATAAAACCTTCAAATGTGGGGATTAGCCAGGAAAAGATAGAGATTTGGGTTTATGGTATCCTTTAGCAGAACTGTACAATGTGGAGACATCTGCTACACACTAGTTTTAAACAATTTGAAAATAAAAGTTGAATGTGTATAAACTTCCCATTCTTGTTAGATAAATTAGTAACCATGCAGGTTACAATTGAGAGACCCACGTAGACATCGTTCTAAATCAAATTTATTAAAGATTATGCAGAAAAAGAAATCAGAATAATAGGTTTTACCTCGGCATATTCAAAAAATTATACTAATGATATACAAGTAAATCTCTCTGTTTTACCTCTATTTTTGTTCTTTTGTTTTTATCTGAAATTCTAGGTATCAGGTTCTATACCAAATTGGAGTGTTTGTCTCAAGATCATCAGTTAACATTATTCCTATACAGAGAACATGGATTCTTGCAGTTCTTCAGGTAATGGTCAACAAAAGAACATTCAGATAAGTCTCAAAGGGAGATGAGTGGTTGTTGTGAAAACTATTGTCTAGCGATGGTGGTGGATGCATACATGTTTATCATACTACATTTACATCGGATGTAGTTATGATAGGTATGGGGTGGATTAAGGATTAAGGGAAGCTCTCTGTTGTGCACTGCAACTTTTTTAATTTGCATTGAATTTAGAGGTGATTTCTGACATACAAAGTGAGTCAAAAAAAAGTTTACACCTAGAAAATCGCTAATTATTTAAAAAATCATCGATGAACATTAAACTGTTATATGTCTTATAAACGAGTGTTTTATCCCAAATCATTTGGTACCGTTTTTGTGTGGTATGTGTTCACGCTTGGATGAACAGGAGACATTGTTTGCGAGAGTGCAAAAATCAAATTGCGCCAAAGTTGCCTGTGTGATGTTTGAATAAAACAATTGGGATTTTGGTATTAATTCGGTCTCGCAAACAATGCCACCTGTTCATCCAAGCGTGAACACATACCACACAAAAATGGTACCAAATGATTTGGGATTAAACACTCTTTCATGAGATGTATAATAATTTACTGTTCATAGATGATTTTACAAATAATTAGCAATTTTCTAGGTGTAAACTTTTTTTTGACTCACACGGTACAGCTTTCTACATGCACAGTAGTGTAAAGTACTTGTGTGGCAGGGGATAAGGGCTAGTGGGTGGATTGAAGGAAGTTTTCTGTCATACATGTTTCTACATTCACATCAGATATCATATATATACTGACATCAGATTAAATGTGGGTAATATTTGAGAAATTGTGGGTTGTCATTGATTTATACATGAACATGAAGGGCTGGTTACGTTTAATATAGCATTTTGAAATTGGTTTTGATCAGTAACTAAGCATTAACAAGATTAGTTTAATATGACAGTACAGTTGACCAATGAATTACTTGACTGAATCAGGATAAGCATGGAACAGAAATCGTTATCGTGTTTCTTTTTCAGGTTGTGAACGTGATTATCTTCCTGACCCAGCTGTTCTACTTCTATATTCCTTCTATCTTCATCGTCTTTGCTCTCATCTTATTTGAGGGGTTGCTAGGCGGGGCTGCATATGTCAATACCTTCTTCATCATTAGGAGAGAAGTAAGTCCAAACAACTCAATCATCTCAGTCGTATGGAAGGAAAACAATCATTTATTATTGCTAATCATTAGTAATTTTTTTGTTGATATAATATAACCACTTTAGTAAGCTTTTCCCTAATATGTTAATAATATAAATTACATCAGTCTATGGAGACTCAACTTATTACACGTTATGAAACTTAAAGAATAATGATTGAAGAAAAATGGAAGAATCTTCCAGCTTTTTCCTGAAGACTTTTCTGATTTTGTGTGTCTTGTTACTATTTCTCAAGCTGAATGAGTGCAATTGTAGGGTGATTGTAACATTTTTTTGGGCTGTATCTCTATTGTCCTTTAGGTTGCTGTGGATAAGAGAGAATTCGCCTTGGGTGCTGCTACAGTATCTGATGGAACTGGCATAGCAATCGCAGCGGTTTTAGCAGTGCCTACACATGCAGCCTTCTGTAACCGAGTGATGGTGAAATAGACGTCATACTTGTTGGTTCTTGGAGTGTGTTTCCACAAGATTTCAAAATACTGGGCAAGTCAAAGGTACACATATGTCCCAAACGTTACCAAATTGCCATATGGAATTGACATCAATTATTTGAAGGTTTGTCTTATTCAAGCTTTAGTAGAGCTATCAGCTGGATACATTCATTCAATATGCTTTAAAAAATCCTAGATCTGGATGGGAACGTATGGGACGAAATAGCTTGGACTTACCCTGCTTTTTTATGCCTCCGCCACCGAAGGTGGTGCCGGAGGCATCATGTTTTCGGGTTGTCCGTCCGTACGTCCGTACGTCTGTACGTCCGTCCGTACGTCCGTCCCGTTTGACCGTTATCACAATATCTCAAGAACCATTTAAGATTTAAACTTAAGACTCGGGAATAGTATTTATCACCATAGGAAGACGATCTGATTAGATTTTGGAGTACGTAGGTCAAAGGTCACAGGTCACAGAGGTCAACTTATGAAATTCCTTGTATTGAGTTTGTTAGCGCGATATCTCAAGAACCATTTGAGATTTAAACTTCAAACTTAAGGATAGTATGTATCACCATAGGAAGACGATCTGATTAGATTTTGGAGCACGTATGTCAAAGGTCAAGGGTCACAGAGGTCAACTTATGAAATTCCATACATTGAGATTGTTATCATGATATCTCAAGAACCACTGGAGATTTAAACTTCAAACTTAGTGATAGTGTGTATCACTATAGGAAAACAATCTGATTACATTTTGGAGCACGTAGGTCTAAGGTCAAGGGTCATAGAGGTCAACTTATGAAATTCCATACATTGAGATTGTTATCATGATATCTCAAGAACCACTGGAGATGTAAAAACTTCAAACTTAAGGATAGTATGTATCACCATAGGAAGACGATCTGATTAGATTTTGGAGCACGTAGGTCAAAGGTCAAGGGTCACAGAGGTCAACTTATGAAATTCCATACATTGAGATTGTTATCATAATATCTCAAGAACCACTGGAGATTTAAACTTCAAACTTAATGATAGTGTGTATCACCATAGGAAGACAATCTGATTAGATTTTGGAGCACGTAGGTCAAAGGTCAAGGGTCACAGAGGTCAACTTATGAAATTCCATACATTGAGATTGTTATCATGATATCTCAAGAACCACTGGAGATTTAAACTCCAAACTTGTTTAAATTGCTCTATGGCGGAGGCATCATTTTCGACTGCGCGCAGTCAAAATTCCATCTAGTTTTTTCATTCTTCCCCGAGTGTATGCATCTGTTGGAAAATGCAATTAAAAGTTCATGCTGCGAGCAAGAATGGGTTAACGTACCACCTTCAGAGATGGTACTTTAATTCCCGTTATGTTCACTGTGGATCCATCTCACAAAAGACTATTAAGAGCAGAGTGTCACCAGAAAGTGGTATGCACGTTCTACATGGGCCCTTTAACTTGCAAGGCCCGAGTGATTTATATTTTCATGCATCTTTGCATTGACTTTTATACTTGCACATGTGGGTTGACAGTTGATTTTACAGTTGACATACTGTTACTGTTTTAGGATGCACTGCGCAGCTTGCCCACACAATGCCAACTTCCCAGACTTCCAGTGTAAACTGTACATTCTGTGAGCCACGCATGTTTACTGCTTTTGCTGAATAATATTTATAGAACTTATACAGAGTAGAAACAAAAGCAAAAGTACTGATTTCTTCCAGGGTAGAAGATCCAGATTTTTTAGGTGTTTCCAGAAAAACACTCTCTTTTTTAATAAATCAAAGATTTTACAGGGTGCTGTTGGTATTTGGATTTACAAGTATTAAGGTTAGAGCTATTTATGATATTGTGGGTTTTTTATCAAAGATTTTATAGGGTATTGTTGGTATTTGGATTTTCAAGTAAGGTTTGATATTGTGGTACTATACATCTGTTTATGATATATAATGTTACCTCTATATATGGTATGGTACCATTCTACCAAGTCTTCATTTGTAAATGACCGCAGAGCACTTGTCACCAGAGCATAGGCCCATGTTACACAATCATGGAAATGTTATTGTTTTTATTACATGTCTTCCAGCAATTGTAGCACATTTGAAATATTTATATATATATATTTATATTGCCACATTTATAGTTAGACAGGAGTATATTTGTGATTTTATCTTTCAGAATATCTGTATTTAACTCTCTGACAGCATTCCATTTTTATCACATAATTTTTTGTAACAATGAAATTAATATATATCAATGAAATTAAAAATTATCAATAACATTGAAATTTATAGATATTATCTCTTGAAATACAGCTTACTGTACTTTCCAGAGCCTCAGATGGAATAAGTTGAATTGAAAGTGAAAATTATAAAGTACTTTCATTGAAACAAAGTTACTGAATAAATTGTGTGGGTAGAAATAACCATATTAGTACAGATATGATGAAGAATATTTCATTTTCGTTGCTGTTTTGGCCAGAACGTTTATTTCTACACAAAGTTAAGAACTAAATTATGTATACTCCCTGTAAGTTGGACGTTTTTTTTTTTAATTTTTCGTAACTCAGGAATGAAAGGGGGACTGGTTGAATTAGGGCCTTGGCTGAATACTTATATATGTAAGCTTTAAAATGTCCCATTCTCAGGAAGCATAAATTGAGACAAATCAAGTTTTTATATACTAAGCGGAGGGCCAAAGTCAGAAAAGAAGGGTTTGCCTGCCAATACCACGTGAACTAAGCACACCTTGTTTATTCAAAAGAATTTATCATGATACACAATATATCAGAGGTTTATTTTTTATTTTTATTGTAGCGAACATTCCGAAATCAGAGGGGGCGACCAAAAAAGCAGCACTTTTGACAAAAATTAGTATTTTGTCAAAGATATTTCAAGGAAACCTTGGGCTACCATGGTTAAGTGTCCTATGAAAGAAAATTAAATTATCTACATTTTTATACCAATTTTAACAGAATTGGGATTAATTAACATCACAATTTTTGGTATAAAAAAAGATGATTTTTTTGGGGGGGTGATTTTTTTCAAAAAATTGATTGTTATCAAAAACTTTTTTTTCCATTTATCAAAATCGGAGAGGTGTCCTTTCTTGCAAGTTATCAGGAAATCAAAAACTTAGCATGATATTTAACTTTGGCCCTCCGCCTTTACTTCACAACTTTCAAAGATTTATTTGTTAGATGTACATGTATAGGCAGTAAATGTGCCATATGTTATAAAGAGGGAGAAGAGTTACACTCTGATGAGATACATACCAGTCAACGCCTTTCTTGCTTCAAATAGACGATATAAATTTTAAATGTATGTCTCTCTATATATATATATACTGTGCTTCTGATTTAATCTAGGGAGATGTTCACTTGGTCACCTCTCCGTCTTCGCCTACAAACTGGCTCAGGCGACATAGGTTCGAAACTGAGTCACAGGTCGGTCCCCAGACGTAAATAATCATATCTGATTGATACATGTCTGTAAAAACCCAATATCACACATTCAAGTGCAATTGATTTGTGTGATGTGCTTGTATTTACTCATAGATATGTAGAATACTTGCATAGATCTGACATGGTTCAAATGTGTGCAATTTTAGTATGCATTAACCAAAAGTTTGCAATTATATTTTGTGTGTAGGGACATGTGGGTATTGTAATTTAGTGAGTGAAGGGTCAATGTGAGTTCAAGTTCATCATATTGATTATTGCTTTGTGTCCCATATATTGTTACATTATTGTATTTAACCAAAAAACTGTATTTAACAGTTATAAAATGGTGCTACATGTACTTATTAACATTTTTAACATGATAAAGCTGTGATAAAGCATAATAATGTGTGAGGGTATATTATAATTAATTAGTGTGTGAAATAAAAGAAATTTGCATTATATTGTAGTCCTTTGTTTTATGCGAGCATTTTGTAAACATAGTTTGTCAGGGGGGCTAAAGTAGTTTTTGTGAAAAATATTTTACTCTGCGTTTGTTTCAATTGGTTTAGTATCCTGCTTATTTTGTCAAAGACACTTACAAAATACTGTTATTCCACAGACTTTGCACGCAAATATGTGACTGGTCTCATATATCACAACATTCAAATTGAAACGTGATCGCGAAGACTTCCAACTCTTGGCATTTACTGAGAATTTCTTGGTGCATAAAGTGCTTTCCTCAATAATTCACTTCAGTTTTTAAAGTACAAGTATTACGAAAGTCTACACAAAGAAAAATCAATCAGCCAAATCAAGCGTATATTCTGTCCAGTAGTACTGGTGTAAAGTAATTTATTCTTCTGTACAAATGATCATTCTGTAATATATAGTATTACACAATAAGAATAAGAACGTGGACATCATATCATGTATATCATATCATATCTAAACATGTTCTGTATAAAGCCTCTTTAGAAAAAGAAAACAAAATGATTTCAGTAATATATTATGTAAATAGGATAAACATAAAATATATAATTTTATCTATAACAGGACATTCAAACATTTGTGACACTAAAAATACATTTATTTGTTCTCTTCACAAAATACCTATAAAACAAGTCATTTGGTTCTAGAAAAAGGCCCATGCAGTGTTGGGAAGCTGCTATCTTCAAATAAATAAAATTCATTATAGAAGGTAAATACATTGATCATTATAAAAGGCTGTTACATGTACATTGTTATTAATTATTTACACATGCAATGATTTGTGACAATTTTATGTAGATATATTAAGTACTACGATCATGAGACATACATGAATTTGAAAGAAAATAAATATTTTTTTTTACAAGAATAAACAGATTTAAATGTCTTGATTTTCAGGTTATAACTATAAATATATTTTGTTTGATCATGCACTGCACAATTTATTCTAGTATCCAATCCATTTCCAATGCAAATTGAGGTCATTTTGAGGTTTAATCATGTTGGATTACCATACATCTTTTGTAATCCATCTTTTGTGTTGCAACCAAAATTATCTGTTACCAATGATATTACACCCAATATTGTGGTATTATAGATTAGATAAGATATATTGTATTTTTTTTAAATGGGGAAAAAAACAAACACAAGGAGCAAGTACTGAGTCTAAATAACAAAATGATCAACACTTTTCATTCTCAATATTAAACAGTGAGAGTTGTGAGGTACAATAAAGCACAAAAGTTTAAAAAAAACAGGATGTTTTTCAAAAAGAAAACATAAATCATATATGACTTATTTTCACATTGAACATTAAGAAAGGGTGCTTATCTGTACAATTGAGTGCACATGAATCACATAAACGAAAGTTCAACTAGTACATGTAATTCCTATTAAAAAGCGAAACCACTGAGATTGCATTGTTCTTTAGACTTTTCCTACCACTTTGTATATTTGACATGAACATGTTTACATGAATCATCACATCTTAACAACCACAGACATGTGAACAATAGATACTACATGACGTTAACAAAAAAATAGTTTTGATTTTCTCCTTTAAATAAAGTAGGAGAATGTCGCTCCACAAATGTGATAAGAGTTGGAATGAGGCAGTACTGAATAATTATTGAAGTACTGCGACTATACTTTGAGATGTGCAAGCTAAGTGTCTTTTATTTTGAATTTTAGGTAATAAACATAAGTAATTTCAAATTAAAGCAGTTTGTAATCACAAGTTATGGTAGCTGATTAACTGAAGGACAGGCGATTGAAAGTGAATGAAGAAATTAAGATTACAAGTAATATGAATTCTGCTTGTATACTTATGGGCATATGGTTACAATGGAAGTAAAAACAGTAACATCTCAGTTTCTTAAATATTCAAATAGTTCAGAATAAGCCGTTTTTGTGAGTTTGTAAGAAAAAGCTTTTGGAAGAATATCATGCATACATTTTAAAAATAGATGGTAAACAAATTATAGTTCTTGAATTGCAAAAGATATATTCTTCATTTCAAACAATATAAGTACATGTAGTGGGCTTGTTTGGCCTGTTTTGTCAGAATGAAAAAGCATAAAAAATACAACAAGTTTTCACCTCTGGACACAACTACTGTTACTAGCATACAACGAGATTTACAACATTCTCACATTTTATCACTTCCTCTCTCACTCTTTAACATGGCAAGCTTGTTATCTGGATTCACACAACACAAACATTTCAAAAAGGAAAATGCACTCTTGGCAAAATATAATAATCCCACTTAATGGTTGGCATGCACATTGGGAAGCAAATATTGTGAGTAGCAAAAAGTTTTGAGTTGGTTTGAATTTTTTTAATTAAAGGAGTGTGAGTGAAAAATTATAGCAGATAAAAGCAGAGTTGAAATAAAAAGACATTTTTTATTATTTCCTTTTCATCATGGAAAAAGGGATAGAGAATATGCTTCAATCACCAAAGAGACCACAAATTAAATTCATTTTCATATATCAAGGCAGGTGCCTTTATGCCAACAAAACCAATAGGCATTGCAAATATTTGGTCCTGCTTTCATTCAAAACAAAGAAATAGTTGCAACATATTGTTATTTCGCCATCGAACAAAAGATACAAAACATTCAAATTCCTCAAAATATTAACATTAAAAAAGAAGCGTTGGCATGACTTGATAGCACCGTGTGAAAACCCAGCATCTCATCGCATCCATCTTGCACAGTTTGGTGATATTGCCTCCTGTCTTAAAGCCTCCTCCCTCATTCTGGCCTTGATCTAGTCATCACGCTCTTCAATTATTGCACTGATGTTGTCCAACTGCAATGAATGGAAACAAACAAAATGGCTCCTTTACCACATTGAACATTGAACAAAGCATTTCAGAAATATAAACATTCCTGCCGTTGAATGTTCTTTGTCTTTAATGAAGCACCTGGTACAGTACTTATTTTCATTTTCTCCACAAGCACATTGCCATCGAGTACAAGTACATTTTTGTCTAAATTTGAGATTTGCACTGTTTCAATTTCTTATCTAAGATAACAGGGAGAAGAAACAAAGTGGTAATAGAGATACAGAAAAGAGTGAATCTGGAACCACTGACCATCTTAGCATCGAAAATAGATATATTAAAACTTATAGACAAGAAAGAAACATATAGATATGTAAGAAAAAAAGGGATCAAGTTCAAATTTTGTTGAAAAATATCTCTCCTGAAACACCTACAGTCGGTTGCAAATCAGAATTATTTTCAAATGCAGACCTTAAGACAAGAGAAACAAGTATTGTGTGAAGAGGGAGAGAAGTTGGTGACAGCTAGCTTACCATGTCTGTGTGTTCTTTGGTGTACTCATACAACTGATGAAGCATTCCTAGTCTGCTGAAATGTGCAGAGAATTCCTATGGAGGAAAAAAACAGAGAGAGAGAGACATTTAATACCATTTTAATGAGAGCCAGCAAAAACACAAAAACGAAAAACAAAAAATCTAACCCTTACATACTTAAGTAAAGATCTAATTTGGGGAAAATATTAAAACTATATATCTGATTCTTCGATCTCAAGTTGAATACATCAGCATGAGGAAATCAGAGCAAATGCTGCATGTATCACAATAGACAGTATCCTGCTTCATTAGGTCAATTATTTGTACTATTCATGAATTTAGAGTAGCTTTACAGTTCTTAAATGTAGTATGAAGTATAATAATTTCACAGTATCTGTTAATGATGCAATGTGACATATATATTCACAAATCATTGTTAACAAACACAAACCAGCCTCTGACTGCAGAAAATTGTTGAAATTAGACCATCATTGAAATGAAGAAGTGAATTGAATCAGTAAGACCTGCCGAATAGATTAAAATGCAACTATTGCATTCATCTATAGATCTCCTTCGCTTATTGGGAGGGGGGAGGAGGCACTTATTACACGATGGGCACCATCTTACCTTGGTAATTTGCTGGCTTGCTTCTTCAAGTTGAGACTGTGATACTCCTGGCAAGTCTGCAATGGCATTGTAGTATCCCTCCACCATCTCAATATACCTTGGAAGCTCTGGTCTGTACAGGATTCTGTTCAACGATGCATCCTACAGGAAACAAAATGATTAGAGAAGAATGAAGATCCTATAACTATGGTCTGTACAGAATTCCGTCAAATGATGCATCACATAGGAAATGGTGTGAAGAATGTATATTTCTGGTCTTAAGAGGAATCTGTTCAATAATTGAAAAGAAATCTAAAGAGGTTTCAACCTAATTTTAAATTTTTAGAACAGTAAAATAAAAGGGATACCACATTTTCATGCTTGAAACCAAATAAACATTTCTTAACAAGGAAGCATCTAAAAAATTATTTTTTAAGACACTTCTCATTTTTCCTTACATGTATGTCTAAGACAAACTGTATACAAGATGTTGTGTTTTCATTTGTTTTCATTATCATTATTTTTTGTATACTAATATATTCCACGAGTTGGGTAAAACAGATAGTTTCCCACTTTGCAATCAGTTAACTTCAGATTTGCACACAGGGAAAAAACATGTGACAGTCACAGACATTCTCATATCTTTTTATATTCACAATGTGGACACGTGGTCAACTAAATTCATTCAACTGAATACACCACTATTACTTACTAGGTTGTAGGTAGGGATGTTCTTTTTACATGCATGGTCCAACATGTTGGTAAGGACATTGATGCAATAGTCGGCCGTCCGAGATTGTTGCATATCAAAGATGAAGGATGGATGTGAGATGGCCGTTACCCAGTAACGAAGAGCAAGGCTGAAAGGTAAGGAAAGAAGACAATGAAGTAGTTACTAACACTTTTTAGTAAGTGCATGTATCAGGTAATGATCAGCTATGCAATCAAAGATAAAGTGGACTCTTACAGGAAATCAAAGGAAATATATGTTTCTTCATTTGAGTAAATGAAACAATTATGAATAAAAAGCTGGTGGGAAATTCAATAACTTGCTTTAAAGGAGAACAAATCAAAAAGTTTTTGTCATTGAACACTTAAAGAATGTTGAATTTTGGGATGTATCTATATGGTACATCCATCTTCGTCATCATCGTCGTCATCGTTATCATCATTATCATCATCATCACAAAATTTAAAGGATTATACAAAAAACAAAATGGTATATCTTATTGGATCATCTCATTGGATCATCAGGTCCTCAACTTTTAAAAAGTATGTCATAATATGATATCTCTTCCCCACCATCTCGCATTATCAAAGGCATTTACCTAAACCACTTTACAAAGCCCATAATGACTTTACACAGAGGGAATATAAAGCAAAATGCAAATATTTGATTTTACAAATATATACACATATCATTATTTATATGTTCCAATACCTATTAGTTTTCCATGCTGCGGATACATTGTCCTTTATTTCACTATGCTCTTCTGCATGTGTATCAAAGAAGTCAAAGAGATGTTTGATGTGAACAGGTAAACTAGACTGTCCTTCAGGCAAGGAGAAAGTGGCTTCTAGAAACTCGTCTAAGAACGGCTGGACGGCATTCTGAAAGATTCACAGAAGAAGAAAAAAAACAGAGATAAACCAACCACACAATGATGAAAACTGCATATGCAGACAAGAGGACAAAGGTCTCATGAAAACAAAACTCCCTGATTTTCCCCTGATAGAGTTTAACCAGAACGTCAATGACGTAGCGCTCATCCGCATCTCGCAACAACAAATATTGTTAATTTTATGTGGTACACTTTTGAACTGGTCAAAAAATAAAAATTTGATGCCCTGGAAGGGACATAATTTCATTTAGCTGTACAAAATTAAATAGAAACTAAAGGAAATGTAAATATAAACTAAAGGAAATGGAATTTTTGTTATTTTTGGAATATATTTGCATAAATTACCATAATTAATTAATGGAGAACAATTTCAAAATTCTGTGTAGAAGTTTAGTGTACCAAAGGTAGCTCTACGATATAAAGCAAACCAAATCAAAATCGGTCGAAATATGAAGGAGAAGAAGCATTTTTTGTGATTTTTATATTATTTTTGGAATAAATTTGCATAAATTACCATAATTAATCAATGGAGCAAAATCTCAAAATTCTGTGTAGAAGTATAGTTTTCCAAATTTAGCTCTACCAGATAAGGCAAACCAAATTAAAATCGGTCAAGAAATGAGGTATAAGAAGCAATTTTTGTTATTTTTGGAATAAATTTGCATAAATTACCATAATTAATTAATGGAGAACAATTTCAAATTTCTGTTTAGAAGTTTAGTGTATCAAAGTTAGCTCCACGATATAAAGCAAACCAAATCAAAATCGATCAAAATATGAAGGAGAAGAAGAATTTTTTGTGATTTTTAAATTATTTTTGGAATAAATTTGCATAAATTACCATAATTAATCAATGGAGCAAAATCTCAAAATTCTGTGTTGAAGTTAACGTGTTCCAATTTTAGCTCTACCAGATAAGGCAAACCAAATCAAGATTGGTCAAGAAATGGGGGAGAAGAAGCAATTTTTGCTTTTTTTTTGAATAAATTTGCATAAATTACCATAATTAATTAATGGAGAACAATTTCAAAATTCTGTGTAGAAGTTTAGTGTACCTCAATGTAAACAGGGGAAACTCATTTGTCTAGATTATCTCTGAGCCAAATACAGGACTATTCTGAGAACTTACCTTGGTTACAAGAAGTCTAGAGGTGTAGACTTCTTTAATGAGCTTTGGTCTGTGGTCTATCTTGTGGGGCCTCTTCTTCTTGCTGTTGCTGTTCACAGTATTGCTTTCATCTTTCACCTTTAAGAAAGATCAATGAAGTAACTCTTGCTATTATAGTCTAAAGTAAAAATTAAATTTTGCCCTTATAGATTCTCATAACTGCTTGGAAAGTTAAGTGTTGTTATAGATATGAATGATATGAATCTTTTTATTTTTTATACCATGACCTAAAGACAAGGTGAAGTGTTCATTACAAATTTTTACGATAATTTGAGTCCTTAATCAATCTCCAATTCAGCGTTTTTCAAAAATAAAGAGTCTTGCGTCACTCCAATCCCAGATTAGAAGGATTTCTAGGAGCCATGCAGATGTATCATTCTCCACAAAGCAGTAAAATAGTGTACATTTCTGCATTCTTGGGAAACAGTGGCTCAAAGTAACATATCTTTAATTCTGCTTTCTCTTTTATCATATGGAAAAACCTACCAAGTGCCACATCTGCTTTCCCTCCTCTGGATCGACATCAATCTGGGTGTACTCCCATGACGTTCGGACATTGTTCACAGCTGGTGCCTCAAGAGCTATGGTGAAGTTAATGAAGAAGAGAAAAAATATATTAAAGGTAAAGACCAGTATTGGAAACGCCCCAATTTCAAAAAATGAAATGGAAGCTCTCATTACCAATCATGTGAAAGAATATGTTTTGATTAATACATGATGATAACAAATTTGCCGGGAAACCGCCTACTAATTCATATATTTGGTAAATTTGTGTCTCTCATGGTCTGTGAGAGATATAGGGTAGTCCCATATACATCTTTCTGTGTATAGTGCTTGTAACTTTACGAATAATGGGCCAAATTTCTTATCATTTTGATGATTCCAGAACCTTGCAGATGCTAGATGCTAGATGATCAACCTTTTCTGATCGATTCCACAACGTTTCTTTCACAATGCAATCGCATGACCATAACTGGTCTTTACCTTTAATTTGATCAAAGTTCTTAATTCCTGTCTCCTTTGACAGACAATATGTACATCATATGATTTAGCTGGAAATAGCACAAACTGTGAATTTGTTGGAGACTGTGCAGATTAAAAATGCTCCCGCACATTCCTTGACTGACAACGAAATCGCACAGACATAAAAATGATTTTCTCACCAGTCAAATTCTGAACATGATTAACAAATATATGAGCTGATATTATCTTTTTTAGATTGTGCTTTTATGTACTTTTTATAATTGAAATGACTACCGGTAATGCTGATTAAATGCACTATATGACTGTGTAAAAATATGCCACACATAAATATTGTAAGTAGTAGTATTTCACTGCAATGAAAAGTATGAAATAATGCTTTATATCCTGCAGAGATAAACATGAACAAATGTAGGAAACAGAAAATTAATGTGATTTTAATTAAGACTCGCATTTCCTTGTTTTTTTTGTTTTTTTTAAGTTAAAATGAATGCCACTCATTAACACAAAGAAATTCAACCTATAACACACAAAATTCAATTACATTTCTTCAATATGAGTTCAATGCATTTATTCTTTGGAAATTTATCTTTGAACTATACTGTAAAAGGAAAAGGGTAGAGCTTAGTACTCTGATTTGCATATTTACATACAGAAACACACATTCATCATTTTTTGGTTAATGCAGACAAAACTTTGATAGAAATTTCAACCGCCACATGAGAAAAGCGAAACCATGAAGACCCAACTACATTTTTGTACCTGTACATGATTACCACAGAATGATACTTTAACAAGAAAAAGGACGGCACATTGAATAAGAAAGATTGTACTAAATGTTTACAGTGTAAGCATGTGTTGTGAGCAATAAACATGATGTAATATAGGAATATTTTCAATAATAATCATCATGTGCTGAGCAGAAGTTGTGATTGAATGCTCAAGAGTTCAGTCCAAACATCCTCCTCATTTTTCACAATGATATTCACTATTTCACAAGTACCACTGACTACTATTATGCTTTATATGTTAAACATCAAAATAAGAGCTTCATATATCACTTCTATGAAGAGATATTGCAAGTTCAAATACAATGTAAACTCTCAATTAACATTATAGTACTTCTTGATGCTCCCCTACACACTCCAATAGAATACTGCTTGCACTGAACCCTAGTCCAACTTGAGTTCCATGGATTGGGTTTTACGGGTTTTATTTTAAAATGTACATTTGTCATATTCAAAAGTCTTTCTCTATCCAAACAGTGCTTAAATAGGATAACTTTGAAAAGAGTATATTATGGATACTGTAAAACCACAAACTTTGGCAACATGAAACATTCCCAGGTATTTCAGTGCAGTTCCATTGTGCGTGAGGAATTGCAAAATATTATGCTGCATGAAAATTCCATGAGTTTGGACCACTCACGAAATCTGCAAAAGTTTCATTTAAATACATTAAACATTTCAGATTTTACTGTATCCAGTGTTATATTGATATATGGTACACAAACAGTAATATAATAATATAAGGTGTATGATAATTATTATTTTGTGAACTACATGTAAATGCGGTTTGTAAAAAAAATTAAGTCTGATTAGAAGTAAAATGCGAAAAAACACCTGCTAATATGAAAGGGTAAGAAGACACATCAATAATTAAAATATAAAAGGAGTGTTTAATTGCAGTACAAAAGCTGAATGAGGCAAATTAGCTACCCAGAAAAATGAACAGTGTATAGAAATATTGATCAACCATATCACCTTGATAGCAATGAGTACAAGAAGCAAACTAAGCAGTATCTATTTGAAAGTGAGTATATAGGTGTGGTATAGGAATTCAATGAGGTCAAAATGGCTAACTTTAGAGGTAGTATTACATGTAGGTCTGATCTGAGCAGAGAATAAACATTGTTTTTATCTCCTTATCTCAATCTCAATCTTTCCATCAGTTTTGTACATATTTTTGTTCAATTGTATTTTTATCTTTCTCTCTCTCTCTGCCAGACTCTTTCCTCTTTTTTCTTATTTCGTCTTTCTTTCTCCTCCCTCTCTTTCTCACATTTCCCCTCTGTCTGTCTGTCTGTCTGTCTGTCTGTCTGTCTGTCTATCTAGATATCTATCTATCTATCTACATGTAGCTCTATGCATCTATCTATCTGTATCCCTCCTTCTCTATTTCTACGGGACAAATATATTATGATATATTTATTATGACAATACCGTTTAAAATGGGACTTTTACATTACCACATTGAACAATATGCACTGACCGTTAATGAATAATGAAAGGAAATACATTTTGTGCAATTCGACCACCTTTACAAAATTATCTTTCACCCTTTCTCTCTTTTCAAGCTATTTCATCATTAAACAATCATGATGTCCTATGTGAAGTTAATACATCAAACTCTGTCTTAGTTTTAGTTCCATTAGAACAATCTTCATCTGCTTAAATTGTTGAAATACAAATCAGACAGATAAGTGGCAAGGAAAATTCTTTTTTTTTGGGGGGGGGGGGGGGTTCTACTAATGCAATGCTAATATCTGAAATACCATGTTATCTACAATGTTTTTTCCTTCAATATCACACTGAAATCCACGCAGTGACATTTCACAATTGCCTTTTGTGTGCGATATGCTGTAAAATACACTGTTTAAATTCCTTTTTATCTTTCTTTTTTTTTTCTTGACAGAAATCACTAAACTACAAGTATATCGATAGAAAGCATCCTACTTCTTGAAATCTTGAGTGCTGATTGGTTTAGGAAGGATACTGTATTTCTACAAATGAATGAATGATGGCATGGTACGTGGATCTCTAAAATCCTGCAATGACATATGTATTTGCCACATTTCCCACACTGACTCACTACATGATTCTGCTCAGACCAAAGGAAAAGGGTATATTAAAATGTAGCTTTATATGCATGGTATTATTCAAAACTTTGATTTGTTTGTGGAAGGCTATGATATAGATGGAAGCCTCACCATTTAACTTCACATACTGAGTATGATTTTTGTCCGTAGACCATGGGGAATAGCTTTCCAAAAACCTGGGAACATCTGAGAAAAACAAATATTCAACGATTTACACTTCAGTATTTTCAGAGAAATATATGTCAAATGGCATTTGTGATCCCTGTAAACTCTTTGAAGACAAATATGTACCCTACACTCTCATACAGTTATGTACTCTACATGCCTTGAGAACTATCATTTATGAGGATATCATAAAGTAGTTTTAAATAATCATCCTTGTGGCTGGTTGGTACAGGGTATTATGCTGTTTGTTCAACATCAAAGAAACATTCGCCCAATAATATTATGGAATGTAGAATCATACAATTGAACATATAATCCATATATGTTTTACAAGTTATTCACAATAGGGGTTTTATTGCCATTTGCAGCACATGGCTATAACAGCATTATTGACAGAAATTATCAGCTTGTTCACTCTACAAAACAAATATGATAACACAAAATAACTTGCAATGTAGGGAAGTAAAAGTAAGTCAGGTCTATCACCTACATTACGATATATAAGAAAGGGAAGCAAACATTAGTACAATATGCAGTGATTTACATATAAGCCATCAATCTGAAAGAAAAGTCAGGATTTGGAAGCAAAGTGTAGATGAGGTTAAAAATAAGATGGACACAAATGTACAATGATGTGCAACAAAACAGTCCTGACAGGGATTCTCCCAGCAGAGAAAAGAAAACATTGATTAACAGAAAGTGTAACAATAAAGAATATTATTTTGTCACATAAGTTTCCTTGCTGTTCCAAATAGCAATAAAACGTCCATCAAAACAATTTAGCTACTCAACTATCCTACTTTATAATTCTTATTTTTAAATCCTGAACAAGTAACCGATAATTCTGTTGCAATATCAAAATGTAAAGTTTGATTGTCAGATACGATGTACTCTTATCAGGCTCCTGAAATTATCCAATGTACAAGGAAAGTACTATATTCTTCAGCTAAAATCACACCACATAGGCACATAAATAGAAACCGCTTAACCTAGGATAATATATAATCCATATATACTCACATGTGTAGGCAAGCTCTGCTTTGTCTAGTACCAGAGGAGCAGAAAACTCAGGATTTGTGCCATCTTGCTTCTTTACAATAGCTACTGAAGAACCATTGGATATCTGTTAAAAGAATTACCCAAAAATTGAAACATGGAGATAAACTCATGAATCACCTTCAAAAGCTTTTTTTAAAGTCAATATGAGTTTATAGAACTAATAAAAAAAATTGTGAAACAAACTCTTTAAATTGTATGCAATAACTTATCTAATAAATGAAGAAGAAAACAAAAATTGTTGACAATATCTAGTTGAAGAAACTTGGGCACCGAACCAACATAATTCACTTATTGAGTACGATGAAAAAAATGCAATACATGGTTCCTTGTATGAACATTTATATGATTAAAATGTTAAGCATAGAGAAAATTTAGATCAAAATCTGTGAAATCCGCATACAACACATATAAATAAGTATTGATCCATCAATTCAATATTTTGCATTCATTCTAGCACTCAGGCATCTCCCACTGCTGTGTCCACAATGTTAAGTTGTGTAGCAAGACTGTTTACATATTGCCCAGGGCAGGACCCTGTTTCATAAAACTTGATATCAATAACAAGTTACAAGCTACTGTTATAAGCTACTGAAAGCATGGTATCGGATTGGCTGAGAGCAAATTTGTCATAGAAATTTAGCATATGTTATTGATAAAAGGTTTTATGAAACAGACCCCAAATGTCCAAACACCATATCCCACCGCTGCCACCATGTCAAATTTTGTCGCACAATACTAACGATAAAAAGAGTGCATCATCGATATTTCAGAGACAAGTTGGATTATACTTTTATTAGATGTATATCTGGAGGCAATGTGCATGCACTATGAACATGACGGACAAAGAAAGCAGACAAAATATACAGTTCCTCATTATACCCTCAACAATTGCTATGGTAGACAAAGGAACATCCCTTCACTGCTATTATGTAAAAATCTGTAGAACAGGAGTCACATGCATATTCACATGTTCTACACATTTTTACATAATAGCAGTGAAGGGATGTTCTTTTGTCTACCATAGCAATTGTTGAGGGTAGAATGAGGAAATGTATATTTTGTCCGCATTCTTTGTCCATCATGTTCATAGTGATGTATAGGAACATTACATCATTCCTCTATCTATCTATTCATCTATCTATGACCCTAAAATTGGACACTGCTGGGGTGAAAAGAGATGGATGATGGATCTTGAGACACACTTCTTCATAGCGTTCTGTCTTCAGCTGTTCTAGTTTAATAGCTGCAAAAGAATTATTCAAGTCCACTGCTTGATGTTATAAATCATGTCTTTATCGGACATCAAATCATAGTAAATTATTCATTGTGTGATGTATTGAATATGTGAAATTTACATGCATCTCAAATACATAAATCAATTGAACTTTTGGGAATCTATTTTAAAGTAAATATATTGGTGTTGGTAACTAACCTTGTAAGCTTTGATGGTGTTAGCTTTGATCCAGTGTCCCCTGGTTTCAGTGATTGGATCTCTGTCTTTGAGCACTAACCGACCCATACATCCATTTAGAAGCACTGTTAATGGGATCAAAAGAATCAATTCACAACTTCAATAATTTTTTTCTAAACAAAAGGGACAATGTCCACATTTACATATTTTTCATTTGAATGTACATGACTCTCACTCTGCATCTTAGTAAGTCCTCTTCTTTCTGGAGTACATCACACAAAAGCCCATCAATTATATTGGTTTCATCTACCGGTATGCAGCAAATAATATATTGCAGTTTAGTCAAAAAACTCATTTGAAGAGTACATTAAATGACACATACACAATTTTCTACCTACCCAGATCTACTTCATTTGATCTAAGCTGTTGAGCTGTCTGTCGCTTGCAGTAGACAGCATCTAATATCTTCTGTTTGGCTTGGGTGATAGTATCAACATCTAGCACCTTGACTTGCTCTAACACCTTATGCTCTTTGTCCACAATTTGTAATGTCTGTTTGGAGGTGAGATAAAACAAAATCTTATCAGAATCTAAATTAATAGATGATTTATTCCACTATTTTATCTTACTTCTTTTACTTAAATTACAGGTATGTCAATAGTAAATGACTGTAAATTCATTGACTATAATTATTATTATGCAACCTATACCTATGGGGTGTCTTAACTTAAAACCAATTCCAATTTGTTTCCCTTCTGGTAAAACTTATTCAATCACTTCAAGTGGTTGCATTGATTTGTTTCTCTTGTTCTATCTATTTATTTTCCTGATTTGACTTTTGCCAAACACAAATTGCTACTTTGTGTACACATAGTGGATAAAGCAAGTTTCCCATTGAATTTTACAGCATGTTAAGGGACAGAGACAGTAACAAAACTCATTAATTTTTATGCATGTGAATAATTGTCAGCTAAAAATCTAAATTTCTCACATGTGAACTGAGGAACAAGCGATTTAGGGTATAACATGTCTACAAAAATGAATACGTCTTTATAAAGGATGCATCATCTACTAAGGATTCTTTTTTTTTTTTAAATCCCATATTGATAACGATCTTACCACATCTTCGAACTCTACATCCTCATCAAGAAGATAATCAAAGTTGAGCGAGAAATGAGCTTGACCTGTGATGGCATCCACTGGTCCTTTATCTACTTGACCCTTGATGGCTTGGTATAACACATACAGAGGGTACGCTACTTGTTTCTGATAGAGAGAGAGAGAGAGAGAGAGAGAGAGAGCCCCACAAAAAATGGAAAGACATGTTAGATTTAATCTCTCAATATCCTATAATATGTACTTATCAAGAAATAATGCATCTTACTCGTTCAAGGGATATCAAGATTGGGCTGAATAATAAAGGATTTGAGTAATGTATGATATTAACAATAGAAACAAATATCTTAAAATAAGAGAAACCTAACCACAAGATACAATTTCCCATTTCTTTGTTATTCCCAATGAAGAATAATCTCATATTTATTTCTTTGATGGAACATGGTTAAATTCTACATAACAGATTTTAAGCATCTGAAGCAATTTCTAAGCAATGACAAATAATAGCATTAGATTGGCAATTGAGATAACAAAAAAGGAGGTTAACATTGACAATCACAACAACAAAATTACATTCAAATATATGAACAGTAACATATGAACTATATATACTCTCTATATAATTATTTGTGGAAAGAATATTAAAGTTTGTCCTTACCTGGAGATGTTTGTACATGCATAGAGCAACCCAGTTTGATATAAGCTTCTCTAGTATACTCCCCACACTGTAAATTAATTATAAGAGGAAAGAAAATACTGAAAGGTTAACCTTTGTAATAACTCTAGAGTATACTGAACATATCTCATATTGAATGATTGATAAAGTGATCAATTTGTTCGTTGTTCATCAAAATATTTGTAACAAAGGTTACAGTACAGCTGCATCTTAAAAACAGTATAGATAAAAACTTTATGGTAAATTCAATAATGATAATAATAATATTCCACTATTATATAGCGCTTAATACATAATGTCTCGAAGCACTTTACAGATATATCAATGGTTTGTGAGAAAATCCAATTTAGGTGGAAATACGTGTGCATATAAATAACTTAACAATATACAAATATAACATTGTAATCATGAGTTCTTTTTTTTCCTCACATAATTTAAGAGATTATACTTGACTGCTTTCCAAGATTACAATGTGAATATAATGAAAAACTCTGCTGGTTCATGTACGTCATTTCATGTGATATCGGTATTTAGTAATTCAAGGCATTACTAGGCAGAATTAAGCCAAATATTTTTAAAAATCACAGAATTCTGGCAAGAACTAATCATTCCTCTTGGCTCTGTGACAGATATCCTTTAACTTTGGGGGAGTTTTTGCTTAATTTCACTTAAATGCTACCTAAAAATATATTTTTTTAATTGGATGAAGTTGCTTACCTTTTAAAGAGTTGTTTGAGTCTATTTTCATCTGATTCTTCTATCTTTTCTGCCATCAAGGTCAGCATTACACTAAAAAGAGAAATAGGTTAGAGGAAAAATAATATACAATTATCACATACTTCAACTGCTTTGCCTTATAATTCTTGTAGGAGATTAACATTTGATTGGATAGAGACATACAAACATGAAATCCTATGATATGACAAAATAATGCATTTAGTGTCATAGGGAAAATGAAAATGTACTTACTCGGTAAGATAATGGAATCTTCCTTCTGTTGTCAGAATTGTTGAGAGTAGTGAAGCAATATTGACTCTGTAAGTAAACGAGGAATTTGTACAAGTTCATGTTATTGGGGAATAACTGTATGAATAATACCATATAATCTCCTGAAACATATTCAAAACTTTGTGAGAAAAATTGTGATAATAAAGATTCTTTACCTCTAACTTTTTATTCTTTATCATTTTAGGACTACAAATGAACATAACTAATAGAAATAATTGAAATACATAGAGATGTAATAACTTGCACAGAATTTTTTAAAAATTTTAAATGAATTATCAAACATTTAAGCAAGTGATGTTGTCAACAACCATGACATTTCCAACTGATCTACAAACATTATAAGACATTTATCAAATGTAAATTATTTAATATAGTTCTAAAAGTCAGCATTTGCCTACATTTAATCCAATGTTTTGAATTTTTAAAACTATACTGATGAAAAAGGGTCAACTCATGTTACTAAACTTTAAAGTACTACCTCAGACTAATTCCTTATTTTGTTAGACGAGATACAGTAAGCTTGAAATCACATTTTCTAAAAGACAGTAGGAAAAAATAATTTCTTACCTGTCTTTTTGTTTTAAGTTCTTTGCTTCATCCAGACCCTGAATGTACTGCATTAGAAACTCTTTCCTGTTGAGAAGCTTAGAGAACTCTGACATGGCTTGTTTAATGCTCTCCTGGGGTAGCTTAATGGTGAGCAGAGAGACAAAGAAACACCAATAAATCCATTAGGAAATCTACCATACAATGAATTCAAAAGAAATCCATGTAAATCTGCTTTTTATGCATATTAGCCACATCTTCTTTTCTGCAGTGATTACAAGAGCACTAAAAGTTGTTTAACATTTGTGTTTCTTGATCCTATGATAAGTATCCCAATAGGTCAAATGATATTTTGTTAAATACCATGCATGGACCATCAATTCTGTCTGCTGGATATTGAGTAATCATCAACTGAGCTGCAACTTTTGAATATACTCAACAGTTTAATTGCACACCTCTATTCCTCTACCAGGTTTTCCTTCCTAAGTTTTCCCTTGAAGATACCCTTTACACAAACTCAAAACTAAACATTAACGCAGGTGTCAATCTAACAGCTTTAAAGGATTGCAACTTGCATCTCAAGAAAGGTACGTTTTGATAAAAGTATGCTCCACTCAATGAGATTTACAACCGTTAACTCTATCTCTTTTTCCCACTAAGATGTTCTTTACCCCACTGCTTACAGGAACCAGGAGATTTCTGTCTGAAGTCTGCAGGAATTAGAGGTTTCAGTGCTAAACGGGTTACCCGGGAACAGTTTTCCTCTTCCTTCAATCAACCTAGTGGACTTACCTCAGGGTCGTTGGTCATAGGTTGGACCTTGAGGCCCCAGAAGAGCATGTTCCTGATGTAGTCTGCTCCGCTAACAAATGGCATACCAACACCCTGAAGCTGCTCTTTCAGACCAGACATGTCTCGCTGCAGGTCATGGAATGCTGCAAGATAAAAAAAAAAAACGACATCATGATTGAATTAAATCCTTGAAAATTTGGGTGAAATTCAGTACAAACTGGAAATATAAAATGATTTCCTGGACAAGAATGTTTTATGAATAGAATTTACTTGGGCTCATCAAATAAAGAAATTAAACCTTTGTGACTGTTTTTGTCTGAAAGGAAATCAAAATACTTGAGTCTCTTTGATAGTCGGTGTAAATTTAAAGATGGTTCCAAAAGTCATATGGTGCACTAGTTAAGTGTTGTTTATAAAACTCAAAATAACCAGAAGTTGAAAATTAAGCCCAAATATTAAGAAACACTTGAACCAATGTATAAAGTAGTCTCTCAAAGAGTTTTGTAGGTCGACTGACCTTCTGTTGCTTTGTCCTTAAGCCGTTCCTCCAGCCTAATGAGAGCGCCCTCTGCTGACTTGAGTTTGTGCTGGTGAACCCGTCTTCCATAGAAGGAGACAGCGATAAGAGTAAACACCACTGCCACACCCACCAGGACAGCTATGACGATCACCAGGACAATGCTGAAGACTGAGTCCTGGATGTAGTGGACGGAACCCAGAGAGAAATGCAGGACACTTCCATGGAGGACCTGTAATGGAGGATACATTTTGTTAAAGGCATCGTTTAACAATACCAATCTGAGATGCATAGCCCCACATGTTATTAGCGTCTGTGATATGGTGTATTATTGAAGACCTTAAAAATGATCATGAAGTGCCTAAAAAAAGTGACCAGTTTTACCATATTCATTTTCCCCAATAGACTGAAGTGTAATAAAAACCATTGTGAAACGTTCTTTGAAATTTCAAATTTCAATCATAAATATCTTGATAATCAGACGGGCAAACGGCTTGTCAACGTCATGGGATTCCTGACTAACCTAAAGGTTTATAATTATGATTGCAGAATGAGTTAAATCCAGGATTTTGTTTAGAATATGAGACAAAGATACCCAATCCCTTTAACAATGTTACGATCCCATTTACCCTATAAAGCTTCATCAGTATTAACTACGCTCTTCCTGAGGATTATGTATTTACTATCACCCCAGCATTGCAAAGTACCCATTAAACACACCTGGGTCAACATGGACAAATGTGGGTAAAATATATTGTCCACGCTCCTAGCAACCATACACCAAAGTGTTCCAATTTCTCCATTACTTTTACCTGAAGCCCTAATTTTCCACATATCCCCACCATTTCAAAACAATATCTTAAGGATATGTCCCAAGAAATCCCATTATGTCAATGTCTGTGGAAAGTGCAACACACATTGCTGTATTAACATGAGACCACTGGAATATCCTTAAGCATGATACAACAAAAGTTCTTTCTATATATATTTCACTGGAAGCAGTTTTATTTTGCATATGTTACTTCAAAAATTAATGAAAGAGTGATGATGACTCACAATGACTGCTGGGTATGTTTGGGATGTCCCGTTGGCATGGCTTCCAGCTTGAGGTTGCGTTGGTGGTAAGCGACAGAAGAGTTGCTCTGCTCCAATACTAAGAACCTCACAGAATTTATCGCCGATCAGGACCCGAACATCTGATTTACTGACTGCTAGATTAAGACCAGTGCCCTATGGATAAATGGTTAAGGTAAAGAAACTCAATTACGACTCGTATTTTCCTTCTGTAAATAGCATTCATGACTTTCTAGCGTGAATATTTTTAATCTGAAAGTTGAGTGTTTTTATTTGGAGACAGCGAGAGCAATAGAAAGTGTGAGAATCAACTTAGGTAGGAGATGTCATGAAATATCAAACACTCACTGTTATTCTTAACGTATCATTGCTGGAAACCTGTTTGACGCCGTTAGGTTCTTGGAAGGTGTCATAGCGAGGATCGGGGTAGAATTCAAAGGAATCACTGATGTTGACAAGATAATCATCCAACGACACCGCGAGCGAGACTTCCTCCACTTCTCTTCTATGTCTCCTCTTAGTGGGGGTCGAGTGCAAGGTGGGGAGACGAGGACTAGGACAAACCATCTCGGTATCGCTGAGGAGATGACACGCCTATACGGGAAACACAAAACATGGATGTTAGATACACATTTTTGCACAAGGAACTTAAAGGAATAAGAATTGTCTTGTATGTTATACATAATGTGGTTTGATAGGGAATATCTGGTATAAGGGTATCAGAATTATCACTTAATTATTAGCAAATAGCAAAGCCACAAATATATTTTATGGTATTGGTATGCATTATACAAGTTAATATTAAAAATGACTTTTACCTTCATGTATTATGAAGAAAACTAAAAGTGAGGATTGCATGATGCCCAACATAGGCCTATCAAAAAGAAAAGGAATTAATAATTTTTATAAACTAATCCCACTTTACTCCTGGGGACAACATAAACACAGAACTATAAAATGACATTTCATATGGGTTGAAATGAAGCAGAAATCTCATTATTTCCAGAATGATAGACTTACCACAGAGTCTGATTTTGTAGGGTCTGCTATTAGTGTAGCAATGAGCAGTGCTTCCTGTACTGTCTTAAAACCCACACCATTAATGGTAATATTCACTCCACCCCTGCAAAGATGGAATAAAAGTATAAATGGGAGTGATGAAACACTACAATTTACATTTTCCATTATGCAAAGACACGGAACACCATTTATCATGCTACGTCATTCAAGAAATGTGACCATGAGTAGAGCCATCATTTATCCATCTATTATTCATCATTTTCACAGTAATGTTAGAGGTTATGACCACAAATTTGTCAGAGAAATCGATCAAAATCTGTAAACACATATATGAGGTAAAAATACAAAATGAAATTTGTGAGACAGAACATGATGCTTTCCAAGACATTAATTTTTATATCAAATAAGACATGCCATAAAGAACAAAACATAAATGAGATAAATACAATATTGCAAGGTTATTTTTCAAATCGACACCAACTTAATTCTCTATCTAATGCAGATTTCAAGGAGATATCTAACCTTTATTTTTTGTAGCTGATTATCAGAGACTTGCAGAGTAAAAATGCATCTTAAATGTGGGAAGGTTCTTTTCTTCCCTTTTTAATTTGTCAGAGATTTTCATATGCATGCCCCTCCCCCCTCCAGTGAGAAGTTCTGGATAAGCCCTTAATTCTACTTACGATGCAATGGACTTTGATGTTGACAACCCAGCTATGGTCGGGTTAGTTTTGTATGTGAACATCTCCGTTGAATTCCTTTCAGCTCCGTCAAACCTTAAAGTCACTAAACTAGATGTGTTTTCTCTTGTCCCACTGGTCTTGCATGTCACATAGGTATCATTAATATACCTAGCAAATCAATAGAAAGAAGAAAATAATAAGCAGAGTACCACAAATGACCACAACAAACAAATTCTTCTTAATTAAAGGGATCCGGTAACTTTGTTTCAGATTCTGAAACAAAATTCTGGATTTAGCTCATGCTGCATGGATAATTATAAACCTTTAGGTCAGTCAGGAAGCCCATGACTTTTACAGCCCATCGCCTGTCTGATTATCAAGATATTTATGATTGAAATTACACATTTTGAAAACCGTTTGCCAAACGTTTTTTATAACACTACAGTCTATTGGGGAAAACGAGTATGGTAAAACCGGTCACTCAAAGATTTTTAATTTTTTGAGGCACTTTGAAGTGCAATTTTTTTAGGGCTTCAATATTACACCATATCACAGACACTGATAACACGTAGGGCCGTGTATCTCAGATTTAACATTGTTAAACGATCCCTTTAAACATATTGCATTCATATATTGAAGTACTAAAACTTATATGTAAGTAGCAAAATATAAAGAGCTGTGAGAATGAACTGTAATTTGAACAATGTCAAGGTAACATTAAAAAAGATTTTCATATAGGGCAAACTTCTTTCATAAGTGGCTTTACTTCTTTTATCCCATTGGACACAGTTTCATTTTGGTATAAACAAACTTTCAATACATTTCAGAATGACTCATCTTGTATTCAACTTTTTAATCATATTAAGATCCATAATGTTTTCTTTTCAAGTTACCATCATTTAGATAGTTTGTATAGAAATCAGAGTTTGATTGACATCAATCCCTTCATAATTTTTTACGAGATGTAATAATTATTTAAATTCCAGTGAAATCAATATAATATGAGTTGCCACTCACATGATGTCACACACAGCATTGCCGATAGATGCTGTGATGTTACTGCCTGTCTGCAGTGATGTACCAGTTATCATTACGACGGTGCCTCCATTAGCTATACCCGATGAAGGATGGAACCCAGTGATCTCAGGATCCTGTTCAAGATAAGATGAACAAAAATCAAAGGTGGAGGAAGAGATTGGCAGCAGTCAGGAAGGAGGATGAGGGAGAGATTATGTAATCACAAAGTTTAAATATTCTGTGTCATTATGTTAGCAAGAAATTAGCCTCAAATAGCATATTATGCTATTGCCAGCTCTTCTTTTATTAATGTACCTTTTACAAATGTAATTTTTGTCAAATCTGTTTATAAAGACCACTGAAGGGGCTATAACAAAAGAAGGTGGAGTTTAAACATAAGTTCCTTTAATACTGGCTTCAATTAGAAACCAAAGGAGAGGGGACGTTTTTCAAAATGTTTTCTTATGTAGACATAAATTCTTTTAACATCATTGGTCACTGTCGCAGACTGCATAAATGTATTAATTTTTAAAGGTAATACAAAGTTTTGGGAATTTTGAAAATTGGATGGTGGTGATTCTTTTCAATTTTGATATATTTGGATGCCCCTGTGGATGTAATACAAGCACTAGAAAATTTAGCCCCTAAAACACTTCTGCTTACGAGAAAAATTGAATATACAAATTTACCGGTGCTCCCGGTAAATTCTGCTGAAATTTCAAATGGCGCCGTACGGCCGTACAATGGTAGCTGCAACCATAAAAATGTCAGAATATGTAGTTGTGATATATAATTTCCTAATAGCTAATAGATCGATTTTAGTTAAGAAATATTGTTTCATAGCTTAATTAATATCTTGACCTTGAGAGGGAGCTATACAACATAAAGAGTTTATTATTTATAATTTCATAACTTTAGAATCGATTTCAACCGCGACAACGATCACTGAATATTGTAGGGACGCATATGCTTCCAATATGTTCATTTGAACCAAATTCATGACCCCATACCGACACTTTGTATTACCTTTAAGAAACAATAAGTAAACAAATATCATCCATATGACATTCAAATAATGGAATTTTTACAGTCACATTTCTACTTTAATTTCCAATTGCTTTATTGATTTGCTTAGCAGAAAATACATTTTATTGTGAGAAACTTAAAAACGCATGCTGCTCCTGTTTTTAGGAAGAAAAGTAAAATACAAGACACAAACTTTGAGGCAGGATTTGCTGCCAATGAAATGGAAACACTAACATAAAAGCTCATCTTAGTAAAATTCTGAAAGGTTTTCAAGGGGCCTAATCTAATGATATCTAGGAAAGATTGATGACTTACACGGTATGTGAATATGACCGATCCTGTACTCTCAGTGGGAGGGTCTCCCACAGTCACTTTCACTACAGCTTCTCTTGGTTCACCGCTGGCTGATGTCAAACACTTGACTCTGGCATTTTGAAAATACAAGATAAGAATAAAGGTTATGAGTGAAAAGATTTGATGTCTGACACTTGACTCTCCATTTGAAGTATACATGGTAAGTTGTCAGTTGATATTTTTTACAATGCAATGGACATGTATTTACTGTGAAACCTTTCAGCATTTTCAGCAAAGTACAGTCAAACCTGCTTTAGTGACCACCTGTCTACAAAGACCACCTGTCTACAAAGACCACTTTTTGTGTTTCCCTTGGGCGGTCGCTGTAGACAGGTTTGACTGTACTTCTTCACGTAATTTACTCTCTTTACCCAGAATATACACTTCAACTTGGTAAAAAAATCTCTTTGTGTTCACAACTTGCAACTGATATCAGGGCAAACATAATATGTATTCAATATCATATAATTTTTGAAATGACATACCTAACTAACAATTTTAAAAAATTCTGAGAATTGTCAATCACTTTTCATATTTCATTACAGTATTCAACATTCATTTCAATAGATCACATTCAGTAGTGTGCAAGCTGAATTCCAAAAGCAAATGTGCATCAAATATAGCTTTAAAAGAACAAAGTCTACAGGAATAGCATGAACCATGTTACAGGAAGGAGAATGTAACTTTGAGGAAATCCATTGTCTCACCTGGAACCAACCTGGTAGCTTTCCTCTAAACCTGTACGGTTACAGAGCTGCTGATGAAGCATAATGGAGTCTATGTCTGAGAATTTTTGTCCAAGGTCACTTCCAAAGATCTCAACCAAGGTGTTACCTTCTATAGGACCTGACATAGGGAAGATCTGATAAAGGAGGGAAAAGAGAAAATCATATAAAGATGGAGGACAAATGTCAGTAAAGTGAGCACCATAGTCTTATGCCAAATCTTACCAATGACTTGGCTTTCCTATGTACTTTCCACTAATGGGGCTTTGCAAGAAAGTTGCAATTAATCGAAAATCCCTAAAAATAAAGCGTAAGTCTAACTATTAATTGCAAATTTGCAATTGATATTTGCAATGGATCACATCTCAACTTTCTTGCAACATCTTCTATAATTCTATCATATTTAAAAGAAATTGCAAGATGTATGAATAATTTGCTTGAGGAATGCCATGTATTTTCTGAAATTTTGAAGACTTCTACGACACCACAATCATTCCCACCGTCCATGACAGGAGCTATCAAGTATCATACCCTACAATACTACACTACCCCTTGAGATTACTGGTCCTGGGGTGTGATTCACAAAGATCCTAAGTTGAACTTATCTCTAAGTTGGACTTAACAATTATGGAAAGCCGTTAGCATCTTTGAAAATATTTTGTGAAAGTTATTTCAAAAGGCGTAAAATGTTGATTCAGATCATTCATATTTTCTATTATCACAGAGATTTCATGTTCTTTACGAAAAGTCTAAAAAACTTCAATTTTTGCTTTTGGAAATATTTAATTTTAAGGCCACAAATGGCTCTCCATAATATTTAAGACCTACTTAGATTTTAGTTCAACTTAGAATCTTTGTGAAACACCCCCTGGACAGCTTCGATTAGACCCTTGAGGGATCCACGAGTCTCCTTGACACCCTTGATACTCCCAAACACCACCTGCATCATCATCCACACTGCACATGTATGTCAACTGAGTTCTCCTGAAAGGAGCTATCAATTATCAACCACTACAATACCACACTCACCCTCATACCGCGAGTCCTGGATGGCTACAATAAAACCCTGGAGGGATTCATATATCTCCTTAACACTTTGCAAATTTCTGGACACCACATACATCCCCACACTACCCAAATCCAGGGTTTATAGAGCCACTACTGACAGGAGTCATCAAGAACAAACCTCTTTAAATAATACCACCCTTACCTTCGAGACTACTGGTCCTGGGCAGCTGCGATTAGACCCTTGAGGGATCCACGAGTCTCCTTGACACTCTGGAGATTCACGGACACCACATACGTTCCCACACCATCCACAACGTAGGTCAACTGGGGTCACCGCAGATGAGAGGCAACGGCTACAGCTATCTCGCTCAAACTCACAATTGTAAAGTGTGACTGTAGAAAAAAATTTGGGTAAAAACTAGTTAAGCAAATATACATACATAGTTCTGGTCACACCTACATTCTGATAGAATGCAACTGATTTGTGCTACATGTCTCCAATGAAATGTACCCTTAACCAAGAAAGTGAGAAGTTGAATCTTCTAGATATGGTATAAAATTGACATAAATAGCAATAAATGATTATCAAAGTGGGAAAAAAAACTTGAATATATCTACGCTGTAGAGTAAATACATAATTTCCATTTTCCTTCACAAACCCGACCGGTATATTTAGATTTTTAGCCAGTAGGTTTTGGTAATCCAAGAGCACAATCAAAAATTATTTTAAACTATTTCTTGTTAATATCATACCATAATTTATGTCTTTCAATTATCCACACTAACTACCTCTGGAAATACTGTTTCAATCATATATCAATCCTTACATGTAGTTAGAATGCTATACCTCTTTTCATACAAAATTAGATATGAAGCTTTCAATTGGCATAACCTTCATTCTTTTATATGAATGGAAAGTGTTAAACTACCGAATCTTACCATTTAAATTACTTGGTGAATCAATGTAAAAATTTCCATTCCAACGGACTGACACAGGCACGTCAAGTTCCAACACACCAGTCGTAAATGTATACTGCAAAGAAGGATCACATTATAGCAATTATACCGATTGTGCAATGGTTACTTTTGAATCTATTACATTTTACTTTCTTTTTTGTAATATGTGAAAGAGGAAAATTCAATTCTGACAGACCAATTGTGTACACTGTATGAACTACATAGAGTGATTATAAATTTCCATATTCAACCTTCACTGAACATACACCTGCAAATCACCATCTTTACTTTAAATATGAATACTCAACCTTTGTGCCTTCTGATAAGACTATACTATGCATTGGTCCCTTTTGGTCCCATTGGTAACATGAGGCAGAAACACAATGACATTCAAAATGAATTCATGACAAACGAGTGCATTCAAGCATTCATCAAACGTCTCTTTCTTTGTAAAAATCTGAAGGAGCATCCAGTTCTAACACATCACTTGTGCATAATAACTGCAAAGTGTAATCATTGATATTCTACTCATCACCTTTATTAATATTGATCTCATCTTTACTATTCATCTAATGCATATCCGACTGCTGCCATCACTCTTAATAATGGAGGTGTTGATGGTGATAATAAGGTGGCATGAATAGACAAGATCTCACAATACAATATATATTCATACTCCCGTCTTTTCTTTCTTTCTATATTATGCATTACACCTTTTCACACTAGTAGACAGGTACACAATGGCTTTCATCAGAAATTCATGAAAAGGAGAAAAGAAAATGCATTTATGAGATCAAACATCACTTTCAGTGTGATTTGTAAAAGAATCTAGTGTTAACAAATCGCTTGTATACAGGTGCAAAGTGTAATCTGATATTTGATTCTTCATGTTTCTTAATAAATATCCCATCTTTACCATTTATCTACTGCATATCCCACCACTGCCACCACTCTGAATTTTGTGCGTTATTTTTCAATAGACTTCTCCATGCATCACATCCTTTTACACAAGACAGTAACATGATGGCCTTCAACATGAACTAATTACAAGATAATACATTCATAGCATCAATCAAACATCTTGTTTCTTTATGATTCTAAAACAAGGACATTCTATTCCACAAACACACCACTTTTGTATATATGAAATGCAAAGAGTAATCATAGACATTTCATTAATCATCTTTCTTTAAGTCTTTTTGACATATATATTATCCCACCGCTGCCACCAATGGAACACTCTCAAAAATAGAAATTGTTGAATGTGCTTAGATTAGCAAGTGTGCGCTTGTAAAAATGACGCCTGGCTGGAATGCTCCCCAGGGAGTGGAGAATGTGCATACATTGTGTGTCGGTATAAAGCCTCAATCCGATGACCGGGGTAATAATATATATATATATATGTGTAAAGCGCATTGAGAGGGCCTTCGGTCCTGAAAAGCGCTATATAAGAACTAGCTATTATTATTATTATGGTGACTTTGAGGTAGCATGAATAGATGAGTGTTAACTATAAACATACATGAACATGTATACTGGTAATTAAACTCATTTTGCCTTGTAATTTCTCAATAGACTACATTATGCATTGGACCTTTCAAACAACAGATGATACACAATAGCTTCAACACACATTCACTACAGAAGGAAGATGCATTCATAAGATTCATCCACCCCAAAGTCATTCTCCATTGAGTTCTCCCCAGACACCAAGGTTGAGAGCCCTATAGCAATGCCCCCATCACATACGTCCATGATCACTGTGGTGGAATTTTAACGAGACTGTAATTACCTCTACCCCTCATTCCCCAAGATAGCAACGGCATTAGACGAGGAGAAAAATTTCTCGACTCATCCCCATTAAGGCATGCTTGAGCTATTAGTTGAGATATCCCAATTAGGATGGCTAAAATAACATAGGGAATGTAGGCATAAAGAAAGAACATTCTAATGGTAATGAGAAGGAGGTATGAGTACGGAAATAAACCCAATCGATGGCTTAGCTTAAGATATGAATGATTGGATATGAATGCTAGACATCTTCAATGCGTTTATGGCAACATCCAGAAGTACTTGCTTGGAAAAATGAACACTAATGATAGTCAGTTTAACATTACTACCTACTAACATTAAAATGTAGGTACTTCATTCAAGCTGAAGTGGTAGGTGCCAATGAACAATAAGTTGGTAGATTAATTTTGTAGTACGAATATACAATTAATGAGATTTTTGTTTGTCATGATCACTGCTGTACATCTGTAAAATATCAGTGAGTACAAAAATACAAGAAAATTCAGGCTACGACTTTAAAGGAAATATCAATGCATATTTTATGAAATCAGAGAAATGTTACAGGAAATATGACATTTACCCTGATGTAATACAAAATCCTTGTTTTGTTTTATTGCCTTGGTAAAGTTCAAGTAATAACATTTGTAATCAAATTTACATGCACATTTATTTATAAGGGATACATTACTATTAGTATAGTATAAAGAGGAGTAATTGGCTTGTTTCAACAAATGACATGGAAACTTAGCCAAACATATATGCAGGAACTGTACAAAAAAATGAAATGGATATTTAAAAAAGACATTTTTATTTTGCCATAAATATCAAAACCAAATTGAAAGAAAGAGAAAGGAAAGGAGTGAAAAGGGAAAGGAGTGAGAGAAAGGAAATACAGACAAAAACATGCTTTAGAGAAAATATTAAAGGGAGAGAGGTCAGGGTAACAGATGGCAAGTACTTTAGTAAGCAGATGTCACAATGATTGTAGGCCCTTCCAGAAAAACAAACCAATTATGACAACTAAATAATAAAGGCATGAATTTCACAATATGATGACTTCACAGTGATTACAGTATACAATGTGTATTATACAAGATATAAGCTCTCAGCTCTCTCCCTCCTTATCCTCAACATCTTTCTCCTTATCTTTAAAATGCATATGTAAGTGTCTCCTTAAATATATCTATATCCTCCTTCACTCTAGTATCCCCTTCTGTTTTTCTTCTGTCTGTCTGTCTCTACCTCTCTTCTATACTTTTCTTGCACCCTATTTGTCTATCTTTCTGCGTGTTTAGGGGTGTTTTGGAGGTCTTTCTCTCTACCCTTCTCTTTCTATCTCCCTTGTTCATCCACGCTCTTTCTCTCTCCATCTGTCTCGCTTCCCTTCTCTCTTTAATTTGTTTGTTACCCTTCACTCCCTTGGTTTTTCTCTCTATTTACTATCACACTGCTATACCATCTGTTTAGAGACAAAAGGGCATAGCTCATATGATTTTATACAGAATTTACATCTTTCTGCCTCTGAACAGTCCATATCCATATATATATATATATAAAGCAACTTGGTAAATGTATAAAGAGAATATTGATAAAGAAACTTACACTCCTTGCTGCACAGATAACATCTGTTCCATTGACGATATCAGCAGATGTGACATGTTCCTGGTCCTCTATGTTTACAACACACTGAAAATCGTCAACCTATATCCACCACAAGATGAAGAAAACAGATGAACAACTGTCATTAAAGGCAATCTAGAATTTCAGCACAGGTTGCCGAAAGGAATCGTGTACGTGGGTTGAAGTTAGATTTAACATTTAGACATAAGGCCATGTACACAGCCCAAAGACCATTTTGAAAAACCATTGTTGTTTTTGTTTTGTTACTGCCATTGGCACTACTGGAAAAACCCATAAAAAACTGTCTCATTTACACTACTGGAAAAACCCATCAGAAACCGTCGGTGTTTGATAATTCAGGGATTTTGGTGAGTTGTGCACATGCCCCACTTGACACTGCCCTGCATTAGCACGAAAGCAAGGAGAGTCACGTAACTGAAATGGAACCATTCATCAATGTTTTGAAAGTGAGCATTTACACTGCAAAAATCCGGTGAAATTGCTGCCAGCATTTAATAAAACCACACTCCAGAGGTAGGTTTTTCATTTTGTTTACCGGTAGTTGTTTAGCAACTTCTGACGAAACACTTGAATGTGAGAAAAATAGATGATTTTTGCTTGCAGTGTTAGTGCAGCTATAGTGGGAAAAGAAGTTAAATTGCTTATCAATCTGTCTTACAATGTGAGAAAACACATCCTAAAATCTTGTAAACTGTTTATGCAAAGAGATCAATTTTTTAGTATTGCAAAAAGGAGAAATTAATGTCCATCTTGAATAAAGAAAAATATTCAAACTGTGGTATGATCAACTCAAAATAGAAGACATTGGGAGAGAGCAGTGAAGAGAAGAAAATGTGTGAAGAGAAATTTCAGATAAATTCCATGAGATTCTTATCATCCGTAGTCTTGCTTCACAAAACCATTTAGACATGTTTTCAGCTTCTATTAAAAAAGAATTAATAAAAGATGACTATCATCTATCATCTTAACAAGCACCAACCACATTTCAATTGCTTTTTCATCTAAGTTTACAGTTCACAGATTGAAGAGATATCAAAATACAAATAAAAACAATTTTGACTCCAAAATTGGTTGGGTTCATAAGAAATTACACTGAAGTCTGAAACAATAAGATTTAATAAAAAAACACATCCATAAAAAATTAATCACATGACAATTCATATCACGTCACACACTTTTTTAAAGCTTCCAGAAAATGCTATTTATATACATTTCACTTAGTGTAGGTACAATTACACAGGCAATGACCCATATTTTAATTTTGATCTTATCAGATGCAATTACTACTTACCATAGATGGAAGATTAATAGCTTTCAGCTGAAATTCTCTCTCCAAACCAACAGGAATCTGAATAGCTGATGTTACAGGTAGAAGCTTGGCACAAGACGACGGTCCCTTTTAAGAAAAACAAGTATTAAAATATATTAATAATAATGATGATGATAATAATAATAATAATAATAATAATAATAACAATATTTATTTTTAAAAAAAAACTCTTTAAAACTAAACACTGTGCGGGCTCGTCATTTCTCATTCACAAAATTTTACTGTAAATATTAAAAAGTTAACACAATTCACTTCATAAAGTTTCAATCGGACACCCAATTGTTTTTCTATTTCGCATACTTTCTCTTTCAAAATTGCATTTTGCCTTACAAACATTTCCTTTTTTGTAACCGGAAAAAACAAACATCATGCTTTCCATTTTGACTAATAGCAGTTCACTCCTTTTACATCCAAGGGATGGTTTTCTCAAAAACAATTCCAACAGTGTATGCTAAATCTGAAATAAAAGTGACTATCACTTTCATTCCAAGATAATTTGCCCTACTTGACAATTTCTAGTTATCTTGAAGAACTATATGTATTCAGCTTATCACAAAAATGAACAACTGGTAAAGATTGCAAGCAGCGTGAGAGACGTATTAGGATATCAATGGGATGAGGGCATAGATGATACTGTTCAAGATAAGTTTGTGAAAGCGAACAGGTTAAATGAAATATCATGAGTTGAGGGCCATCGAAATAGGACCAGTCCTGGTGACTCTAATCTCATCAACCGCATCCATCCTTTCAAGGCTCGGATTAGAAACCTAAAAATGACCCACCAGGTTTAATCCCCCACAAATCAAGCGTGTCCAATTTAACCCATGAATTCACAGAGAAATGGGGGTTGGATGATTCTAGGGGATTATGTTCCACGGAGGCCACATGATACCCTCTGACTGGTCATGATGAAATGGCAGGATTAGATACTGAACGGACTATACATCATTTGCAACATCGAAAATCTAGTGGACACATCAGATATCGGGGAAGATTTTGAGTGTATACTCTGTCTATAGTAACAAGAGAGCAAGCATAGACAACATAATAGCTAACATAATTTTGACAATATTAAGAAATAAACTATCATAACATAATATGAATATCTTCATTATTGTGAACTAAATCCATATACATAATCCTGTTAAACTCTGTCAAACAAAACCAGAATGAATAGAAAATCCCCATGCTATCACCTCGCATGAATATTCACATGATGAGGTATTTCTTTATGTTGCATCCATTACCCAGCCTTTACTCAATAAATTAAACATACATTATCGAAACCTTTTTACAAAAAAAATTGAAAAGATGATACACTTCCCAAGAAGGTATTTTACAACTATGGTTAATGAACCAAATCAGGAGCTCATTAATCAAGGTGGTCTGTCATAAAGTTTATAAAAAATACTCAAACAGAGTCAAGCTATTAGACGTGACCTAATTATCACACTTCATTTACCTATTGCAATGTATCTCATCGCAAAGATCGCATATTTCAGGTACAATACAGTGGATGTGCTTTGTGACCAAGAGGATTTTGTAAACAAATCTTTGGAAAGGTTCGGTGAAGAGAAATAATATAGGTAAACAATACATCGCTGGTGGTTTGCAGTTATGATTCAGAAATAAGGAAAATATATGTAAACATGATGTCAGTGGTGTAATTAAATAATAAAAGATAAATATCTCAATTCATAATGCACTCAAATCAAATAGGAGTTGTCATTTCTAGCTGCTATGGTGCATACTGTTAGCTTTATATTTTAATTTCAAACTTGTACAAGGGAGTTTATATATACGCTACTCTTATATGTATGTACTTCGGTATACAAGTAGTATATGTACCATACTTTGCTATTTATAAGATCCTTAAGTTGTAAATCCATCTCTTGTATTCAACTTTGGAAACATATTGTTCACAGATAACATTACTGAATGTCATGGTTTTGAAGCCCAATGAAACTGTACTGTTCAAAATTTTATTTTCAGACACATTACCCTTTAATGTATGCAAATCCACTGCACAACAACAAAATGTGATTTTTGATGGATTAAGGAATTAAAATTTATCACTTCCCAATAAAAATAGAAGTAACAATACATCATAAACAATCTTAGACTTATGTGGTCAATAATTCACTGCAAGTGCTGCAAACTTGAGATACAATATAACAAAACTCTCCCTCAAGTGTTTTACAAATTCTACTCTCCATGGAATTTGATACAAAATCAAGCATTTTCTGTGCAACAAAAGACAGATAATTTTATTTCTGTACTTACGTCCACTCCAGTGATTACTGCTGAACAAGAAGAACTGTTATGGGTGCAAGCGTTGTCATGGATACACCAATCACAATCCCACTGACTACTGGAACAGGCTGTACAGCTGAAAGGCAGAGATTGATGGGTCAAGAAAGGGGGAAATGGTGAGTTCAATGCAGGATGTAAAAGGTATTAAAAAAGGTTAAGCTAAGATGGAGTACCGTAATACTCGATTGAAGATTTTACAAAGTTTGCTGTCCTAGAGAATTACTGTAAAAAGTTAAATCCCTGTATACTGAATTATTTCATTCTCATATGCTTAATACAGGGACAACCCTGTTCCTGATGGCAATAGCTTAAGAAATTTGAATCATGCAAAAGAAAAAATGAAATGAAATCTGAAAGGCTTACAGCTCTTCAAGTACTAGTTTCTGATTGTCATATACAAAATATACTTAGCAAATATCAAAATTGTGTGATCAAAAAAGTGTAAAAATATTTTAGTTTTTGTGTATTGTATCAATATTTTGGATTGTTCAATAAGAACATGAAAATTACTGTCAAGACTTATTTTATGTTTGTTCTTCTTTTTTAATTTATTCTACAGGTTGTTTCGACCCTTCCCAACCCTTAAGCTCAGCAAAGCTCAAGCTCTCCCCACTCTTCAGTCATATCATGCACTAATTATGTAACTCTATATTCATAATATTTTATTTCGTAAACCTAGGATGTTTTTATCATGCTTTCATTGCACTGACATGGGCATGAAGTGATGTCAAGTTGTCTACCTTTTCAGCAAGATAATGCTGTATATTACGTTAATATTCATGTTTTTATTGTCTCAATACCTCCCTTGTATTTTAGATATGAAATATGTATTTATGTATTTTGTATCAAACCTAATATGATTTATAAATATTCCCTGCAAAGAACAGAACTTATATAATATATCGGAGTTCTATAAATACATACACTAGAGTCCAATTACATTTACATAACTTTGTGCCAAATAAGTCTTTTAAATATTATTGCATTTCAGGACAGCGACCTCCCCATCCCAAGTAGAAGAGATGGTGAAACAGTCAACCTAGTCGGCATAGTATGAAATGTGCATACTACATTGATAACAAATGGGATTACACTGTGCCCTTTTGAGAAAATTCATATTTTAGGAATCACCCAATTTCACATTGATTTGTATCAATACTGATGCGGCATGGTGCAGGTTCATTTTATGATTTGAAAGTCTGATTGGATCGTGAATATGAAAAATCTGGGACACAAAACAATTTTCTGGTACCCATATGTTTCATGCTCGTAAAAATAGATTGAATTATATATCTATGGTTTCACTGAAACAGAATGGGAAAAAGGCAGGCTTGAGGCTGAAATAGAATGTGTGTTTACAAGCGTTGAACACATTCATATGCTTGCATAATAAACATGTCTACCGAGAGGAGCACCTCAAAAAGTCAATTATTCATGGAGGTAATCACAATATTTTTAGGGGGCTCATTATTCTAGCAGGAATAATCAAGCTCATTACAGTCAATCTACTGTCATGAAAACACTCATGGAATGAAAAAACAGCTTCCATCAGTTGGGGGATGTGCTATCAACATGTAATAAAAATTAGGAAGTTCTTCACAAACATTGCGTGGATAAGAACAAGGACATGTGTATCTTTCTTTGGTTGACGTTACATCTATGAAACCAAAAAGGATGAATAAAAGTCCAAAAATAACTCTTGCTGGGGTCTTTGGAAAATCTATTTTATTCAGAATTAAAATCTCACTCAGTGGGTTAAAATTCATTTTCATGACAGTTTACTACATAAAAATGCAATACCTTTCCATTAACTTTTGTCATAATTTATCTTTTAAATTTTTCATTCAACAAAGTGTCTTTTTAGAGGATGCTATCGGGCTTCCCACTGAAATTAATTTTTTTTGGGAAAAATGCAGACAGAATCGTGTTACTGATCATCATGTTAAGCGTGTCTGTGAGACATTTAACATCAATTTGGCTTTAATTAGAAGTCAATGCTACTGTCACATTTGCTTAAATCACTCTGATTAAACCATCACTACACACAAACACTGAAATAATTTCCAGTTGATGATCAACGATGAAGCTCATGGGTGTACTAATTTAGATTTTCATCAAATCAATCTCACAGCAAGGTTGCGGTTTTAACCCTTAGACTACTACATCCTCTCATTCCCATAGATTTTAATACAGGGACCGCCTGGTAGATAATAGGGTAAAAAGAACCCTGTTTTGGGACCTAAATGCTAGCTTACATGTACATACAGCCATAGGGGAAACTCAAATTGGACACATGACTGGAGCATCATTTGTCAGGAAGTCCCTGAGCCTTTTCAACTTCCTTTTCTTAATTGAACGCACAAAGGAAAGCAATATATTTGTACCACAAACAAAGTTGTTAACGTTGAATCGATTTGACAAGCAGTACATTACGCCATATTATGGCAATTTATGAGAAACATCATACATTTCTAAAGTGCATTGTAGAGAAGTATGTTACCTCCCGAGGGTGATTTTTGGTTCAACCGTTGATGCACACTTTGATATATACAAAGCAATATATGGCTGTTTCCACTGCTTCATTTCTCAAGATAAAAATTGGGGACTATATATGGTGTGAACAGCTCATGACATTTTAGGTATATAGAGAAAGGAAATGAACACTGCACTGGAACTTTACCTATATACATATAAATTGCAAGATATATCTGACTGCTGACATGCACTTTCAAATACTGAGCTAATACCCCTTTTCTTTCAGCAGATGATAAAGTATATTTGCAAACTCTAAACAAGTTTTGCAACTGAATCAAATATTGATGAGTTCCTACTACATGTCATAGTGATATATGAATACAAATGCTCATCTCACAACATTATCATAGGGATTCACAGACACATAGGGACCTTCAAAAGGGGACTAGAAAAACATTTGTGAAAACAGGGCTGCTTGGTAAAGTGCACATATATATATATATATATGCAGGGACATATAAACAAGCCCGGCCGCCCCTCTGACTGCCCCACATCACACGGATGAATAGAGAGAGGAGGCCATATATAAACCGCTTTATCACTAACAGACATTTCTATGACAAATGATTAGCGGTGCAGTCAAAATACAGCTACAGGTACCCCTTCCAGCTATGTATATTGTGTGGGAAATCATGGAGTGTTGTAAAGGAGAAATATTTCCTTTTGTTGGAACATGACAGCTACCATTCCCTCTCTATGAAACGGACTGCTCAAATGAATGCCTTCTTCAATACAAATCCTTACAGTTTCCGTCTCTCTATTTGTTCTGACAAAAAAAAGCTTAATAAGATAAACTTACTAGGTAATAAATATTCACACCACAAATAAACCTTTATTGAATAGTGTTTACAGTTATATCTAGTTATGAACAGAACTGGTATATAACTATATTGAATTGTACTACATCATACAATACGGTACATCAGTACATAACACAACAAAAGTACATGAAACTACTAGTATTATCAAAGTATATTTAAGAATGAAAAGCTGTAGGATTTCATGGCTAGTAAAAGCCATGAAAATAATATATTCTCTCTCTCTGTGATTATCCAGTAAGTCTGCTAGTTACTAGTATATTATTGTAGACAATGTTAATAGTTGTACTATTGACATAAGAGGCATACCTTGTTATTCGGCTGCAGTCATAGAAGAAATATTTCTTGCTGATGATTTCTATACCAGACGGGTCCACAGCCAATGACAGAGTCAAAGCAATGTGATCTACATTTAAAGAAAACAAAACAAATGTTATGATATCCAATATGTCTTTAACCCATTAAATACATATACATAAGCATGAGATATCTCAGGCTGGAGGCAATAGAGTGGTGAAGTGTGACGTCATAAAAAATCTATTTTTAGAATTTCTCATTTTTTTCTTCATATTCCGAAAGAACATCAAAATTAATGTCCAAATGTCGAAAACCAATTGAATATGTTAAGTATTGGCTGAGATATGACTATCTGAATGAATATATGTCCTATGGGAACTCAGTGTTATATGCTCTGGCTCCTAACCATTAGGAGCCAGAGCATATAACACTGAGTTCCTATGGGGTGTATACTAATTCAGATGGTCATATCTCAGCCAATACTTAACATATTCAATTGTTTTTCAACATTTGGACATTATTTTTGATGTTCTTTCGGAATATGAAGAAAACATTGAGAAATTCTAAAAATAGATTTTTATGACGTCACAGTTTCGGTACTCTATGTGAAATGCATGTCCATTCAAACCAAACATGTCAAAGCAGAGTTTCTATTTCATTGTCTATTTGGAGCCAGAAGGGCATTAACTCACATAATTTCAGAGAGTTAATACACTTCTGGCTTCAAAGAGACAATATTGAAAGTAGACAATCATTCCAGAAACCAAAGGAAACAAAAACCTTTAATTTCTTCCTTGACAGGAAGGCCAACCTTTTTGGCATTGCCATGTCATACCAAAATGAAAAACTACATCCCTACATGTCTGAATCAGGAATAGGAAACTCTTTTTATTGGATTTTCATGTTCAAAGGTCAATGTAATTTCCATTACCTGCATTTTCTCTTCTCTCTCAAATTCTCTCTCTCTTTCTCTCTCTCTCTCCATCTATTTTTTCTCTTTCTCCACCTTTCTCTTAATATTTAACTCTCCCTTTCTCTCCTCATCCACCCCTCACTCTCTCTCTCTCTCTCTCTCTCTCTCTCTAATTCCCTTGAATTCCTTCTATCCCAATTTCTCTCTTTCTCCCTTTCTCTCTCTTTCTCTATTTCTCACTCTCCTAATTTTTTTTTGTTTTCCCCCTTATTTTCGTATCTATCTCCATCTCATCATATTATGCATGTGTATTGCAAACCCATTTACCACTCACTCTCCAAACATAAACAGGCAATTGCAGCACCCCATCGCCCAAAACATCCCATGTGCATTTGACTGTCATATCTCATCAAATTCATAAATCCTGAAGTAATACAAACCCTCGAGCCCCTGAAAACATTTTTGATCATTAGGAGAGACATGGATATTGGGGAGACAAATGGGGAGAATATAGTCTAAACAGATCTGGCAACATCTTAATCATGAGGATTATAGGGAAGAGACGCGGATAAAAGAGGATTGCAATTTGGAAGAGGAAAGGAGTGTTTAGGATCATATCTTGAGACTGATGATCCATAGCAGTGAGTCAGCCAGCATTCCTACCCTAGACTCATCAGGTCTGAAGATGTTCCACACTGAATGCCTTCCTCCCTCCCGCCCGCCAGTCTTCAACAATATCATAATACATATGAGTAATCAAACCTGGCAAATGACCAACTTGATTGGAGATATATCTCCAGTTCAATATCCCCATTTTTCTTTAGAAGTTCCATTTAACAATTTCTACACACTCAATTGGAAATGGCTACAAGCATCATTGGAATGCGTAGTTGATCTTCAGTTTTAATTCTTCACCATCCTCTCCCCATTATCAACATAAAAGCCATGAATTCAACCGCCATGCCCAGAAGCATTTATAGAACCTGGGCATTATCCTAATCATATTCCATCATACAATACTGTAATGTGCCTCGAGTGGAATTCGCAACATTCTCACTTCCTTTCATTTCAGTTTCTTCATTTTTTCCCCGACTGCCGGGGGTAGGCAAATATCGGAGCTCAAGTATCCACTTAAGGATTCATTTAATATCTTGAGTGTGCATAAGTTCACTTAAGAATGAAAGAAAAGTGTTTCCTACTGCTTCAGATTTTTTCCTGAGCATGGGTTACATAATCACATCATATATGCTGTCTCAGTGTCTCTGCAAGGTCGTGAACGCTGAAGATATTAGAGCAATAGATCATTAACCTCTTTGTCAGGCACATAGCCAATATGAATAGACAAATGTAATTAAAAGAAAAGTGACAATATCAACCTTACAGGATGATTAACAAACAAAAAATATGCAAGGACTTTAGTACCTACATATGAGTAATCATACATTTCATTTAGTTACATAGCTAACGTATTTCTCCTCTGTAAGCATAATTCAATTAAGGATAAAAAATTTAAAAAGTAATTTTCAGTGTTTACTCCAAACACTACATGGCAGAGATATACAGATTTCCTGGAATATGAAAGTAGAATCAAAGTCTCTCACTGACAAGTGCAAATGCAGTTTTGCAGAAGCAATTCACATTGGGATTTTATGCCAATCAAGGGCATCATCAATAACTGACAAAGTGTATAGGCTTCTATCATTCCATATATTAGATAAGTTGGTGAGGAAATACCGGATGATCTATTGCCTCTGTCCTCATCCCTAATTCATGATAAAGCCTTACACATTTATTATTAAAACCCTTGGCTGACCTTCACGCCACCAAGACAGCCTGCCTGCAGCCACAGACTAGTCACCTCTAGCCTGTCCAGACAATAATAGATTCTGTCACAACCTTTTATAGAAGAGGAGTTTCCTCTAGAGGACAAACCCATGAATCAATGGCCAATTATGGCGCACGTGTCCTCAACTCCTACGGATCCCTCTTTCAGCGACCGAGGGGGTGTTCCACCCAAACCTAGGATACCCCGAGTCCCGGTCTCTTTAATCCCCCGTACGGATTTAAATGTTATCTCACCGCCGTCTGACTGTATCTCTGGTAGTTCATTGGATGCTGGTGACGGACACGTAACGTTGTTGCCGACAGACGAGGTGACCTCGGAGGTGATGTCATCAAAGCGGCACGAGTAGGACCCGCTCTCAAGAATCGGCAGGTGAGCAACAGCGAATGTGATGTCCACCTGCAAAGAGAAATACAAAATTCCACATGAAATATGATGAAGGAATTGACATTTGATATTAAGGAAGCAGAGAATCTGATTGAAGTATGAGAAGGAACACAGGAGTCTACAATTACACACTTATCTCCCTGTAAATGTTTCCGGAATGGCACCGTACCGAATTTCCCCAAATTTGGTTTCTCTGCCATAAATGATTCAAGACATAAATATGTTTCTCAAAGATGACACTGCTTGCTAGAATGCTTGCATGGGTTTCCAGTCTCTGCTTAAAAACAAAGATAAACTGGAATGCAAGGACCAATTTCTGATTCCTGCAAAAGGGAATTACGCATTCTTAACTTCTTCTGTACTCAAAGAGCAAGCGCGTTCAACTTTCAAACATAGTGTTACATCCATTGCACTAGTGATTATAAACCATCATGAATGGTGAATGAAATGATTGAAACATAAATGAATAAAAATCGAAGAAAATAGTTGGCGGAACTACATATAAAAGCATGGGCTTATGGTTTCATGTTACATGGGTATTGCTTGAAAACTATAAATATTGTTTTCACCAACTTTGACACTTTTCTAGGTACCTTCCGGCTGGAATATCGCTCTTGGGCACACAAGAGAGAGAACAAAATCATGACTTTCAGTTTCAACTAATAGAATGGGAAAAGAGTCGATAGTGTTACAATGCGCCAATCCTGATTATGCTCGAGACTTCTGAACATGTCTGCAAAGTTGTGATATTCAGGTAGGTAGAGCCGGAACTGCTAGGACGGCAGATGGCTGTAAATCCAATTATGCCTTATTCACCTTTTTTTCCTCTCCTAACACAAATTTGATGGTTGCACTTCATTAATCAGTGGAGCTCCTGTAATTCTGCTGTCAAGTTTTCAGCTGCTGAATATTTATTTACAGTGGTGAGCAATTGAAATAAACTAATGTGCTCATTAATTACTCTCAAGCTCTCAACATTCCTGCCCCCCCCCACACACTTTTTTTTCATCCACTGTACAAACTCAATACATATACTAATGGAAAATGATACTTATGTACATAAAACAATACGTAATTAATTATCCAATCGGTAACCTGAATGTGCAGATGATTTAATTTTCTAGAAGTATCTGTTTCATTCTGCTTCATTTATAATTCCCTGTATACTTTACATCAACAACATACAACATGTGTAAACTTCACCTATCTAACTCATTTAATCAAAATCCTTTTAAACTTCTAGGCAGAATACATAGACAAGTATAAAGTAGAAAGTATTTTGACCACATTGTAGTTTGCCAGTTTGTCTATGATTAACCATAATAAACAAAGTTATCAAAACGAAAATTAGAATGCCAGCAGGGTTTATCCTATTTAACAGTGATTTTAGATCTGTTTTTTTTTTAGAAAATATATATACACATCAATGTCAAATAAAGGCTTGAGGCTGAAATTTGGAAAATCTAATTTAGAGTAAACCATATGGCAAAGTCATCGTTTTTCCTTGGTACACGGGTTAATGCCTTCTGCACGTTTTCTTCGCTAACTTCAGCAGGCCCCTCTCCATTACACGCATGGTCTCTGATTGCTGAAATTATCAAATAACTCTGCATAATTTATCAGACGGCCTCAAGCCCACTATGCTATATCCTTCAACAATGAATGCTAAAAAGAGTCCACATTGGTCATGAATACAAATCTAGTTATCTGTTGGAATGGTCTCTGAGTGAAAGTATTGTCAAACTCTAAACTCAATCCCAGTATCCCCCCTTGGCAGGAGAAAGTGCGGCTTGTGAAACCACCATGAAATTGGGAAGTATGCTTTGTTAAATACATGCATGTAGCTATGCATAATCAATAAGACATACTAAAAGCACTATGAGAGGCGTAATGAGCTTTCAAACCACAACCTGTCAGTCTGAAAAAGGTAAACGGTAAAAAGTACTCTGAATTATCTCAGGATGACAGGATTCTTCTGGGGAGGACAAAACCTGTATCACAAAAAATAAAAGATGTAGATAAGAAATGAATTGCCCTTGCCTAGCTCTGTCATAAAGTTCTGCAATGTTTGTAAAGTTCATCTAGAAGCTCTACGCTTTTTGGAAATATATTTTAAAGGGCTGAGGATTAGTAATAATTTCAGAAAAGCAGATCAACTCTTTTGATATGCTGGATGCAACCTTTTCCGTAACTGATCCAGAAATATAACTAGTGAGAAACAATATTTTGCCAATTCTGACACTCATTTGCTCTTTCAAATGTTGATTTAACCCTTTACTTTTTAGTGGAATAACATCCAAAAGTAGATGCTAGACATAACAAACCAGACATTAAAAAAACAATCAGATCTGTAAATCCTTTTCAACCCTGTAAACTCTCTAAAACTCTCATCACATGTACAAGTGCAAAAAAGTAGAATAAATGAATTCAAAAGAGTAAAGTCAGAAACACAGCTGAAAATGCTAACACATGTATGACGACATTTACCCTATATCAGGAAGGAGGTATTCTCCTTGGTATCAGTATGGAACATGCAAAATATGTTATATATTTTATGAGAGAGAATATTAATATTCAGTGTATATCATCTCTAATCTCTTAAAGGTAAAGACCAGTAATGGTCATGCGATTGCATTGTGAAAGAAACGTTGTGGAATCGATCAGAAAAGGTTGATCATCTAGCATCTGCAAGGTTCTGGAATCATCAAAATGATAAGAAATTGGGCCCATTCTTCGTAAAGTTACAAGCACTATACACAGAAAGATGTATATGGGACTACCCTATCTCTCTCACCAGACCATGAGAGAAATAAATTTACCAAATATATGAATTAGTAGGCGGTTTCCCGGCAAATTTTTTATCATCATGTATTAGTCAAAACATATTCTTTCACATGATTGGTAATGAGAGCTTCCATTTCATTTTTTGAAATTGGGGCGTTGCCAATACTGGTCTTTACCTTTAAGCCAGTTGCCTAACATAGGACAGAGTATATATAGACTTCATTTCGGCCATTCAATCTTCTCAGATATCCCTTTAAGTTAAATGCAGAGCAGAGACTAAATGGATTTTCATTCAATTATTTCTGGCAAATGTGGTGATTATCCCGATCACATCTTGGGAATGTACTTATGAAGGCTTGCCATTCCACAATTTCCACTCTCTTCTCACATAAATTACATTTGCTCTGTATATATTCACCTTGTAATGTGTGCGAGTACATGTATGTGTCCCATATGTACTGGATGAGTGCATTTCCAAATGTTTAAATTCTCTCCCTTCCCTTGATTAAAACTTTATGGTTTATGTTTGAAAATGGAATGTAATTTTGATTGCATTTATTCAATTATTAATTCCTCTTCTTTATCCAAGATTGCCTATTCAGTTATTAAAACACTTTTGCACTTAAGGGCACTAAAGACAAAAACACATGACAGTGAACCATACTATATGTACATGTATATATGTGTGTAGATAACAAAATTATATTACAAAAATAAATGATTTGAAAAAAATGGTAAAAAATATAATCCAAGGGGCCAGATTAGGGTAAGAGGGGAAATCATGCAATTGACTATTGAATACTTCAGTAGAAATACAGTTACTTAAGACACAGTATTTACTTTTAGGTCTTAAAAGAAGACGGATGTGTCTTATCATCTTTTCTTACAGAATAAAGAGAAAAGAATATGGGGTAAATATTGCCTTGAAAATGCCAATAATAATTTGAATTTCCCTTAGGCAGTGAGCAGGCCAACCTGTCTATCTTCTATTGCAGGTATTCCATGTATTGAATTTAGAAGTTTATTTACATACCACTGAAAGCAAACACGGTGGATATAATCTGATAACATTGTTATCGTGATCTGCAAGGTAAGCTTGTAATAGGATGGGAATATGAAGGAGATAACCCTGTTATCATCTTTACTTGATACATGTAGGTAGGTGTTACAAGAATGACAAACAGGTAACTTGATTCCCTCCTAGAATCCGATTGAGAATACATCAATCTTATTATTTCCTCCTTTCACATTAGTACACTGTACGTGTAAAGACTTCTTATTATGTGATTTAATAAAGCAATGAATATTTCAATTTAGATTGACATTGTTAATCCTATGATATATGGCATATTGTGCAAGGCTTCCTAGTATGAAGTGGAGGTGATAATGCTTTGTTTGAAAATTATAAATGTATAAAAGAAATATTGAATAGAGAAATAGAGAAAGAAAATAGACACTTAGACAGGAAAAAGGAGAGAGAGAAACAGAGACAGAGGGAGGGAGACATGTAGACAGCAAGAACAGAGGAGGAAAAGAGAAGGAGAGAGATGAAAGGGAGAGGAGGGGAGGAAGGGAGAAGGGAGGGAGAGGGGGAGAGAGAAAGAGAGATGAGACTTATCATACAAACATTTCAAATTTTAAATCATCACTCAACATATAAAAAGCAAGGAAAATGCAACCCCAAAACATTTGCTGTTATCATTCATGTAGGCCATAACTCAGTATTTAAAATATGTAACAATACTCACAAATCAAAGGTAATCAATACTTAACATAATCTATCATTTCATATATTTGATGGTCTACAAAGGTGAAAGAAAATTAAATACACAACCAGACTTCTGGTGGCAGCGGTGGGATATCCAGATGTAAAGAGTAAAGCCTTGCTCAGGCAGGACGCAGTATACTAAAAAAGATATTTAAAAATTAAATGCCTCAGCAAATAAAATGATTCTATGCATCAATGAATGGTGAGCTGGATCCAATAGTTAGCTGAGTGTATGCAACAAAGATCCACCCCTCCCCCTTCCTCATTTATAATCTTTCATGATATAGAAAAAGCTGCCTGTATTTCATTTTGTCCCCAGTATTCACTATTTTTGTGAGGCAGTTGACAGCATCATGTGTAAACATTGCTTGCACAAAGTGTCAGTTTATTCTATTGTAGTCGTGCAAATAAACACTTAATAACATTGGCAACATGACATGAACTACCATATCAATCAAAGCTGTCAATAAAATTCAATGGAAATCACTCTTTAGTATTGAAGAGACTTTACCTCCAAATCATGATTCTTCCAGATATAATAATTGTCATTCTCTTGCACACACCTATTATCAGATACAGTACAAGACGATGACATTTATCTTGCAGGAGGTTGATGATGGTCACTTTTTTAAAGAAAGGCATGAGACAATACTATTTAAAGAGTCTACTTTAATGTTTCCACGGAACAAAATACCACTCATTTCCGTTGTTTTGGGCCCCGTGTATGTACATGTCACGAATCTCTCATCCTGTGTCTACAGGAAGTCCGGTCTTTCGACCAGTCTCTGATCATAGATACCACTGTTTACCATCCAACAGGTACATTACATGTAAGTGGGTGCATGCAGCCGATACTCAACCACAGTCGGAAGCTCCCGAGTGTCAGCAGTTTGCTGAAAGGTTTGACAGTATATGGTTGAATCTTTGCAATAATGAGTAGGATCCCTACTGCTAACTTCTCACTAAATGTCAGAGAAATGTTTTAGTTCACCAACTTCACCAAAACATTCCTCAATTATATTATTTTGCATACATATCTTCACGAGTTCACGTAAGACATATCGGGTAAAAGAATTTTGATGAACACTTTGAAGTGTTAATGTTTTGAATTTTGCTGATGACAAAGTACATCTGTCCAGATTTAAACTATATTTTATAACTGATTTCGAGAGTTTTAATCAATGTTATTTCATATCAATGATAGAACAGATCTTGAACTTTATTAAACTGTAATTTAACGATTTGATGTACAGTTTTGACCTGAGCAATTACATGTATGGTAGTACAAATAGAGGTAATGCTAGCTCATTGTCATTTTAAAAAACTACTTAGAATGACGAGATAAGTTCTTCTGAAGGGTGAGAGAAAAAGTAAAGACTGTACAAATAAACAGGAACAGTGATATCCTTCTATGCAGAAAATGAGAAAAATTGGGCATACTATATACAGCCATACACAATAACAGGAACAATCCAATGGTATTCTAACTATAACACAACGTCCGGTAGCCATCAGGCAGCTACTGGAATTGACATTTTAACAGGATATCTCTTTCAAATTACCAGACAAAACAATAAACAGTAATAAATAATGATAATAGTATATTACACTGCTGCTTATACAGTGCTATGGTAAATATAGAAAATAAATTCTCACATAATCCAATGAAACTTACACTGAATGTTCAAGATTATGAATAAATGGCATGTGACAAATAATTTTTGTAGAACATGTATAATGGCTGAGAAATGAGCATAGAAAGTTAAGGAAATCTGAGCAAGTCACTGTGTGCAAATGGGAGTTATAGTTTTTATCAAAGATGATGCCCAGTAAGTTTTTGTGCATTTGTTTTTATTTCACTGGTTTAAACAATCTACTGCAGGATAAACAATCCAGAATAAATCAAAGCAATTTTCTCTCCAAAAAAAAAGAATTCCCATACCAGAGCTCAAGATTAGCTTTAAGATTCTGCACTTTGAAGTGCTCATTCTCCACTCCCATTGGGAGCATTCCAGCCAGTCACCTGTTTAAAAGTGCATACCGGTACATGCTAATCTAACCACCATGATGTTCTCACATGCTCCTCGGTACCCAGTGAACACCCTGGTGGATAAAATGCCTTGCTCAAGGACAAAAGTGCCATGTCAGGGCGATAGGACATTAATGTACTGTGACATCCAAAAATAGATAAACCCCAACGAATCAAATTCGATGAATAATAAATTCAGCCCACTGAACAAGGATGATAATCCACCACCATGTATAAGTAAACAAAGCCATCAAATATTGATACTAGTGGGTACATTACTACTGTCATTTCGCACAGCACACAAATCACACTGTGCACGTCATATGAATCATTATTCTGATGTAAATTAAAGAAATTTGATTAGTCATTTAACAAACATTGATTCTACACCTATGTTGATTGATTCTAACACCAGATAAAATGCCCAAGGCCAGAATAAATATTACACACAGTGGTCTCCGATTGCAAGTGGAGTTCTGCACATTCAGGTTAAAGGGAATGTCTGTTTGGAGCCAGAACAGTTTTAACTCATATACACAAAGTTAACACCCTCCTGGCTCGGAACAGACAGTGTTAATTTAACATTCTGATGAAGCTACGAAAGAAGTTTAATTGTTATCTGTCTGGGAATGAAGAAGATGAAACATTGCTGAAAGATTTAAGTCATATATGATCTATGTGTAAGGGAAAATTTATGTTGATTTTGAACAAGACTGATAACACAAATCTATTCAATAGGATTACAAAGAGTCAAAGATTTTCAAGAAATCAACTCTAGGCTAATTTCAGTATACTGAAATCTTGAGATTATGTAATATGTCATTTCCATAGGTGATAGACAAGGTTATTGAAATTGCCTGAGGTTGATATCGTGAAAGTCTTTACTAGCATTTTATAAGTTGTGATTTCAAATGAATATAATAGCTTGGTTACCACCAACTACAATTTCTTTGCAAGACTTTCAACTGATTTTTAATTGGCAGTTTATCTTTCCTTTTCCTATCTTTTTGTAATTAGAATAAAAACAATAACTATAATGATAAGATGGTCAAACTTTCCTCATTATTGTAATATCCATCATTACTTTGCATGATCTTTTACCGTCTACAAAGTATACCCATATAAACACAAACCTTTATTGTTATTAATATATTAATAAAGCCATGAAAACAATACATTGGGGCTCAGTAGACAGGTGAGCTCTGGAAAAAGAAATCATAAATAAAACCCCTGAGCAGAAAATCTCTCTTGTTTTCATAACAAATCCCCAAAAGAGCTCCTGGGTACAGCAACAAATAATTGTTCCTTTTACAAACAGTGAAAAGATGAAAGAGCATTACTTGACAGATGTACCCTGCCATTTGGGAATTGCTGAACGATATCTCAGGAAATCATATCATGAGCGTATGACAAACGTTTCATATCATTTGATGTGATTGTTGATGTGTAGGTGTGTTGAATGTTGGTGTGGATGTGATTGATCAAGCACTATGTGTTCCCTGGTTTTTAATGATAACTACAATCCTAGGACCATTAACCTTGGGTAATATCTATGGTCTTCCTCCTTTTTAAACCATGTTCTGATGGATAGCTCTCTCAATATCTTGTCAGTGCATTTCTATGTTTTATATCATTTTGTATGTATAACACAATCACAATCACAAATACTTTGGAGAAATCAGCTCAAGACAATTTCAGTACCTTCTTGAATACATAGAGCTGATGTTTGGATAAAATATGTCATCGTCATCAGAATATTCACACAGTTCTATAGGTGATGGACAATGCTATTGACAGTGGTTTTATAGCTAGCATTTTTTATGATTGCGTTGTAGATTTCTGTCTTATGTTTCCTGAATACATTACATCTTTGCTCTTTTGATGAAAGTATAACATGAACCCAACTGGGGGTTCTTTCACATCATGAAACAAATCAAGACAATGTGACGTACCTCTGACTGCTGTCTCGGTAGGCTGCTTGGTGTGAGGCGAGTGATGTTAATGCACTCTCTGGTATCGTAGGCCAGCCAGTGATCAGTCTCCTCGGGGTTAACACACTCCCGATACTGTGTGCACCTGTTATAGACATAATAAATCATGTTAAGGTGGAGGAATGCTAGCTATTCTAGGATGCGCCCTGTGACATATTAAACTTGGCCTCACTATCTCTCACTCCTGGCTTCACTCCCCCTTGAGCTATATGAGCCGCAGGACCAATATGGCATCTCGAGGGGAGTCAGAAGTCAACTAGCCATAGCATGTACTAATTCTTCCGCCTTAACAGGTATCCCACTACTGCAGGATAACTCAAAGTACAACAGAGGAAGATGACAAGAGACACTGAATTGTACGTGGATTTTTATGAAAGAGCCATAGAAACATCTATTTTATACAACATAGCATGAATACAAACCAACTGCACATATATCCTTAAAATTGACCTTCATAGTACAGTTGTGTTTGTTGTTTTAATGCAGTTTTTGTTAATTGATTCAAATAATGAGCAATCTAATATTCTCATCAACAGAAAAAAGAGTGTGGAGAAAAATACGAGGAAACATACGATTAGAAAAGAAGGGAATACATTGACAATGTAGAGCTTCAAATTTGAAATTTTGAATGAAATATAAAATACATATTCTAAACCAGGTGGAAAGACATGTCTCCCACCTCCCTGTTCTAAACATACATGTATTTGAACTGTAGATATTATCTTATTTGGATTGTTTTAGTCTGTTTCAAATAATTTTGTTATAAATTTAGATCATACAGTGAGAATCAAACTGTCCAACAGCTACATTCAGAGTAAAATGCAGTTCTTATTAACATAATTTCTGTACACAATTCATTTCTTCTCTTCTCTGATTTCCCTTTCTTCCCACTTCCATTCAATAATGTCTGATACACTATACCCTCCACCTGCAGTGCAGAGAATAAAACATCAAAATAATATTACACGGTAACTAAGCCAAATCTGCACCCGCAATTTGATTTTGAGCCAGAAGAATCAATACTCTAGGCTCGTCTGATCTGTGATTGATGATCAAGTGCCTCAAGGCCTATATATCATTTGCGCGATTACATAGTCAAACTGGAGAAACTTAAAGCCTTTGAGGGGAGTCTAACTTTCACAGCGTGTTCACATAGCCAAAGCACGTTAATACAATGAGAATCACTGGATAAGTTCCAACCAACATTACGTGTTTGTCCAAATAATTGTTCAGCCCAAAAATGATACTTTTAACCAGTGACCGAAAATACATGGGAGCAGTAAAATATTTCATCCGGAAAGCTCCAAGCAGCTCTGGAAATCGTATTAGTCAAAAGCAATGAAATACACAAGAATCACTGGGATGTGATCTCACTTGTTTTTAATATAAATATTCAAAAGGCTCCAGTAAAAAAAAAGAATACTTATACACTTCAATTTTTAGCTATTCTGTTTCTGTATGATAAAGTAATGATTTTTTTCTGCTGCTCCATACAGAACAATATACAATGTACAGTGTATTACCCCCAAAGTAATCTAACTGAGTTTGACATATATTGCATCACTACATTATTCCATGCATGATTCAATGTGTTGTTTTTTTATCCTGTCAATCAAGTGCTACAGTGCACAAATAATGAAAATATAATTCCATACATGTATGAATCGCAATGTCTATGATTCATACATGTTCTGTTGTGCTAGGTTTAATCAGAAGGAAAAGCAAATTATGTTGATGATTCTATTTTTGCATGCATAATGATGAATTTGCTTATTTTGTTTAAACTTGGCAGAAATATGGTATACACAATGTTCATGAAAAGGGCATGACAATAAATATGTCTATTCTTGTTAATGTTTACCATTAAATATATACAAAAATATAAATATAGCCTACAATATACATGTACATGTCACATGTTATTGTAATACATATTTTAATTTTGTAGGTTAAACTTTTAATTGAACCCACATGTAATGCAGCCTTTAAAATTTAATTGTTATATTCCCCTTTCATTTCTTTCTTGGTAATTGCAATACTTAAGTACAGAACCACCTGCAGACTCCTAAATTAGCAATAATGAAAGAGGAATAAGGTCAGTCATAACAATTTCAATACAGTCTCACATCCTTTGAGAGCTTGAATCATATTTATCATACCATCCTTTATCATCCTTATCAAGTGAAACTGAAACTTTAATGACTATAAAACAACCTAATTTCAATCAAGTGAAAGACAAAGTCAATTGAGAACTGGTCAAACAATGACATTCTAAATGGTTGATCATGTATTAAATAACAAAAGTCATTTATGAGGTTTGAACTTAAAAATCATTAAAGGTAAATCAAAGTGACTACAGCTAGAAAAAAAGTTACTAACAATGGCAGGCAATGTGGTTAGATTACACATCATCTGTATACATGAGGCTATGCAAATATGTGGCATCATATATTTGACCCATATTTCTATAATCTTTCCAAGCATATTTGAATTATAGAAGTATATCATATATTCATAATGAATCATATTTATGCAATATCGCTGTTACATGTAACACATTTTCCCCACATTTAATACATTGGAGGGTTTTTTTTTATAGGTAAATTTCCTATATCACTTTCACCTTTACATGAACTTAGATCACCAGAACTTGATCAACCTCCTCTTGAAACCATTATGAACATGACATTGTAATTAAGTCTTCATTCACACCATGCACAGCTAGTCTCCCAACATTGTTCTACTGCTATTCAATCAGGAGTAGATCAATATGACACTTCCAAGTTCCAGCCAAAGTACATGTATCACATGATCGTATCACATGATCGCATGACAAGACATGCAAGAGGTATCAATGTTCTTGTAGTCTTCATGATACCTCAGTCACACCGCCAAATCGATTCCAAACTGGCTCCAAACTGACAGCGTTTTGGCTGTTTGAGGTAATGTAAGTTTTGCTCAGTATGTTGCTGGTCTGGTATTGGTCTCATAGGTGTGGCTGGGGTGTGAACCAGCGAATAGAAACTAGAACACAAACATTCTAATTTCTAAGATCAAAATCATTCTTGAACAATAATAATAATGTAATAAAACCTTTTCAATTATTATGATTCTAAGAAACTATACACTTGGTTTTATAGCAGTACTCAGAGAAACATTAGGCTCTCTCAACTGCTTCCAAACAATTGTCATTAAATTAATGTCATTAACCCTTCATATTTCATTTGACTAGGTGTTGTTTCACTTGAATGTGCAACCCTGGCAATTATTGATCTATTTACATGTACATGTAGGTACTCTAATCAATACACTAAATACTAGTCTAAAGCAGGATGCAACCTTTACCGGTAGTGTTTCTGTTTGGTAACTGACGACTTGGCACAGAGAGTTCAGAACAAAAATAAAATTTATTCAAGGGAGCTCCTTTCAAATGTTGTTATCTGCAGAGTGAGATCTACTCACACAGTGTTATTTATATATTATACTGTATTTTCATCAAAGCTCTTTTAGGACATGCATATAGCTAAACTGAGCTCACCACTCCCAGTATATGGTCACTGCCTTTGCATCTGTTACAATTAAAGGTGGAGATAAAACCCAATATGCGCAGATGGGCAATTGACGAAATTGGTGATTGATATAGTGTCTCGTCTGTATTTTTGACAAAACAATTGTTATTTTAAAATGTGAATTCCCACTTACTCTCAAATAAGCCTTAACATTTTGAAAATCTTATTTACAACATATTTGAGGGGGTAATCAGCTAATTTTTAATGCTACCAAAAAATTAAATCATTCATATGTGTCCAAATTACTAAAACTTAAAAAACACTATGTTGACCTTTTTTTTTTCCAATCTGAAGGCAAGAAGAAATTTGAAGAAAAAAAAATGAAGAATACATGTATCTCACAAAAAATCTTTGACACCATGCCATCCCAGACACTGATGTAGATGTCAAAATGTCTGCACCACAAGACTAGACTGGAACACAATGTAATTACTCCAAGTTCATTATCGATTTATGGTTGATGGGACTCAATTATTTTCACATCAAAGAAATGAATCATAACCGACGTGATGCTGCATTTCCCATTCGCAGACACCTGAAAGAGGTTACGAGAATAAGGACTAAACCCTCACTATGATCAACAACACATAAATAACCAAGAAACCTCCTCAATAAAAACAGATAACTAGATATATGAGAGCAACATTATAAAATGCTGAAGCAATTAAAAGCAATCCAGCAGATCCATAACACTTAATTAATCATGTTATATTAACGAGGCAATTGCAGCTGTACATGAACATGTAGCTCACTCAAGAGAGTGTGCCCTTCCCTTCTTCTGATGCAGGCTAGATTGGAGATGAAACCACTCCATCCCTTGGATAGGATGTTAAATGAAGTCCCCTTATGGAGGACAGTCACCCCCTTGAACATGATCAGAATACCTTGCAGTACGTGCACTCTTTGGGAAACTAAAGAAGGGAAACCCCTGCAGTGTAGTGGTACACATACACCTGCACATCCCAATCAATACACCAAGACAAGAGGAGATACATGGTTACTGTGATTAAGGTTGTTTTTCCCCTCCCAGGTATAGTAGGTGTCACTGAACTACTGAATTAATAGGAAATAATAATTATACAGAGCTTTCAAAAGAATTTACAATGATAAAATACAATGTTGAATAACAATGGATTTGAATTCTTTTCTTTCTATAATTCAATTTCATTATAGTTGCAAAGGATAAATTAAGGTAGACATTTTTGAAGTGATTTATTAAAGTGACAAAGAAAAAAAACTGGGAGCCTGCAACTTTCTCAAACCTGTATCAGCTGTATTAGTATTTAACTAATACGTGATTAACAATATTTTATTAAATACAATTCCTGAACCTAATGTTAAATAGAAGATCATTTTCTCAAAAATCTTATTATTAATAAGGTGAAATCAATGGAATGTCAAATGTTTCATTTTTTATTAGGGCTGTCTCCATTTTTTTACCATACATCTTATCATGTTCCAACAGAAGCTACAATAATGTCACTTCATCTAAGAGGAGAAAAATACAACAGGACGGATGTTATACTTTCAATTAAACTAACCTTGCAAAACACTTCCTTCCTTTTAAAATCAACATAACATGCCACTTCATAACTGTTCATCTTGGACATTGTTAGATAAACCTCTGAATAAATTCATGCTGAGATACAAAACAAGATCTTTCCCATGATCTGTCATGGAACACCTACATGTTCTTTCCTAATGGCATATGCTGTGGAAATATATAGGGCCTACGAAAGATGACATGTACCCTACCAAATTTGTTCGATTCCACACATCTACCCTACACATCTACCCTAATATTGTTACATTCGGGGTTATGACCCCAAATCAACCCAAAGTATCTAAGATGGCAAAATCATCACCAAAAATAAGATATAAGAACAGGTGGAGAATTTCTTATTATCAACTACATTTTACAAGCATTTGCCTACCGGATGTACAAACACAGAAACAAAATAGGCATATAGATTCTCCTTTAACATTGTAAACAAAACACGAATTCACTGTACTAAGAACAAAAAATTAATACAAATTGTTAAGAATCTGTGCTTTTCATCCTTAGAATTAATCATATTCTGGTGCACTACCGTCTCTCTCCATCTTCAGAAGTAAAAATATCATAAATTTGGTTGAATTCTGAATCCCTCATGAATAAAACCGATATTAATCCCATGCTAACATCCTCTGGCCAGGAGCATGAGACTAATCACTGGAGGCAATCTGTCACTGAGATTATTTAGGCCTTGATGCTGGCTGGCACTGAGGATCGATGATTAGCTGGCCTGATTGACTGGTAGTAGTTCAGCCACAGGGTTATCATGTAACACAAGATCAACTTCATGGGCATATGAATCATCGTAATAACATGTGCTCGCAATCTAATACCTCCGATACCTAGCAGTGCGCATTCCATCGCCGACCGACCTCCGGCTAACTTACCGACAGGCAATGCATAAACCATGACAATGAAAAGTTTGGCTGGCCAAGAGGTCTATGGCAATTCACAGCACATCTTGTCTGATTTGCCTGTGGTGACAATTTCAAAAGAAACTGCACTTGAAAACAAGTGTCCACAAGAGGACAAAGTAAAACCATTGAGTGAACCACATTACGGAAAGTTCCCTCACCAAGTGGAACACTTGTTAAGTCATATCAAATATCACAACAGATGTACAAGTCTGGGTCAATGTAAATGTTCAGTATGGAACTTGATGTATGTAATCACAAGCAATATTACAGACTTATGTATCTCCTGTCTGACACTTAGTGATCATCAAAGGACCTCCAGACAGACTTGTAATGAGAGTTGTATCCTTTGCAATGGGTACGATAGTCCTTCAGTGTTTTTATTGAAAACCTGGATGCGTAACGGCGTACAAAAATAAGGTTCACCTGGATCTGCTATAAAGCATTCCCTTTGCCTTGTGCTCATACTGGGTAATCTCTTGAGGTTTTTCGCTGTTCACCCTTGACTGTTCAAGGTGAATTTCAGGTAATGTGATATTTGCTCCTGCAACAAACTGCTCCAGGCTTTATTTTGTCAAAGGTATGGGATAAGGATTAGGATTATGATTGCAATTGGGTCTAGGGTTAGGGCTAGGATTAGGTATAGTGTAGGGTCCAGGGTTGCAGTTAAGAATTTGGTTAGAGTACGAAATTGATGTAGAGCAGTTGTTGCAGGAGCAAGTGTCATACAACTGAATTACATGTGCTTTGTGACCCAGCATGCCTCTGGAATGTATTCTGAGTGCTACATCCTCCAGGTAACCTTTGAAATTTTCACTTGGAAGTATGCTTCTCTTGTGAAATATTGCCTTGCAGCATCCTTAGAGGTGTTTTGAGAAGACCAAGGTGGTTTTGGAGGTTGACAGTACATATTGACACATTTTATACCCCTTTCAGTCAGCATCCATGCCAGGGAAAACTTACCCTTGGTATTTCCTTTTTCTGAACTTCCCAATACTTGGTAGGCCTACTACTTTTGTAGCATTAGGTGAGAATGTTTACCTGTAGGGCAGGTGAAATTAGAAAATAGTTTGTGTATAGTTGGATATAATATGAAATATGAACTCACGTTGCTTGCAGAGTACACCATCCACAATAAGGGTCTCCGTCCTCAGCCCCTCCTACTCCAATGCACTCTCCACAGGTTGAGTACTGCCCACAGTTAGCCACTGCCAATCGGTAGAGCTATTAGAAACCACAATAGAGAAGGGATATTGGGTTACTTTCACAAGTATAGGCACTCGATCCAGTCACGCTCAAGTTCAATACGGAAAAAAAGAAAACTCTCAATATTCTATATTCTTATACTAATAGTTATACATTCTTTGGACGAGCACATTTTTCAAAAATATTATAACTTTAATTTAAACTTTTTTGACTTGAAGGAGTGGTTTGACCTACATATGGAATTTGACAATTATTTGGAGTTACAAAAGAAAAAGGGGCTGAATTCCTGATGGAAATGCTTTGCATGTAGTCTGACATGTAGGCTTAATACAACAGCTACCGTCCCATTCTTTGTATAAAGTTGGTAATTTGCAAAAAAACCATCTCATAAATTTTTAGTTATTATGCATTTTATGACCGTATATACTTGTTTGCACAGTAAAGGGTAGTATACACTAAAGTGTTTATAAAATATTATTGAGCGTTTTCATCTTTATTTTCTTCAAAGAAACCTCAAAATTTTCTTCTCCAGCTGGACTTTACACTTTTATAAATGGGGCAGATGCTCCATATTCACACATAATTTTGCCTTTCCCATGAGCCAATAAACTAGAGTTGTTCACATTATGTATTCAAATTCCAAGCACACTTATGATGCATGTTTCTTGTAAAGACTCAAAAAGACACCATGGCGTGCCTGTCATCACGAGAAGTCATCTACTCTATAATGCAATCATATTTTCTTTCTTTTTTAAATCAGATCATTATCACTTCATCATATTGTCTTGTGAAATGAATTTGACGACAAATGTGAACGGTTCTTCAGTGATTTTGATAGTAGGTGAAGCGAGCCGTGCTCCTGACCACTACAATAGTACAATCCGTGTGAAGCGCTGTTTTCATTTCAATGACGCACAGGGCAAGGGCTCTTCTAAAATCACAACAGTGTATTGTCAAGATCATATCATGCTTCAATTATCCAAGGTTATTAAACTCTTTATGAAAACTCGCTGGAGAGAAAAATCACAACACCTGCCTGGTATGCAGCCATATTGTACGTTCCGGAGTCACTCACGACTATTGCGTGAATGGAGGAGTTTGATCAAATATTGTGGGTTATAATCAGATAACATTAACTAATATTGACAGTAATAGTATATAGTCATGCATATTTAATATGTCACAACAACTTCCCCTAAGGGATGATGGGTGTTAACTATTACACAAAACCGAAGCAACATTAATAATTAAAGTGGAATTCTTGTCATATGCATGCAGTACTTTTCTTTCTTGGACATGTCCTCTTTCCTTTCTCCCCCTTTTCTTTTATATGGCCTTCATTCCACTTTTATCTATGCCATTGCCTAATTGTATACAGTATCCAATAATTCTCCTATCTTGTTGTTGTTGTTCTTGGGTTTTAAGGCTGACCAATCTAAAAAGATTATTTCTGCCTATCATTTAATAGATCCCATTTATATCAACAAAACACATACAAGAAATTAACAATAAATGAGGGTGTAATTGTTCATTATTGTCATTTCCTCTTTTAAATTGTTAAGGCCAAGTACATGTTAAAATGAATCCCAGTTTCTTGATTTTTTTTTTATAATGAGGAGGGGACTTCTATTTAATGATATTTAATAATTTCCTCACATGCAATTATTACAAGGGTTCATTTCTAAAGCACATTATGTTGCTAAAATTAATTTGTCAATGCAATACAGATCGATGCTCAAAACAAATTGAAATAGCATTATGTAAATTATTTTTGTTACTGCAATGTCCAAATTTCCTCAGACTGCTCTTTACATGTATTTCATGTTAAAATCATAACACCAAAAAGGAAAGAAAACAGAGATGGGCCTCAAATGAAAGCAGGAGGAGACAAGAAACCAGCAATCAGTGTTTGCCTTTGCCTTGCAGAAGGAAGGCTTCCGTTGTATACGGCTCCTGAATGGAGATTAATTGCCTTCATTATGTCCTCGTAGGATGACACCTTGGGACTGGACAAATTAAACCTTGTCTTGTCAATAAACTGTCTGGTCATTCTTAGTCATTAGGGTTGGGCCTCCAGATGCTATATACAGTAGCTATTATCAGCACACCCAAACAATTAATGAATTGTGACTCCTATGTGGTCATCATTCGCCACATTTTTTCCCCGGCCCCCCCACTCAGTGTTATTTAGGGTACGCATATGCTCGTACCCTCTTTTTGAAAGCACCCCCTATCTGAGGACTGCCAACATTTCTGAACCCCCCTTTCGCGGGCTTTTCGCGGGCTTTTCCTGCCTTGGAGACCCCCCTAAATCAGGAAAAATGTTCAATATACCCCCCTAAATTCGGAATAATTTCTCAGGAGTCCAAAGAGATAAGAGAAAAAAGGAAAAACACCCCCTTTTTAAAGAAATCTCCGGGTGAAAAGTCAAATACACCCCTTTTTTTACAATTCTCGGGCCGGACTTTGTCGCACGAAAAGTACCCCTTTACCGGACATTTTGGCAACACGCATGCGGTCATTCCGACCTCTGAGTGGGGGGGCCGGGATTTTTTCTCAGAAGAGTCATCGCTCTCTTCAGTTTAAATGTAGACTCCAATTTGATAAGCAGAAAATGTTATAAACTACATGTATCTCTCAAAATTCTACTCAAATTAATGTGAAAGCTCCAATGACAAATACATTGTATAAACTATAAAGATTCACTAGTATAGCTGTTTAAAGAATAAAGTGCATCTATTTGCTGTTCAGTGTTGCAAAAATAATGTGGTCTACCCACAAACATTTGCAATAACCTTTATGTAAATAGGGAAATGCAATTAGAAGAGGTCTTTCTAAAGTTTCACACTCTGGTAATGAAACATCAAGGTTTGTAAACTGTAATTAACATTGTGCTCTCTAGAGATGGAAAATTGGTAATATAGAAGGCATTGCATTAGTGGTCAGTTGGATGTGAATGCATGGGGGTTGTTTTAAAGGAGAATTCCAACTTAAATTTCATATGTTTTAACAACAGCTCAGAAAAGAAAACAGATCATTGTTCAAAAGCTTGAGGAAAATCCAAAAATAAGAAATAAGTTAAGAATTTTCAAAGTTATAATCCATCAAATTTGCAACTCTTGGATTTCATTTCAAATGACTCTCTCATTTTCTGCAATAATAAAGTCATATATGTTTTTCATCTCTTTGAAGAAATATAAAATTACAACACCATTCAATATATTAAAGGAAATTGATGACAGTATGGACTTCCCTTTTAAAACAATGCAAAGTCATATAAGCTTTAAAGTTTAAACAGCAATTAAATCTGTTTAAAAAAGACTAATGGTGGATACAGTTTGTAGTGAACCATATATGCGCTACTCGATCATGGACCCTACTTCCAAGTTTAAAAAACCATGAGAAACAAAATGAGAATGTATATATATGTACAGGTAAATATAACCCTAAACCCCATCCTATAAAGTTTCTTCTAGAATCTAAATAGCTGCTTTTCAAAAGAAAATCCTTCCTTTTCAATTTATCTAAAAATAGATCAAAGACTTAGTGCAATTTCGAGGTTGCTTGGCTAAAAAAAACACTTACTGGTAAATCAAAATGAATGTTTTATAGTGAATGACTGTCAATTCCCAGCGCTCCAGTAGTGAGGATTCATTATATTCAACAATGTTTCATTCATTCGTAAATAATACATGTACTGTAACCATCACAGCAAAATGGCAATGTATTTCTGACGTCATGAAAATGGGGTCAAAATTCTCTGGATTTTTCAACCACATCAAGACAAAGTTTACACAGTTTAAAGTAAAAGAATTGTACTGAACTGGGAACAAAATGATGACATAAACTTTTATTTTCTGTACTACATGTGCATGTAAATGGACAAATTAGTGTACATTTTCAAGGAAAAAGACGGTGCTTAAATACCTGTTTATAGATTAAATGTTGAGAACTTATTCAATGGTAATAATACTAATTATACTATGATTGAGGGCTATCCAACCATTGTCATCACTGACAGTAAAAAGATTTGCAAGGGCTTTAGTAAGGAACAAGATAATTGAATCAATTCCATGATAAAACTATTGTACAAACATGGAAGATTTTGAGCCTCACTGTTACATAAATTGCAATAATGGACAACATTTTCAAACTTGATATGGTAGCTTATATAGCCAAGATTGTACACAAACTTTAAGAACTTTTACCCTAGGTACACTCATATACGTCTATGGTATACTGCAGTTAGGTCACCTTCATGAGGACCTATGGCCACATGACTCCCACTCCCAGTGTAACAGGTAGCATGATTTACATTGTAAGGTGCCCTAAAGTTCCGGATGCTGTTGGTTTGGTCTTAGAGGTGTTTCAGGTCCAGAATAAGGGCACCCTAACTCCAGTATTCTGTAAAACCACAAACCTCTGTGCGCGCATGAAAATGTGTTACTTTCATGCAACAAAACCAATGACACGCACAACACCATTTTTTTCTTTCCATGAAAATGCTCTTGTCTACAATCAAGAAAGTTTCATGTAATGAAAGCTTTCGGCTACTATAGAAGCAGTGACACACCCAACCGAGGGGTGCAATAAAGGGTGCAATAATGTGGTGACTGCATTGGTGTCACAAATCCTTGGGTGGTGGAAAGGCAGTACAAGATGACCTAGGCCGGTCAAAATTCAGAGGGCCTCAGAAATGGTTTGAAAATTAGACACAATATATAACAATTTAGGATGGTCTTAAATTCAGGCACCTCAGAACCAGCCTAAAATTTGGGTGCAGAATAAAAGGGTATTTGTCTTTGGATACGACAATCCCATGCAAACTAAAGTACTTACTGATTGTTGATTTGCAGTGAGGATACTAGTGTCTTGGTCATTGTACATATCAGGTAGGATGGGTGTAGAACCGAGCGGTACCGTCTCATACAGTCTTCCCGTTGTATTACTCATAACATGGACCTTGAATTGATAAATAAAAAACAAAAATAGACAAACGATAGAGTAAACTTTAGAGTAGGATATCTAATATTGCATTTTAAAAACATGTATAAAAATAAACAAGAAAGCAATCAGGCTTGAGTGATAAGAGAAAGAAGCTCTAAAAGAAATAAAGAGATAATAACTTAGGCACATCGTCTAACCATGCGCAACTCCAAACTGACCCGAAACTGACTCAAACTCATTTCCAAACTGACAGATTCTTGGCCAGTCAGATTAATGCACATGTTATGTTCATTTTAGTTTGTTGGTCTGATTGTAGGTCTTAATAGGGTGAATATTAAATACTATCTGTTCAGAACCAGAAGGGCAAATATATGTTAACATATGCGAGATAATGTCTTTCTAACTCCAAATAGACAATATTTAAATATGAAGCAGAAATACAGGTCCATTTCATCAAGAACATTAGGCCTAAAATTTAAAGGCATTCAAGATTTGTGTATTAATTATTTGTGTGTGTGAAAATCTTCACACGACAAAGGTCATTAGATTTCAAAACCAGTAAACCATATTCAGCAGTAAAACCCAAGCATGACCGAGCAACATCATGGCTCTAATGGACTTCCACTTTAGAAAATAAAAATTTCATGGTTCCTGCGAAAACGTGATGAAGCTGAAAACCGCTCTACTCATGAATATCAATATCCGAAGATATTCCACGCTCGCATCATCGCCATATCACTTTCCTCCCTATACAAATACCAGCAGACAAAAGGAGATGGGGAAGAGGTATGTCCAGAAGGACCGGAATATCGCAATAACTCCCAACATCTTGGATCGGTGACAGATGTCAGTCAACCTCTGACACCATGTCTGCTGAGAGTCAAAAGGGCGTTACTTCATATACTTGAACACATAATAATGTCTTTCTGACTCTAAAGAGACTATGCTCCCTACAAGATTATATATCACATACCAGTACACAAGAACGCTGTTTCTCGTACCACACATTTCAAATTACAATACGTAGAAGTAGAACACAGAATTGATCATCAGATGTATTACAGATTTGAATTTGGGAGGAATGAAACTGTAGACAATGTAAGAAAAGAAGAACCAAGAAGTTCATGATTGAGCATATAAATCTCTTTTCTTTTGGGGGGGGGGGGAGAGGTTGTATTAATTTGAATTAATTTGCTACAATTGGCGCTTTTCTTACAGAACACCTACCTATTCTTATTCATAATTCAAACTTGCTGATACAAGAGCACTAGATATATATATCATCCTTTCAAAAAACAATAAATTGAAAGAAAATCTAATTTGCTTCCATATCTATAATCAAAGCTGAAAACTGAGACTACATCGCTTATTAAATATACATTCGATCTCCCTCGAAAAATTGGATTAATGAGTCAGTTTTGCTTGATGTAATGAAGCACAAAAAACAATCCAAAGATTAACTATGTCGATGTCATCAACTAATTGCACTGGTGGCACCAATAAAAAAATATATATAAAAAATTGTTGAAGCCATGAAATACTGCTCTTCCACTACCCTCACATTTGAAACATGCTCTTTTGGAGAACTAAATCATCTAAAAGCACATAATCTGAGTAATAATTCAGAAATGACAAGCTAACAGAAAATAAAAATATGACGCAGACGCTTTCAATTTCAATTTATAAGATTAATTACCGGTACTCTCAACCCCCCACCCCTGACTTTTGCAGGCATTTAATGCCTGTGTGGCTGAGTTGTTGTAACAACAACATGACTTGTTTTGAGAAAAACTGCGCTAATTGCATTATGAAACATAAGAGAACAAGAGAAAAAAAAGTATCCATTAGATTATAAAAATGTGAAGTGGAGTATTAAAGTGTTATGACTCATTTTATATGACAAATCTTGGTTCCTCCTACTTTGTCATCCACTGTTTGTTCTTTCGGAGCATTCAATTTCAAAAGATCATCTTTATATTCACCTTTTGTTTCATTATGTTGACTCCCACCCCCCCCCCCCCCACCCCTCCCCCTCCCAATCTGAAATGTACCTATCTCTCTTCACCTGCTTCCATTTTGATCACAAGTCTAAATAAAAACAAAGACTAGCTGCATGACTGTCTGCATTTTAGACATACCCTGGTCTTTTGTTCCATGCTGGCAGATCACTAATGAAAAGGAAAGGAACAAACGTTTCAATTTCTTATTTCAAAGAATGAACCTACAAACAAATCAGACATGCTACAAGGGAGGAATATACTTTTGAAATAGTTGGCACAAATAAAGAAATCTAGTGAAATTCTGATCTGAATTGGACACCATTTACAAGCAAAATGGAAAGAATGTTTAACTACCCAAGAAGGCCATATTTCTCTAGACAAATTAATAAAACAAAACAAAATGTATAAACGGTGCAATTCTTCCTACGCATGCAACTGAAAACAAGCCAACGTAAGTGGTGCTCATTTTTTACTAGGGATTTTGCAGTCACATACCTATGGTAAACTTCCGGTCAAAACGGGCCTTACAGTATTGGACTCACACTTCACTGTTAATAGGACTAAGAATGAGAATATGTTTGCCCTAAACCTCTAATGATGTAAATTTCTTTAAAATGTAGACCTCTGGTATCTTCAAATATGTGACCCTGCTTTATATTACTGGATATTATAAAAAAAATACAGACGATATAGCGCACAATCATGGCTTGAGAAAAGAAGCCACTGTGCTGCAGCATGCCAAGTTTTCCAAGAGAATTTCTCCAAGCGCTGGCATTTGCCAATGGTGGTATACCGGTATTTTTTTAAATAATAAATATGCTTACTGCTTGTGTATTTTTCAAAATTAGTAACTATCTAGCAAGATCAAGAATGGCAAATAATGGATTATTAGCATATCGCATTATAGCAGAATACGTGTTTTAGAATCACCGGTCGTTAGTGTGTCTGCAAAATCTCTGAGGTATCAGAAACCCAATGCATTATGGGGATATATATTGCTATATGCCATATGGAGAATTCAATCATCCTCATTTATAATGCATGAATGCAATCATCATATAGTGATGCTTGGCAAATATTCTAAGTTCATAACTCAACGATTATGAACCCAAATTGGAATAATAGTCAACTTCCTTATTTAGATGAAAGATGAAAGAGGAAATCATGTGTCTGTAAAAGCCCAATTCATTAACTTGGCAAACCCAACAAGAAATTTTGGAAAATATTCAAATGGCAAACTCTCTCTATTTTCAGAGCAACATGTATGCAATAAAATTAACAAAACAACATATGAGCTTTGGTACATGACTACATGTATGCCAGAAAATAAAATTCTCACAAAAATCAACATGAAAGAAAAATACACTGAATGTACAAAATTACTAATCAATAAGCAGTGCCAGAAAGTTTTGGTTTTAACAAGTTTATTTTTAAAAAGCTTTGTAATTAGAGAGAGGGGAAAGAAAGAGAGAGAGGGAAGAGAGACAGTTGGAGAGAGAAATTAAGATTTGTATTCAAAACAAAGGAACCAAACTGTGATCTTCCGGTCCTACTATGGGATACAAGATATAAGGAGTAATTATAGATCATGAAAAGGGGTAGAAAATACTAGAAATGCTATACATGTATCAAAGAGAATATTAAGAAGTGGAAAAGTTCCAACAGTGACTGTACATTTGCCACATACCGGTACATGTAAATGAGTTTAAACTTATATCATTGAAACACCAACACAAAGGAAAACACTTTGTGGTTTCCAACTTTGTTTTCCAATTTACCAGAAACCTCAAGCTGAATGAGTTAAGGGCCCTTCTGACTAATCATTTGTAATTACTTGGTTATTTTTATAGTCTTAATAGATCTTTCTTTGCATGGTACATTTGCATAAAGTGTACAATTGTTCTCTAAATCTTACACAATATCAAATGCAAGTCTAATAATTGAATTCAATTTTCTTACTGAATAGTTCTTGATAGCAAACTTCAAGCATGGAGCTATGGTAGCATAGACTACTTAAAGTTTTACCACACCTTCAGTTACTGCAAATTATGTGTTGCATCTTGGAAATAAGAAAATGAAATACATATATATATAAAAAGATTAGGGAAGCTAGGAGAGGATGGTGACTTCTCCTTCACTTTTTCTCTTATATTGAATTGCAAATCCCACAGACCAAGACAAACAAATTGAATTTAAATGAAGTCTGTTTTACATGAATACCAACCTGCACATGCGGTTTCATGAAATTCAAGAGAAAGAAAACATCCAATACAAATCAGAGAGAAAGTCTATTGCCAGGAGAACCTCGAGATTACAACAACATCGATCTGGGGGCCCCTAGACAACTCGAGATTTCACGTTTTTCCACCCCAAGACTGCGCGCATATTTACACATGGTTGGAGCCGGCATTTGGGATGCCATATGTTGCTGCTCGAATGCAGCGGAGATGAGAAAACCACACGGGGGAAGTTCATCAAATGCAAAATGGGGTCTCGGTGGAGAGAGTCTGAATTTTCTCTCGCCTACACAATGTCAATAACAGAGAAAAGGAGTGATGGCAGAGTTTCATGTGGTAGGCAAGCATTGTTCCCGCAGGCTTCTTGATTGTATCGGGAGTTGGGAATCCTGCGGCATTTTGGCGCTACAGAAACTAAACAATACCCCACCTAACCTTAGACTAGTGCATGGTCTGTGGGTAGGAAGCGATGCTTGCAGGGAAGTCGTCGCAAGGGATGCAGCAAACCCCAAAAGATGTCCATATGCCTCTCAAATTTCACTTCTGGGAAAAAGCAACCAAATTAAGTCTACAGACAGTATCTCAAAGTCCAGAAAAGATGTGGATCCTTGAATTAAAAAGCCTCAAGATGTATCATACCCAAAGAATCAGGAAGGATTCGAGCATAATTTTATGGTTAGATCACTTTTTGCTATCAGATGAACACTTGGAACGACAAACAGGTAGCATACCTGTACCATCAATTAAATCATGCTGGATGCATATATACACAAATATCATACGGTGAATGCAAGATGAAAATATGAACCATTCAAGCACTACATGTATATAAACACTACAGAATTCACCATTCTATCTCTTTGATGAAGATCTGAAAATAAATGAACCATTTCAATACTGAATACGTTAAAATTAGACTCCTTCTCCTCCTCTTCCATTTCTTCTCATCATTTTTTTGTCCTTCTTTAATATCATTCTTCTTCTTGCTGTTCTCCTTCTCTTTCTTCTTCTAATCCTTATCCTTCCTCTTCTTCTGATCAATATCCTTCTTCTTCTACTTCATTCTTTTCAAGAGAATTAAATGTGTAGAAGCAACTTAATTATTAATGGAGGACAATTAATTTGATAACCCACTTTCATCGCTATAAATACGGCAATAATCAAAGGTTCTAAAGATAGCAGCAGCAAAATAGTCCCAATGAAGTAATACATATAAATTGGGTACTAATCTGTCGTAATTTAATCAGAGTAATTGCGTCATCAAATTTAATGCAATCATCTACTTAATGGCTGCCAGATAAAGTCAGGTATGATGGGAAAAACCTAAAAGAACATCCAGCGTTCAATTTGTTTTTTCCAACACTGATGCCTGAGCACGTATATCTATTCAATGTGCTATTATTTTTTCTAAATTGTAAATTTTCTAATTAAAATGTTTCTATATTTTTTGTTCTCTCCACAAAATATTTTAACCCTTCACCTTCCTGATAAACATTTTCAAAAATATTGTCTTATTTATGTTTATCTTAAACATTTTGCAATGATTTTTTTAAGATGAATATAAAGTGTAGAGATTTTCTAATGGTGTTTTTATTTTCATTCTTCCTTTGTCAATCCATTTGTATTCTATTACAGTACAACAAACATTAAAGCACTGTTGCGTATTTCACCAATGTCTACTTATTAATTTGTCTGTTCATTTGCTTTGTTTTTCAAAATGTTCCATTTTCACATACAGAAAAAATGTCAGTTATAAAATGTGTTTGTTTTAAGACATACAAATGGTTCTTAAATGTTTCTTAAATGTTTCTACTTGTTTCCTCTGAAAAATAAGCAATGGCCGGATACCATGCCAAATACATGTTTATCAAATATGGTGGCTGCATGCATCTGATCATATACTGGCTACTCATTCATTCATTGCATTGTTTACACATCTCACTCACCTTCAACAGGTCTCCCTCTTGGGTTCCAATGAACACCACAGTGTGATTTCTGACTACTGCCGAGACAATAGAGGTTGGGACATGGGATGACATCTCCACAGCAGCAGAGGATACGAGAGGGTGGATGCCATTGGCGTATGTAAAAGAGTATTCTTGAGAACACATGAGTCCTAGCAATATGTCGTCAGGGAGGATCTGTAATCACAATAGAGGGTGACAAAAAATGAGCAAATTTTACAGTTTCATTCCAATTTCATTCCTCTTTTTCATACATGTAGATATACATGTAATACCAGGCGCGTAGCCAGGGGGGGCGGTGGGGGCGGTCGCCCCCCAAAAAAGCCGGCCAAAAAAAAAAAGAGAGAGAAAGATAAGAAAAAAAAAAAGAGGACGTAGGAAGAAAAAGGGAAAAGGAGTCGAGAACGGTACAATGAATCGTCAAAGCTTCCGCGCTTCGCGCGGGAAGGGGGAAACTGAGTTCGAATTAAGAAATATGAGTCGGGAAAGGTACAACGAATCGTCTTCTTTCTCTAATAATTTAATGAAACATCAAAGCTTCGCGCGAGAGGGGGGGGGGAACAGAATTCAGACAAGGATTAAGAGTCGAGAAAGGTACAACGAATCGTCTTCTTTCTCTAATAATTTAATGAAACGTCAAAGCTTTGCGTGAGAGAGGGGAGGGACTGAATTCAGACAAGGATTATGAGTCGAGAAAGGTACAACGAATCGTCTTCTTTCAAAGCTTCCCTGCACCCACCTCCCTAGGGAGCGCGCTTCGCGCGCTCTTTAAGTGATTCGCGCGCTTTGCGTGCTCACTACCACCCCCCCTAAAATGAAATCCTGCATGGCTACGCGCTTGTGTAATACATATGAATCAAGACAAAAGATCAGCTTGAAAAAAACAGTCATTTATTAGTTTAGAAATGGGAAGACAGGGTAGTGTAAACATGAAATTTAAAAATTGCAATTTTGTTAATTGTATAAAATACTGTAAGTGGATCAATGACTACCCATGATAACGTAAACTAATGTCACAATGCAAGTTGACCTGGAGAGACCAATAGTATTTCTTATTACCAATGACAAATCTGTAATTAATACTTATTCATGTATATGTATTCTAGTTGATATACCGTAGCCAATTCTGTGAAAAATTTTAATATGAGCGAGAGAAATTTCTAATATGAATCTTCTAAAGTGACATACCGGTACATGTACATGTAATAAGAAAGCTAACAAATTAGTTGTTCCTTTACCAGAACTCCACCTTCGGTTTAATACATCTCAAACTAGTAGCTACATGTACTATAGATATAATTCTTATCAACCTAAATAGTATGAGACCTTTCTCACTAATTCCTAATGAATACAAACATTTAACACTCTACGTATTATTTGGTTTGACCGTGGTCAGCTATATTGGTCATATAGAGTGGCAAAAAAAGAGACAAAAAGAAGGGCATACGGGTCACCGACTAACAACAAAACCGTTTCCAATACTGCCTTGATTGTTACAAAATGAAATTTGGAGCGAAAACAAATTGGCTTAAATAATAAGTGGAAATTGAATCTCGAAAACAGCTGAATTGCAAATGGAGAAAACAGCAAATGTCAGAAAGCTGAGCCCGATGGACTAGAACATGACACTGCACGGTAATTTCCTGCAAGCTCTAAAGCAATATAGCTCAATTTGTGAGACGTTCCCTTTTCATCAATCATTGTCCAACTCACTGTACATCCACAATTGATCTGGAGAGCTCTAGGTCTGGTCAGCTTTTTATATCCATTGAATGTAATGCTTTAAAAAATGCAGAAAAATGAATCAAAAATCCATTTGCGAAAGGAGCAAAGGTGAATTTACATCATGTACATGCAGAACTCCAAACATGATGGATAAAACATCAATTACTGTCCCATCTTTTTGTGATTAATTCAGGGCTTTGTCAGGAGAAAATCTATTCTTGAAAATTGTGAGTCCATTTCCTCTACCAAAGTTAAATCTGAAGTTGACAAAATGGTTTAGGGCTTGCTTTATAGTTAAAGTATGACAAAGGTACATGGAAATGTGGTCATCCAAAATATCATATTCATATGAAATGCAGTGCGTTTAGCCAGAAATAATACATTGTAGAATATTCCTTTGAAAGCTTTGAAATAATGAAGACAATACAAGATAAAAACAATATCAACCTTATTTGTATGTCTCTTGAAATCCTTTCCTCATGATTCTTGTCATTACTAATATGTCTGAATGCCATTCATTTTTTTTAATGTAGTTTTTCATGTTTATTAGAAAAAAATAAGAAAATAATAGATTTAGCAAATAAACAGAAGTGGGTTAGCCTGCAGTTGAAATTCAATAGTTACAAGCAGAAACGATGAATCAGTTTCAGGCATTTACACTGTAGTATATTCCTGCTCCTAAATTAGACAACATAGTTAAAACTGAAACCTGAACCTGAAAACGATTTTGCTACAGATCATTAACATCAGGGAATACATATATATTTATATATAATTGTATATGCACAACATGACATGTAGCGTTGTGAGGGTAAAGTCCATGAGAGCCAGGAAACAGCGGCAGAGACTTCAGCCCCCCAACAGACCAAAAGTAAAGGTACACCTTACCTATTCCATTCACGGCCTAAGACTCATCTTATTTCAGCAGAATGGCAATTGAGCGTAAAGGATTATTAGGTCTGCTTGACTAGCCATGAATGGGAAATATTGATGGTTTTCGCAGACCACGCTACATATCATTCATTCGTTGCTATCATATTCATAAATTTATGATATTTCCATTTTCCTAAGAGCTTTCTGGACAATAATTATGCACGTGTATAAGTAATGAAAGCTTGCTGCGAAGCACAGGAGACCTACAATGTATTTTGATGTACAGGCACGAGTGCTGAATACGATAACTATGAGAGTAAATGAGAATTACCATGACAAAGAAAAGATATTAGACTTCATTTCATCCTCAGAAAAAGCTTTGAAAGTACATCTCCATTTGTATGCCAACTCCATACAGATTATTGCCACAGAGATGCAAGCAGCAGCAAGCCATCTCTTTCATCTTAGCACCAAGTATTTCTTTACATTAAATATGGGAAATTAATTCCTCTATAGTAACATGAAGTAGACAACAATGTATTTCTGTCATCTAAATCTACATGTGCATGTAGGTGATAGTTCAATTTACAAACAAGCAGTTTACTAGTATGTCCAAACTTTGAACAAAGTAATTTGAAAAACAGTATTGCCAATGAAAAGAGAGTACATGTACAGGGCTGTAGGCCTGATTAAAAGTAGGAATCTCTCTCTCTCTCTCTCTCTCTCTCTCTCTCTCTCTCTCTCTCTCTCTCTCTCTCTTTCCCTCACTCTATATCTTTGCTTATCCTATGTATCTATCCATAAAGATCTATCTTTATTTAGTATATATGTCTCTTTTGCTCTCCCAACTTGACGAACATGACGAACATGACAGACTTGAAGCGTTTCTATCTGTGACAGGACGTCTGCACATGCATCCAGGGAACTATTTCTAGAGATCAGTTTCAGATGGTCAATCAAAACAACATCAACTACTTTTAATTAAATCCAGCATCTGTCAGGTGTATTGCTTCTGATACTGACTTTATAGTTTGGGGTGACTTCTGATCTGTTATTCCAATTGCAATGAATCCCTGTGCATTTGAAGACAATCCACAAGCATGCACATTTGGATACCTCAATCTACAGAAGGCCTTTTCTTTTTGGAGCAACTCCTTCCTTTTTCACATATCATAAGACAGTTGTGTTTGCAGGGGTGATAGTGAGCACTAAAAAAAAAAACTCCCCCCCCCCCCCCCCCCTCAACCATGCCCCTTTGAGTAAAAAAAGAAGAAGAGGGTTCTGGGGAAAAAATGGCATCTAACAACATTCCCCCCTTTTAAAAAAAATAGTGAAGAATAGAGAAAAAATGGGGAAAAATCAGCAAAATAGGGATAAAATCGGGAAGAAAAAAAAATCAGGTAAAAAAAAAAAAAAATTGGGAGAAAAAAAAATTGGGAAACCGATTTAAATTGGGTAATTATCAGGTCTGTGTTTGACAGTACAATTATTGCAATTATTTCCACTGGATTTTGTATCCATATGGCCCCATTTAATCCAGTAAGATTTATGGATTCAATAAAACCCAACAGTTATTGGGCAATTTGTCAAGTTTCGATTTGACTCTCTCTGGAAATCTTTCAGCAAACGCTTCAATGAAAGAATTCAAGGAATCAGACAAAGATATTGAATTAACATGAATTGGCCAGAAATGTTTAAATTCTATATATTTTTACGTAGTGTATTAAATGTTAAAACTTCTCAATTTCTAGGGATTAAATTTTTTAAAACATTAACATTGCAGTTATTCTGCAACAAAAGACTGTATACCGTAAGTATTTTCATTCACTATTATTTTTGTTGGTTTTGCTCAATAAGAAATTAGTGTATTGTATATTTTTTTAATTCAATTTCAGAGACAGATCTTGCAGTCCATCTTCAGTTAAATAACATTTCACTATAGCAAATAAGCTTTCTTCTAGAAAACTAGGCAGTGTATGATAACTCTATTGTGAGATGATAATTAACAAAATTTCAATTTATGTTAATATCATGAGATTTTGGACAGCTAAATGGTGGTTTTGGACATGTCTTGATAGAGAAGTCAATATAGAATCAAGATTGACTGGTTGTCATCGTGTGAACGTCATAATGAACCTAGAGATTATACACTCAACATCTTAGACAAGCTAGAAGTCAGGACGACACCAATATTGCATCCACGGTACCAAAGTTTAATACACGGAATGAGAGATCGAGAGAGAGTGAGGTAGAGACAGAGAGAAAGTGAGAGAGAGAGGGGGAGAGAGAAAGAGGAAGAAAGAGAGAAAGGGGAATAGAGAGGGAGTAAGAGAGAGAGAGAGAGAAGGAGATAGAGAGACAGATAAAGAGAGAGGGAGGAAGATAGAGATTATCGAGAGAATGAAAAGAGTGGAATTAATGATGTGACGCATTGTACAGCAAACATCTCCTCGGCGGATTTTTTTATTCCTCTAGAAAAGAGAAGAAAGGATGAGCAATCTTTGCATATATGTCGTAGACTCGTAGTCATCTTCATGCTTCCAATTCGTGCATGTGGTAATTGCATTTCCACCTCCAGTACACTTTAAGGTAAGGATGCAAAGTACATATCCTTGCATATACCTGGTATAGGTCTACATATATATTTATATACATTAATACATGGGCAAGTCAAAGGTATTCGGTCATTTGATACCAGGAACAATGATATGTGAACCAGAATTAACTTAAAGATGAAGTTGAGTTCTGGTCATGCGATTGCATTGTGAAAGAAACGGTGTGGAACCGACCAGAAAAGTTTGATCATCTAGCATATAAGAATTTGTGTGTATTGCAAGGTTCTGGAATCATCAAAATGATAAGAAGTGTGGCCAAGTCTTGGTAAAGTTACAAACACTTGCACAGAAAGATGTATATGGGACTACACGAACACGAGGCGTAAAAAGCCGGCCCCCGATTTTTACGATGTTACATGCATATTTAGAATATGAAGGCATTTGAAGAGCCATGCTTTTCAGGGAACATTGCTTAACTGACGTTCTTCCACACTTGCATACTAAGAATGAGTAATGCTCACAAATTATTTTTCACCTCTTCCCAGAACTCAACCTTCTCTTTAAGAAATGTACATGTAACATGGCTACAGTATAAAGTAATATATTAATCGGGTTTGCTGAATTCTACAAGATAAAACACATTGGGGCTTTCCCCAATGAACTGTGACATACATGTATAACAAACAAAACTAATAACATTCAATATCACCGCATTTTAATCGCAGTGCTAATAAATTGTCTTTAGAAAAAAGTTATCTGGCCATAAAATTGAGATGACCGGGTGATATTTCTTGTCAGTTTGTGAAGAAAACCCAATAAAAGAAGTACAAGGCTTGACACTAACAGGCGCCTGGGACACATGGGCACCTCAAATGTAAGTCCAGACTCTCAATATTTTTTGAAATTTTTAAATAGGGCTCATGCATAAAGAGTCTGGAGTCCACTCTGGACCCCCTTCCAAATAGCTAGGTGTGAAGCCCTGGAGAAATGTCCTACAAAAGTAACGTAACCAATTTGTCAATTTGTGATTCACAAATTATTAAACTCATCTATCAAATATTCACAAAGTTCCTCATTCTTTATCTACATGTAATTTGTTCAACTTTCCCCTATTCATGTGTCTGATTTTCTGCTCTCATCCAACATAACATAACTAAGGTAACTAAAATGTTGGATACAATTGGAATACAATGAAAAGCCTACAGTTTCAAGCAAAAGGTGTACCTACCAATTCGTCACAAGTAGCATCATAAAGGTATGAAAGACGAGCGTCCTGTGTCCCACTTAGACAATCCTTAACCGCCTGCAGGAAGGCAGCTTCAACATCTGCCATGCTATACATGCACAGGGCTGCATTGCTGCTCACAGAATCAGATTCAGAGAAGGCCGCATACAAGATGCTGTCTGGGCCAGAACCGATGGACATCTGCAGGGCAGAGCCAGCTTTTCCGACGCGAGCTGCCTGCACCAAGGTGTAAGATGTACCTGGTCGTTTCCTACTGTCACACCTTAAGGTGATCTCTGAGTAGTATTCCATCCTGGCTGTTTCACAAACTCTCCCTAGTTTGACATTTCCAACCTGGTTCATGACAAAATACACAAAGCCATTGTGGGTGAAGGTTTCCTTGTAAGAGATGGGGAAACTGTTCACTGCAACATTCAAAGCATAGTGGTTAAGCTCATCTGCCTGGTCAAAGCTATCTGAAACAGTCCATCGTATGATAGGATGTGTAAACGAGGTGGCTTCCGCGCTTAGTGTGTTTGCCACATAGAACTTCTCCACAAGGTTACCTCCTTGTGCCACTTCTGTGATGACCCCAGCTGCTGTGAGTTCTGCTGATTCCCCAGGAACCATTATACTACTGCTGTGTACCACTTGCTCAATATCAGACAAGTCTCTGACTTCACACTTTCCCTCTGCACTCGTACAAATGATTAAGCTTTCGGCATCTCCTTGAGAAATGGCAAGAATCTTGGTGATGTCGTCGCAATTGTCATCTTCAGCACAACTTGAGGTACCAGTGCCTTCAAGGTTCTGTAAGTCAGAACCGAGTCTAAACAGAAACTTCTCTGCAGCAACATAAATGCTTCCTGTCCTATTGTGCACTACAAAACGATTCAAAGTAACATCTTGACTTGGCGGTGTGAATGATGACAGGTTGTAGGAGTTTAGTACTGCAGCTGCTAGTGTGGTTCTGACGATGAGGGTCATGGCTAGGAGTGAGAGGTATATTGCCGTGCTGAGATGATGAGGGTTTCTCAGAGATGTCTGGAGTAGGGATGGCATCTTGCTCTGGAAGATGCTCATCTTGAATTTTATCCCTAGAAAAGAAGAAAAAACACAACATAAATTAATTATTTAAAAAAAAATAATATTGCATCACTATTGCCTCAGTACTATTATTACTAACCTCACATATCAAATTGCAAAGAAAACTACTTGAAGTTAAAAATACAATACATACATGTATATACAGCCAGAAAAATATAAATAATTCAATATACATGTACAAGAATTATAAACCTGAATTATTCTAGTTATTCTTCAATTACATTCATATGCACACACTCTGTATATAAGCATACCATACTGCACACCTGGCTACTGTCAGTACCTCTAGTTTCAATTGAAAAGTCAGACTTGCGGTGTACTTGCACCATGGACCTATACTACGAAGTAGTAGCTCTATGGCTGCAAACAGAAGCTGAAACAACTTCATGTACCAGCAGGCCTATACATTGTCTTCTACATGTACCTCAGAGCAGATCCAGCCTGCAAAATACATTTCACACTTAGTTCGTAAGAGCTAGGCTACATATTTATTGGGGGGGGGGGGGGGCTGAAAATGTGTGTTTTTCTTCCACTATCAGCCTTTATATTCTTATACATATTGTATAGACTTTGTTTCCAGCTGGAATTCAAAAATATATGAAATCCACTTGCACGGCAGCACCCCATGACATCACAAAATATTTGCCAAATATGGCAGTGAACTTGATGGTGCTTCCTTCAGAGGCAGCTCAGTGCTGCCCTGTCATTACCGAGATCAAGTTGAACAACCCCCTACGGGTAACCGGTTTGGTCAATTCCAGGTCAATGACAGGTCACAGGAGGAATGCAAACTGACGGTCTGGCTAGAGGCCTAGGAGAAAATGGAGGTGCATGTTCCTACTAGCCCGACCAAGCTTGAGCCTTAGATATTATTAGACCAATAATCAATGCTTCTTGAGAAAAATTGGAGTTTGGAGTGTTTGGTATTCATAAGCCCAAGTGAAGCGATCAAAGCTTACTTGAGGAATAAGCTTGTGCTTCAGAGCTTATAAATATGTACTTTCAAACCAGTTACGTGTAAAACATGAAGTTGTCATGATTATAAACTACAGCCATCTCTACGGCAAGAAACTTTTGAAAAGTACAAACATATAGGGTCGCGTCAATTGTGAATCAATCATTTCATGGCATGAAACTTTCAAAATTCTAAACTACTCACAAGATTAAATGCATTCAAATTTTCTTGTTTTACAGTATGTGTGAGTGCATCTTCATCATTGAATTAGCCCACTGAATGACCAAGAAAGCTTGCTATTTCACAAACAAGCCCAAGTTTGCTTCCAGGGCTAATATCCAAGCTACATGTACATGTAATATCTCCAGCACAAGGGTATAATAGCACACCATTTGCCTCAATCTTCACTGTGAATGAGCTCAATCTAGGCGTGACTGGGCCTCTAATTCACTTGATCAGAAATAGCAGACCAAATCTGGCTAATGGAAACAGGCCTTAACAGAGACAGTAAATAAGTCCCTTTACAATCATCATCTCTCTCTCTCTCTTGTTGTCATGAGTGATCGGAAGACATTATGATGACAATCAGCAGCCAAGCAAGAAGGTAATGATGCATAGAATTCAATCTTCTATCTCTAATATACTATCATTAATCCTTCCATAATTAGGGGCCTTTAAGAGAGAGAAAATAAGATTGCAACCCCAACAAATCATACTTTAATCTGCTTGGCAAAAGTATAATTGAATATAGAGTATTTATTTTCATACAGGAACTATGGTACAAAATCATAGCCGTACATGTATGCTGTTGAAAACTTTAGGGATTTTCATCAAAAAATATAATCTATAAAAAAAAGGGGGAAAGGGGTAGCTTTTTCAAGCTTTTAATTTTAAGTTTTTACTCACTTTCCTGGTCTATTTTATTTGAGGTGATAAAGATATGAATCTAATATAATATGTTAAAAGGATTATTAAAATTCATAATCAAAATCAGTGACAGAATTTCTCTTTAAGGGGAGGGTGGTAAAGTGGGTCCTAATGGAGAAGAAAAGGGTCTGTACATCAAGTGTCTTTTTAAACCAAAGATTATGCCCAAAAGAGAGAAGCACACAAATGACACAATCACAATTTTTAGCACGCTCTGGACATGTTAGATTTCCGGTAGCTACATTGTATTTTCAGGGGGTAAGGTGCCCCGGTGCAACTCCCACCTCTTCCGGACCCATCACTGAAATTTACTACAAAAGAACAATAAGTTGACTACATCATGGATGATCTCATAATCTCGTGAACTAGATACATATACCGTAACACTTAAAAAGTGGTCTTCATCATTTTCAGCCTGACACAGGCCTGCATGGGTACAAAGTCTCTATTTATCTGAAATATCTCAACAGCGTTTGGGAAACCGAAACAAATTATCTGCAACCAGTGAAATAGGGTTGAGCTTTAGGGGGTTGGAAAGCTTGGAGGGGCTAGTGAAGTGTAAAATTCTCCACTTTCATGCGACCTGTACAGCATGTAAAATGAATCTTGGTAGAAAAAGAGATGAAAATTTGTTTAATAACACCTGATGAGAAGGCAAGACAGTAACTAATACAAAAGAAGAAATAAGAAGGAACATTGATGACCAAAGATAAAATCACTCTTCATATACAGAGATAGAAAAGGAAACAAGAAGACAGGGGAGGTAGGGAGATGAATAGAAAAAAGAAAGAAAAAGGATACATGGAGAGAGAGAGAGAAAGAGGGATGGGGGATAGGGAGGTGAAGAGAGAAGAAAGACAACGCAAAAAGAAAAAAGGAATTGTCAATGTTTAATCCCCCTTTCTGAGGCTTTCATTTCTTTATAGCTTTGTCAGCAAATAATTATATGTTTGTATTGAAATCACAGCATGAGAAAATCCTCATCCTTGCAAAACAAGATTATGATGTTTGAAGTGGTTCCGAATTGTATGGATTCTTTTAGCTGTAAAAGTTTTGATTAGTAATTCTAACTACATGTACTTTAAATTATTTAACATCAGACAGATTGATATTGTAGAGTTCTAGAGTCTAGACTTCTAGTCAAACTTCTATTACATTACATTTTCCTCCCTTATCATAAACTGAAGACACAATTTGTCAAATAAAGTTGAGTGAAGTTTGTTCAAACCTTCACGTAAAACGTGACAAAAGCTGGCTTGAATAAATGCAGAAATATAGGAAAAGCATATCAATAAAGAATTAAGAAAAGTTATAAAGTTTTTAAAGTTGTGATTAATCAAACACAAACTGGCAACTAAGTGATTAACTTTGTGAGCACCTCAAGTTGATGCATGCTTTTTAAGAGGGAATGCATTAAGTTGATTATGTATCAGTCCTCAGTATTCATGACTGACCTGTTCAAAATTCTCATGTTTTGGAGTCGTATTCTCTTGTTTTTTTGCAGAGACAATCTCTTTAATTGAACAGGAAGTTTGTAAATCCATTCGCCAACGGTTACATGTAGATACCAACCATGAACGTTGGTCCTGCAAATTTGCCAAACCAATTTTTATCTATGCCAAACATGCCCCGTTTCCTGGCCAAGGTTGGGCCCGATGAGCACCTTTTCCTGGTCAAATTTAAAAAACAATCACAAATGTGGCTTTGCTGACAAAAGTGTAACAAAAATGCCAATGAGTGATGCGCCTGGTAAACATTAAAATGGATGATGACTACTCCACACGCCATTGAGAGAGAGCAGGAGGGAAACATTGTGTATTCAAATATTCTTGTCCTGCCAGTTGTGATCAAATATGAGAATGAAATATTCTTTAAGGCTTATCTGGAGTAATTCTGCTAATAAAATCATATTTTCAGGGAAAACGTCTCAAAAGGGCCATTTACACTATCATCCAAGCACGCAAAGAAATGCCAAACCGGAGCCTGACCGTGATGTTTCATTGATGTTACCAAGGCAACTACGCTTTATCGGCAAAAATGCCAAGCCCGAAACATTCCAAACATTACCAACCAAAACACGCCAAAACATAACTGAGCTTTTCAGTCGGTGATGTTTCCGCACATGTGTAAACGGGTGCGTGAAACATCACAGTTTTTAGAAATGAGGTATTTGACAGTATAAATGCGCCTTAAGTAATTACATGTATGAATAATGTAACCAGCAGTAAATGGGTTGTTTCGACCACAAACAAGATAAACAAGGTAATGAAAACTGTAATGATCACTTGCTGGAAATAACATTCCCTGAAAAGCACAGATAATATTTCCACCCAGATTATCACATGCTCTGCACATCTGTCGGAATGACTAAATTTGAAGCCCAACCTTCTGATGTTTTTGTTGCTCCAATATTCTACATCTACAAATACCTAAATCATTAGGCAAATAATACTTGATTACAGTTTTGAACATTTTGTGTGAGTTCCATTTTACTTTACAAGAAGTTACTCATGATAACCTTCAAGCTTGCATTAAATATCAAACGTAATAAAGTAAACATGGAAATTAGGTCTGTGTTTTAGAGAGCATGCCCCAAGTATTGTACCTTGATCTCATAAAAGAGCTAAAAGTAGATAAGATATGAATGTTTGGCTATCAATGAATGAAAGGTTGAACAAAATCCACCATCAAGTATGCAATCATGTGACACATGGTTCATGAGATTAAAGTGCGGGTTCATAGAAAATCACAAATATGGCAAATATCGTATTACTAGAAACTGGTATGCTAACAGATGGCCATCATGCAAGTTTTAGGTCAACTACAATATCGGGTGATTTATAAAAATACAAATAAAACAACCTCCATAGCATCTGGGATATGCGAGAGATTCGCCGGAAAATAACGATGTTTTAATGCCGTCACAATATGAACCAACCCTGCCCAAGCAGACGACATCCCATAAAGAATGAACATAATTGCAATGCTTTTATTTCTCAAAATATAATGAGTTTAGTGTATATAAATGTGATGGATTTTTACACCATTCAAAAAGAGATATGACCCCCATTCTGATACCTAAATTCTTTTGTTTGTAAATACAGAGGATAGGGGTTAATGAACAATCAAAGAAACCACACTTTTAAATTAAAAAACCTCCGGAATGATAGCATGGACGTCATTTGTTCCCTCTTGAAACGCTGAACATGCCGCGGTGTATGCAGCTGAAAATACAATGGCGTCTTATTTGGTTTACAAGCGACGGATTCCCTTTTTTTGTTAATCCTTGCATTTTTCATCAAAATAATACCATGCACGGGGTTTAGAGTGAGGCAATAGATTAAACATTTCGCCTGAGGGAATTGAAGTAAGAGAAATTACTGAAGAAAAGATGACAAAACAGGCACTGAAATTGTGTGAGATGTCATGGGACATCGTCTGCTTGTGCACATCATGTTCAACATGTGACGTCATATCTCAGCAGCGACCGGAGAGCTTTTCAGGTGCTATGTCGGGGCTGTATCTAAGCGTTTCGTAATTGTTAATAATCATTACTTCTAATGTTTCCAAGCATTCGCTTTTGATAACCTTGGCCAATCAAAGTGTCACCTTTGCAATAATGACATTAAAGTTAGTTTTTTAAATCAATGAACCTTCTCTTTAACAATCATCCGATACACAGTCATGATGACCTTTAGAACTCACAAATTAGGCACTCCAGTTTATTATAAAGACATGGCATAAATTATCCATTCTACACAATCTTTCCACTCTCCATGAATTCATTCATAAACAAATATTTTTCTGTTTCTGTTTTTCTCCTACGCATTTTCTCCCTTCAGGCATCATTACAGGTCCCCTAAATTTGAAAGAAGGACATTTTAGTTATTTTGTGTGTTGGAACAAATGGAAAAGTCGTCCACCACAAAATAACAGTGACATTATCGATTCATCCAATTTAAAGAGCCTATACATATAGTGATCACAACTTTCAACGATTCATAACTATTTTTGTCCGATTTCATTCAAACTGTCACCAGTCTACTTCTCTGATTTTGTCTACTTCCCTCTGGACTAGTTTACTATAAAGGTTAGACTTCCCTTTAACTGTGGTGTATAACATACAGTCAGGCTTGTAGTTTGACAACAACACAATCACAGAAAAATAAAGTAGGATACAGAAAGTAAATGATTGGTATAAAGAGAGGCTACACACATGATACACTATAAATATACACTTTTAACTTTGCAGCTTACAGGTGTAAATCCAGCCGGCCTGCATGTGATAAAGAAATAGGTCTTGAGCCAATGCACACTTGCTCTAAGGCTTTCGTTTCATTAAAGAAAAAGAAACAAACTTCTAGGGCTGTAAATCCTGGTACAAAATGCAAAAACTTCAACTACTTACAAAGAAGGGGACAAATCTGATACCTCATTGAGCTTCTCTCTTTGTGAACAAAGCGGATTTATTCCAACAGACATTACTTCTTTCAGCATATGGGCAAATAGGGGGAGGAGAGAGATAAAGAAGAGGGGTATTTCTTTTGGTGAGATGTTGAACAGGTAAGAGAAGAGAACAGTTTTCCTTATTGACTGAAGTCTTACAAAGGATCTCACGGCTGAGTTCCCTCTTGGCCTGTCTAATGAGTAATGGGTAATGCTCTATTTCATCCCACCAAGCCAAGATTAAGAAGCTAAAGATCACTTTCCCTTTAACCCCCCCCCCCCTCTCTCTCTCTCTCTCTCTCTCTCTCTCTCTCTCTCTCTCTCTCTCTCTCTCATTCATTTACTTTATGATAACTAACAATGTTTCCCTTTCTAAAAATACAAGTAGCCCCTTTTTCATGAGTTACTGAAAGTGGTCAAGCTAAATGTATAGGTAGATATAAAGGCTACAACAAGACCGAACTCTTGTAAAAAGGGATTTATAGGTCTTATCTATGAAACGCTGATCGATGATGAAGACAACAACATTGTCTCCTAAAATGCCAGCATTAGGCAAAGTGTTTTGCAAGAAGTGAGCCTACAAGACTGCACATATGTATAGGTACATCTAGCAAACTGATGCTATCTTGAATTACGATGGCCTTCACCTTGGAAGTCCAAAATAGAGCAGGTTTACAGGAAAGCATTCATTAGAGTTAAGCCAATGAATACCTTACCCAGGGTCATCTGATTACCCCACTGGATGCATTCAAGCAACAGTCTTTAATCGCTAGGGATACATCTATACAGTCAATGTACAATGATAAAGTCTCATTTGTTGTACAGAATATATCTGTAGTAGATCAATCAGACTTGTTGGAAACAAGTTCAATGACTCTTTTTTTTTTTTCTTCTTCCGAATAGTTTCATTAACATGATGGAAATGCTTACCAACATAAACGTATCATTACCATGTATATAAAATAGCAGCAGCAAGATGCTCATCTCAAACATTGATGATGCATAATAAGGTAATTTAACATGAACATTTAAAGGGAAATTTAGCCTTCATAGAAATTTGAGTTATAGTAGAAGAGATATTATCATGAAAACAGGTTTTTGAATGAAGTGTACAGTACAATATGTGTGATATCATACAGGGAGATCTCTCCTATCTCCGTTCTGTACCCCATTTTACTCAAATTATCTAACATAACATTAAAGTGGTAAAAACCACCCCTGAAAGCAACTTCCCATTACTAGTTAATTCCCCTTTTAACACAGTGCAGGAGACCTCATTATTATTTAGCCCCATATTGGCTTCATCTGGATTTACCTCAAGCCTTGGATTCAACAGTTTAATTAAAACACATTGGCAAAGTAAGTAGAGCAAGCTACACTGCACTGAACAAAATAATTTAATCTACAGGCCTACCACTATTTTTGAACTAACACAATCTGATTAAAGTGATTAGACTGGGTAATTGAATCCCCGTGTCTGTATTTTGTCTAGTTTCCTGTCATTTAAATCAAACGAGCCCATTTTGCATTCTCGTTGCACATCCTTGAGTTGGGGGGAACATGAATTCATAATGAGCATCACACACAACCCGACTCTCAATCAAGCATGCTCTACATAACTCAAAGACAAACTCATTTTGTCTTTATTATGCAGCGGATGCTAAACATTATTCATATTTCAAAAATGATGAATTTCAAAGTCCTCAGAAAGGCCAGGGTGTTCACTCAACATTAATGTGGGAGTGCAAGCTTGTTCTTAAATCCCAAGGAAATTATATAGCACACACAATAACCTAAATTTAGGGGAACATTTTTTGTGACAAGATCTATAATTGGCCTATATCCAAACTCAGTGTTATTTTTCTAATACACCAAATCTGGGATATCAAAACTTGGGGTTTCTTTCGTAAACCAGATCACTGTGCCTCCTAAATGAACCCTCCTTGAAATGACAAAATATGGTCACTTGATGATGAGCATTTTGAAAATACTTATTGTTTTACCATCTAAATTGTCTTTGTTTTCATGTCCTTCCGAAGGGTCTCTCTCCCTCTCCTTCTCCCCCTCCCCCTCCCTCTCCCTCTCCCTCTCCCTCTCCCTCTCCCTCTCCCTCTCCCTCTCCCTCTCCCTCTCTCCCTCTCTCTCTCTCCCTCTCTCTATATGTTTTCTATCTTTCCATTTCACTCTCTATATGATACAAACTCTACATGTAAAATACATTTTGAAGAACATAACCATGAGAAACTCAACCTTTTCTTTCATTTTAGCAACTTAATATAACAACTATATATTGAAAATGCAAAAAAACAAAAAACAAAGGTTGAGTGATGATTGATGAGCAATCTCAAACAAAACATTTCCATTGGTCTATTACGGAAAGTAGGGATAAATATTTATCATCCACAAAAAAGAACTTTCATCAAAGTTCAAACCTCCACGTCCACCTACACTAAAGATCCTGATATTACATTCACAGTTAAAAAAAATATATAGGCCCCCATCATTCTGGAATAGAAAATGCCTTTTTTCATTTTATATACAAATTTAATAAATGATAAAGACTGTATTTATCAAAGTTTCCCATACAAAATTCATCTGCATGTGATGCAAGTTACTTGGCCTTGGCATGCATGCATAAATACCACCTCCTACTTTTTATTTGACCCCTAGTTTATCCATGGCAAAGAAGTCTGAAAACCCTGAAAGTGGAAGATAAATATAATTATCTGGGGGTTGAGAAAAGGCCATAGTAAGTAAACAACCTTCGAGCCATGGCACGACTCACTTCTAGTTCTGCTATATTCTAGCTAAAATTAGGAGTTATCATTGTACACGCTCGAGAGGTTGTTGTGTGCCGGGAAGTTTGCGGCACGGTGCACCCCATCGAAACCTCACAACACGTACGTACACCATAGAACTCGATGGTGGTGGATGAGAGAATATCTGAAAACTTGAAATAGTCTTACCTTGTAATCAATGCGTGTTTCAATCCAAGCACTGTTGCTTTTCTTGATCTGGATAGTATTATTAGCTAGTGTTGTCTCTGGCGGCTGTGACGGTTTCCAATGTTGAGTTATTTAATCACAAGAACTTTATCTCCCAAATGAACCAGTAGTGGTATACATTACTGCCAGCCGGCTATTATTGTTGATTCGATGCCTCTATTGTATTGTACGCATCTGCTCTCTCGCACGAAACGTGAGTAGTGATGAAAATATGCTACACATGCACATGCGATTGGTGTGGGTGCACAACTGGTATTTTGGTACTACCGGAGCTCCTCGCGATATACACACACTTCCACACAAAGTCGATATTATGTGGGCGCGGCTTGACTGTTCCATTTTCTTCGGGAGACAAAAACTTGCACTCTCAATACCTCAACGTTGCTTTAGTATCACTTTGCTTTCAGTCACTTTATTTGAAAAATTGTGCATTTTGAGAGGATTTTATGATAGTAGCGCCCCATAAACTTTCAAAGGTTGACACAAGGAAAGTCGTTATTCTTTCGTTTTTCAAGTTTTACCTGAAGGAGTAATTAACCCTAGCTTGTTAGTTGACGTTTCCAAAACTTTTCTTTAGAGTATGACTAAGTACTGATTGAGCAATACGTAATTTTCATTGATTGATAAGTACAGTGAAAATGATTCATGTCATCATTAGTGGGCGTGGCAGTGTTAACTTTTGGAGTTTTCGCTCTGTTTTGAGAGGGGGGGGGGTACTTCACAGTATTTGTAAATGTTTATTTCTTCTTCTTTTTTTAAAGAAGTATAAGTTGGCCGTAATAATGAGGTTATAGGTGCTTCACTGTGTACTTTGGCGGCAACAGTTACGAAGAAGAATTATGGCTGTGTTGCTAAAGATGGTGTGGGGTGTGACAGTGACCCCTTTCCCCTCCCCCACCGCACCCAATTCATACTTATCACGTCGGCTAATTATTTAGACACGTTCAACCTTGATAATACATTATCATTCTTGTGAAATAAGCTGACATGTCAAATAAAATTAAATGCGAACATACAAGTATCAACAAGTTTAAATGGCTGGAACGATGGTTCACTAGTCTTGTTTTGTCATTGTGAAATTAGAAAACCATCTGGCATTATAATTATATTGGAAAAGGTTCACTTAAGTTGTGAACCCTGATTTTGTTTTTAATGATTGCATGAATTGTTTGCAGTCTCCCTGGCAGGTTTTATATTATTTATTCATGTAATTTCAAATATATTTACGTATTGTGTATGTATACTAAACTTAACTTTTATTTAGATTTTAAGAAAGAGAAAAAAACTCTGAAATCGTATGTGTAACTCTATAGCATTTTTAAAAACATCAATGCCAGTTTTCGTCAGTCATAACCTTCACGGTACTTTTTAAATCCACCACACCATACTCACCTTTTTATGATACGGCATGTTTTATCTGTATTTTTTTTGATATAATCTTTTCTTGATGAGATTCTGGAGTTTTTGTTTCCTTCGATTCTATTGTCATTTATAATTCTACTATGACTTTAAATACCAGTTGCTCTATATAATCATATATATAGATATAATACTACAACTTGACTATATTGGTATTATTATTGATAGCTAATCATGGGCTCTATGTAATGCTTGATAGCAAATCAACCACAAAGCCAAATAACAACGGTTTCTCTCAAAATTGCAATAATGTAGATTTATATTACTTTTTTAGCATTTTCATTAACATTGCTATTTGAATCATTAACTACCAAAAATCTATATACGCAAGCGTCTAGGTGTGAAGCGAGTGTTTTAGTCGTTTTATTTTGGTTAGAATTAAATATTCAAAGACGCAAAGGGGGTTTAACAAACACTGCTTTATTCGTCTCAATCACCACCCCCTCGGCCTTTTAACGCATTGTATGTATAATTATGTCCCTTGTCAGATTTCTGTCTTTCTTTCTATGAATTCACGCATATCTCGTTTCTCACCCTCTCCTGCAAAGCTTCATGCACGATGCAAATCGCTCTGTGCTGTTTGAGTCTCTCCGTTCTGCTCCGTCTGCATGCAGTATAAGATGAATTGAAAACTGGAGGGCCTCCTTATAAGAGCACAAAGGATGCGGTAAGAAGAGTTATTGGGCGGTTTGGCGTTTTCGTCAATATTCTGTTCACTTGTTCATTAGCACTGAAACGTGTCTCGCAAACATCTCAAGGGACTAGACAAGCTCATGAGAGCGAGTGAAAGAGAGAGAAAGAGAGGGGGAGGGAGTTGAAGTTCTGTGTTTGGCCCCTGTTTGGCCGCTCTGGCACACTCCATCATTCACGTTGCACGTGGCGACATCTGGCGCCACGCGATTTTTTTTTCTTTCTTGGTGATTGAAGTTATTTGTTTTTCCGTCAGACACTGTGTAAGCTTGCGAATATATAACCAGGAAGGTGATACATTGATGGATAAGATTTGTGCAACCCCGCAAAAAAGGGGGAAATAGGCGAGAAAAAGAATGCCAGCATAACCATCATTGGAAGATGGAAAGATGAATAAGCCAGCCCACGGAGGGACATGGATAGCTAACAAAATCAACATCAATTCACGATATATCGCACAGGGACTTGCGGTAATCAGGGGTAGATGGCGAAACCATGGTGAAAAGAACGAACAAGATGATGAATAGAAGGGTGGAATCGAGTTTTGCTGATTAGTTTCTGCAAAGAGAGCGGGGAAAATAATGAATATACCTTGGGGAATCTGCACAGAGAAATCAAATGGGCATGGTCTATTGCTTCAAACCGCTTTTTCCTCCAAAGGCTCTGCATGGCGACACTATTGTACACTTGGGATGTCATTCGAAACCTTGTAATGGCATATAGAATCCCTTTAATGGGTCACAACCGAATCTGAAAACATTGGTAGGGATTAGAGACAGATCCAGGGATGCTTCACAGTGCTCGCGATGCATGGATAACTTTCCAGGAGTTTGCATGCATGCCCCATTCACTAAAGAGTGATATAATGCATTTCAGCACTAATCCGGCAATAACAAAAATTGTATTTGATATACGACAGTGTATGGCCGGATTAAGAAAAAAGACGACTTTCTATATAATTACCCGTAGGCCTACATAATTTTTTTTTATAGGAGTTCCGCTCTTGATCTTGAATTATGAGTTTATAATGTCAATCATAATGTAAAATATGGTATCGAGTCTGTCCTACAATCTGCACATATTATTTGGAAGTTCGAAGTTCGTAATTCTCAATTTGAACACCCCCCCCCCCTCCAGCAAAGGGCAATTTATCAACATCAATGTCATTGGTTTATAAAGACCTACATTATGCGAGGGAACAGCGAAACTTGCTTATACAGTGCATTTTACTAAATTACCAATGTGCCTTTGCCTTTTAAAATTATTTGCCAATTATTATTTATTTTGTCTTGCTTCGTATTTCTAAAATTTCCTGGGGCAATGTGCCCCTCCCTCCCATCGCCGATCGCCATCATTGAATTTGGGTTTCATTTTTAAAATATTTTTAAAGTGTCGCATAGACCTAAACATTTTGGTATGACAAGATTTATTGTGAAATTGTCCCCGGGGTTTGATAATGAGCTCTCCATCAAACTCGCCCATTGGTAATGTCCAACCGGATTCTTAAGTGGGCAAAATGACTAAATAAAGTCATTCTGAATCAGTAAATCCTGCTGATATTCTGATAACTCATTGACCAGCATCCTGGTCGGCGGACACTTCTATATTGATAACATTGATGTTGGCCATTACATGGAAATGATGTCGAATGATGTCAAAGCTATTGTAATTGTATTACGATATGTTATTATCTGCCCATATTTTTACTCTTAATGCAGGATAAGCTTTGAAATATAGTGTCTCATAGAAAATTATTAACACTTCATTACAACTAAGATACTTTATGCAAATGGAATCACACATAATTATTTGTTCTGCAGTCATTTAATATTTTTGTCTTTTTGTCTTCATAATGTAGTTATACGTTTACTGTGACTATCAATGTATTACCAAGCATCCACTTGTGCATGCGTGTTATTACAGTACAGTATTAGAAATGTTATAACAATAGAAGTTGTGTCCATCATTAATTTTTCTTTAATGCATTAATGAGGGACATAATGTCTCATAATCATTATGAACCTCGGTGTTTGGTATATACTGTACTTTCTCTCCTACATCACCGTATGCCTCAAAAACTTTAACCTTAAGGATGTAACTGAAACTAGTTTTATATGATATACTTAGCTATTGGTAAGTTAATGATTATGTCGAAAGACGAAGGCACTGGCAATAATAATTAATAAATGACTCACTGGTAGAGCAGTATAGTCTCGTAACCGAGAGATCCCGGGTTCGAAACCAAATCAATTCGGTAGTAAATTCGCTTTTGGTAAAGCTGTATTCATTATAACCCAGTCCATAGGAGAGGACTTAAAGGCCGTCTGTACTAGTTTGGCCAGGAGGGATTAGACCACACAGCGTGGTCGCTGACAGGTGGCTATCTCATCAACTCAGCTCTCAATTAACATAGGAAAATGAGGTTCAGTGGGAATTAATGGAAAGTAACACAACCAGGAATGATAGCAAGTTTGCAGAGAAAAGGGGAGAATTAACATTTTACCTTTGTGATAGTAAATACAGTGACAAAAACTAGGCGAGACTTACTCAGAGAAACGAGGGCAATACTGACCCAACGGATTGTAATTGCACCCTTTACAAGAGGGCAAGTCCGTTCTTTTTTCTTCAAATGGTGTCCCATGTGCTACCAAATATTACAGTATTACGAATGTAAATGAACAACATAAATGTAATTTTAGTTTTCTGATCCAAGCTCTGGTAAGGCTTGCAAATCCGTACAATCCCAATATGCCTATATACTGATATGGTCGGTAACTATGGGACAAAGTTCACCGGCTTGCCCATTGATTCGTGTGCATTTTTGACAATCAATATTAAAACTTGTAATCATTTGTATTGAATATGCCAAAATTATTAACTAATATATAAAAATAAGAACGTTATAGTAAGTTATGGTAATAACGTCGCTGGTTTCTACTGCAGAGAGCTCTCACTAATTCTTACCATCATCACAAACACATGATGATCATAATAGTAATGATAATCGTAATGTTGTGATTATCATAACTATAATCACCGGAAATTAGTTTTTGCTATCTTTATAACTATTGCGGACACTGGCAATCGACGACTTCCATGAACATAAATAACATTACAGCGTATTGCAAGGCCTAAAAATCACCGAAGCTGGCGCTATTTTACATTGCAATTGTAACTGAAGATCAACATTATTTTGATAGGTTGAGTGAGTGGAAATTCGGAAACGACATTGAAGTCTGGGTCGGTGTTAAAATGGAAAAAAGTTGTATACACGGTCACAAAAGAACACAAGGGAATTTCGGTGCCTAATTGAACAGTCGCATATGTAACCAAGGCCTTAGACAGTTGTACACAGAGAAGTCCAAATCTATTTTGTCCCATATACATGACATTACCAACCATGTCTACGAAGGTAGCGTATTCCGATGACAGTGCTCATTCTACTTTACTAGCTTGCACAAGACCAAACACCCACACCAAATATCAAGCAAAATGATACTTTGATTTCAATATAATTTTGTGCGTAATTATTACTGGTAAAGTAAGTATGGGACATCAAAAGACAAAATTATATACAATTGACTCGCCCGTATACATTCTCCAGTTTTGAATACTAGTAGTATTAGATACATCTATTACTACAAAAGTAATTAAGTCCAAGACTCAGATAGTGCATTTTAGCCAAGTAATAAAATAATTTTGTCATCCAGATTTCTGATGCCCTTTTGTTTTCTTTAGATGTCTTGATTGCACGATTCCTTGTCAGATGTTCACTGTATTTGTACATCCAAGTTTACTCTTACTGCTATACCACACAGAAACAGATCGACTAGGACACTGAATTTATCTTTCAATTGTGTAGATCAATCATTTATTGCAATAATCCACGCTCATGCTCAAAATTCAAACTTAATTCTGGTCAAAACAATCTGCAAAAATAATCTCTTTATGAATTTCATATCCATACATTAATCAAAACATAAATACTCATTTCACAAAAACTATAATTATACATTATGACATACAGAGGGAGAACATTTTCTAAATATACTGTATTTGATCAAATTATCAAAGATTTGATGACATGGCACATAAAAGTAAGAGTTGAAAAGAGTTGAAAATCACAGGCAAATAGTGACATAGAGCAATTAACACTGGACAATTAATTAAATATGCTAACAAAGCAATTTGAATATGATTGTAAAGTAAAGGGGAAAATACAAACATGTTACACATTTACAACAAATTAAGACTTTACATGCAGCAAAGTAATTTAGGGTGTCAAGTGACACAAATATTGTGCGGCAACTACATGAATTAGGTATAAAGTAGAGCAAGAGTAATTACTGTGAGTTATACATGTATACTGATCATATAACAGTTAAAAGGCACTTTTAAGTAATATTAATTTGTTTTCAAATTCAGAATCAATGTGCATCACCATGCATAATCATAATTTGACACAAGGAAAAATAATGAACAGATCACCCCAACAAAATTTAAAAAAATAGTATTTTGAGAAGTGGATACATATACAACAAAAGCCTCACATTCCACAAATAATTTTCTTTAAATATACATTTTGATATATTCTGATAGTGTCTCTTTGATTATATGATTTTCTAATAAAGCTAATGAAAGAAAGAAGGAAGGAAGTGTGGCATTGAAGAACATGGAAAGGATAACAAATAATTATGTGTACCATAGGTATACTGACAAACAACATGGATTTCTGTCAATAATTCAAAGGTAGTACTGACGGTAAGGTGATACGCTACAGAGGAATGATATATTTTTCAAACACACATCGTACTAACATATGTACAATCGTTGATTTCAAAGTATGGTATCTCTCACACAATACCAAAAATGAAATAATTGGGTCAGCAACTTTTATTTCAAGCACACTAAACTTGAAAGTAATTCATCAATGATAAAACAAAAAAGAAAAAAAAGATGGAAAAGAAAAAGTCTTGTTCTTCACTACCAAGTCATATATCTTGATATGAAATTATTGAGCTTACATAGTCTTTTCTTCGATTCATAGAAACATTTAGACTCTGCCATGAGACATGTGCAATGCATAGTAAGAAAACTTCATGTGAAATATAGGAAGTTATGCCATAATCTATCTATAGTGAAATTTTCTATGAAGAAAGGTACTAATATCTAAATGAATTTCAACTGAGGGTCTTTCAAAAGATCCATTTTCTCACTGTGTATCATATGAATGTAGTGGTAATGTAAATATATAAGAAACAATGCAATCAGCAGTATTTTTGTTTGGAGAAGGGAAAGCAATACCTGGGGTATTTTAACTGAGCATCTTTCCAGAGACGCCCATTTTCTGTGTATCATATAAATATAGTGATAACATACATGAACTTGACATTCAGAATCAAATGCCTAACAAGCCAGTTGTTATGTCGAGGGTTCAAAACCAATCTCTTTTCTCAAAATCTTGCAAAGGACTGTGTAAAGATGGAAATAAGTTTTTAAGTCTGAGCCGTTACAGGCAACTTATCAAAGTTGTCCTTCACAAGGCCCAGGAAGATATCATTAAAAAGAACTTACTGCTCCATATACATAACTGCATCTCCTCATAAGCCATTTATGAAATAAACTATTCCAATGTCTGTCTTGACACCTAACAACATTTCATTTATAAAGCACATTTTCATAAGATTATAGATATAAAACGGACACACAAATGGTTAATTTTGAATACCTATTCTAACAATTACTTTGTGAAAGAGCTTATTGTCATTAAATACAATAAAAAATGTGCATACCTGTTGCCAACAATCCTGTAATATTTCAGACCTAAAAAGGTAAGTTTATAAACTGATAAGTCCAAGGTATCATGCGGTGTCCATTACGTTACAGAGTATTGTTGAGTTACATTTGTCATTAAATGTATAATTCTACTTCAAATTTGATCTGATCCAGGCTCTAATAGGGCTATTAATTTGATAGAATCATTAGAAATGACAAAATATTTCCCATGATTGGTAACATACGGGACAAAAAAAAGCTATGACTTGCCCATTCTAAATTGAAAACCTTCTGTACATTACATATATTTCATACAACTTTAATGACTGATGGAAGAACAAACTCTTTGAACAGTATTCAAAATGCACCCCTTAATCATTTAGAGTAAAAAGCATTAATTTTGATCTTTCATTTAAGACTGTAAAATACATCAACAATGCAATATTTCAATAACCGTTCGCCTTCTGGAACTTCACTTCTCTGTAAAAACCTTACAACATCACATTAATCTTTGATTGAATTCACACACATATCTTTAGTTTGAAGCAACATTTACTTGATTGTTTTCAAAAAATCACTTACAACATTAATGTATAACTAATAATACTAAATCAAATTGCACCATTAGGAAGTTTTAACATTGTCTTTGTGGCGAGGCATGGTGAGAAAGGTCATCTGTTTGACATCATTTAGACAGATGAATAAACATTGGAAGTTAGGCTGGTGGATCTAAAGGTATTCTTGACAACAAACTCACAGCAAACAGATAAAAATGACAAAAACAACAGAACAATTATACCTCCTTTCATAACTTCCAACCTTTCAACATATTTTACACCATCCATATGGTGTCAACAAGAAAAATTGTTCATAGCTCATATCACCATGCCAACCGTGGGACAAGATTTGTTTATCTATTATTTACAATTTCAGACACAAGGTTATCATTCTGGTGAAAATCTTGTATAAAATCTTAAAACATGTTGCATCATTGTTTCTGTTCCCCAATACATTTATATGCATTATGCATCATAGAAATAAAATCTTTGACAAAGCATTACTATAGACATCTTTGATAGGTAGTCACTTCTAAACTGACAGACTGTTTACAGTCAACTTCACTGTAAAGTCATTACGCAAATAATTTCTTCACATTCACCAATGTGTACTTTAACAAGCAATCTCGATAACTTCCTCACAAATCATGTGAAAAGTGCTCTACCAAATATTATATTTCAACCAAGATCTTACAGGGGGGAAAACACCCACATTTGAATGCACTGTTGTTAACAATGTGTTTTGAATATTTGTAATATAAGGAGTTGTTTAACAAAATATAAGATAATATGAGAATATACAATGAAAGAAATTGTCATATTTGACCAATTTTAAGAAAGAAAACATTCAAGACTTTTGATGAAAGTCCCACACTAAACACATGAAAAATGTATAGCATTTCATAAATTTGTTACAAAAATATTTATCTTTTGATACAAACAAACAAACAAGTTGTACATAAAATAGCACCTTACTAACAGCCAAGTTTTAGTTAACTAAAGGGATCAAGTTCTGTGCTATTCAGTCAATAATAATAATATTGGATTCTTATATAGCGCACTTATCGACCTTGCAAGGTCCTCAAGGCGCTCCAACATTACCCGGCTATGCTAGGCTGCCGATTTCGACGCTCACAGCATTTAAAGGAATTCCTTCCTACCGGTACCCATTTAACACCTGGGTGGAGAGTGGCAAGTGTAGATCAATGTCTTGCCAAAGGACATTAGTGCTGCGGCGGGATTCGAACCGCGGACCCTGTGATTCACAGTCCCAGACTTATCCACTACGCCACAACACCTCTACATGTGAATAATAAATTGTGAGTTATTCAGTTCTGTAATCTCATTTCTCATTTCTTCACAATGGATTTTTTTTCCCAATCTCTTTGGACTTTGGTTTATTTCTAATACAGTATAGAACATCTTCATACAATTTATGAGGATATTATTGAATTATATACACAGTCTAGAACAACATAGGTAAACTCTATTACCTCGTGCATCTTGTCAAGTAGAATATCTGAGAGAAATTAATTAAATATAATTTCATATTTACAGATCTCGGAGGGATTGTAACAAAAATATCACAACATAAGAGCATATTTCATTTCGCTCATCTCAAAACAGCTAACCATAAACGTGTTACGAAGACTAGATGTTATCAAAAGTCACTAACAGACATTAAATTTTATAGCTATCACGAGAAATGATAATAATTCTAATTAGACATTGCATATAAGTGAATATGAATATGACCAACAAAAAACACTTGCAGTGATATTTTAATGGAAGAATTCATCTTTACCTCCAGTGGAAGAAGAATATAAAATTACAAAAATATGGCCTTTGTTCGATTAATAGCAATATTAAAGAACAATGTAAACAAAGTCTGTATAAAAATAATAATAAAATAACTTCATTCATTAAACTGATTAAAGACATTGCTGCTATATGCCATATACATATATGATTGTCAATGTGGTATTAACAATGCATGTTTTTCATACATTTCTAATACATTTCAATGTCATACTTTATGACTCCAATAATTGCTGCCAACCAATAGACAAAATATGTGAATAAAATGTTTTTTTGATCAATTTTTAATGATATCATTATCTTTATCATCACTGTCATCATTTTCAAATGAAAAATGATGGGATAATAAGGTAACCACATTCAATGCCATACACACTTAAACTGAAAGGAAAGTCATCTGGTAAAAGCCAGAAGGACGCATACTCTGTGTAAAAGTGTATGAGTTAACATCTTTCTGACACTCACCACATTAAGTGATAACAGTATTTGTAATAGCTTTGTTCAGTCAACATTAATCATGTCATCTTGGTTCTATACGAGATAAATCTATGGAACAGAACTTGGATCGAAAGTATTTTTTTTCTCAGAAGCAGCACCATTTGTAAAATAAAAAATGCAAGTAATTCCTTTAAGTCACTGGACTCAAATGTCCTGGGAAGTTATTTGATCATTTTAAGCACTCAAAGGCCTTAAAGCCATACTGAAAACATACTACTATTATCTAAGTACTAAGGTTCCACCAAGTCGAGGAATAATTAAGAGAAACAGAACACGGCAATTCACATCAATCAATCGGCTCAAATGCAGGATGAGTTGAGTACAAATAATATGCATTAAAGACAAAAGTGCTACATTTTAAAGATGTCTACTATCTATATTTGAACATGTTAGGACAAGATTCAAGGGTTTAAAAACCAGTTGCATCATGGCATTCTTAAAGCTTTAGACCTACCACACTAAGTTTGATCCATGTTAGATTGTGACCCATCCCACTGCAGCCATCCGGCTAAACATGAGATCAGGTCACTTTCTTTGATAGCAGACGGCATGACGAGATTGACGACAGTCGACAAAATTGCTGAAATACTTTAAATGAAAGATCTGGAAGAACATATCCACCTGTAGGCTTTGGCTTGATAATAATGGGAAGGTAGTCTATGAGTTGCATCGGTATAAAGATCATCAGAGATCACTTAGTCTTTGGGAAGGTATTCAGATATTAGCATCAATGGTTTCTGCAAGTTGTCTGTCAGGCTCTTCGTTGGCAGCGAGATGATACTTGACCACGGCACCAGGGTCAGATACCAAGCGACATGCTGGACTTGCCAGCTGTAAATTAAAGAAGGAGATAAAGGATGATAAGTGATGCTCCTGCCACAATTGCTCCACAGTCAATTTCCTATAAATTAACATCAGACCCAACACCATACCTAACCCTAAACCTGGACCTTAGAGAAAACCTCATTCCAAACCTGAATCTCTACTTTTGACAACATAAAGTCTAGAGCTACTGCTGTCAGAGCATTTGTCAGACCACCCTTTTCCCCCCTAATCAGATAATCCTAGTTTATACAATAAAACCACACCCTATATTCATAAACCAGACAATTTGTTAGACTTTCACCGCTTATCAGCTATAACACTGTAAACATCCTCTTTATACACTTTTTTTTATAAGAAAAATAATTTTATTTTGGCCAATGTACTAACACATATTTTAAATTGTTACATTTTATTGCATTAATCACTACGATATACTGGATGATAATATCATCAACTTGATAAAAAATTAGTAGTAGCTGAATCTTTAAGAGTGGCAAAGATGAAATGTGCAAGTTTTCTTACAACAATTGAAAATGTTTCTAGCAAGGAGATTTTCATTTTAGAATGTCTATTTTTGGTCTCTCTGTAAAGTATTATACACAATGACAAAATGGCCGCAATCAAACAGATAGCATCGATTTCTTTATTTGTTTTTCAAAGAAAGCTGACTGCTAGTAATTATTTTTAATCAAAGACTACCCCTCCTTATACAGCTTTATTTGTTTAAAAACAAAATTCAATATTGTAACCAGAACACACTTTTACTACATATATTTGTATAATTGTATTTGTGAATATAAGATTGTACATACCAGATGATGTTCATTGTCTACATTTTGAAGGACTGCGTCATGGAGCGTGATATAGATCTTGTCTAGACCTATCAGATCCAAGAAACCACTCTTGAACAAAAGGGCTCTAATGGGTCCTGTGAACAAATCATCAAGAAAAGGAAAAACAGCATGATAATATTTTAATGATGAACATATCATACACTATTTTATTTTTTGTTTTAGGAACATGTGTCAAAGAACTTCTAAAAGTAATCAACTGTAAAGATGAAGTCTTTTATTTCAATAATTCCTGAAAAAGTGACCAAACTAAGGTGAAAAATGAGTACTGAATTTAAAAACAAATATAACAATATGTGATTACATGTGCTATCAATCTTGGGAGTGCACGGCTATATAAATCACTGACATGAATTGCAAATTTCAAAGTGCAAGAGCAAGAACAACAGAAAGACATATCAACAAGAAACGCTTCTGCTGATAACAAAAGCTGCTTGTTCTTTCAAGCAATCTTGGGCGAATTCTCTTGCTTTGCAGCAACATGACATGATCTCTCCAAGCTGCTTCTTGAGATTCGTAAATCAAATTGGGTACAAGGATACTTTAGGTTTAAAAAACCCCACTTTACAATCTCACCAACTCTCTCATTGAGGTTGATCTTGAGGGTGCTTAGTCCCATAGCATCCACAAAAGTGAGTGTACCTTCAAGTACCTTAAAGTGACTCGGTAACATCATTGAAAGTTGATGAAAAAATTGCATAATTTTTGTATGAAATGTTAGTTATTATATTCCTCCTACTGTACTTACCCTCTAACATGCAAAAAATTCTGAAAAAATTCACAAACCACAAATATATATATATATATATGTTTTTCTTTGAAGGTGTCACTGTGAAACACCCTCTAACAGTGATTAACATTAAATTCTCCCAACCATTTTTGCATTTTCCCAACCGTTTTTCCATGACAAAAAGACATAAGACAGGCTTTTCAAAAACTTTCAACCCTAAAATGTCTGGAATGGTATATAGAGCCAATTCATTGCTTTGTGACGATTTACATTCACCTAAAATTTAATTAAATTGTAATAATGTAGTTGGGAGAATTAAGGAATCAATCAGATCAGTTTTTCCCAATTTATATCATTAATAATGGTCCGTTTTCATTCAAACTTTTAGATTATCTTTAATTGTACCTCTAGCATTGAAGTCACTACCTTAGCTCCACTTTCTTTCATCTAAACAATGTTACCAAGTCCCTTTAAGTTGTGTCAACATCACTTACCTCTGCAATTTGCCATTATGATATCGACCTGCACCTTCTCGTAGTCTGCAACAATAACTTTGAGAGTGCTTAGTCCCATAGCATCCACAAAACTGACTGCCCCAAAATCTAGGATGATTGTCTTCACCAGGGTGGGATCTACCTCCTCCTCTGATGACTCATCCATGCTGCGGCTACTTGATGTACCTGCTTCTAGGAGCTCAGCATTGGCCGTGGTGATCTCATGGTTGTTTCCGTTATTATGACCGGGGTGGGTCTCTGGCTGCATTTCGTGGGACTAGAGGGGTGAGAGAGTAAAGGAGCTTTATTAAATATCAGATAAATGTGCATCTGTTTGTCCTTGATTGGAAGGAGACACAATGAATACAGCAATAGAATAAAAAACACTCTCATAGCTCTCTCTTCATGAAAGTTTAATTGCTAGGCACAAATAGGATGCAATCGCAGACTGTGTTTCTGAGAAGGAAGTTTTAAAAATGGAATTTTCTAGGATACAGGATGATGATAGAGGATAGATAAAATCAAAGTCAATTTTTGGTGTAAAAAATACTGTAATGTGATTTCAGCACCTGTACTACACTGGAGTGTCTTTTCTACGACTTATTGAATGACCTGAAATGACTTTTCATGGTAAAGTAACAAAAAGAAAAGAGTATTGGTAGGAGGAGTAGGGTTACCCTAGCTCAAGTGTGATATTTTCAGGAATTCCATAGTTTGATACCGTGTTGTAAACAATGTGTTAATGAAGATAGACAAGGTGTAACTGTCTGACACCATGAAACTGTTATGCAATTCATAATTAATTTGTTGTTTTGATTAGGAGTAGAAGGCAATGTTAAAGCTAAAGACCAGTTATGGTCATGTAATTGCATAGTGAAAGAAACGTTGTGAAATTGATCAGAAAAGGTTGATCATCTAGCATAGATGTATACTGCAAGGTTCTGGAATCATCAAAATTATAAGAAATTTGTCCAAGTCTTCATACAGTTAGAAGCACTGTACACAGAAAGACGTATATGGGACTACACAAACGTGCGTGACACGTGCATTTGTATCTCTCAACAGTATATAGATATACTAATTTACCAAATATATGAATTAGTAGGCGGTTTCCCGTCAAAATTTTTATCGTCATGTAATGTTCAAAACATATTCTTTCACATGATTGGTAATAAGAGCTTCCATTTCATTTTTTGAAATTGGGGCGTTTCCAATACTGGTCTTTACCTTTAAGTGTAATCCATATGTGGTAATGGTGTTTGGCAACAAAACATAAGTCATATATTATACAGTGAACCCTACGTAAGGGACAAGCTATATATAAAGACCACACTTTTTTGTTCCTGGGAAGTCTTTACTCACACAAACATGTATTACAGGAATCTGTTAATTATTTGTCTTTTTAGAGCAGTCTTCATAAACCTGTTTCACCGTATTCTATGGTATTCTAAACTCACCTCTATTGCTATTTCTCCATTCTGAATCTCTTCCACACTGCTTGTCTTTGTGTACTTGACCTGAGCCTTGGCAAGCTCCTTCTCTTTCTTGGCTCTCTCCTGCAAGATCTTCTGCGGATGTACACCGGTTATTGAATACATGCTCTCTTTGATGTATTCAGCATTGGCGAAGTAGATGGGAGCATTCACACGGAAGATCTTCAGACCTGGAAGCTCCTCAGCCTGGTCATTCGGAAAAAGGGGAAATAATGGAGTAAATTATTAGAATGACTCACTTAGCTTTCACCTTCTACGGAAATTGCCCTTTTGTCTCCCCAGGTGAGGCAAGGGATAGAATAGATTAATACTGCTCTCTCTATTTTCACCACAATTGTATTATTTCCATAACCTGGGATGGTGTTCTGGAAATCTCTTTTTTTGTGTGTTGGTGGAAAGACATAATTGTAATGACAAATTGAAAATATGCGGAATAAACACTCATCGTTGGTGCTCCAGAAGATGTCTCTCTGAGACGGATGTACACCCATTATTGAATACATCCTCTCTTTGATGTATTCAGCATTTGTGAAGTAGATAGGAGCATGCACACGGAAGATCTTCAGACCTTCAGACCTTCAGACCTGGAAGACCTGGAAGCTCTTCAGCCTGGTCGTCAGAAAAAGAGGAGATTACAGAGCAAATTATTAAAATGCCTCACTTAGCTTTCACCTTCTACTGAAATTGCCCTTTTGTCTCTAACAGTTGGTGAAAATACAGAATTGTCATGACAAATTGAAAAATGTGAAATAAACCCTCATCATTGGTGCTTCAGAAGATGTCTCTCTGAAGCTTATGCAGCCAGCTGTGCACAGAAATTAACCAATGACTTGTCTTAATTTATGACAATTAATATACTCCACCATAACAATGTTTGGAGTACTACCCAAGAGTCTTGCCATCAATTTAAATACCAAAACAGCCCAGACTTCTTTCTCAGTATTCCATCTTTTAGAAAGGAACTTCTGAGCAAGGAAGGACACACATACCGCTCGATAGTAGCTGAGGTCACGATAGATATCTGTGTTGGGGATGTGTCCCATGATGCCGCATTTGGGTCTCTGGGTACGGAGAATGACGGAGAAGATGGCCACCGCTACACCCACACCAAGTCCGATATCAACCCCGAGGAGGATGACTGCAAGACAGGTCACTAGCCATAACATCTGGATATTAAACATAGGAATTGATTTGTTAATTTGAAAGCCAATGGCAACAGGAGATTGAATGTATACACATTTGCAGTCCAGTGACATATTTGATGAGAATGAAAGCAAGTCATGAAAATCATGATCTACCATAGTCATATAAACAAGATGAGAATTAGGGTTAGGGTGTATCATTTTGATTTGCTGCATTAGTGGGTTCTAAATATTGAACACATGTCTTACAGGTTCATTCACATGCACAACAAAATACTGCGGTCTGCCATGGTTCACCATGTTGGTTTAAAAAAAATGTAATACATGAATGGCAAGTTGAATTGAAACAATTAGCTTTGCACAACATACATGTAGGTCCAACAAATATGTTAAATGCAGTGAACTCCCTCTATTGAACTAGCATGATTTACCATGGCATACAGGGACAATCCATTCCAAAAATGGGTCAATTTAATGTGTGACATGTGTGAATTGCAAACTAGAGGGGCAGGTACATGTTATCTATTTTTCATGAAAAAAAACTCAACTTTAAATCACAAATAAGGGTCTCAAGTCCTCAACGTTTGGGTTTGGGATTTTTAACATGATTTGTTTAGCTAAGCAAAACCATATTTCAATCATGGAATGATGATTTGATACTCAAAATAAAATTATTTCACAATTTAGATAAGATGATCATGAAGCCTGGTACAAACATGAAGTCTATGCCTCTCATGATCTGCCTGTTATAAGAGATGACGCAAATGGATGGACGAACACTCACTTTAATACAGAAGCATATAAATAAACATACAAAGTTCAAACAACTCTGTGTGGTGGAAAAGTGCCCAAATACTTACACAATCCACCTTGGAGAACTTCCATAAATCTCTGAGGTCTTTAACCTGTCTAAACATTCCTCTTAGAGCAACAACCACAATGGCCGCCAGACACCCCTGCAAGACAAAGAGAACAATCCATCATAAATCAAAATAGGCATGTATCATTTAGAACAATGCTCAAAAAACAACTTCTTTCACCTATAACATATGATTAAATTCCTATAAATTATAGTCTTTATTATCACCGTTACATCGAGATAGAATTGATATCACGGAGTGATGAAAAATTGATGTCATTTTTCTACACTCTCTCTCTACAGTCCACATGCTTAGTTATGATGTGAATTTCAGAGAGACATTTCAGATTGGCCATGATTCAGATCGATATTATACCATGCAAACAAGAGAATGTATTTAATCTAAGTGATATATTACATGTAGGTTTGTTCACACATTATACTTTTATCATACAGAAGGATGGGATGTCGTGTGCCTGTCTGTGTCTGGACACTCCGACAAAAATTTAGCTGCAAAATTGGAAATTTGACTTGAAATATGCATCAAATAGAAAATTACATCCCTTGAATACTTGCCATTCATACAATTGCTGCAATAATATTTTTTAAATTTGTGACAATTTAAAAGAAATAGTGTTTGATGTACTGTTTGAAAATGTCTTAATAGCCGACCCGTCCAGACACATAGCATGTGGGTATACAAATTAATCACAATTTCAATGCTCCTTTAAAATGCTCCTCTCCTTGTTCTTCTTAGCTTCATGATCACCTTTGAAAATAGCACATAAAGAGGTATTATCATTATTACTCTAAATATGCCATCTTGTAATTCTAAGATTAGAAACGTGTTCTCACCACAGGTAGAGATTGGAAGAACTGGGTGAGTAGAAACAAGACCAGTAGAATAGGGAAGACGGAAACTATTCCAGCGATCTGTCAAGAGGAGAAGAATTCAATAAAATAATACATCATTTACATATGCAGATTGCTTGCATAGGTATTGCTGAGAAGGGTGGAGTTGAGCATTGCTATGCCAAAGACAGGTAGTAGAAGAAATCACTCACTTCATTAAGCAAACAAAATAAAAATTGTAATAGTGCCATCAGGGTTCAAATTAATTTTTTGCCCACAGGGGCTCTTTCTTATACAAGATTTCATTGAATTGGTACCCATGTTACTCCTCAATTCTTAGCTATTTTCATCATTATCATTTATTTAAGTCAGCATTTTCCCTCTTACAAATTTACAAGTTAGGCCTACATAGCTGGTACCGACTTTCATCCCATGATGACATTCTCTTGATCTCTTCCCATATGCACATTATTTCCTCCTCATTATTCGGTGCAACGTTCACATTCTTTCTTTACTTAAGTCTTTACCTAAGGACAGGTCTAGCTTTTTGCCAAGGGGAGGGGGGGGGGGGGGGATATGACCCAATGCAGAGCATCGTCCACGAGCCGCATAGCGGCGAGGCAATTTTTTTTTTTTTGGTGCTATTTTGAACCCCCGTAAGTGATGTTTTCCTGGCATCTACTAATACTGTGTGGGTTTCTGGACACATAATGGCATTATGCACATCACATTTTCACTTGGCAGCCGAAGGGGGGGGGGGGGTACCCCTATCCCACGTGAGTCTGCCCATGTGACCATATCCTTCCAGAACGTTTTCCTATTCTTCTCAATATTGATTTACTGGTCGAGGTTCATTTTGCTGGTCTTTTGGAATCACCAGATTTCAGAGGATTCACGCTTTTCACAACGAAAAACTTCTCCATGACCATGTTTCAGCCCGTGTGCGATCGTGTCCAGCTCCAGCAGATATGGGGCGGCAGCGTGCATACGTACCGGTACTGCAAGCTTCCGTTGTTTGTAGCCGTAATACTCATAGAGATGGGATATATTAACTCCTTAAGGACCAAGTGCTCAGTGACACATAAACCACTTTTTCTCAAAATGGCCAAAATGGAGTTACGTCTTTGTGTCCCTGACCCCTCAAACTGATTACCTGAGTCTTGCCTCCACCTAGATCCTGCAGGAGGGACCTGGAGAGGGAGCCGGAGCATGGGTAACACAGGAAGAAGGAGGAGAATATGTTGCTGGTTCCATAGCCAAGCAACTCCTGGAGGAGGCAAGGAGCATTATCATTTATGACAAATTGATGAAAATCTATTCCATTTGTAAACTGATAACGTTAAAAGCAATTTTGTCTATGTTCTTGAAACCTTGCTCAACTAGTAATCAACTGATTTATGGCAGTGGCAGTCCCTAAATCTAAATATCGAAAATATACATTGTGAAGATTCAGGCCAAATAATTACAGCAAATTGTGTTGGAAGTAATTTTTTTCTATAAAGTTCCAGGCGGCACAAAAGCGGATAAAATGTCAAATCTCACATAAATTTACCAATGAAAATATAAAGTACACACAAACAATTACCGGTATCTATGTATCTCTTCATTCAAAGCACACAAAACAATATGAATACACTCTAAATAGAGAACAATAAAGACTTTTTCAAGAAAGGTGGGATTGATGCCTTAATATTAACTCAAGCGAGATTCGCTCTAAGCTTCATTTCATCAAAGACGTAGGGTTACAGTTAGGGTTGCAATTGGATTTTGGGTTAGATTTAGGTTAGGGTTAGGTAAGGCATTTGTTCCAAGGCTGCAGTTAGGAATTTGGTAAGTGTAGGAAATTGACCATGGTGGTATGACATTACCTGATTTGCAGACACTTCATATTTGTTTCGTTTTGCAAATATGACAGAGAGGGAGACAGACACTGAAAAGGCCACGATAGCGATAACAAAAGCATCAGCGATGAGTATGCTCATATATCCGAATGGCGGGATGGAAGGTGCTGAAAATGCCCTGAATAATATAAAATTGGATAAATATTGGTCAAAATATATTAATATAAAAATTTATGTCCTAAATTTACCACTACCAGTTTGGTGTTGAAGTACAAACACAGAAACATACACTGTAATACTAAATACAACAACGATCTATCTTTTCAGGATTATTCATTACATCTATCAATAAATCTGAATTATACGTATTTTCAGAAAGGCAGAAATTTCAACAACAAAATTTCTGAATGGCCCAAAGCCTTTGAAAGTATTACAAAATGTGTTATGGGAATGGCTTCACAAATAGCAGTTGTAAATTCTACATTATTTAGGTGAAATTTTTTCAAGGATTTGTTTATTATATTGTTCAGTCATCTCCAGATTTGAAGGCACCTAAATGACTCTTCTGAAGATTACCTCATTTTTCTTATCCAAGTTTGTTTAAATCATGATATCATATAAGCGTAATAAATTGCTTGAATCACTGTGATTTATGTGACATATTGAATAGGCTGTTGATTATTTTATATATTTGTATATATATGGTAAGCTTTAAGCTATTCTACATGATAGCTTTTAGCCTTTCAAATGAAGATATATAGAAATGACACAACAGAATGACCATTGAATCAAATGTTTCAATTTTTTTCTACAATTAAGCAAAGTCGTTTAGGGAACAAATGTCATGTAATATGTTTAGCTTTGTCGTGGAAACATTTGCAACAATGCTTTTTCAGCTCTATAGTATCCATTTTTGTTTTTATTATTTTCTGAAATTACATTATGAGGATAATGAATAAAAGCGATATTCCTTCATTAATCAATAATAGTGAGAAATTGTGATGGGTGACATTATAATACTTTTGAGATCTGTATTATATTATGATGCCAATTAAGAAAAGCAATTTTAGGTACTCACGATGAAGAAATTTCTCCAACTATAGGCATCCCAAACTGAGATGTAAAATCTCCAGCGTACGAAGCTGCAGTTGATGCTATGATCTGGAGAAGAAAAACAAACAATTTGAAATGAATATTATCATCTCGTATATACAGCCCAAATTCAAAACCTAAATGAGCATGTTGTATATAATTGAGATACAATTTGTGAGATAAAAAGAAATAACATTTCAAAGAGAATATTGTCTTCCTCATGAATAATGTTTTCTGTTGTGTAATGGAAATAAATAAAGTAACAATTAGTTTACAAACCATTACCTTAGATTAGTTTATTTGTGTGAAGTAAATATTTGTGAAAACGCAACCAATAGTGTACAAAGAACTAAAAAACCAAAAATTATAACAACTAATCAAATAAACTTATTCATACAAATCCATAAATTAGGGACCCACTTTGTTACATTTATGGTGTCCCGGCTACATAAGGAGCCCACATGTATTTGTGGCTCTGAGTAAAGACTTGAATAGTGGATGAGATTGTAAAGTGATTTCCAAGCATAATATTGCATCCTCATACCTAGAATCACTTAACAATCATACTCCACTATTTAAGTATTTACTCAGAGTCACAAATACGTGTGGGTTCCTATGTATTAGGGACACCAAAAATATCACAAAATGGGTCACTAATTTATGGAATTACCCATATACATGGGACTAGAAAACTTTGGTGGATTCACTTACAGACATGGAAAGTCTAACTTTACAGTATGAAAGCCATATCAATAAAATTATAATTTATTACAAAATTAAAAGGAAACTGTTAATGTGTTAGCAAAATATGAATTCAATTAAGACATTGAGAAATAAATAATGACCATACTTACTACTGCTAGCTCAATTGGAAGAGGAAACTTAATCTTGTCTTTGAATTTGTCTTGTAATTCTTTCACTATCACCAAGAAAAAAATCCCCAGCATACTGTTTATCATAGCAGAGACGTTTGTTAAGTGAATGTTTTGGAAGAAATCTCGATACGTCTGTGAAGAAAAGGAGATAAAACCAATTGAAGTAGAGTCAGAAAAGTTACAAAAAACATAAAATTTACAAGGGGGGTGAATAATTCTGTTGTTAACTGCATATGTTTGTCATATACACGAAAGACTTTTTTGCTTCGTGCCAGTAAATTTCATGTATCTTAAGGATGAGAACAGTACATTGTACTTAACACCTTGTGTGTTGTGGCCAGCAAATCCTGCCCAAAATGTTTGTATCAACGACTTGTTCAAATTCAACTGAACAAAGCACAAGATTCAGAAATTAAAGGGGAAGTCCACCCTGATATTAAGTTGGTTTTAATATAAGCAGAAAAATGAGAGAAACAGGTCAATGAAAATTCGAGCAAAACCCAATTAAAGATAAGAGTATGAAGTTTTGAAGGTGCAATTGATTAAACACAAATTGAAAACTCTGTGATGCTTTTTGTGAGGTCTCCTCCCATTTGCCCTGTACAAAAAAAATCTTCAAAAATCTATATTTTGCCTAAAGGAAGTCTTCAATCATACATTCACCCTAAATAAAATTATTGCAAATATGTTTTTATACAACCCTGTTTGAACCAAGTCTATTCCATCAACAATAACTAAGAAAATAAAAGATTATGAAATATTCTGTATAGAGCAAATTAGAGAGGAGCTCGCAAAATACGTCACAGTGTCTCCAACTCACGTTTCACTAATGGCGACTTCATAACTTTCCTATTTTTATTAGGATATTACCAAACTTTCATTAATTTGTTTCACTCATTTTTCTGCTTTTATTAAAACTAAGACAAATCTGGGTGGATTTCCCCTTTAACTCTTGAAAGTTCATGTAGGATAGTAGTTTAGAGACTTAATAGCACTGAAGTTTTTTAACATTAAGCTGTTGCTGGTACATATGCTTGAACACATTATAAGGAATATTCACTGTTCTGGTTCTTCTTCATTATTATTTTTAAGAATTTGCCCCTTTTTCCTTGTTTACTCATTTGAAGCAGTGCCAATAAACAAGACTTTAATCTGCATAGTATCTCACTGGAATATAATGCTTTGAACAGGAACAATACATTAACAGTTGGTTGGTTGTATGTAGATACAACTGCCTCAACATGTGATAGGGAACCGTCATATCGTTAAGGGTTCTTAATCTTTATTTATTTCTAGCACAATGCCTACAGGTATGTGCAGCACTGACAACTTGAGGAAGATATTTATATTAAGTTTTTCAGACAGGCACCTCACAGCTCATCTCTTAGGGTGGGACAATAGTTCAACAGTGACAATGACTGATGAGGTACACCTGCTTAGGCAACTGACAGGGTACCCTCATGTTTCTAAGAGTTATTATTTAGACTACACTTCTTAGTTAGGAAACAAAGCAAATCTATACTTAGTTCCTCTGACAATAACAAAATTATTTGTTGCTACAAGAGCCAACAACTTGAAAGTGGCTTATGGGTGCAAACTAATGTTTTGAATATGTAAACAACTAGTACCCATGTCACACAAAGAAGACCAATATCAGACAGCAACAGACTGAACAAAGTCTTTTATTACCCTGATGGAAAAGATTAGGTAAGAGTGGAGTCGGTATAGAGTGACTGAGGTTTCACAAGAGCCGAGAGGGTAAAAGGATCTACCGGTACAATGTACTTTACACTTACTTTGGGGAGAGACAATATGCCAGAGTGTCTAGGAACAGGAACTCCAAAGAGTTTATTGAACTGGCTTGTGAAGACATGGAAAGCAGCACCTGTTGTAAACCCTCTCACAAGAGGGTCGGCGAGGTAGCACGTAACGAAACCCAGTCTCAAAATACTCATTGAAACCTGTATAAAGAAAAAGAGAAGAGAGGTAGATAGAAACATTGTATCCGTCAATGCCTAGTCGGGGCATATCAAAGCACTGTTTTACTAGATGTTTGGTCTGATCCAAACTGAAGCAGAGCTTGTATTTAGTACAATCATCTGATAGAATTCTCACATTCTCTTCTTTCCTCTCCTTTCTCACATTCCTTCTTTTCTTTTTGTTATTCCCTTCTGTCATTCTTTTTCCCTTTTTCTTTCTCACACTCCCTCCTTCCGTCTCCCCCAACGGTGCCTTATTACGTACCTGGATGACCCCCACCATCAAAGCCAGGAGGGCACCAATCTGTGCCCTTAGTAGAGCTTCCTCTCCAGAAGCGAACAAGGCAGTGCTACCTTCTACCCCTCCTCCACTCGAGGGGAAGTCCCCCCCTATACTGGAGTTAAAAGCTGCTTCAGAGCCCACCGTATAAGATGATACGCTCGGAATGGTAATAGTTTTGGTAGGAGCTTCACTTCTATCTTGCCGTATGACCTCCATGACCTTGTCTATCGCCTGACCTGACATGATGCTCACAACGGCAAAAGTACCTGGTGAAGGAATGTAACCCGAAACATGGAAAACAATGACACAATAAATTATCATCTTGAATAAAACTGGAACAGGTTTCGTCAAACATATTTTAAATGGAGCTTATTTATAAATTTTGTTCTCACTCTATTTCTTCTTGTTGTACTTTTTAATTTAACAACTAGTATCCGTCTGCCATTGTGAAAACGAAAGGAATAGCCTATAATCTAGAATGCTTATCTCCTTTGTAGGAAAATTTTCGCAGGAAGAAAGAAAAGGAAGTGCAAGATTTTGAGGGGGAAAATGTAGGATCCAGACACATTACCACAACTGAGCTAATTTGCTCCTGATCTTGAAAGTACTTACATGTATACAAGTAATAAAGTTAATCATTCTTGATTTGTAGCATTATAAGTGCAGAAAATATTCTTCTCTTTCACACCTTCAAAGTAATTGTTTCATTACTCAATATAAAATTTTGGTAAGAACGTTATTTCAAAAGACTCATTCATATTTCAACCACTGAAGAATTTAGCACTTTTTCAATAAGACATCTCTTTCAAAATATCTTAATAAATACAGGATTACCGGTACATAAAAAATACTTATGATTTCTCAATAAAGGGGAAAAAGAAAACAATATATGAGAGATCAGAAGAAAATGAGAAATTTCACTTTTAATCTGAATCACGTATTGTCTACACCTGACCCAAACAGGAAAACCAATAGTTATAAAGTCAAAACATTGTATGTTTCCCATGTTTAGTTTTCATCATGCATACAGAAACAACATAATGTGCAGTAGATCTCTATACAATGAAATAACAAATATGTTGATGAATATTGGCACTAGTATTCTTAGACTTACCTATACTAAGTTGTCTACTGGTGCCAAATATGGAATACACAAGGGGAGGAAAGAAGGATGTATACAGTCCATATATAGGGCTGACATCTGCTAAAATGGCATGTGCCATTCCTGAAAAAGATGATAAAAAGAAGAGAGGAAATGGTAATAAAATATACATGTACAGTGTGTAGGAGCATTAGAGAAGTGATCAAAATAAGAAGCACAAAAGTTCTAATGCATATATTTAATCCTTTTTGCTTCTAAAAGCATAGTGGGAATAAAATGGGTGCAATCAAAAAATTTATGATGAAAAAAATTGCTTCAAATACATTAACAATATGACAGTATCCAATTTAAATTGTACTACATTATCAAATCCTTAACATGTTCACTACAGAATTAGCTTATTCCAATAGGCTTAATACATGGGCCTCTCTAATCCTGTATGCAATGGGTTATTTTAATAGTAACATTGAAAGCATCTGTATCTCAGCAAACATATCATTGAGAGCAAAAACTAACTGTACTGACAAGAAATTCAATGATATGTTTCGTTTACTATTCAGATGCTTGTTGATATAACCATTGACAAACAATCAAATGGGGTGAAGTCAAATATCATGCTAACCCACAAATCAATAAATCAATAAATAATCTTTTACTATGTAAACATCCTTGAGAGCAAACTAAATACAGACTGGAATTCCAGGAGATATATTTAAATCCATGTACTAAGTATTACCAACATGACATTAAAAGTTAATTTTCAACAATTCAAGCGGGTGGTTCAAAATTTTACAAAACAAAAAATCTGTTATTGAGTAATGAATGCATTAGAAAGTTAGAATGACAAGTCTAGAAAGGATTAATTTCAAAGAACTTTTCACCTCATATTTCAGTTGTGCATGAATTCAATTTTGCTTACAGCTTGTATGATATTAAGTTGTGTCTTCTAACAAAAGTGAGGGGTATACAACATGACGTGTACATACTACAGGTACATGGATGTGAACCAATTTTGTTACATGACAGAAGTATTGTTTGTACTTGTTATCACATATTTTCATAACATATCATTACGGACTTTGTCAGTCAATTTAGAATTGAATGAGTACTATTACTAATTGTTATTACATGTATTTGTACACCTGTTCAATAGATTAGATATAATGCTAATAACCCCACTAAATCAATAGAAATATAGTTGATGAGAATCATCAAATAAATATGGAAAGATAAAAAAGTCTACTATTGATTTAGGTTATGAAAACACGAACCAATGCAGTAAAAAAAAGGCCATCTCACTTGTAACCATCTTCTTTACTTTTCAAAGGGACCCATTAGATGCATTATAAAAAAAAAAATCACCATTTTTTTGTATTCATCTAAGTTACTTAATTGTTTTTCATTTAATTCTTCATTTATTCATCTACTTATCTAATCTATCATTTCATATATCAATTAATTAATATTTTAATTTATTGCTTATATAAGGCTATATAATAGTACAATAAATCAGTGTATTTAATATCTTTAGCACAGTATCCGGATGACTGATCAACATTGCTTTCGTATCGCTCAGTCATCCGGGAACTTTCACTATCGATATCACATGAAAACAAAGCCATATACATGTATGCCGAGGAAAGTCAAATTTTGTTATTTCTCTAGTCAGCCTGATATAGATCATGATAATAATATTATATGTCTTACAAGAATATATTGCTCGAGCTATGACAATATTGGACGAGTCTCTTTGACTCGTCCAATATTATAATAGCTCCAGCAATATTCGACTCGTCCAATATTGTCATAGCTTGAGCAATATATTCTTGTACCTCACTCAAAGCCATCCAATATTATATAAATATTTTGTTGCTCTGTACGCTTTGGGTTCAAAGTTCAATGCTGATATACATACTAAGTAGTGCTGTAACATCACGGATATCTCTAATTCCGTTTCCCGTCAGTCCGGACGGTTTTCGATTAAACGATTTAAAAAATAAAAAATAAAAAAATTAATAAAATTTTTTGTTTTGTTTTTTAAGCCACGCGGGAAGGGCTTTCATTTAATTGCAAGGTGCAGTTGAAGGTGCCGATTTGTGCTTGTGAACTTGTCACAAATAGTAACAATGTCGTTTTTAGAAGAATGTGTAAGATCATTAATGTAAATTTTAAAAAGTAGAGGACCTAGGATAGAACCTTGTGGTACGCCGTGTGTAATAAAAGAAAAATTGGAGGAATTATTATTATAGACTACATATTGACATCTATTACAAAGATTACTTTCAAACCAAGATGACAGACAAATTGGAGTGTTGTTCTACAGTAGTTTCCAAGTGGTGAGTCAACACACCGATTACTGAGCTGGGAGACATTGCCAGGCATAGTGCCAGGTGGAGGGGCATAAATCGAAACTTAAAAAAAAAAAAAAATTTAAATATAAAAAAAAACGGCAAAACAAAACCGTCCAATTGAAAACGGATAGAGCCATGGGCGGTCGGATACTGGGCGGTCAGATACCGGACGGTTAAACGTTAGACTACAGCACTAATACCAAGTTCAATATAGCAACTTTATACATTATCAATGAAGAGAGAGTGCAAGCTTATATAAAAAAATTGCACTGTACACAATGATAAAGCAACTTGAAATCGAGCAGACTATTTTATAAACATGCATAAAATTGTGCACAAATATTAACCCTACGTGAATTTCTGTCTTAATACTAAATCAATTTCCCCATCTAAGCTCTTTATCCATAAAGCATTTGAAGTCACATTCAGCTTTGTTGGCAGTAGTTTTATATCTTCTACTATTAGTATTAAAAATGACAATTTCAGGTAATTGGTCCACTATAAAACTGCATAAATCAATGACTCAGAACTTCACACCGATAAATTTCCTTCTATTTTGACTTTTCTCTTACTATTTTTATCAATCAAAATAAACACATTTCCAAAGTCAGAGTCACTCGGAGAGCATCACAGGTTTTTATTGACTTGTACGGTGACAGGGTGTGACAAATCTTGAGTGTCAGTCAGTGTAGCCTCTCAACCAACCTCTCAAGAGATTCGTACAGGATTGTACGAGATAGATGTAATCACTATACCCCTTCATCAACTACTTCCCTCTCATAATCAAATAGATCCTGTTGTTGTATAATGATAATAATGGGTTCTAAATAGCTTAAAATGTACCAGGTCTTTTACTCTATATATTTGATAAGGTGCTCCACTTGGTTATACTATATTTAAGATATGAGCTCCAAATATTGCATCAATACAGAGATATATGTATAAGGCGATATTGCGAGTAAAACCTCTTAAAACATAAAAGCAACTTTATGAGTAGACTAGTCAATGCACCAGTACCGGTACGTGCTTATAAGTCCGACCAAAGCATGCAAGTCTAACATGGGTTCAAGGTGCTGGATTTTATGCTCATGTTTTTAATACTCCTTAATTATTAACCTGTAGAATGTTTGACATTGATTTTATACTGTGAATGATACACTTTTATTAACATTATTCTTTTATTAGTAAAACAATATAACGTGTGTGTGATACGTGTGCGACACACTTTGACCTGAACAGAGGTCACAAGCAGTCAAATTTTAAATACTTAACAACTGTTTAAACATTAAGAGGAACAACATGACTTTTGTGTTTGTTTAACATTAACCTAAAATGTCTGGATTCCTGGCTGTAAACGATAGGGTGAACATGAATCATAATCACATGAAGAAAAAGGTGATCATATACATGTAAGTTTCAAACTGCTGATTTGCTGAACATTGAAGGATAATTCTTCTGTTTACATAAAAATATGGGTTGGTATCATAAAAAGAGCTTTACAGTCTGATAACAGTATTTGTTCCAAATTACAGCCCAAATATTTATCATGCTTGATAAATGAGTTGAAAGATAAAACATATATCTATCATGCTTGATAAATATCAAAGCAAGAGAATGGCTCAGAAGGCCTTGAGCTGTGTTCATCCACTGGTCTTGGGATAATAATTAAAAACCACAAACTTTCATGGCATGAAATGGTTTGTGAATTGTTTGTGGTTTTGACAGCCATTTTTGTGGAAAGAAATTTTCAATGAATTTGCGAAAATCTGTGTTATGAATTTATGATACAGTGTACTGGAATGTGATTTAACTATTTTTCGCCATATTCAACGAGCCTACATGTAGATCACTCATGAAATTCATGCATGCAAAATGTTCTTGCTTAATTGGTGTGAAGTCATCTCTGCCAGGCCTCAGATATATAGAAGTGACGATGTGTATACCAGATATGCCAACCTTTACATTCACCTTTCAGGGAGGATTCATTCAGAAATCAGGGAATAGGAATAATCTTTCAAAAAATCAGGAAGGCATTACAATTTGAGTGGAGTGACATATTATAACAACAATTTTTTTTAGAGACCCTCCCTGAAATTTTGGGAGGATTGGCATCTCTGATACGTATGTACATGCATACAGTGCTTTTAAATGTATACTACCTGGTACCTGTCATGTAAAGTGTACACTTACAATTTACAAACACCCAAGAAGGCAATGACTGGGGCTGTGCCGTCACGACAGGGACAAATGATATGTCTTAAAAATTGCCAGGTGACTAGCTGCCCTTTGGCATGTTGTTTACTGACCCCTGAGGCTGATATCATGTGACATCATATCATGTGACATATGCCCCCCCCCCCCCTCCCTGCAATTCAAATTGGCTTAAATATGGTACAACAAAATATGAGATATACAGTGTACACTACATGATGACTCTGATGGGTTTTCATGTTTGTTTTTGTCTGTTTTTTTTTTATTTTGTTTTATTTTGTTTTGCCTATTTTGTTTTTTTGTGTTTGTTTTGATTTTACCTGTCTTTTTTCCAAGCTGTCATTTTATATATAAATCCTCAATGAATTAATATAGTTCAATGAGTGAAATTTTGAGTAAATTGAAAACTTGAGAATGTTGTGTTGGAAATAGACTAGGAACATCACTTTTGAAGTTGTAACAACATTAAGAGACTCTTCCATATAATTACAAAGATTAATGATTTACCAAGTTTTTAATCAACAGCACGATCCAGCTTGAGCACCCTCTTGAAAATGAAACCCTTACCGGGCATCATTTGCTTGAGACATTTGAAGTATATGTACTTTCAGGAAGAGATGAATGATGTCTGAGATGGAGTGCTCATTATACACATTATTATCTATCCCAGTAATGCCTAGCATCAATCTGATTTTCAATGTCATGGTTATCATTTGTATTGAATGTTATGTACTCTCAAAATGAAGAAAGAAGCAAGGACAAAAACAATTGAAAGTCTAAAATATCCTCCAGTTTTGAGCATTAATCATTAACTACAAGTACACAATGAACGTTTCCACTTAAGAAGTGTTGATTTATCATTAATTTTCAAGTCAAAAATAGTGTCTGGCAATATACGGAACAGATAAAATGCAAAGAAAAGCAAAATCCTGATGAAATAAGTGCATAATGAAAGTAACAAATGAAACAAATCTTCAAAGTCAATACTGTCAGGAAATGATAGTTCAAGGCTTCAAGCTTTCACAAAAACAGGATAAATCAGCACAGCACCTTGTTTCTTTTGGCAATGGTTTGCAACTTGGCTTGTATAAGGTTATGAAACCTTTATAACAAAAACTCACATGTGACAAAATCACACAAAACAAACAAACTTTGTTAGATACAAAGGATTGATCGGAGAACCAGGTCTTCAGGCAAACATTTTGCCAAAATAGGGTCTTTCTACAGGTATGGAATAGAGGCCTCCTGGTAAAGAAGCCAAAATATTGGTTTGAAATTATTTTACCACGCTGGCTGTTGAGGGGCAGAAGGATATTTATAGCATGATTTCAAAGAGAGTTAACAATCATTTGGGGCTCCCAGCAGATAATGGAGTCTGTATACAGTAAGCAGCTCATTGGTACACTGTTAACAAGGTCCAAACGTGTGCAGTTTATGCAGGTACTTGTGCATACATAACTTCCAGAAATGGAACTTATATCTCTCCTGACTGGGTATACCAGCAAGTGCAACACATGTGAAAATGTAGTCTTACATTCTGAACATGACACGACCGATATAATAAATGAATTGTACATTAAAAAAAGAATGAACAGATGTTTACAAACGTAGAAATATTACATATACTAAATTTTATACCTCTTTAATCTCTACCGAACAACACCCTGTTTTATGTTTATGAGATACTTCATGACTTTGATTCAAAAGCTGATAAAAGGATCTCTGTCGGAAAAGAAGTCAACCCTTTATGATGGTTTGTAATACTATTGTAGCTTGCCCGACTGAGAACTTTACCCTTGTACAGGAAGTGATCTAGTTACTCTATTTCTATCTCTCCATCTATTTAGAAATCGCTCCCATTGATTGGCACAAAGCCATTCATAAAGTTGCGCAATGACTGGTATCAAGGTATTACTGATTAAAGCATGTTTGTAGATTTCCATCAATGACTTGGGGGACTGTACAGCAGGGCTTAAATTAATCCAAGGCCACCAAGGCCATGGCCTTAGATGCCCCTTTGAGTGGCCTCAATGCCCCTCTCATTGGCCTTGGAGATTTTTTGTGCCCTCTTTCCAATTCTTCCTATTTGTGCTGTAATATAGGAATGTGCCCTACAGAAAAGTGGCCTTGCCCCAAAAATATTGAAATTTAAGGTCTGGTACAGCAATATAGATAGGTTACCTGTTAAGGCCACTGTGCTTGTCATCTCCGTGGAGATTGGTGTTAACGCATACTTAAACACAGAGTAAACACCCATATGGCTCTGAACAGATAATGTACCCCCCCCCCCCCCCCTCCTCCACAAGAGATTATATCTACATGAACTGTATATCATCACAAATTCAAAGCACTCAATGAGTGCATTATCAAAAGGAAAACCTAATGCATGTATACTCCCACTCCCAAGGGATCTGCAATTGCTAGACCTACACTGTGTACTTTTTAGCCTGAACCAGTCAATACCTGAAATATGCATCGTATCACACACAAATGTGGGGTTTCTACAGATGGTGATTACCAGTAAGAAAAACGTGTAGTCTACTACCTGTAGGTCTCAACATCCTAGTGCATAAATAGTTAGTAATATGCAATAACAACCGGGTACCTTTTCTGCATGGTACACATACAGATCCTTAAGTTAAATATTACAAATGACATCACTGTGGAAATTCTAAATTGGTCAGTTTAGTTATTTTGTTACATAAAACAGAAGAGCATGCATGATTGACCAAAATGAAACACAGGTGGCAGGGAAGTGAGGGAACGTAATATTTGCCCTGCTCATCTGGCTTGCTCTCGATTAACAATTTTTTAGTAAACAGTATGTATCTATGGAAGCCATTCACCATGAAATACCTGGGCCCCGTCTTATAAAGAGTTACAATTGATCCAAATCAATCGTAAGTCCTCTAATCAATCGCAAGTTTGCAGTCCTCTTATAAAGAGTTACAATTGATCCAAATCAATCGTAAGTCCTCTAATCAATCGCAAGTTTGCAGTCATCTTATAAAGAGTTACAATTGATCCAAATCAATCGTAAGTCCTCTAATCAATCGCAAGTTTGCAGTCCTCTTATAAAGAGTTACAATTGATCCAAATCAATTGTAAGTCCTCAAATCAATCGCAAGTTTGCAGTCCTTTTATAAAGAGTTACGATTGATCCAAATCAATCGTAAGTCCTCAAATCAATCGCAAGTTTGCAGTCCCCTGCCATCGATCGCAAATAAGTTTCGATTAAAATCAACTCTTTGTAAGACAGGGCCCAGAACACCCCTCAGAATCATTCTTAGAAAAGTAATATCGCTTTGGATTCATGTTGAAACAGTAACCTTCATAAGCAACCATTCTAGATAGACTGCTCTGAATACACCTTGCCACTCACAAGTCTATGTGTACCTGAAAAGCTAGTAGAAATAGTTCAACCCAGTGACCTAAATTAGTATTTAATGGGTCAACAATATTTGAATTCTAGGACCGGAAGATTGACACATTTCCTCTCGAGCCACTGGCCAGTTTTTCAAAAATATGCTACGGTCAGATGATAATAAGAAGGAAGTACTTACCATGTGGTATCCTGAAGATACCCACTGTAAAACCGGATATAAGATCTCTCGGTAACGTGCTTTTGATTTCATACTTGGGCAACCAACTTAAGATGGGTATCACTGAAAAAAAGAACTTCTTGACTGTAGAAGGTGTACACGAGCACTTGCCGGCCTTCCGTCTGAGCCGGGTGAGCAAGGTAACCTGCTCTTTGATGTTCTCTGTGTGCTGCTCTTGGAAGCTCTGTTCAGTGTAGGCTGGTCTGGAGACGACGACATCGCGCCTTCTCCTCAACCCGGAATGCAAGTCTGCATCTACGTCTGTGATCTCCTCGAACGCAGCCATCGTGCGATCTATAGAGGAGAAAATGGAAATGGGAACTTTGTTATTGGTAGAGTTAAAAACTAAATGAGATATTTTGGTACTGTAATGAATACCACTGTTGACAAATTTTGAACTTCATGGTTATTAGGTAAATTCACTTCTAATAAGTCATTGAAAGTCAAAGACATCATAGAAATTATTCCATGTACTTTATTGTTAATGTTCGACCATCCAGATGAGATTCTTGTGTATTCTCAAAGCATATATCCGAAGCAGACTCCATATAAATTCCCATGGATAAATGACATGCTATTGCTGGCTAAATGACATGCTATTGCTGGCTAAATAACAGTGCAGTCCGCATTCAGCAACTATCTGTGCCTTTTACAGTAGCCTATACTGAATCTTTACTTTTATAAAGTCATCATTGAATTGGCGACACAACATCAAGCTTTTTCGTTTACTGTAATATTTTGTGATTCTGGTCTGCCAATATGGTGATGCAAACATGGCGAGTTGAAGAAAACAAATTCTGTGATTTCTTTAAAATAACATATTTGCATTAAATTTTCCCCAGGGCCAGGCGGACCAGAAGTTTTCAATCCTGGCCTGTAAAGGCTGTAATACCGTGTGATGAGCCCATCAGAAGCATGGGCACAGGGCCACTGCACCGGTGGGTTAAAAAGTCCAGGGATCATAGAAGACGGAGTACATTTCTTGACTACGGTATCTTCCTGGCTACTTCTTCTTATCCTTTCACTTTTTTACTCTTCTTCTTCCTCTTCTTCTTCCTCTTCCTCGTCTTCTTCTTCTTCTTCTTTTTCTTCTTCTTCTAAAACAAAAGTTCTAGTCTAATTCTTCTTATTATTATTATTCTCAACCTAACTCCTCTGGGCTCCTCCTCATCCTCCTTCGAAGTCTAACTTTCTTTAATTCACATTGCTACAAACATGTAGCCGGTTTGGCCGACACGAACACACCCCCTCCGATCCCAGCACGTCGGCCACAGCCGAGCGCTCCGCATGACTTCAGCGGACACCTGAAACCTCGTCAACCGGATTTGGCCGGGAGAATCACATCCACACACCACTGGCATCAGAATCAGCCAGTGGTAGATAATTCTCTGTCGCCGTCACTCTCACTCAGCTCAGTTCTAATCTTGTACCCTAAAATTTTCACACACAAAATAAAATCTACTCACAACAGCACAGATGATAATAATTAATACAGTAGAACAGTGCAATATTCACCTATACGTTCGTTCAAGATGAAAAAGTTGTTGTAATGTCGCAGTTGAATTCGTGTAGTAATTTTTGTACCCGGATTTTATGATGACGTCATATACACATGTACGTACCCGTACGTTTTCGTTTAGACCTTTCGTTTATCGTTATACATTTCCTGCGCGATTATTGTCGTAGCCGTTTGTTTTGTGATTCGTGACCTTGCGCGCATCTTCATAAATGTTTGAAAACTACCCCCCGCCAGCGGCACCGAAATTATTATACAAGCAAACCAAAGTCTAGAGAAAAAGAAAACAATTATTCGATAATAAAGAATGACACAACACACAAACAAAACAAATCAGAATAAAACAAAAAAGTATTCATCACATTTGTGAGAGTGTCTTCCTACAAAAACACACCAACAATCAAGCAGGGGCGGGGGAGCGTCTTTCATTTTTTAATTTTGTTTTGAGGGGTAGGGGGGCACAAACAAAAATGGGCACCGAGCCTGGGGAAAAGAGGCACCTACAATGGGAAACCTCAAAGCGAAAATATATACAATTTTTAGACATTGGTATATATAGCACATTGTGCTAACATTATCAGGGATGATTTCAATGTTTGTTTCTCTCTTTACATATATTATCGTCCAACTAAGATGTACTGTGCACCATTAATTGTGATGGCCAGAATATTTATTTGTGAGCGAGCAAAAATTTGAAGATTTGTGAGGTTGCAAGTGCGAAAAATTACATCCGATAAAAAGGAAAAACAATCGGGTTTTAATCACAAACTAATCATGAAAGACTGACAATATCTTTAATAAGAAACAAGTTATATAAACTTTAAGTGCGAGCGAGCTTTGGGTGAAATAAAAGAAAAATTGCTCTTAGTCGCTTTAAATTGGGAGCACATTTTATGGTAAAATGACAAGGAGGCACATATCCGGCGAAAAAACTTATCGGGAAAGAAAAAGAGCACAAGTCTTAGTAAAAAGGGGAATTACCAGAGGTGAAAATGGGGCTTTTCTTGCACCTAATAAGGGGTACTCACCAGAGATGAAAAATGTAATAATGAGAACGGAAAGGGGGGGGCACTTAATTATTGCAAAGGAAAGGGGGGCAATTATCAGAAGGAAAATGGCACTAATTAGAATTAAAGGATTAGGTGCACGTGTCAAAATAAAAGGGGCAGTTATCAGAGATGAAAAGGAGCACTTATAAGAAAAAAAAGAGGCACTTTTCAAAATAAAAGGGATACCTCTTAGATTTTTAGAAAAGGCTATTATAAGAGGTGAAGGGGCATTTATCAGAGATGGTATATGGGGGACTTCATGTACCTGAAAAGCGGCACTCACATGAGATGAATAGGGGAACTTGAGAGAATGGAAAGGGGAACTTATAACAAAGAAAAAGGGGCACATATGATATGTTAATAGTGGCATCTACTAGGGGCATGTATGAGAAAGGGAAGGGGCTCTTATTAAAAAGGAAAAGAGGCATCTTTCAGAAGAAAAAAGGGCACTTATTAGAAAGAAAAAGGGGGCATGTGTCAAACTGATAATAAAGGGCACTTATCAAAAGTGAGAAGTGGCACTCATCAAAGATTAAAAGGGGCACTTATCAGAAGGGGCACTTATCACAAAAGAAAAATGGCACTGTTAAAGTGAAATGGGCACCTTTCAGATTTGAATAGGGGCAATGATTATCATAGGTAAAGTGGGCACTTATCAGAGGTAGTAAGATGTACTATATGGTTACGGAACGGTGGGCACCTATTATAAATAAAAAGGGGCACTACCTGATAATGTGTGGGGGCACGGTGCGTTATAGGCTACGGTATAAGCGTATTTACATTTGGGGGGGAGATGAAATCACTTTAAAAAATGTATAAAAGTGTATGATTTAGCCTACCACAAAAAGATAGATTTTTAAAAAATTGTAGAAATGTCAATATTTACTATAGTTGCTCAAAGTCGGTCGATTCATTTGAATATTGCACTTTCTTTTTTACTTCCGTTCTAAAGAACGAATATGGCCATTATGTTAATTTATTTACTAATTACAATAGGTATATGAACATTTCTAGTAGGCCTACAGATGTCCCGAATATTTGTATTAGTTCGACAAATACCAATACAGCAAGCAACCTGTACAAAAAATAGAATATTCTATGAATATACATACATTAGACAGTATTATACTGAAAATGCCAAGAGGAACAAAGTCCAACGGATGCAGAAAAACAGCAAAGTCATCTCTGTTTAACAAATACTACGCATACAAAATATGAAAGGCTCCTTGTTTAACTTATTTATGTTATGTAAGTTGTTCAGATTAGTCATCTCAAACAATGTAGACACCACCCTTACACCTTCACGATTAATCCTGAAAGGAAAGAGGAAAACCCAGGATAATAAAGTCGTAAAATCAACTGTTAATCCATAGGACAGCTTAAAAGCATGCTGGTCCTCATTTGAATATAACAGTGTCGAAAGCGCTTGTGAAGTTAAATCCGTCATGCCTCTTGTGTTTTCCATCTAGCGTTGTAAATTGACATATTTTCGAATATATCTGTACTTGTATATATAATTATTATGTATGATTGTATGTAAGCTTGGCAGCTGGAGGCGGCTTTCTTCCAAAAGCTTTGGTATTCAAGGTATTAAAGGTATACATACGTGGTTATTATATAGCGATAATTTTGAAATATTTGAAAAAGCGTCAATTAGTTTCGGGCGGTGAGGTGACTTCTTTGCCATTTCAACTTGTATAGAGTCAAAATAAATAATTAAATGTACATAGATACATAATGACCTACAAATTATGTTACTGCAATTCTAATTGAGCTCGTTTGCTTCGCTGGCTCGCAAAAATTCCAGTCTCATGGCGAAAAGCATAAATGAAACTGACATTTTACGACTCACCAGTTTTGAGAAGACCATCCATGACGCTCTTCAGCTTGACTTTCAATGAAACAAACAGACAATAGGCCTGAAAAAGCATTAGGCAGGATATATAGGAAGATAAGGTAAAAAAAAAAAAAGCATTATTCTTCCTGTGAACAAGTGAGGACGTTATTCTTTATTTTACAAGAAAGCTGTTTGTAGCTGGTGAATGTTTTTTTCTTAAGAGGACCAGAAAACAAAATAATAATTTTTTTTAAAAGACAAAAACTTACGTTAAGACAAATCGCTTTGTTATCTTTGTTACAAATTAGTGAACTGTTACTTTTTAAACTGTTTGAAATTAAAGTACATGTCTAAAAACATAAAGAACATTGTCCGTGAACCAATTAAAAGTGAGGGCGACGTTCTAAAGAGATCGGGTCGCATAATTGAATTTTAGGTCAGAGTTGTGCAATTTAATTCTATCTGAAAACAGTATAATAAAAACAAAGGATATGAAGAAGTCACATCAAACAAACAAACATACAAAAGTTCTACTTTGTCATTGAAATTTGGGAAAGCATGGGACAAATACAAAAGATTGAAATTTTTATTCTTCTGTCGGTTCATACTTTTTCATGTTGTATATACTTATGTTTTCGTACGTTATAGAATTTCTACAAATTCATCATTATTTTCCTCTTCTTCCTTCTCCTCTTTTTCTTCTTCTCCTTCTTCTTTTTCTTCTTGTACTTAATATCATTTCTATCATCAGTTTAATGTTGTTATTATTATTATCTTTAATAAGTAGTTCTTTTAATTTTCTTATCTGTCTGTAAATATTACTATTTTAACTTATTAATTTTATACATGTCTGTAAGGGACCCCACTGGAAATAAGCTCTCGAGCTTTCGTGGGTTATCCTGTTCAAGCTGACTTTTTTTGATCTGTTATTATTGTATATTGTTGTATGTTGGAAGCTTGTCGAATAAAAATCAATCAATCAATCAATCAATCTACTTTGTCATTGACACTCACTGAGCAGCGGTTTTTTAGATTCCTTTTTATCTTTGACATTTCGCGATACCGTAGATGAAATCGCGTTTTATCAATAAACTGTGTAATGGTGTCAGTGAAAACAAACGTAATATCTGTGGAATTGTAGGCCAGGATCCTGTATATATGATCGTTTTGATTTTACATGGACACTCTTTAATAGAGTATGAAGTAATATAGGTCCGTTTTGTATATTTCAAACCACAGAATGGGTGGTAAATCATCATCGTTTATGCAGAAGGTCGTATCACCAGTGTCGCAGTACATGGGATACGGGGAGTCGGCGGGGGACGAAGCCAGCAAGAGTGGACAAGGCAGAGTACTGGGCGAGGGGTTCGGGATGCCCGTGAGATTAGCTAACCCGTTTGTTCTAACGCGGACAAGGTAATTTTATTTATGATCATCAATTAATGAAGTATTCTAAAATTATGACAAGAAAAGAGAGCGATTAAAATTAATGATTTGATAACTGTGCATTGCAGTGTATTCAGGGAGCTCTGCCGCCGGCCGCCAAAGGGGCAAAGGCGTCGGAGCTCCACAGCCTGCATAGGAAAACGATTCAAACAGCGGGTTGGGTCACATTTTTTTCACAATGTAAAGAAATAGTAATTGCAATTTTGACTTACAATGTTTTTGACTCCTCTGGGCATCCGTTCAGCCACTTGAAGTTGTAAATTGATGAAGTCTTTGAGTTTGGTGGGAAAAAGGGTGATTTCTCGTCCTTAGTCAATTAATCCCATTTTGTATAGTCTAGGCCTATAAAGTATATCGCGATCGTTGATTCAACATGGCGAAGAGAAAGAACGCATGCGTGGTATGTTTCTTTAATGTTTCGTACACTATAAAATTTAACAAACATTGGTAACGTAGACAATTAGAAATGGCATGTTTCATTAAAAAAAACTACTATTCTGCATTTCTGGTTCCTTTTTTTCTGCAGCTCCATGTACTTTGATGAAGATGGCCAGGTTGCTCATGAATTTTATGTGGAAACTCCAGTAAGAAGTAAGACAAAGAAAGGCAGGAGGAGAATGGGGATGAGAAGGATTTATCATAATATATTCCCACAGGTAAAGTAATGTAATTTGGCAATCTTGATGTCTAGGAGAAATCAAATACGCAATGCATTAATCTTTCAGCTCTTTTTTATTTATTAAAGTTTAAGTGTATTGGCTAATGTAAAGAAAACCTGCAAAATACAATGTTATAGTTTACGTCTTTACAAGATCACAGAATTAATGGTATTGGAGTCAGGAGGTGTAATAGTGTTTGGATTTTTTCCAAAATACTAATTGTAAGCAGAAACAAACTTGGTATGGAAGACAGGATGATGCTTGCTATTTGTACCTCCAGTGAACCCTAGTTAATCAAGTATTTCCATATTTTTTCTATTTTAGAAAGCCAAGGCAAGCATCAACTCATCTGTTTGATACAGTGTATGTCATGCAATTTTATAGTGATTGAGGGATCTGAATGCCACAAGATATCAAACTGTCTGGCAAAACATGGTCATGGTCATGTACAGTACATGTAGCCTTATCTTTTTCATAAATGCTTTTAATGAGATAGGGGCTCACAGAGTTTCTAGTGTCAATCTGAAAGTTGTCTTCTCTTTCTCATTCTCTACAGCAAAGGCATGAGAGCATTGAGCACTTATCTTGAAGATTTTTTTTATTCATTCCCAATTAGTTATAGAATAGAAAAAGTGCATGCATAGAGAAAAAATGTGTATGACATCAAAGAATTCATATAAGATTGGAGATAGTTTAGTTGATACAGTCAAACCTGCTTTAGTGAACGCCTGTCTATAAAGACCAAGTGTCTATAACAAGCACATTTTTTGTTTCCCTTGAAAATAGTTTCACATTGAAACATGTACTAAAGGAGCCTGTCTACAAAGACCACTTATTGTGTTTCCCTTGGGTGGTCACTATAGACAGGTCGGACTGTAGTACCTATAACACTATTGTTATTGAATATCTCTGGCCATTTGTATGTTTTAAAACTTGATGGTCTGTGTGTTTCTTTATTTAACAGGGAGAAATACCGGTAGACCCACCTAGGTTACGAGGAGAGATTCCTGCAGTCATGACCGAGCTATGACAAATACTATCCATGTATATCAGATGAAATACAAGAATTTATGTGATGCTGCTCTTTAAGACAGAAATGCCAAATATTATTGGGCTGCATTGATGATTGTGCACTGTTCTGTTCATGCCGAGAGCCTGTTAGAGAAACGCTGGTGATGTCTCTGATAAAATCAAAGGTGCAAAGTTAAATGTGAGCCGTAACAAATAATGTTCAGAACAGAGCCCAACTTGGGCTTGAGTACAAATGTTGTGGGATATTGGTTCAGAGACAGAAATAGTCAAAAGGATAAGCTACATTTATACGACTTGCGCACAAGTCTAAGATTGCCTAAGTCAACGCATTGAACTCAGTCCCGTCAAGTCAAGGTCCACGAACATAAAGTTGACTGAACATGTACCGGTAGTTGGAATCCAATGTATTTACTCTTTCTAGGCAGCTTGTGGCATCTGATGAAACCTGATGATGTAAAAGCACTAGAATGTAATTAGATTGCTCTCTACTGAACAAAGGGCAAAGTAAACAAGAACAGATGTAACACATGTTTAAGAAGAGTTACACTAGTAAGAGATGCTGTGGAGAATCAATGTGTAGATTTGAAATGTCTTCATTGCAATTTAGAGTGTGAAAAATATTGGTATGAGCGGGCCTGTATCTCATATAGTATTACATACTGAGGACTGAGGAGAATATTTTATACATGTAACGATAAAGTCATTGTTTAAGGCATAATGAATATAAACCTTCCTTTGTTGTCAATGTTGTCCTTTACATTCATGTGTGTTCCTTCTATGTGTTTGTGTACTTCTAGGCTTCCTTTGATTAATTTATGGTCATGACAGAATTGTGTTATTTAATTTGTTGTTGGACCTTAGAAGCTATCATTCAATCATGTCAGCAAATATAAAGACAATCACCATTAGAAGAACAAATGTGAGATTGGATGCTAAAACAGTTGTAGACTTGCAAGCATAAAAAGGCTTTTAGTGTGTGTATACATGTATCTTGATTATCCCTGTTATTTTGGTCTAGCACTTACAGCCTGTGTTGTATGTATAGTTGTATACATGTACATCATAAGTGTTTTTAGAATATTGAGTGTCAAATGTGGTGATATTTTACATCTTCAGGAATTGTCCTTGATTCGGCAGGTATGCACTATATACATGGTATATTCTTATGAAATCTAAGCTGCAAAAAAAAATAAAGCAAGCACTAAATCATTCATTGTGCTTTGATAATATTTTAGAGATATCATTTCTGACCAAAATCTGTGAAACAGTCGAGAGCTATTATCCCATGTTTTTTGGTGTACTTTTTGAGAACTGATGAAAGAAACCAGGTGAACATTCTTGGCATAGTTTCTGCATAATTTTTGTGCCGTTTGAAAATGGAATTGAGTGTATTTAGGTCTATCTGTAGGTAAGGATTATGATAACATGTACTGTTATCTTTTGACCAATCTTGACTTCTGTATCAACATTCCTAGATCAGAGTATTTACCCACCAATGAATGATAGAACAAATATATTTCAATATAGTCTTGTATGCTAGTAATTTGACCTTCGATTTCTTCAGGTAACTTGTGTCACAAGAAGCTATTTTTAATTTTATTCAAGAGCAGAATGAGGGAGGAAGGAATAATTTTAGCCATGCATCATACAGTTATTATTATACATGTGGTTAGTTTGCTCTGACTAAGTGCTGCCCATCGTACTAAGAACAGAATTCTCTTACATACCTGTACATGTACTTTATAAGGATGAAAACTGAAAAGTCCTGTAACTGAAGTGTATAGATATAGTTATTAATGGCTGGTAAGACAAGAATTATGAGATCTGAAACATGGAAAGCAATTCTTTGTATTTGAAATCAGTCCTGTGCTTTCTTCATGAAAATAATTATGCCTACTGTAGTACCGGTATGCATTATTGTAGAAAATGGCTGTTGACTTTGTTTTAATGTGGTATTTTATTAAACATTGAATGTCTGCCTCCAGTGTTAAGCACTTTGTGGAGTTTTTGAGCAATCGTTGCCATATGCCTCGCATGTTTTGCATATTTTTATAGTTCATTTTTTTAAATTTAACAATATGCTTTTCAAAACAATATACAGTATGAACATGTGTATATGTTGCCTTTGTCAAGACCAAGAATGCTCAGGAGATTTAGTTTGCAAAGTCCATAAAATAATAAATATGATATAATTACTAGATGAATGCTGTAAACAGTGCATGTTTGATGTTGAATAGTACATTGTAAATGTGATAGTGAGTATGAAATTACATCATCACATCCATATTCACATAACTTGTGAAGTACACAGGACAAGTGGCTACTGAAGCTACCTGACACAAAAACAAAAGTAACTCAAGTTAGAGATTATGCTTTCAGTTGTGCTGCTCCAAAGCTTTGGAATAACCTACCGCTAGACATAAGAAAAGCCTGATCTGCTGCCATCTTCAAAGCTTTGTTGAAGAGGCACTTGTTTTCAGAAACTCCGTAGTAGTTTATGATTGTGTGTCCGTAAAGTAGCACTGTTCGGGTTTTTTCCCAATCACAGTGCAGTAGAGTTTATTAATATAGTAGCTGTTCTATATAAATTGATCTAATTATTATATAATCTTATGATAAATTCAAAGTCCATCCTGTATAGAAAGGACCATCCATGACCATGGGCTGCATTTCTGGTGAATATTTTTTTCACAGAAGGCTACAAGTATACTCAACAGCTATGCAGGAAACAAAATATACATGACCTGGGGTTTCTGAGGATTGAAATGGTCATCACTACAATCAGATATGACTATGGTATGTGTTCTGAGGTGCAATCTTAATAGTTAAGTTACATGATATTTAATACTTGTGTTGTGTGTTCTCAGTATACTATTTCCCAAGTGATATCACAATGTATATAATATAGATCTACACTGTAAAGCTGATTTGACTGTTCATGCACTTATCAGTTTTTTTTGTATATCATAATGACTGATGTTAGAAAATGATACTGTGTGAGATCATTATTTGATTTCATCTGATGAGAGCAAGAGGGTCATTAGCTTGATATTAATCCATTGCCTACTGGAACCAGGTGGGTCCTGTATAAAAGCCTATGGGTATAAAATAATTCAGTAGTCAATAGGTTAAATGATATTAAGCAAATATTAATCGACTACGAGGGTAATGGTGCAAACTATCATCGCCGAGGTGATCTCGGGGCTAGGCTACTATCTAGATGGTAGCCCGAGATCACCGAGGCGATGATAGTTTGTATCCAGTGCCCGAGTAAAGGAGGTTAATATTTGTTTTATATCCCACATCGGCAATAAGGTCTATTTAAAGTGAATTTTACATAATAATAAGAACTGATTCTGCAGACAGTTTAGCTTCAGCTAGATTTTACAAAGCGCAACATGCATACATGTAATACAGTCGATGCGCGCTCATTTGACATTGACATTGACTTTGACATTTCGTGTAACCTACTTTGCTATGCATATTCAATGGGCAAGGGTGGGCAAGCGGGGTAGCAGCAAAAAATTACTTTACAATAAGTACTATCTCAGGTAGATAGTACTTATCTATACCTTTTTCGTGCTCTGTACAATCGCAATGCAAACAACTATACATGAGGGATATAAAGGTTTATATTCACCTTCTTGCTCTTAGCTGGTGATTTGTTTCATTGATTATTTACATGTGTGTATAATGATTATGAATGTATATGCAACTTGTTCTTTCTCTAAGTTATACAATTCCAAATGTGTTCTGAGAAGAACAAGACAATAGACAATATGTAGTAATAAAGAATCTGAAGACTACAGTATATCTTTCTGTTTGGTTTTCTCTGAATGTTGATGTTATCGAGTCAGCTTAGTGAAATATTAGAATGCTGGGGTTTAGTTTATAATATAAATGTACTGTATGTACATGTATATCTTTTAAACAAAGTTTGACATAAGCACTAATTGTATAGGTTCTCGGAGTAGCAGGCCATTGTTAGAATTATATATTGTATGCTAATGAGGATTATACAAGTTGATTACTAATACTGTGCAAGGCTATTTACAATGGACAGTATTACCGAAGCTATTAATACGTCCAAGGGTATTTGCCAAATTGTTTACTCTTACACAAGCCTATTAAGTTGCTACAATTTGTAAAAAAAAAGGTAGCCTTTATATGACCCGATCCGTTACAAAAATTCCTGCTTCACTCGGCGGTAATTACATGTAAGTGATTATGTATGCAATACCTGTATAGTGTACTCTTAAAAATAATCAGTGAAAAAGGTGCCGAACATGAGTGTAGTTTTCATGTCCGGACTAAGTTATGCAATTCGATGCCACAGCCCCTATACATCCTGATAACTCATTTTGTCCAGGTTAATGATCACTTTTTTCGGACAGTTAGCAAGATATTTCTCAGTAACGCAAAAAGCCCACACCTCCTTTATTTATTTTTACAATTTGTTTACAATTTTTTGCAAAAAAAAAGTTTTGTTTATTACAGCACAGCAGTTACTATCGATCTAATAAAAGTATACGTGAAATGTTATACACGTTCAATGAACCATTTCTAAAATTGAAGCTTTTTCCGATGTTGTAAACGGTGTATAAAAAGAAAAAAGAAATAGGAGTGTCATGTCATTGAACTTTCATTTTTAACATGATTGCAATGATTTTCGAGAAATCAAACCAAGACAATTTCAATACTCAATTATTAATCCCATAGAAATCAAGTTCGGATTACGTAATACGTCATTATAATGTACTCATTCACATTTTAATAGGTAGTGGACGATGATTTCAGAATTACTTTAGGTTGAGTTTTCGAAAGTCTTTGCGATCGTGTTTTATTCATTTTATATCTCATTTAAAAAAAAATCCCAATCCGGACAACTTCTGGAGATTTGATCCTCTTAAAGTGCATGGTATCGACATGTCTGTCATTATATGAGAATTATTTCATTAGTAACTGATCGCAAATTTTCCCGGACTGACCTTTGTCCTATTAAATATACTTTGAGTGTTATAGCGCTTCTTGAAGTATAAGACCAAGTTCTAAGCACAGATCAAGACGTTCGTAAGGGATGATGACCGACTTAAGAACTGAATATCTCGGGTATATCTTGCCCTGCCCAGCTCGTATTACCACGAAGAGTTACAAAAAACGTTATTAGGTCATTTTTATTCGAAGTTTCCGGTGACTTTTTGATCAAGATAAGTAACGGTTGAAAAGGGGGATTAAAACATATGAGGGCCAGGGGATTCTATCTGTACCCGGTAAAGTAGCTTGCTATAATGGTTGTTTTATGTCACTGAGACTGTTTTAAGCGTGTACGTACGTATTTTTATTCTCAAGGACACGATTTACGTATTTGAGTGGACATTTTCTATTTCTTACATTATACACCCTATTTTTCTCCATTCAGCAAAAGTTGATTTTCAAACAACAAAATATCATCGGGAGTATATTACAAAGAAGAGGAATGGAGATTAGAGAGAGAGAGAGAGAGAGAGAGAGAGAGAGAAAAGACCCGGGGGAGGGAGAGAGGGAGAGAAAACAAGAAATGAGTTCTAACTCTGGACCCAAACTATACCCATGCAGGGATAGGCTTGTTTCTGCCGAACATTGATCCTAAATCTAACCCTTAACCCAAATCGCAACCCCTATCCCAAAAGCTACAGTTTTTACGCAATACAACCCAGAGCACATATTGGATTACCAATAATATACATGGTGTAAAGGCATGAAATACAAATGTGAAAACTGTGTTATAACGGTTAACACAATTCCATTCAGATTGCATTCATTTCAAAATTTAGTATAAAATCTGTAATATACCAACTACGTAGCAAACGAAAATTGCTCTCTAAAACTGAGACATAATATCGGTAGCTTTTCAGACAAAATTGATTTCAAGTTTTGAAAATCTACAAAAACTGTATGAAAAGAAAAAAACTGTATGAAAAGAAAAAAACAAAATCAACATATTTGAAATTAATGAGTAACTTGTAATATCATAGTCTCGATTAATTTCACGTGTTATTAATGAAAGCTAGAGCGGAAATCAGACGGATGATATATTAATGCATTGTTGAGACCATGGACCCACCATGATGAGACCATGGTATTTTGTACATAATTATGGAATGTCCAAACCGCGGGTTTCACATGGAAAATAGCAACATCGTGGGTATATATATAGAACGATGTAGGAACTAGGAGATTACGGAGCTAAAACATGGATCATGGTTTCAAATTTTAGAGACATGTGCATGATAGGTGATTTCACCCCCAAAATAGGTCATGACAATGATTGAGTGTACATAACGAAAACGACAAAGATAACGAGCTCTTTTCGTCATCGAAAAGTGTGACGAACATGATAAAGTGAATGTTACAGACATGAAGCAGAGTTTTGCATCCAAAATATTTCAAAAACAATGACACCTAGTCCCCCTAATTTTATGTTTGATTCAATGACAACATGGTTGTACAAACGGACCAATGAGGCAATGACACTGCTACAATAGGAATGAGAAGTGAAATTTTGTTCAAAACTTTTTTTATTGTCATGTTCTTTCCAAACAAACTCGAATCTAAGGATGGCATTCAGATCATGTGTATTACGACATTTATCCAGGGGAAGGGGGGGGGGGGTTCGACCGGTCGGGGGACTAGCCGACTAGGCGTGCATTATAGGTCGGGATTTCATGTGATAAAAGGTGGTGGGGTGGGGGTAATATACCGGTTTACTGACATAATATTTATTCAAATTTTATTCGTGATACTGTTGAAAGAAATTTTGTTCTTGACAACACGAAAGCTTGTCCAAGGCTTGCCCGATATAGCAACATGTAATTTAAGCACTGGATTCCAAGTATTGTAGTTCATGCAATCATCAATATCTGGTTAATGGAATACCTCGTCTCTAAGTCCCCTGAAAAAAACCATCCATGCATTTTAATATGTTAGTATAAACTCTTCTTTTCCTCGGCTAATCAAGGGTGGTGCGAACGGAGGAGAATCCATCATTCGTTTCTAGGTCCCCTGGAAAGAAAATCCACTTTTAATATGTTAGTAAACCGGTGTAATGTGGGGAAAAAAACTCTTCTTTTCCTCGGCTAATCATTAAGGGTAGTGGGAACATAAGAGAATCCATCAACAATGATTGTTAGAGGTGATTAGTGTCACAAATAATAATATATACAAAAAGAGAGATATTATTTTGTTTCAAACTGAGTCCTTGAATAACCGAGACAATCCGAAAGACCTATATATTCCACCCAACACCTGGATATACACTCGGATAGGTCCCTCGGAGAGGACCTAAAGCCGTCGGCCGTCTGGTTGCTTACCTAAGCATTTATGCTTTCTTATTAGCAGTCAGGTAAAATAACCACCACCTCCACCACCTCCATACACAAATAAATTATTATAGGCCTGCACAATATACACTAAGCTGTCCATGCATTGATATTCACATTCAATCCGCAGTTCAATATCTTTCTCGGATTATAATGAGACTATATTGTTGTCGTCCTCGTCGTTTTTGTTGTGGTGGTGGTGGTGGTTTGATGGTGATTGTCAATCGTATAGTTGGAAAGGTATGGACTGTTGTTCTCTCAAGGCCACTAGTGTTTTGAAATTCAAATTGATTTTGAAAATGAATAATGAATGTCCCACTTTAGATTTTGTAATGTATATATTCCAATTGATATTTTTGAATATACAATGTATTAAAAACGCAACCCCTACCTTTTTCGGTGATCTCTGTATGATTCTCCATTGCGTCTGGAATTATTACCGCAGTGAATAGTCCATGCATACACAAGCAGGAATCCAATTTTTGTCTTTACTACTTGAATTTGGGTAGCAGCGATTTTTATTTGCGCACAATGATTGAACCGGCTACTGATTATAATACAATGTACCAGGAGACATGAGTATAGCCTACTCCTATATTACGTAACTTGGAGGTTGATGATTCCGATTTTTCTGACCATGGAGATAAAGACGCCGAACAAATAAAACTACCCTTTACTAATTAATTTGTGAAACATATACTCAACAAAGGAAACTACACCCATTACCTACAGACTTCCCTCTTTAATTTCTACAGTTAGAGCTTTCAGGGGGAGGGGGCAATTGCAGTAATGGGGCTAGGGATTATAAATAAAAAGAAGAAAAAAAAAGTAACGCAAAGAGGGCATAGGCGTTGTTTGGGGCAACTGCCTGGGATGGCAGCCTTTTTTAAAATTTGCTATAATATTAATAGTCTGCAACCTAATAACAGAGAGGGAAAAAAAAATCATTTATAATACTATATATATATATTATGGTAGTTAGTGGAAAGGTGAATAAACTTCATTATGACGTCATCCAAAACTGCACTGTGTGACAAAAATTATTATATTGTAGGAAAACAATAACAATGCGAAACCATTTTTTCCGAATACGATGCCGCCTTCAACCTATATAATTATGAACCATTTGAAAACTGAATACTGTTAGGTAAAAACTATAATTTCATGTAACTGTGTAACTTATTAACCATCGGTTTCAGCAAGTGAAAGTGGAAGGAAGCAGACAGTGTCGAGTGCCATCTTTAATTAAGAAGCTTTATCACTCTTGGTATAGACATTGACAGCAGGAGTCGAGCTTTAGTTCAATTTTAACCAAACCTTACTCCTTTTATACCCTCGTTCAATCTTAATGCTTCCATAAAGGTTGACGTGTTTGAGGTTAATGTTTTTGATGACAAATTTAGGCAAGAGGATAGAGGGAGAAAGAGAGAGAGAGAGAGAGGGAGAGAGAGAGAGAGAGAGAGAGAGAGAGAGAGAGAGAGAGAGAGAGAGAGAGAATTGCAGTATATTATGAATATGTATATAATAAGTAGAACAAATAATTCAATTTCAACTTCAGTGGAAAATCCTCTGTCACGGCAATATACAAAAAGTAATTAAAACAATTGAAATAAAAACCCTTTAGAGCTCACTTCTCATGGGTTTTTATTTCAATAGTTTTAATTCAGGCCTATAAGAATAAAAATGAGAGAGAAAAGAATATTAATTTCTTATACCAAGTGAGAAAATACGGCGTCATAATTATGGTGAGCAGGGGACCCAAACCCCATAATAAAAGATTGGCGCCGCCATCACTGCCCCTTCAAACCATGGCTACACCTTTAAAACAAAATTCGTCCACATTTTTTCCTATTCCATATTGAACATAATGACAATCCTATAAATCCTTGCTTGGTTTTATTTACAGTATTAATCTAGTGTGTGTGTGTTAGCTAAAGAGATTGACATTCCTTGCATCGCTAACTCGGCCTATAATTTTCATAGTGTAGTTGTTGTTGTTGCTCTTCTTCTTCTTATTATTATTATCTAATTCTTCTGCTAAAACAAATCGATCGTGATTATGTATTCAAAAACACAATTCGTACCTTTTTCGGTGATCTCTGTATGGTCCTCCATTGCGACTGGAAAGTATTACCACAGTGAATAGTCCATACATATGAATATAAATCGACCGTGGGAGGCAGTCGTTTGGTGTTAAGGACAAGAGGAGTCCTACCGTGAAATATTTACTTCCTACAGGATTCAGGAATAATTCACTTCCCTATAACCATAATGTACAAAATCGGGTAAAATAATCAGAATAGGAAACCGTTTGTTGAAAACCTTGACTTTTGATCTAGTTATCCATGAAACAATCAGTGAGCGTATCTCATAATATCTATCAAAACAAATTAACGCTAGGTGATCGAGCATTTGCATGTGCAGCCCCAAAACTCTGGAATAAGTTGCCACTTGAAGTCAGGAAATCACCATCTGTAAATATCTTTAAATAAAAACTGAAAACACATCTTTTTCATTAACTGTAAATCTAAGCATAACAGGAGCTCTTGTAGCGCAGTAGAATATAATACTTAATGTTGGATAGTTTCTGCGCTCTATAAATGTATTATTATCATTATAATTATTATTATCCACTGCCCAAACATAACCATGCGTTTCTACATCTTTGCATTACTCAAGTAAAACAAATGATTTCTTTGCAAATATGGTATAAATATAATAAATTTATCTAAATTAACGATATTTCATGATAATGTCTAGATTTGCCAATTTCGTAATGTAACCCAATTTAATGCATTTGTCTTTGTGAAGTGCCTCGATACGCATTATTTCATTAATATGTTGTAAATAGTTGCATTTTAAGATGCAGAATGAAAATTGCATATAGGCTTACGTAATCGTATAGGCAGGGCAGGCCATAATGTTTGTTTAAAGCCTCGGTCATATGCCATTACGAACTGCTACGAACGCCGTACGAACGATTCCCAGACAATGGAAATTCGGGAAGACAGTGGAAAAACAGGGAGATTCGTACGAAATTATCGTTCGTACGAACCTTTGTGACCGTAGCATTACCCATGCAGCAACAACTATGCATTTCGAATTCTGAGATACAATTATTCGTAACAGGTGAATGAAATAATTCGTATTGGTGCACTTCACAAAAGACGTATGCATTAAATTTGGGCACATTGCAAAAAATGACTTATTGGTTTTTCGATAAAGGTCCTCTGTCTGATAAGCATAATTATGCAGTGCGTCCCAGAAAAAACGAAACCAAGAATTATCAATGTTTTATCATAACTTAATCACAATTATATAATCAATAAAATGACATGCAGGCTTAGATTCTCCTCTTTCATTTGATGCAACTCATATGATGCATATTTCATACATGAGTGATTAAAATCAATTTGAAGAGAGGGAATCAAAGTTATGATAAAACATCAATATATTCTCGGTTTCGTTTTTTTTTCTGGGACGCACTGTAGAATCATAACGAAACTATTTCACTTGATGCATACTTATAAATCGACATACCATTTCAAGTTAAACAAAAAATTGTGTCATGTGTGTCCATTCGTTACTGTGAATTTCTTTGCTTACACATACTAATCATTTTAAACTTTTTCTAAAATAAGACAGAATGTTTTACTGAACAGTATAGTTAAATAAAACTGTATTTTTTAGGGAAAACAACACATGATCACCTTAATGACATCGACACTGTGACACAGAGCGATATGAGGTCACTGTTATCTGATACACAAGTCATGAACTTTAAGTAACCCAAGACGCGAGAGAATTTCAGAAACTAAATATAACTCCGAATTGCTTGAAGCAACTATGAATCAATTCGGGTCAAAAACTTGTGTGATGTCAACTAGCTCGTATAAATTCGCTGAAATACAAAAATTTCTATCTGAGATCATTTTACAACTTCGTTGGCCTGCACTCGTGATTTAAATTTAAAAATATATAAATCTTAATTTAACATAAATATTTTGCCTCAGAGTTCAAACATAATATACACACTTGTAATACTATGGTTTTATATTATGTATACAGCCGATTGTGTATGTCACATATATCTTGCATAGTTTTGGTTTGTGTTTTATCATGATAATAGACATAAATGAAAAGGATAGATAGAAAGTTCAACCTATTTTTCTGCATTCTGATCGAAAGATATTGCTGTGATGATACGTCGTATAGGGTGTTGCAATGCAATGTTATGGTGTAGACTGTTATATTTTTTAGACATTTTTTGCATGCAGTCGGAGATTCGTTTCTGGCTAGGCTAGGATTGCAATCATTCTTTAAGTAAGGTTTAAGGTTAAAGGGATAGTTGAATTTTGGTATAGAGAGTACAGTTTTGGTCAAACTGAAATTTAGTAACCCAAACCTGCACCTAATATTTATAACTGCAACATGCTCGAAAGGCTTACAAAAATTACAAACGACTGAGAAATAAGCCTCTTAACAATTAAAAAGAGCCATTAAACCACATGAGGGCATTCTCTAAAAAGTTATAAGTTTCAACCATTTTTAATAACAAAATTGTGCATGTTATGTTTTGTTAAATAGAGAGATCACCAACAACTATTTAAACACATCAAATGAGAAGTGTAAACATTTTTTGTCTTTCAATTGCTGGTTCAAAATTATCGAATAAAATGTTGCGGGGCCCCACGAATATATAAGAATTGGTTATATTTATGGATATTTCAGCCGTCTTTGAACCGATTTTGATCAAACAAAGATAATTTTGTCATTTAAATTGTATGCTCTTTCAAATTTGACACTCAGTTTTTTCATTATCTCACAAAAAGTAATTTTGTGTAGCAAAATTTAATCATTAGTCATTATTTTAAAAAACAAAACATGCACAATAATTAAAAATGGTTGAAACTAATGACTTTTCAGAGAATGCCCTCATGTGGTTTAACGGCGCTTTACCAAAAATATTGTTGGTTATGGTTAGGTATAGTGTCGGATCCTGAGTAAAGTTAGGAATTCGGATAGTGTAGAAAATAGAGCAATTATTTCAAGAACAATTAAGTGTTGTAAAAACGCAAGTCTTAATTATTGAAAGCAATTCATTGGACATGTTCGTGCGGATATTTAATGTTGCATAACTTACAATTTATTTTAAAAGAAGGTGTCGTTGTTTTAACCATGGACCCTACTAGGTCCATGTTTTAACAGACGCCCAGCACGAAACACCTGTTTGAGGAGCAGCTGAGAGAGTGGGTTTTAATTCATAAGCGGATGCATCATTATAAGAGCGCGCGGGTCGTCGAAGGTCGTCTAGATGATACAACATTCTCGATAAGGAGAAGCACATCCAGGTTACATGACAGAAATCAATATAAGACCTTGGAGTATTGTAAAGCCTTTTCCCAGTTTCCCTTTTTTGTGTGACATTCACTCCATGCTATTCAGTACTAGAAATGCTGAGCACTTCGATCGTTGCTACTTCGGGAAAAGATTACCAAAATAAAACTTTGTTTGAAAGTTGACACCAACGCTTTTGATCGCTGATGAACAATTTCTAAAGTTCCTCCTACGACGTACCGCATGATCATGTTTATCAACAATCTTACTTGTAGAAAAAGCTTCTAGGAAAAAATTAATGAAAAGTTCATCAAAATAAATTGCTGATGATCTTTTAATGAACTAGTTAGTTAGGCATTATCTTGCATTTATCCAATTAATGGAAAAGTA